GCAAACCAGCGGGAGATTCCTTGTTCTTAGCACAAATAACCTTCTTCTGAGCGCTACTCAGGGCCACAGTAAAGTGACGCGGACTATAGCACCTTCGAAGGTTGAGGAATTTGTCTCTTCTACTTAGCTGTCTGTGACGGGCGTGGGCCGGTCACTGATCAGTGTGGGTAGGCACCTGCGGCAGCTGCTGCAATGAGACGGTACTAGGGTTAACCTGATGTTGTATTCGTCTTGATTCTCTATCTAAGGAGGCAGAGGCCAGCGTGGAGAAAGGGGGCACGCTGCCCTCAGCCGCACACGTGACCGTACGGGTCACGTGCCAACCATGGTTGGTCACACCACTAGATAGATACATTCCTACAGATAGCCCATTTTTTGGTTGGAATACTACATTTCAAGCACATATTAAGCTCGGCAACCCATATTCTGGATATATAATATAATAATTATACCGCTGTACAGCCCCCAGCAAGCTGATTCGAAAAACGCGTTCAGATCCTCAACATCTCAATACTGCGCGAACAATTGGAGTGACACGAATCGAGTCAGCTCGCGATTTGGAGGCTGTTAGGGACTTATCTACTCCTCGAGCCCAATATGACTGCTACTTGTTTGTCCATACAAATTAGCCGATCAGGAAGTACCCGAAAAATCTGCATGATAAGGATATATTGTGCCAACTAGCCGCGTTCAGACGCGTTATTTCCGCTCAGTTGACCACCTGTTAATTCTACTGCTGTCGGAAAGACAGGGTCGTCAGCCCATCCACCTTTGCCTGCGTGGCGCAACGGTCTTCGCGACAACTGCCACGACATTATTTTACCACGACCTCGCCTAATTCCTGCTTCGATATTCCGACAGCGGCTTCGGATCAGCCCCCGAATCAACGCCCTGACCGACGACCTATCCTACCCGTTCAACCCCGACTCCTTGACACTTTATTGTGGTTTATTTGGTGTCGTTCCGACTACCTGTGTCGCGTCCATTCTCGAGCCTTTCAGCCAAGATCAGGTAAAACTTCATTACTCTCCAATCTACCCTCCTTATTTAATTACCTTACGAGTGGATAGCTAATTATAACATGATACGTAGTATGGCCCTGCTGAAACAAAAACATCTGCCGCAGCGAATTTCTTTGCTCCAAGGACCCGGCGTAAATTGCCAACGCAGAATTATGCCCGCATCGAACGTCCTCAATTCAACCTCGGAATCCCGCGCGCGCGCTGATTCTAGCGCAACTCCGGCTCCTTCCTCTCCTCTTCCAACTGGCGAAGATACAATTGTCTGCGCGCCCCCGGGTCATCCTGACTGTGAGTCAGATGATGACATGCCCGACGCGGATACACCAGAGCCGCCATTGAACAGTAGTCATATGACGCTCGCAGAGAAAGCCGGACTTATCAAGAAGTGGGCCGACAACAAACAAAAGCATGTTCGCAAGAAGAGAGACAAGAACAGCCACGTCTATTGGTATATGCAGAGGAAGCTATAGACAGAAGCTTTTACTCAGAGGATAAGGATGGGCCGAAGATCTTCCAAGAGTTCCGGTGGACTTGTATAGAGTGCCTTCAAAATCCCAATACTCTTCGGAAGAGATTCCAGGTCCTCGAATCGAACCGCCGAGGGTTACCTCTGGCATGGGAGACCATTTAAAAATCCACGGTATTACGAAGGAATCTCACCACGCTCGAATTAATGGATACGGCCGCGCCATTGGTGGAGGAGATTATACAGAGGCAGACGCATGGAGCGGTCGACCTAGGCAGAGAGCAAGACTCACGGCAAAGGAGTCTATCCGCCGGTGGTTTGTAAAACACCGACAACCCTTCTCTGTTGTCGAGACTCCTGCTTTTCAAGAGATGTTCTTGGCTCACAACACAACATGTGTGTACAGGAGTCGTATAACGTTACGCAATCATATATATACAGACTTTGTCGAACGCAGGAGAAGCTGAAGATTGAGCTTGAGTACAATTGTGCCACCATCTCGTTCACCCTTGATATCTGGACAGCACCGAATCGGGTGCCCATTTTCGCCATTATTGCGCACTGGATTACACCGGAGTTTGAGGAGAGAGAAGTTATTGAGTTTATTGAGCTCAAAAGATCTCACACTGGCAAACAATTAGCTGAGATAGTTGAGAGGACGCTTGAGGAGCTCAGGCTCAAGCCTAAGCTTCTCGCCATTACGGAGACAACGCCGTCAAGAACGGCACGCTCTGTCAGTCTTTGTACGATTCTCTCAAGACCAAATTCGACGACAAGGTGAGCCCAATAGGGAGGCCCGCATGCGCTTTCACGGCAGGAAGAGTTGGATCCGCTGTCTAGCTCATATTACCTCGCTCATTTGTGAGGGCGTCTTGCAAGATCTCAAAGCAGGCACAGCGAAGGAAGCCAAGAAGATGCTTGACAAGTGGGACGAAGAGAATAAAAGCAACAACTACACCATTCCGGGAGACTCTAGTCGAAGTGGGATTGCCAAAATCCGCCTCCTCAATCTCTGGATGTTGAGATCCGGGTCTAGGGAGCAAGACTTCAAAAGCATGCCGCGCACGCACTACCGGAAGCCAACCTACGATGTCGACACTCGCTGGAATTCGGCCTACGACATGATTGACCAATTCCTCGAGCTTGAGGCAGAGTATACTGAGTTCGTTGATACTCACCCGCAAGTCAAGTGCCTCCTGCCCTTATCAGAAGAGATTGTCGCTCTCTATCAACTGCGGAAGGTTCTGAAGCCGTTTAAAGACCACACTCTGAAAGTCTCCGAAGTTATGCCGCCGATCTCACAAAGTCTCGATATCTATTGGGATTTGGAAGCTCTCCTTGATGATGTAGTCGAAGGAGTTGGCGACTTTACAGACCTTGATATGTCCATTCGAGACGCCTTCTCGAAGGGCAAAGCAAAACACGTTACTTATATGAAGAAGCTTGACGATCAAATGATGCTATTCGCAGCTCACATCCTGGATCCGCGTTATAAAACTCACCAATTGGAAATGATGATACCGGATCAATACTCTGAGATTATGGCTAAGTCCCTGCACATAGAAATGGGCACCCCCCTGTTTTGGGCACCCAAGATGGGTGCCCAACCTAAACGGCTGCGTCAACTTCAACAGCAAATTTCACCGCGGAAACGCATCCAATCTGCTAAAAAATTGACGCATGTGTCTTCAAGCCACTACTGATGAAATATACAGAGTCTGACATTCACAGCGCCCTTGAGGCAATCGCCAATGGCGGATCCGCCAAGAAGGCTGCTCGCGATTGGGGCGTCCTGAGGGCAACTCTTTACAATCGCATGCATGGTCACGAATGCAGAAAGGATGCATTTTCTGCTCTTCAGAGGCTTTCTCAGACACAGGAAAAGCAACTTACCGAATGGATTCTCATTCAGGACGCCTTGGGCCTTCCTCCCACTCACTCGCAGATCAGGCAGTTCGCGCAGCGCATGCTCGCCGTCAAAGGAGACCACACACCGCTCGGAAAACACTGGATGCAAGCATTTTTAAGACGAAATCCTGCAGTTCGGACCCAGAAGTGCCATCACAGAGACTCTGCGCGTGTCAACGGCGCTTCTACCGAGGTAATTCGGCCTTGGTTCAACAATTTCTTCCTTCCGAGATTCTGGCTATTAAGCCGGAGAACAGGTACAACATGGATGAAGCAGGCATCATGGAAGGACTTGGGGAGAATGGCCTGGTCGTTGGCAGTGCTGAAAACGATCTGTACAAAAGAAGACGCCTGGTTCTCGGGTCTGGACGTCGTTCATCGAGTGCGTGTCCGCTGCCGGCACCTTCCTCCCTCCACTCGTCATTTTCAAGGGCAAATCGGTCCAGCAACAGTGGTTCCCAGAAGATCTCAGTACTTTTAGTGACTGGCAATTCACTGCGACAAAGAACGGCTGGACTTCGGACCAAACTGCGGTGGAGTGGCTCGAAAGGTGTTCATTCCAAGAACCCAGCCACCCGACCCTTCGGAGCGAAGACTGCTAGTATTGGACGGCCACGGAAGTCACGAGACGGTTGACTTCATGTATCTATGCTACCAGCATCAGATTCACCTTCTTTCTTACCTCCCCATACCTCTCATGTGCTGCAACCGCTCGATTTGTCTGTCTTCTCGCTCTTAAGCACTACTACCGCAAACAGGTCGGATTTCTCAGCCTCCTGACCGATTCAAGCCCAGTCGGCAAGCAAAACTTTCTTTCCTGCTACCAGAAAGCACGCGAGCAAGCGCTCACTGTGTCAAACATCAAGGGTGGCTGGAAAGCGACGGGTTTGTGGCCGGTGTCGATGGCGAAGCCACTTTGAGCCCTCTTCTGCTGGAGAACAGCAACAGACGCAAAAGAACGCGAAAAATGTGGCCAATGCATTCAATAGCCACTTACCCACCAGTGACTGGCAATCAGACACATCCCAGATTGCGTGGTCGACCCCGAGGCGCTCGCAAGATCTGAAGGTTCAGGTAGTTCAATTCAACCAGCTAGACGACGACGTGCCCACGAAGAGATTGCTGTTCAGGAAGATCACAAAGGGTTTGACGAGAAGGATGGCCTTTTAGCAAAAGCTCAATTGCAGATTCAGGCACTGGAAACACAATTGGCGGCCGTCAAGCCGAAAAAGGAAGAGGGTGGTCACGAGCCCGAATTCGAGGTTCGCCAATATTGAGGCAATACGACGGGCGCAGGAGGAGGTGAACGCAGCTGAGAATGAAGAATCTGATGAAACCGAAGCTGAGGTTTCAGAAATAGGTGACGATTGTATCGTAGTGCACGGTGGTGGGCAGTGAGAAGGGATTGAATTAATGGTGTTGAAAATGGTCGTGATTTTTTTGGGGTGCCCAAAACAGGGGGGTGCCCATTTCTATGTGCAGGGACTTAAAGTCAAGAAGTATTTCAAAACGGAGTGGCCGGAGCTAGCAGCATTGAATGCCACAAACTCAACTATGAGCCAATCCAGACCAGCTGAGCGTCCTCAAGGAGTCTCCATTGCGCAATGGAGAGCCATCCAAATGAAGAAGGCGAGGAGGCGGAGACGGGCGCGGCGATCCCTATTTCGGAGCTTGAACGGTGGCTTGCAGCTCCTCGAATAGAGTTCGACGAGTCTATTGCAAAGTCTCCAGACTTCCTACTGAAGTGGTGGAAAGAACACAAGGTCGAGTGGCCACTTTTGGCTGCGGCGGCGCGTGATCTTCTCTCTGTCTCTGGCTCTGAAGTTGACGTGGAACGCCTCTTCAGCGGTTGTAGAGACGAATTCGGTATCCGCCGTCACGCCTTGAAGGCAGATACGGTGCGAGTACTAACACTTTTACGGAGTGCTTATACTCAGGAAGATAAGATCGATCAGGCGTTGATCAAGGCGGCCATGGAGTATGACATCCTGCCCTTTGCCAATAGTATTATTTGGAGACCAGACCACATTCCGGGCAAGCTGGAAGATGGTATGTATGGATATACCCTCATTATATATGTAGGTATATGCTAATCTGTGTTCAGGCGAGAATCCTCCTCAACCTCTTCCTCCCACCGAGGCTCCCACCGTACCCCCCTTCCCCCAAACCTCCTGCATCCCAAGCCGATAAGTCTGCGATATCAACCCCCCTGTCTAGATACAATGGAGGCTTCGGAGGATTGGGGCTCTAAGAGTGTAGCCGTGTACAGTGGCGGATTCGAACGCGTTGTACCGACGTATTTTGAGGATTCGGCAGAGCTTTGAAAGTGCTTATTTTCAGTCGATTTGCCTAGGACAGGCGGATCAGTATTTATGTAAGTTAATTTTTGTAGTATTCGGGATTATCGACTTCTTAGAAGGCTATAACTTAAAACTATATACTACTTATTGGCGTTTTTGAGGCATCTTTGCAATCGCTCAGGTACACACCAAATTCACTTCGTTTAGGGATCCTTCAAACCATTCATGAATGGCCTGAATTGGCCCAAACCCAACTTGAATCGCGAAAATTGGAGCTTGAAGATTTTGAATCAAGATCCAAAAAATTCAATTCATTTGATTCATCCTTCATTCAAAATCTTCAAAATCTTCACCTTCGTCTATCACCCCTAGGAAGAACTGGCTCACGCGCTTCGTACAGCGCCACGACGCACTTATGTCGAAATACCTACGAAAATACGACTACCAACGGGCGTAATGCGAAGACCCAGAGGAAATCGGCAAGTGGTTTAGCCTCGTACGAGCGACAATTGCGAAATATGGTATTGCAGCAGAGGACATCTACAACTTTGACGAAACGGGATTTCAGATGGGGGTGATCGCAACTGCCAAGGTCGTCACACAAACAAAGCCGTCGACGTCAAAGCACCCAACAGCGATTCGTACCAAGTCAGGTCGCCCAAAGGTCGTCCAACCAGGAGATCGGAATTGGGTAACGGTCATCGAAGGAGTCAATGTCACTGGCTGGGCCTTGCCGTCTACGATCATCTTCGAAGGCAAAGTCCACCAATCGACCTGGTACCGGACAGGAATCCCGCCCAATTGGGTCATTGGTGTCAGTGAGAATGGCTGGACGAACAACGAACTTGGGTTTAAGTGGTCGACGGAGGTCTTCGACAAGCACTCACGCGGTCGCGCGGTCGGGAAGTATCGACTTCTCCTTCTTGACGGTCACGGCAGCCATTTTACTCCAGAGTTCGATGACTTCTGCAAGAAGAATTCAATCATCTGGCTTTTCTATCCACCACACTCAACGCATCTTTTGCAAGCTCTCGATTTTGGATGCTTTTCAGCGCTCAAAAACTCATACGGTCGGCTTGTCCAAGAGAAGGTAGAACTGGGGACTTTTCGCATCGACAAAACAGACTTTCTAGTCCTCTATCACCAAGCCCATCGGATAACATTTACAGAGAAGACAATTAAGAATGCATTTGAGGCTGTCGGAATTGTCCCGTACAATCCACAGAAGGTCCTTTCCCGACTGAATGTCAGGACACCAAGTCCTCTACTTCAGCCAACTACCCTCGACCCTGTCACGCGCCTAAAGTGCTTGACCACGGTAGATGGCTGGTTGATTCCAACCACTGGCTGGAGTGACTTTTCCAGGGAAAAGCACGGGGCTGGGAGGCCTCTCGTGGTTATAAAAGTAGGGTTGCATAGCACCTGATGGAGCTCGTCAGAGATCAATGAATTGAATGATTGACCCCCGTTCCTCACTCTCTGTTTAGTTGTGTGTGCGCCTTACAACCCCCAAGGCTCGGGAAGCCAACGCTTAGCCAAAACGCCCCACAACATTACTGAGCTAGAGGCACAAGCCAAGGCTCTTCAGAAACAGGTCGTACGAGGGCAGCGCATGAATAAGCCAGCCCAACCGACCAGGCAGTGCGTTACTTGGTCAAGGGATGCCAAATGGCGATGCACGGCGCAGCCCTTCTTTCGGAGGAAAATGAGCGACTCGAAGCGAAACCAAAGGCAGAGGAGAAAGAGGATATGCGACGCTCATATGTAGCTCATGGGGGTGTTCTAGCGGTGGAGAAAGGTCTTCGGCTTGCAGAAGAGAGGGCGAATGGCGTCGAGGGGTCAGGGGCGCGGTCTGGCGCGACCAGGAAAACCGGCGCACAACGGCTCTGCAGTATGTGCAAATTGCCCGGGCATAATGTCAGATCATGCCCGGGAATTAAGGATTCCATTAATGTAATTATTTAGTTGATTATTGTTGGAAGAGACTCGTAGTCTCTAGAAGGTTCTATGATCATGTCGACATTTGTCAGCTATGTCTATATAAGACCTAGCCTTCCACTCCTTCTGTAGCTAGAGATATCATAATCAACAGATCATTCATTTCGTCTTTCCTAGTCCACGGGTGTGGACAACAATTATTGATTTGTAGTGTGTTCCGCGGCGGTGAGAATTAGGAACGGTTGAGATTTGGGCAGGGTACTGACCCACTAGGTGGTGTGGCCCACTAGGTGGTGAAGTACGTTATCCCTAACAACTATGAATGCAAGAGCCTTGTCTTCAAGGCCATAGCTAGATAGATCATAACTACCAAAATGCCAACTTCTTACTACCATTTAGATAGAAAAACAAGAGTCTGTTGATGCCCGGGTTGGCCCTACGTTGTGCGCTGCATGGACCGGGCGACGCTGTCACACAGGAGATATCAGCGCTGCAGGATCGACGCTCCCTGCTTACTGCCTGGCGGGCAGTAGACACTAGGCGAGCTGCTGCCTGCAGGCAGCAGCTCCATTCACTCCTACAACTGATGTATTTAAGGATTGATTATTCCCACTCATTAGATAGGAACAAGAGTCTTCCAGTCCCTGATCTTTATGCTCACTTGCTCATCCTCCGTGCGATACCCTAACCATTGAACACGGTTAAATCTGAGTTGCTGTTTACTTGAGCATGGCAAAGCCTTCGACCCTTCTGGTTCATCTCCCAAAGCTCTGCCCCGTCGAGGGTGATCACCGACCCGCTGCCTGTGGTTGCTTTGCAGCTGGTGAGGTTAAAAGCAGAGAACGATGGGAATGGTTGAACTGTGATGCCGGGGTCCTCTGCAATCCACTCCGCGGTCTTCTGGCAGAGAGACCCGTTCTGTGATACAGGATTGAATGTTTGGGACTCGCCCGTGGAGAGATTATCGATGCAACTGAAGAATGAGCTTTCAGAGAGCAGTTTCAGATTCAGAGGTTTGAGTGACATACATAGTCCCAGTTTTCGAGGATGTGGCTTCTACACTCACGTACACCACATCGCCAACATGGACTGTAAAGTTTTCCGTAAGAACAAGACTCCATTTCGGAATGGACCCATAGATTCGGAATAGTTACTTACTAGACATGTTGGGATACACTGGACCAGCGGGATAGAACTCGTACCACGCAAATGCACCCACCGTGCCATTAGTAATCTTGTAATAGTATTCAAGTCAGATCAACCATTATATTCACGCCACCGTTGCATGTGTGAAAGGCCTCTAGTGAGTCGATTCAACTGAAGCGGCTTGCCCGTTACAGCATGTCAGAACCGTATCATTGGCGATAGAAGGGATTGATTCTTCCGTAATAGAGGTATTCATAGCTGAAATAAGTCTGATGAAGAAGAGTCGCAGTAGTCCACTTACAGTGGTACCAGTTCCACCTTGCAAAAGGACTTCGCAAGGAGATACGCCGTCAATTCCAACCCATTGATAGAACCAATACTGATCAGTCGATAAGTTTCCATTGGGAATCGAAACAGATGGTACTGTCCATGTTCCCTTGACAAAGGTCACTTGGTTAGAGTATTGAACGGCACCGCACCAGTTCAAGCTTGAGTGGTCCCGCCTAAACAATGAAGCTGTAGCAAGTGAAGTCATGGGTCGTTTTGCACCTGACGTAACGTAACCGCTGATGACGCCAACTAGAATCATAGCCATACACGCGAAGGCTCTTGGGGACGGCATATTGACAGGCAAAGAGTGTCTCTTAGCAAGGTGAAACTGAGATGTGGTAAATCAAGTCAGAAGAAACATGCCTAAGTATCGGGGTCTCTGGCGTCTTAAATATGTTTTTCTTCCTGATAGTCTACTAGTTCAGGTCTAAATGAGCCTGCCCAGGAAATCAGTATACGAGGCAGCCATCCTGAGCCAATTTTAGCCCTGTCTCTAAAAGGCAGCTCTTACCATTCTGTTGGGCAACAGAATTTGCGCTTGCGCTGGTTTCGGCAGGAGATAAATTGCCCTTGTCCACATGAATATTGTTGCTATAGAACAAGTTTGCCGTGGGTCGTCCTCCCCCATCAACGTACATTGACGTACGTTAGAGACATGGAGCCAGAAACATGCGGCATTGAGCGTTTTCACAGTCCGAAATCTCCATTTCACAGTGGTCTGACTCGAATTGATATCTTGTGCCAGGGCTTCCGCGTGTACTCCGTGTAGTCCAGACAAGCACCTTGGCAGCAAGCTTTCATTTATTGCGGTTCGCAAGCTGGTGGCATTGGGCCTACCGTTTCTGTTACCGTCTCTGAAAATTCAGAACTTAGGCTCAGAAGTCTATCGTAAAGAGTCATTCTGTCTCTCGGGCTAAGCATGGTGGCTGGACTGCGATCCCAGGATATCTGCCTGGGCGGTCTGGTGAGCCCTTAGGCACACAGGACAACCTCCTATTCCTGCCAGCGCACGCCAATAGACAAATCTGTAAAGTTAAAAGATCTTCAACATCAATTGCTTAACAAAGAAGGTAGTCGCAGTCACTATAGATCCTGATTCTGACCTTCCGATTCGGGCAGCCGCAACGTCCATGCTGCATATATTAAGTGTCGCATATCAAGCCTGCCTACTCATGAAGTGGCGATATTACTACGCAACGCCGCTGTTGCCTTCTAAGCAACAGCTAACTTAACTGACGCATATGATGCGAAGAACACTAGAACAGCAAGTAGGCCACTCAAGGCCGAATTCTCTACGCCTTATTTTATCCCCTCTTCCTCCATCACTTCTCATCTTCTCCTTGCTTTGCCTTGAGGAACGAAAGGACTTTATGCCCCACCCCCGGTTTTGCCCCTCGAAATCCCCGCTTCTGATTCGCTCGGTCGATTGGCTACGGTCATTTCGCCTTCGGTTGGGCCTTTCGCCTTCTGTTTGTCATGTCCTGGGGCATCTGATTCGCTTGTCCGTGCCCTGAGACTTCTGATTGCCCAGAATAATAAACCGCTTTCGCTTCTGGCCCGTTGAAAACCCCTTCCCATTCGCTTGTGCCGCCTGCTCCACCGGTCGCCCCGACCCAATTTTTCCCATTAGTAATGAAGTCCTTGCAAGGGTCGGGGGTGGGGCATAGCTAAGTTATTGGTGTCGCGCCCTCTTGGGTTAAGTTACCTACTGCTCACCGTCTCTGTCCCCCGCGCTCTCACCGAGCCTGTTGCACATCGCTTCCCGAACAGTTCTATCGCTCAGTTCCTCCAGCCTCGCTTGTGCGGCGGTCATCTCCCGGGGACCCGGTTTCCCACTAGGTCTCTCTCGCACTTTCGACACGAGCATGATGCCGTCCAGCGTCGGGCACCGTGACAGCTGCACGTATAGGCTGTACGGGTCGCACTGCGACGGGACGGCGCGTCCGCCGACGTTTGTCGTCCTCGTCCCCCGCAGCTCGAGCGCCACGCGCTCCAGCGTCCCCCCCTGCACCTTGTAATCCGTGCACGCGAAAGCGGCGGCGCACGGCAGGCCCTTTCGGCTGACGTCGTTCTGCTGCCACGGTCGCTTCCGTTGACACTGGATCCTGACGCTCATGGGCGTCAGCAGGATCGTGCCGGGCGGCATCCCGACGAAGTGGAAGTCCTTGGTCGTCTTCGACCCCAGTATTATCGCCGCCGGCGGCCCGAAGTGGATCGTCATGTCGGCCGAGATCCGATGCCCCGGTGCGCCTTGTCGACGATGACCTCCACCGCCGTGTAGCTAGCACCGTTCACCAGCTTCAGCCCCTGGTGGGTGTTGTGGTTCACGACGACCGGCATCCCCGGCACGAACATGAAGACGGCCGGCACCGGGATCGCGCTGTCGTCGCCCTGGTTCAGCATCATGATGGCCTCTTCCTCGGTCGGCAGGCCGTCCTTCCACTTGTGCTCGGAGAGGAAGATGCGCACCGTCGACCGCTGCTGGATCTGGAACGCCAGGCTCGCCTCCATGTTGAGGTTCCACCGATTCCTGTTGAGCGGCGTCACCACGGTGATGCCCGTCTCCCACGGGATCCGCCTGCCTTCCCGGTGGCACCTCGAGTTGAGGAGATCCAGGTCCGTGTGGTCCTGCACGCCCCCGCGGATCCGCTTCAGCAGCCGCTGCAGCTCCGGGTCGCCGGCGGCGCGCATCTGCTCGTCCAGCATGACGGCCGTCGTGAACCGCCTCCACAGCGCGTGCGCCTTGTCGTGCTGGTGGCGCTGCTCGGCCCTGAACGAGTTGTCCTCGTCCCACGAGACGGCCGCGCTCGGCAGCAGGATCGACCTCTCCTGGACCGGGCGGAACTGGTGGAAGTCCCCGCAGAAGAGGACGATGGGGATCCGCCGAAGTCCCGCTGCGATCCCCGCAGCTGGCAGATCCGCTCGTTGACGGCGTGCAGCGTCCGCGCGCCGAGCATGCTCACCTCGTCGATGACGAGCATGTCCTTATCCTGCCAGTCCATCCGAGACTGGCCGTTGACGAACCGCTCCGCCTGCCTCGGCAACCGCACGCCGTCGACGTCCTCGCCGTGTTCGCGCCCGGCCCTTGGTCCTTGGTGAAGCCGCAGGCCGAGTGGATGGTGATGCCGTTGACCCGCGCGGCGGCGGTCCCCGACGTCGCCGTGATCAGCAGGCGATGCGAGAGGTCCTTCGCGGCGAAGAGGCCCACGAGTGCTTCGATGACGCGCGACTTGCCGGTGCCGCCCTCGCCGCCGACGAACTGACAGAGCTGGCTGACGTCGCCTCCGTCTCCTGCCGCATCGAGTCCAGGTGGCGGCATATTATGGAGAAGGCAATCGCCTGCTTCTTGTTTAGCGTCAATCGTCTTGTCAAGTCTTTCCCGGCCTCGTGAAAGGAGGTGGATGGGCCGAGGCGGACTTCCATGCCGGCCTCCGCGTTACCTGCCCTCTCCTCGGTTTCCACTCGCGTCACCTGGACGTCTTCCTCCCCGAAGCCGGCGAGCACGCTCCGCTCCGCTGGCTGCTGCATCATTCCCGAAAGCTCCCGCGACCCCGCCGTGATCTGGTTCGCGCCGGTCGCGCTTCTAACGACATCGATCAGTCGCGTTGCGTTTCCGACGTTGTCGGACTGGTACGCGGATCCCGCCTCGCGGTCCGCCTCGCCCGGCCCCTCCCCATCCTCCCCAATCGCCAGGTGCGCCGGCCGGATCCCCGTCGCCGGACGACGCTGCCCATTGCTTGGCGTCTCGCTTTGCGTCCTCGGCGGACCGCCGGAGTAGTTGAACGTTATCGACGAGGCACGAGGTTCTTGGCGGAAGCCGCTCTCGTGCGCGCCTCCATATCTCGTTGATGTCGCCTCGCTCTTCGCTAAGAAAGGTCTCCACGGCGCGAATAGGGCAAGATGCTGCACGGCTGCTCTGTAGCGGCACGGTTAGTCACCGCGCGTTGGGACCGCTTTTCGACCGGCCATCCACCGCACCTACTTACCGGCGGTGGCATTGTTCCTCGTCGTCTTGCTCGAAATCCTTGCTAAGGTGGCCGTCAAGGCAGACGACGGCGTGCTTTCCTGGCCGCCTCAATACCTGCACCCAGTCTTTGCCGGCCACCCAGCCGCTCTCGAAAGGCACCTCTCCCCAGGCACCGGAGCACCCGTCCTTGCCGACGCGTTGGAGCCTGACGAGCGAAACATAGTCATATAGGCACAAGCCTCGTAGGACGTGTCCGCGATGATGGTACGCCTCGGCGAAGCTGATCCTCTCGCCTGCTTCCTCCACGGCGACCGACTCGTCCACGGACACGTCTGCGACCGCGGTGCCGCTCTCCTGCCGAAGGTGTCGCCAGCGCCTGGAGACGTGCCAGTAGAGCACCGACACGTTCAGGTACGCCCAGGCGCTGCTGCTCGTGAACTCGCTCGGGTATCCCAGGAGATGGGCGACGACCTCGACTTGCGACAGGGCGCGCTCCGTGAATATCCTGTTCGCCACTCTCATCAGAAACTGCCGCGTCTTATTATTCTTGGTTCCGTCGTCGCCGCCGACGACGCCATTTCCGGCATCCTCCCTGGCACCCGGCTGGCCACCTGCTGCGACGACGGGCAGCAGTTCCGCGGCCGCGGCGACGCGCTTCCACGTCGGGTCCTCTACCTTGGTCGCGTAATTCGTCACGTAATAGACGAGAGCCATGGTCTTCCGCTGCGTCGCTATGAAGGAGATGTCGTGGTTGTGGCGGAGCCCCACGGCGATGGCCTTGTTCCACCGATTCACCATGGGATGCGTCCTGCGGATCCGCAGCACGCCGTCCTGTGAGAGCGTCGTCTCCTCGACCAGCTTCCATGGCGCCTTGAAGCGACAGAGGTCGCCCCTTCGCCCCTTGTTGCCCAGGGAGTACTTGACGCATGTCGGGCTGTGGGTGTGGATCTGCGTCGCGCCGGCGCAGAAGTTGGCTTCCTCTTCGAATCCGGCCGAGAACTGCTCGGCACTGTCCAGCAGGGATGAGACGTCAGACGTCACCGAACGCTCCGCCTGCACGGCGCAGAAGCCTTCCTGGTCCAAGTCCTGCCTTCCGCGTCAGCCTGCGTCTTCTCGGCCCATGACAGCAACGCCCCTTGCTGTTACCTACCTCACAGAAGACGCTATCGACATAGCGGATGATTCGCTCACGGTACGCCGCCTGCTCCTCCCCGTGGGCGTCGGAAAGCATGGAGCTCAGGTGCGCGTTTCCGTGTAACCAGAGCAGCCCGTGGACGTGAAGGGATCCTCGTTCGTTGGTCTCCACGGCACCGTAGTAGTGGCCGATGCGCCCGAACACCGACTCCCCTGCATTTACGTAATGCTCGAAGAACAGCGTCATCTCCCGGTGGAAGAACATGGCTGAGCTCATCGGGTCGGAGACGGACAGCCTCACCCGTTTGAACGACATATCGAGGCTCCGCAGGAACTCCTCGGCCGCCTCAGGGTCGCGCGTGCGGTACGCTGCCAGTCGGAGCTTCACCGGGTTCGTGATGTCGTTTGGGTTGATCGTGAACCAGATCGCAGGCACGCCGTAGCGGACGATGAGCGCCAGGATCTTGTGCCGCATACTGAGACGGAGCTCTCGACATGGGCTGACGATAGCCATAGAGCGAGAGGCTCCTGAGAAGCTCTTTCACGCCGTCGTCGGTCGTCTTGCCTGTGCTCTCCAGCTCGGCTCTAGCTGCCGCTAACCCGTCTGCGGTCAGCGACCGTACGATGCGCTCCACCTTGCGGAAGTTCTTCCTCGTCACGCTCAGCATGCTGACGCGGCGGTTCCTCGACCGCACGCCCATGTTGAAGACGAGGAATGCGAAGATGTGGTGCGTCGCGAACCGGCCGCCGTGGCGTCGCAACACCGTGTCGGCCCACGTACGAAGGCTCATGTTCCGGGATGACAGGAGGTCCTGCGCCCCGCCTCCGCCGCCGCGCGCGTGTTGACCGAGCCTCTGCCCAACTGCGAGCTTGCTTCCTCGACCGGCCGCGGCCCTCCGACACCGAATGGTAATAGCGTGGGAAGGTCTTTGCGAAGAAAGAAGCTTCGAACGAGTCGGCGAATTCATCCCCGCGGCGGACATGGATGAATGGTTCAGGACCATCGACGTGCCCCGGCTGCCCCTTGCCGAGGATTCGACCCACGTCCTCGGGCCCGTACCGTCGTCGGCTGCGCCTTGGCGAACGGAATCGCATGCGAACCGCAGCTTGTCGACGTCGGCCACGTCGGGCGGTCCGTCCAACGCAAACATCCCTGACGAGGTCACCTCGTTGACCGTCTTCGCATTATCATCGGCCTCGCCGCAGCTCTGACCACGCACCTCGTCCACCTCGCTTGCCTCTGGCTCGCCGGCCTCGCGACTCGTCGTGCTTTCCCCCTTGGTTGAGCATGGCGAGGACTTCTTCGATCTCCACCGCCCCCTCGTCGTCCATGGCCCGCTCCGTGGGCGGCACGACGTGCGCCGTCCGCGTCTTCTCCCACGCCGACGGCTCGTTCCGCTCCAGGCGCTCGTACACCAACGGCGGCACCCCGTGGGCCGGGTCTCCCCAGCTCTCCATCTCTGCCGCGTCGATCTCGATCGCGGCGTAGTGGGGGTTGTTCCTCTTCAACCAGACAAGGGCTCTCTCGACGACTCGCCGCCTCACCGATAGGAGACTCGACAGATCGCTCGGTGTCGGCCTTAGCGCCCCCTGCCACGAGACGTGGATCTCGTCCATTACCTGGAAGAGAGGGGTGCGGCAGCACGTCCGTCGCCAGCTCTTGTACGTTGTTTGGGAACACCGTGATGTGGCCCTTGACGTGCTTGGGATACCTTAGCGTCTGCTTCTGGCCGCCTGAGACGTTGTACCTGGTTACGAATCCGTAGCACGAGTTCAGCGCGATCAGCTTCTCCTCCACCGGCGTCAGGCCCTTGAGCTCATCCGGGAACGTGTGCTCACAACCGAGACGTCTATGAAGCTGCGCCGCTGGCGACAGCACACCGCACGCCAAGCGTCGAGAACACTCTGCGCAAACCGGGACAGGCTCGCCCTCGCGGAAGCAACTCCGGCACGCAAATGGCGACCACCCAGCCTTAGGGATAGGACTTGACAACCACTGGTCCCATGCCACCTCCCTCAGCTCTTTTCTCGTGCGCTTCCGGTAGCACAGCATGCACGTCCGTATCGGCAGCGTGTCCACGTCGTGGAACGCCCGGTAGAAGCTCCGCACCGTTGATACCTTCCTCTCGTGCGGCACTGGTGTGCACCACGTTTGCTCGTTGGACAGCCTCTCCTTCGCGGCGAATTCCTCCCAAGGTGACGTAAGACGCCGGCCAAATCCTCCGCCTGTGACTCACGGCTCCTCTGCCTCCGATGGCCGCCTCGACTACGTTTCGCCTGGGGCTGGTCTCGGTCGGGCAGGCGGTTCCTCTTTCTCTGTTCCACGGGCTGCGCAGATATTGCCGCTGCCTCGTCTCGCCTCGGCCGATCTTGTTCTCCCGCCGCCGCCTGACGTGATGGCCGTGGTGTCAACTGTCCGGATGACTGCAAATATCCGGCTCCATCCTCCATCTCTCTAGCTTCGATTGGCTGGAGGGGGGATGCCCTGACGACTCCGGGCCAAGTCCCGACACTGGTTGCCGGCCGACCCGGTCCCGCCTGGCGTCCGCATCGCTGCAAATCTCCTGTCCCATCTTCTATTTCTCTAGGTTGGATTGGCCGAACGAGGGACTCCCGACAACTCGAGACGAGATCCCGACCCTGGTTGCCGGCCGATTCCGTCCTGCCTGGCGTGGTGGCCGTGGTGGCAGCCGTCCGGATGACTGCACATCTCCTGCTCCATCCCCACCTCCTAGATTGGCCGCCTCGAGTACGTTTCGTCAGTGGCTCGTCTCGGTCGGGTTGCCGGTTCCTCTTTCTCTGTTCCGCTGGCCGCGAAGATCTTGCCGCAGCCTCGTCTCGCCTCGGCCGGTCTTGTTCTCCCGCCGCTGCCTCCCCTGATGGCCGTGGTGGCAACCGTCCGGATGAGTGTGTATCTCCGGCTCCTCTTCCATCTCTTTCGGTTGGATCGGCTGAACGACGTACTCCTGACGACTACTCTGGGCGAGGTCCCGACCCTGATTGCCGGCCGACCCTGTCCCGCCTGGCGTCCGGGTGACTGCAAATCTCCCGCTCTGTATTTTATTTCTTTAGGTTGGATTGGCCTAATGAGGCGCTCCCTGACAACTCGAGACGAAACCCCGACACTGGTTGCCGGCCGATCCTGTGCTCCTGGGCGGCTTGAGTGTCCGTCGGGGCCCTTGGGCCTCGTCTGCGCACCACCCCTTCGCTTTCTAGTCGTGCCCCTCTGGACGCCCTCCACGACCCGGACGCACGATCCGCCCTCGTCCGAGGGAGGTATGTGTCCGGCCGCGCCCCTGATCCCTTTCGGCTGGATGGGTTGTTGCGGCAAGCGCTGGCTTACGTCCTCTGGCCGAGATCTTGTTAAACGTCGCGCTGCCTCTCCCTTTGCAGAGGCACCATCAACGCGCGCCGTATTTTTCGCGACCGACTGCCTCGCCGACTTCCCTGAGGCGACGCTCTTCGGGTGCTTCCGCTTGCTCTCCTGAGACCTCCCGGACATCGGCGCTTGCTTCGCCTCGATAGGCCGCAACCCAGGTGCCGGGCCCGCTTGACTTTCGCGGCCCAACGCCCGCTTCGGTCCTTCGTCCGTCGCGCTCGGTCTCGCCTTCGCAGTATTCCTCCTCGTAGCAGCGGCCGCTGCCCCGATGCACGACCCGGCCTCGCCAGAAGGACGATTGTGCCCGGCCACGTCCCTGATCCCTTTGGGCTGGATGGCCCGGGGCGACTGCAGGCTCGCCTCTCCCAGCCGAAATCCCATCCTGCTTGTCGGTCTCCCCTCCTCTGTTCCCCCCCGGCACCAGTTGTCCGCCTAACAAGACCCTTCAGAGTCATCCGTACGCCACCGATGAGTTGCCCAGGCCGAACGATCTCGTGGCCACCTCCGGCCGCGACGGAAGATCCCCTGCCGCTTAGGCATTCGTTTCGCCCAACCAAGACCCCTGGGGCGGGTGGTGCTTGCAGAGCAACTATGCCTGGTGCGCCTCTCTCGCCACTCCTAGCCCTCATCTCCTTCGCCAACGTGTGCCGCTGCGGTACGAGGTTGTCGGCCGCTCCCTCCAACACAGCGCCAACGGACGGCGTAAGACCCCGCCTAGCCGGCTCAGCAACTACCGACCCTATTGTGGCAGCGTCTGCTTCTATGCTTGGACACCTATCACGCGCGTTTATCGCTTCTGAGCGTCGCGCCCGCCCTCCCTTCGAGGAGGCGCCATTGACGTGCGTCGTCTTTTCCCGCGGCCAACCGCCTCGCCGACTTCCCTTGGGCAACGCTCTTTGAGTGCCTCTGCTTGTTCTCTTCGTGAGGCCTCCTCAGCCAGCGTTGCCTGCTTGGCTTCGATAGGCCGGAACCTAGGTACCGTATTAGCTTGGCTTTCATGGTCCGAGGCCCGCTTCGGCCCTTCGTCCGTTGCACTCAGTCTCCCGCCGTAATGCTCCTCGTCGCAGCAGCGGCCGCTGCCACCGTCGCTATTTCGCACCCTCTTGCCACCAACCCTGCCTCGCGGCTAGGATTCTCCCCATGCTGGTGCTTTCTTGACGGCTAGGCTCTGCAACCGTACGATGGATAGGGCTTTCGCTCGCGATATACGCTGGGATTGCCTTGCTTCCCGGCGATGGCGTTCCGCCGTATCGCCATTCTTCCTACCAGCGGTCTGTCTCCAGCAACCTTATAGTCTTTATAACTCGGGGACAACGCGGCAGTGCTTGTCCGGGACAGACCCCCCCTCCCCTTCTCCCCCCCCGCGGTTCCTAACTCCGCCGCCACGCGTCTTTCCCGGCGGACGGCCTCGACTAGCCCATGCGCAGGAGCTGACACCATAAAAATCTGCCTGGCGAGGTCTTCTCCTCCTCCTCGGTTCTCCTCCGCATCTTTCTATTTGGCCGTTGCAAATAGGCGGCCAAAGGAACATTGTGCTAATCTTTCTTTTTCCTCGGTATCTCTTAGTATTCCTGCTGCACCGAAAGTAGGAATGGCCCTCCCTTCAGCTCGCCCTCACCTATAACGGTTGCTTCCGGTCCCTCTTTCCCGACCTTCCCTATCAAGTGTAACCACGACCTTCCCTGCAACACCTCCCCGTGCGCTTTGTACGTGTTATATATTAGGTCGGTCTCTACCCCCCGCGAGGAGGGCAAACTAATTGGTGTACAACAGGGCGTGGAAAGGTATGACAAGGTTCCCTGTGCTGATCTTGCCTGCTTCATCCCCGCCCCTTATCTTCAGCCTTCTAAAACGCCCCCTGTTTATGTCCTTCCTTATTGATGTCCTCCTTTTGCATCAGGCCTCTGCTCTCCCAGGCCTGCTGGGCTTCCTCTGGACCTATCGGCAGGCTTATCTGCCGACAGCCCTAGCTTTCGGCCTCCTATGCCGCCAGCCCTGCCGGACACTTTAGTCCGCGCCGCCCTTGGTGCCTGATCGGAACCCAGCTACACGACACCACTACGCATCTCTTCAACGTCCGTTTACTTACAGCGGCAAGGCTCCTCGCCCTTCCCGGCGAATCTATGTCACCATTGATCTATCCCAAGTGCTTTCACGCTCGACTTCTTCCCTACTCCTTTCTTTCTTGACACTGAGCACTGGTCATTTTCGTGCGCGCGACTGGCCTATCGACCTGCGTTGCTGCACCATGTCTTCCTCTCTACCTCCCATCGATGTGCCCGCACCACACCTTCGAAAGCCGCTCGATAGCCAGAGGGCGCTGGCGGCGAGATGTCCATGGTGTTTTTCGTCCAGCCGGATTGCCCCGTTAGATTTGCCCACCAGGACGAGCACCGCATCAAGGGTCTTAACGCCGAGGCCATGGCCCGCGTCTTGCTGCCTCCGCCCGCCTGGCTGCTCGCGATGGGATATGCGCCCTCCGATCGGAGGCCGACGATTCCCGACATCCGTCTTCTTTAGTCTCAATCTCTCGATTTACGGCCAGCCTATTGATGCCTCAAAATGGACGGAAGAGTGGTTTTTCATGAATGGCCGCGTCCACCCCTACGCCCTTGCGTGGGAGATTGAGCAGCGCGACGGCCTGGAGTCCGACACGGGCGGCACCCTTCTCTATACGATGCCCGCCCTTGTCGTCCGCGACCAAGGCTACCAGCCGTAAGCCGTGCCCTGTTCCCTCGCAAGTGCCAACGAAAAGATACATAGCTAAGGTGGGCCTGAAGCGTTCTTCCTAGGCTCTTGGCCCCTATGGACGACTTCCCCTGCGTCCCGCCTATTGTTTCCTTTACCGGCCTTATCGTCGGCACCGGCCACTCCTTGCTCCGGCGGGACCTCCTGCCGGGTCTAGACGCCGCCCAGCTTAACTGTTGCGGCTTTGTCCGCCTTTCTACCTACGTCGCTCCTGGGATGCCCAATAAACTCCCTTCAAGGGCTTCCACCCTTCCAGGTCTTCGTCATCTTCCCTATTCGCGCTAACCCTGGGCCATCTTGTGTAAGAAGATGGCCGAGAGGCGGACTCTCAATTCCAACCCAACGTCCCTTTACTTGCACAGCCAAGGTCGCCGGCCTGCTCCGTCATGACGTTATGCTCTATCCCCAGGCTCCGACCGGGACAACGTCTTTATTGTCGTCCCGGATTCTTGGACATTTCTCGACAAGGCCGCCGCCGCCGTCACCCCAATGACACCACTTCTCTCTACACCACAGAGGCAGCAGGCGTCCTCCCCTTCCGCGGCCTTTCAGGACATGCGCGCTGCCTCTTTGTCTTTGGCCACCCCTGGCACCCTCCCGCTCAGCCCTCCACCTTTGGCTTCGGCTTCGCCCTCGACCGGCCCCCTTGGGCCGCCCGGGAAGCGATGTTGCCCCGAGCCTGCCGATACGCCGACGAAACGACCGCGGCTGCTGCATAAGGCCCCGGTGCCTTCGTCTTCCCTAACCCTGGCTCATCTGCCACCCAGTCGTTCTCTGTTTCGGCTGCCTCCTTGACATCTAAGCCGGATAGCCTAAACGGGTCATGTCTTGGGGACTCTTCCTCCATTCCATTGTCGCGCATGGCTTGGACTCGCCGGCCCGTCCACTCCGAAACCGTCCCTATCTAAGAAAGCTACCGAAACGGAATAACGATGCGAAACCATAAACTGCTACAGTTTCCTAAACGAGTAAGACAGTTAAATCTTATACTTTAAGTTAACCTACTCCTTAACCCTACCCTGGTTCTATCACTCTTTTTCACTCCGTCCTTAAGTCCCCCCTGTTCTTACTCCATCCTCAATCCTCACGTCTGCCCCTTTTTTTTCTTCCTTAAGTTTTTTTCCCTGTAGTCTTTCGTTCCTCAAGGCTCTTTGCGCAACCCCCGTTGGGTTGCCTCTCCTGTTTATTCACACGTATTGCTGCATGACATGACTGACAGCTTGGCGCCCAATCTTCTTCGCCCCCAATCACCCGTCGCGCGATGCAAGCTACTGCGGGAAAGATTTTTTCCGTGCCAGTGATGCCGCAACCACCACAAAACCTTGAAACATCAAACACACAGATAAATCCCCCTTTTCAGCCTCAAATTTCAACCACAAACTTTCGTTCCTCAAGGCTCTTTGCGCGAGCCCGAGGCGAGCCTTCTCCTGTACCCTGCGAGCCCTCTCCCCCCCCTCCCCCCCCACCAAAGTTTTTTCCCCCCGTCTTTCCCGCCTCCTGATTCGCTGGCGTTCCCGCTCTGGATTCGTCGGTGTTCCTGCTTTGCCTTGAGGAACGAGGAACGAGTGACGAAAGGTTCTTAGGGTTCCTCCCCGGGGAGAAAAAAAATGCCTTGAGGAACGAGGAACGAGTGACGAAAGGTTCTTAGGGTTCCTCCCCGGGGAGAAAAAAAATTCGCCATGCCTTGAGGAACGAAAGGCTCTTCTGGACGCGAAAAAAAACCCAAAAACTTCAAAACTCATTCACCCTCGAAAACCTCGGCTTCTAATTGGCCCAAAATTTCCTTCTTTCGTCTTAGCCCCTCCTTGCAAGCTTCCTTCTTTTATTGGTTGTTTGGTTGTGTTGCTTTAGCACGTTGTAGCACGTTGGCCGAGGTCCGAACCGCGACCTCTCCCGCATCCCTACTTAATACGAGCACGATGCTGTCGAGCGTCCGGCATCACCATGGCTGCACATATATGCCCCTGGAGCTTAAAGAGTCGACGTCCAGCCATCCCGAGGCCTCGCGAACAGTCTTGTCGCTCAGCTCACCCAGTCTCGCTTGTGCGGCGGTCATCTCCTCTGGAACTCTATTGCCCACCAAATCTCTATCCCGCACTTTAGAGACGAGCATGATGCCATCCAACGTCGGGCAGCGGGACAGCTGCACGTACAGGCTGTACGGGTCGCACTGCGAGGATACGGCGCGTCCATCGATGTTTGACGTCCGCGTCCCCCGCAGCTCCAGAGCTACACGCTCGAGCGTCCTGCCCTGCACTTTATAGTCTGTGCAGGCGAAGGCCGCCGTACAGGGCAGACCCTTTCGGCTGACGTCGTTCTGCTGCCACGGCCTCTTTCGCTGGCATTGTATCTTGACGGTCATGGGCGTCAACAAGATCGTTCCTGGCGGCATCCCGACGGAGTGAATGTCTTTCGTTGTCTCGGACTCCAGCATTATCCCGCCGGCGGCCGAAATGGACCGTCATGTCTGCCGAGATGCGATGCCCCGGGTACGACTTGTCGAGGATAACCTCCAGCGCCGTGTAGCTGGCACCGTTCACCAGCTTTAGCCCTGATGGGTGTTGTGGTTCACGACGACCGGCATCCCCGGCACGAACATGAAGACGGCCGGCACCGGTATTGCGCTATCGTCGCCCTGGTTCAGCATCATGATGGCCTCCTCCTCCGTCGGCAAGCCCTCCTTCCATTTATGGCCGGATATGAAGATGCGCAGCGTCGACCGGTGCTGGATCTGGAACGCCAAGCTGGCCTCCATGTTGAGGTTCCACCGGTTCCTATTCAGCGGCGTCACCACAGTGATGCCTGATGCCCACGGGATCCGCCTACCTTCCTGGTAGCATCTTGAGTTGAGGAGGTCCAGATCCGTGCGGTCCTGCGCGCCCAGTCGGATTCGCTTTAACAGCCTCTGCAGCTCTGGGTCGCCAGCGGCGCGCACTTGCTCGTCGAGCATGACGACGGTCGTGAACCTCTTCCACAGCGCGTGCGCCTTGTCGTGCTGGTGCCGTTGCTCGGCCTTGAAAGAGTTGTCCATGTCCCACGAGACGGCCGTGCTGGGAGGAGGATCGACCGCTCTTGGACCGGGCGGAACTGGTGGAAGTCTCCGCAGAAGAGGACAATGGGGATCCTCCAAAATCCTGGTGCGACCCGCGCAGCCGGCAGAGCTGCTCGTTGACCGCGTGGAGCGTCCGCGCACCGAGCATGCTAACCTCGTCGACGACAAGCACGTCCTTCTCCTGCCAGTCCATCCGGGATTGCCCGTGGACGAACCGCTCCGCCTGGTTCGGCATTCGCAACCCGTCGAGATCCTGGCCATATTTGCGACTGCCGCGAGATCTTTGGAGAACCCGCAGGCGGAGTGGATCGTGATGCCATTGATCCGTGCTGCTGCCGTCCCTGACGTCGCCGTTATTATCACGCGATTCGATTGATCCTTGGACGCGAAGAGTTCGACGAGCGCCTCGATGACTCGCGACTTGCCCGTTCCGCCCTCTCCGCCGACGAATTGGCATAGCTGACACCCGTTGCCTTTCTCCTGCGCCGTATGAGGTCAAGCTGACGGCATATGATTAGGAAGGCAATCGCCTGCTTCTTGTTCAGCGTGAACCTCGCTACCAGGGCCTTACCCGCCTCGATAAAGGAGGTTGAGGCGCCGAGCCGGATCTCCATTCCCGCGCTGGCCTCTACCGTTTCCTCGAGGTCCGCCGCCGTCATCAGGATATCGTCATCCCCGAAACCCGTGAGCACGCTGCGCACCGCCGCCCGACGATCAGTCACCTCTGCCGGGGGCACGCTTTGTATTCCCCGGATCATCTTCTCCCTCTCCCTGGACGCACAGGTTTGCTGCGACTTTATGGCCCTAACCTGACTCTGCGGCGGTATGGTGGCTCCGGAGGATGCCCGCCCCGGGATGTTGATTCGTCTCGGGCCCCGTTCGGATAGTATTGCGGCCTGGAACTCGGAAGACGACGAAAACGCCAGTTGCTGGAAGCGGCTGAGCTCCTGCATCATCCTATGAGCTCTGGCGAGCCGGCCGTGATTTGGTTCGCCCCGATCGAGCTTCTGACAACGTCGATTAGACGCGTCGTGTTTCCGGTACTGTCGGCCTGGTATACCGATCCGGGCTCGACACCCGCCTCCGCGGTGCCATCCTCGTCTAGATAGACTGCCGTGGAGTCACCGTCACCGGATGAGGCTGCCCACTGCTTGGCGTCCCGCTTTGCATCTTCGGCCGACCGTCGCAGCAACTGCACGTTATCGACGTAACATGATATCCTCGGGACCAGAGCTGCTCGTTCCTCCCCATATGCGGTTGATGTCGCCGCTTTCTTCCCCTAAGAAGAGCTCCCAAGGCACGAACAGCGCAAGATGCTGCACAGCCGCTCTTCGACGTGGAAATTAGCCTCCTCGACCCGGCGCCCCTGGTCCGTCAACGACAAACGCACCTTCGGTAGCATGATCCTTCGTCGTCTTCGTCGAAATCCTTGCTCAAATACCCGTCGAGGCAGACCATGGCCTGCTTGCCCGGTCGCCTGAGCACCTGCACCCATCGGCTTCCTGGAGCCCAGCCGCTCTCAAGCGGGACCTCGCCCCAGGCGGCGGGCCTCGTCCCCGTCGTTGCGCTTCAGCCTGACTAGCGAAATGTAATCGTAGAGACATAGCCCTCGAAGGACATCTCCCCGGTGACGATATGCCTCGACGCGGCAAATCCTCTGGCCTGCTTCCTCGACGAGTATTGACTCGTCCACGGAACCATCTGCAGTGGCCGCGCCGCTTTCTCGTCGAAGGTGCGGCCATTGTCGGAAGACGTGCCAGTAGAGCACCGAAACGTTCAGGAACGCCCAGGTACTGTTATTCGTCAGTTCAGTCGGGTATCCCAGAAGATCCGCAATAACCTCGACCTGCGATAACGGCCTCTCCGTAAACACGCGATTCGCCACCTTCATTAAGAATTTTCGTGTCTTATTTTGCCTGCCATCGTCCCCGGCACCTTCGCCTCCACGAACCTCCGCGCCGTCGGCCATTTCGTCGCCTGCTCTGGGAGGCAAGAGGTCCGCGGCCGCGACGACGCGCTTCCACACGGGTCCTCTACCTTGGTCGCATAGTTGGTGACGTAAAGACGAGGGCCATGGTCTTGCGCTGTGTGGCGATGAAGGATATGTCATGGTTGTGGCGAAGCCCCACGGCAATCGCCTTGTTCCACCGATTCACCATGCTGTGCGACCTCCGAATCCGCAGCACGCCGTCTCCCGTGAAGGCCGTCTCGTCGACCAGTCCCCATGGCGCCTTGAAGCGGCATAAATCACCCTTGCGCCCCCTTTTTCCCAGCGAGTACTTGACACAGGTCGGGCTATGGGTATGGATTTGCGTCGCGCCGGCACAGAAGTTCGCTTCTTCGTCGAACGAGGCTGAGAATTGCCGTTCATCGCCTAGCAATTGCGATATATCTAACGTCACCGATCGCTCTGCCTGGATTGCGCAGAAACCTTCCTGGTCGAGATCCTGTCCCATTCGTCAGCATTCCTCTCGCTCGGGTTTAACTGAACGGGGGACATAGGCCAACACGCGGCCCCCTGCACCATACCTCGGAAAAGACGCTGTCGACGTATCTGACGATGCGTTCTCGGTATGCCGCTTGATCCTCGCCGTGGATATCGACAAGCATCGAGCTTAGATGCGCGTTCCCTGCAGCCAGAGCAGTCCGTGAACATGAAGCGCCCCTCGCTCGTTGGTCTCAACGGCGCCGTAATAGTGGCTGATGCGCCCGAATACCGACTCCTCGCCCACTCTGACGTAATTTTCGAGGAACAACGTCATCTCTCGGTGGAAGAATTCGGCCGAGCTCAACGGGTCCGAGATGGCCAGCCGCGCACGTTTGAATGCCATGTCGAGGCTTCTCAGAAATGCCTCGGCCGCTTCAGGATCACGTGTGCGGTACGCCGCCAGTCTCAGCTTCACCGGGTTCGTGATGTCGTTCGGGTTGAGCGTGAACCATATTGCAGGCACGCCACGACACAAGATGAGTGACTGGATCTTGCGTCGCATGCTCAGACGGAGTTCCCTCGACATGGGCTGCCGGTAGCCGTATAGCGAAAGGCATCTTAGGAGCTCCTTCACGCCATCATCGGTGGTCTTGCCCAGGCTCTCCAACTCCAGCCTGGCCGCCGCCAACCTATCTGCGGTCAGCGACTGTACGATGCGCTCTACCTCGGGGAAGTTCTTCCGCGTCACGCTGAGCATGCTGACACGACGATTCCTCGACCGCACGTCCATGTTGAAAACGAGAAACGAGAAGATGGCATGCGTCGCGAATCGGCCACCATGGCGCCGCAGCACGATGCCGGCCCACGTCCGAAGGCTCATGTTCCGAGACGACAGGAGATCTCGCGCGGCCGTCTCGTCTCCGACTGCCGTAGCGCGCGAATTGACCGTCCCCTCCGACCCTAGGATGACTTCCTCCGCCAGCCGTGGTCCTCCACATCCGAACGGCAATAGGGTGGAAAGGTCTTCGCGAAGAACGAGGCGTCCAGCGAGTCGGCGAATTCATCTCCACGACCGACGTGAATGTACGGCTCACGGACATCCATACCCCCTCGACCCGCCCCCGCCGACCTTATCCATGCCCTCGGGCCCGGCCGGTCGTCCTCGGCCCCGTCGCCGCCCACGGCATTGCAAGCAAAGCGGACCTTCTCCGCATCCGACACGCCCGGCGGTCCGTCCAACGCAAACATGCCGGAAGAGGTTATCTCGTTGATCATTTTGGCCCCGTCTTCGGGCTCGGCATCATTAGCCCCGTCCGCTCCGCCCCCCTCAAATTCTCGACTCGGCTTGTCCGATACGTCTTGTCCCTGGCGGAGCCGAGCAAGGACTTCCTCGATCTCTGCCGGACCATCGTCGTCCATGGCCCGCTCTGCGGGCGGCACAACCTGTGCCGTTCGCGTCTTCTCCCACGCAGACGGTTCGTTCCGCTCCATGCGTCCGTACACTATCGACGGCACGCCGTGCGACGGGGTTCCCCAACTATCCATTTCCGCCTTGTCGATCTCAATGTCGGCGTAATGGGGATTGTTCTTCTTCAACCAGACAAGCGCTCTCTCGACGACTTGACGCCTCACCGATAAGAGACCCGACAAGTCGCTCGGTGCTGGCTTCTCCGCGCCCTGCCACGAGACATGGATCTCGTCCATTGTTTGCAAGAGCGGGTGCGGGAGCACCTTTCTCGCCAGCTCCTGCACGTTGTTTGGGAACACCGTGATGTGGCCCTTGACGTGTCTCGGATACCTCACAGCCTGCCGCTGCCCGCCCGGAATGCTATACCTCGTCACAAAGCCATAACACGAGTTCAGCGAGATGAGCTTTTCTTCGACCGGCGTCAGGCCCTTGAGCTCGTCGGGGAACATGTGCTCACAGCCGAGGCGACTGTGAAGGTGGACCGCCGGCGACAGGCTCCCGCGCCCCAAACATCGAGCGCACTCCACACAAACCGAGACGGCCTCGCCCTCGGGAAAGCAACTTCGACACCCAAATGGCGACCGGCCGCCTTTTGGAACGCTGCTTGACCTCCATTGGTCCCATGTGCTCTCCCTCAACTCCTTCCTTGTGCGCTTGCGGTAGCACAGCATGCAGGTCATTATCGGCAAGGTGCTCACATCGTGGAACGCCCGATAGAACTTTCCCACCGTCGATACCTTCCTCTCATGCGGTACTGGTGTGCACCAAGTTTGCTCGTTGGACAGCCTCTCCTTCACGGCGAATTCCTCTTCAAGGTACCGCAAGGCACTGGCCAAATCCTCCGCCTGCAATTCCTTCCTCCTCTGCCCCAGATGGCCGCCCCGTATGCGTTTCGTCAGAGACCCGTCACGGCCGGGGTGGCGCCTCCTCTTTCTCTGCTCCACGGGCCGCGAAGGTCTCGCCGCCTCGTCTCGTCTCGGCCGACCCTGTTCTCCACCTGTGGTCTGGCGTGATGGCCGCGCTGACAACAGTCCGAATGACTGCCCATCTCCTGCTGCCTCGCCCTCTCTTTGGGCTGGATTGGCCGAACCGGGTACTCCTGATATTCCCGGACGGACGCCTGACAGCGGTTGCTGGCCGACCTTCTCTTCCCGGGCTACCTTGGTCTCCTCCGGCCCTTCCGCATTCTCCATTTCTTTAGGTCTGATTGGCCTTGGCGAATGCTGACTCCGTTTTCCAGCCGAAATCTCATCATCATTGTTGATCCTCCATCCTGGCGCTTTCTCCCCACACCAAGTGTCCGCTCAATAGGACCGTTCGGCCTCACCAGTACGTCCCCGCTAGATTGCCTAGGCCCAACGGTCTCAGGTCCACTTACGGCCACGACAGACGCTCTCCCACTGTCTAGGTCGTCGTCTCGCCCGACCAAGGCCTTCGGGGGACTTGGTGCTTGCATACCAACGGTGGCCGCTGCGCTCCTCCCATCACCCCCAATCCTCCTCCTCTTGGGCAAAATGTGCCGGTACGAGATCGAGTCGTTACCCTCGCACTGCAATACACCGCCGACGGGTGGCTCCAGACTCCCACACGGCTTCGTACCCAGCCCCGGCATCGCAGCGTCCGTGTCCATACTCACGGGCTCGTCACGCACGTTTATCGGTGCTAAACGTCGTGCTGGCCGCACCTTCGAAATGCCATCGTTCAGATCTGATGTTCCCCTTCGCCGCCGACCGCCTCGCCGACTGCCCCTGGGCGACGCTCCTTTGAGTGCTTCCGCTTGTTCTCCCCGGGAGACCTCCTCGGCCGGCGCCTGCTTGGCCTGGATAGGCCGAAACCTGGATACCACGTTCGCCTGTCTTTCATATTCCGGCACCCGCTTCAACCCTTCATCCATTGCACTCAATCTCGCCTCCGCGGTACCCCCCGTTGCAGCAACGGCCGCTGCTGCCGTCACTATCTCGCCTTCTCCCCCCACCGATTGAACCTTGCGGCTAGGATTCTCCCCCATGATGATGCTGTCTTAACGCCGAAGATCTGCAAACGGACGATGGATCGCAAAGCTTTCGCCCGGAAGATTCTCCCAGGTTGTCTCGCTTTCTGGTAATGGTGCGCTCCGCCGTATCTGGCATTCTTCCTACCAGCGGTTTCCCAAAGCCCTATTGTCTTTATATCACCGAGGCAACACGGTAATGCTTGTCTGAGAGGCCCCTCCCCTTTTCGGACGGCCTCGACCAGCCCATGCGCAGGAACTGACACCGCAACCCTATCCTGAGCGACCTTCAACCGCTCTGCCCCCTTCCTCCGATTCCATCGTCGCAAGTGCGCGTTTGAACAAACGTCGTATTAGACTTTCTTTTTCTCCACTGTCCATGCTGCAGCAGGCAAAGGGGTAACCCTGCCATTTGGCTCAGCTCACCCGGACGATAGCTTCCAACACCGTCATCCCCAGCTTTCCCCTCAATCCTAACAGCAACGTTCCCCAGACCGCCTCTTCGTGTCACTCATTCGTGGCGTTGAGCACCATGTGCACCATTCTTCTCCTCATGCTTGTCATGACAAAGTTGCTCGCCCTCCCGTCCTTTCCGTAATCCCTTCAAAATACAATAAGCTCGTTCACTCTCCGCTTCCTACTTTCCTGCTCCACGGTTGCAACAGTCGTTTGCGTGCGGGACAAAACACTGATCAACCCCACGTAGATGCAGTGATACACCATGTCTTCCTCTTCACCTCTGCCCCACCACACCTTCGAAGGCCGCTCGACAGCCAGAGAGGCGCTGGCGGTGAAATGTCCATGATGTTCTTCGTCCAGCCGGATTGCCCTCCAGATTCGCCCACCAAGACGAGCATCGCATCAGAGGCCTCAACGCCGAGACCATGGCCCGCGTCTTCCTGCCTCCTCCGTCGTGGTTGCTCACTGCGGAATATGCGCCTCTCCGATCGGATACCGACGACTCCGCGACATCCATCTTCTTCAGCCTCAATCTCTCAATTTACAATCAGCCAGTTGTCGCCTCCGAATGGACCGAAGAGTGGTTTTTCATGAATGGCCGCGTCCATCCCTACGCCCTTGCGTGGGAGGTCGAGCAACGAGACGGTCTTGAGTCTGGCGCCGGAGGCATCCTTCTCTACACTATGCCCGCCCTTATCATCCGCGACCAAGGCTACCAGCCGTAAGGACTACCCAATTCCTCCGCGCACACCTCGAGCACCAAATTTAGCTGAAATGGGCCTCAAGCGTTCTTCCTAGGCTCTTTGCCTCCATGGACAGCTTCCCCGTATCCCCATCGTTTCCTTCACCGGCCTCATCGTTGGCCCCGGCCACTCCTGCTACGACAGGACCTTCTGCCAGGTCTGGACGCCACCCAGCTGAGGTGCTGCGGCTTCCTCCAGCTTTCGACCTATATCACTCCCGGATCCCGGACAAGATCCTCTCAGGGCTTCCACCCGTTTCAGGTCTTCGTCATCTTCCCCATCCGCGCCAACCCGTGGGCCATCCTTTGCAAGAAGATGGCCGAGAGGCGGGACTCTCAATTTCAGACCAATATCTCCTTCACCTGCACGGGCAAGGTCGCTGGCCTCCTCGATCACCGCGTCATGGTCCACCAGCCGAGCTCCGACAGAGACTACGTCTTCATCGTCGTCCCGGATTCTTGGACTTTTCTCGACAAGGCCGCCACCACCGCAGCCGCGTCGGCCTTAGCCCTCACATCGCCACCGAAGCGGCAACCGTCCTCCGCTTCGGCGGCCTTCCAGGATGCCCGCGCTGCCTCTTTCTCTGTCGCTACACCTGGCGCCCTCCCGCCGAGTCCTCCGCCTTCGGCTTCGACTTCGGCTTCGGCCGATCCCGTTACACCGCTGCAGAAGCGTCCTTGTCCCGAGCCCGCCGACACGCCAACGAAGAAACCGCGCCTGTTGCAGTTGACCTCAAAACCTTCCTCATCGGCCGCCACTGGAAGCTCTGCCACTCAATCGTTCTCGCTTTCCGCTGCCTCTTCTTCCTTCGAGCCGGAGACGATGAGACAGAGTCCTGCCTCGGGAACCGTCTTGGGACCCGCCATTGATTCGATCGTTGCCTACACGTCAGACTCATCGGCCCGGCCGCTCAGAAACCGCCACCCAGGCAAAGGACAACGGAAACAGAGTAACTGCTTGATATAATAGTCTACCGATATAAGTTATAACATTCATAGAAAAGTGATTTAGTTCCATGCTTTATCTTGCTTCTTAGCAAATATCTACACCGAGCTGCAATCTTACAACACTCCGTCCACAACTTCGGATCTCGTCATCATTCCCTTCCAGACCTTCCTCTCTAGTGATCTTCTCTCGGCATGCCTTTTTGTGAACCTTCCAGTCCGCCTTTTGGTGTTCTTTCCCGCAGTATGCCACTTCCATGACATCTGCCGCAGCGACTCACGCCCGCGGTCGTCCCGCATACTTTGCACAACGTGACCTCCGTGCAACCAGTGCGTCCTAAGAACCCGTCGCGTGTTTCGTGCTCTTGCCGCATTTCCCCCATCATCAGTTGCATTTCCTGTCTCATTTCCACCTCGCACTGCCCGCTTCCGCATAAAGATGTGACCCAAACTATAATGCGAGCTTCGTCCGCGTGCAGCAAAGATATTGGACTCTGTAGGATATCTGTCGCAAACCGCCCGCAGCATTCGCAGAAAGCCCCGACGCGCTGCGACATGCTGATTCATGCTCCTTCATGAGAGGCATCATGGCCTGTGCAAATTGTTCCTTGTATTCAGCATCCTCTCCGGCGCGGTTTGCGCCGGTGATGAGGCTCCGGGCAATGCCGTGGCTGCGTATGAATTGCTTGGCACCGATTTGGCACATGAATTCGAATCGAACCGTGGACGTTGCCACAACTGACTTGGCCGTGATTTAGATGCTATGGGTGATAATGCGTAGGTAGGTACGTATGATGAGAAGGACGGGGAAAAGCCCGTGGCTCCGGATCGGATTCTACTTGTCCGATCTATTGTATCGGCTCTTCCACCCATCCCTTCTCACCTTCGCCTTGCTTTTCTTGACACGTTGTGCTGCATGACACGTTGGCGCGCGCTCCCAAGGCCTCTACGTTTCGCCCCCAACCGGCCGTCGCGCAATGCAAGCTACTGCGGGAAGGAATTGCCGGTTACCTAGTGCCGCAACCACCACAAAAACCTTCAAATAGATGACTCCCTCTCCAACGTCATCTCATCCAACGTCATTTTCATGTGTTAACTCAATCCTCCAACTTTTGCCTTGAGGAACGAAAGGACTTCATTAGCGCGCGGGGAAAAAAGGCCCCAGACTGCTTCACCCCCACATCCTCCGCCTCTGATTGGCTGATTTATTTCCTCTTTCGGAATAAAAGATCCCGTGTGATTGGTCGCCGACCCTTCCGTCCCTCCCTCATCATTGGTCGCTGCCGCCTTTTCTTGCCCCTCTCATGCCTTGCCCTGTTTCCCCCCCGTTTATACTCCTGTTTACCCCCTTGCCAATGCCAATGCCAATGCCAACCTTTTCCTTTCGTCCGCCGGTTTTCTTATTGTGTCTAAAACTTGCGTCTTTTGTCTTTGCCCTTTCGTTCATGCCTTTCTAGCGGGTTCTTCCTTCAAGTCTAAAGTCGCCCTCGTTGATCGCTGCTGCCCAGTGCCCTTGTCTTCTTGCCCGCCGGCGCTCCTCCGTCTTCTCCCCTCGTCACCTCACCTGACAACTCTCCTTGACTCTTCAGCGTCGCCATCCGACCGACGCAAAGCTTCCTCGACAGTCCTCTCGCTTAGCACCTCCAGCCTGGCCTGCGCGGCGGTCATCTCTTCGGGGACTCGGTTGCCCACCAAGTCTCTCTCCGCACCTTGGACACGAGCGTGATGCCGTCTAGCGTTCGACAGCGCGATAGCTGCACATATAAGCTGTACGGGTCGCATTGCGAGGGCACGGCCCTTCCATCGACTTTCGTCGTCCGTGTCCCCGCAGCTCCAGGGCCACGCGCTCTGGCGTTCTGCCCTGCACCTTGTAGTCCGTGCAGGCGAAGGCTGCTGCGCACGGCAATCCCTTCCGGCTGACGTCGTTCTGCTGCCACGGCCGCTTTCGTTGGCAGTGTATCCTGACGCTCATCGGCGTTAACAAGATCGTGCCCGGCGGCATCCCGACGAAGTGGAGGTCCTTTGTCGTCGCCGATTCCAGTAATATCCCCGCCGGCGGCCCGAAGTGGATCGTCATGTCGGACGAGATTCGATGCCCTGGGGACGCCTTGTCGACAATGACCTCCACCGCCGAGTAGCCGGCGCCGTTCACCAGCTTCAGCCCCTGATGGGTGTTGTGGTTCACGACGACCGGCATCCCGGCCACGAACATGAAGACGGCCGGCACGGGGATCGCGCTATCGTCGCCTTGATTGAGTATCATGATCGCTTCTTCCTCGGTCGGCAGGCCCTCCTTCCACTTGTGCTCGGAGATGAAGATGCGCATCGTCGACCGCTGCTGGACCCGGAACGCCAAGCTTGCCTCCATGTTTAGGTTCCACCGATTCCTGTTCAGCGGCGTCACCACGGTGATGCCAGTCTCCCAAGGATCCGCCTGCCCTCGCGGTAGCACCTTGAGTTGAGGAGGTCCAGATCCGTGCGGTCCTGCACACCCTGCCGGATCCGCTTCAGCAGCCCCTGCAATTCCGGATCCCCGGCGCGCATTTGCTCGTTCAACATGACGACCGTCGTGAATCTCTTCCACAGCGCGTGCGCTTTGTCGTGCTGGTGCCGCTGCTCGGCCTTGAACGAGTTGTCTACGTCCCACGAGATGGCCGCGCTCGGCAGGACGATCGACCTCTCTGGACCGGCCGGAACTGCTGAAAGTCTCCGCAGAAGAGGACGATGGGGATCCCCGAAATCTTTCTGCGATCCGCGAAGCCGACAGAGTCGCTCGTTTATGGCGTGCAGCGTCCGCGCTCCGAGCATGCTCACCTCGTCGATGACAAGCACGTCCTTCTCCTGCCAGTCCATCCGAGACTGGCCGTGGATGAACCGCTCCGCCCGTTTTGTCAGCCGCACCCCGTCAAGGTCCTTGGCTGTGTTCGCGCCGCCCGCCCCTTGGTCTTTAGTGAACCCGCAGGCGGAGTGGATCGTGATGCCGTTGATCTGCGCCGCGGCAGTCCCTGACGTCGCCGTGATCAGCAGACGATTCGAAAGGCTCTTCCCACTGAACAGCTCGACGAGTGCCCCAATGATCCGCGACTTGCCGGTGCCCCCCTCGCCGCCGACGAGCTGGCAGAGCTGGCCGGCATCGCCCCTATTCGTTTGTCGCATCAAATCGAGCTGGCGGCATATTATTAGGAAAGCGATCGACTGCCTCTTGTTCAGCGTTAGCCGTGTTGACAACTCCTTGCCCGCCGCGAAGAAGGAGGTCGATGGGCCAAACTGGACGCGCATTCCCGCTTCTGCGTCGCTAGCCGTCTCGTCGGAGTCGGCTGTCGTCATTTCGACGTCGTCCTCCCCGAAGCCGGTCATCACCCTCCGCAACGCAGCTCGGCGATCGCTTTCCCGGACTGCGACTGTGGTTTGTACGCCTTGGATCATTCTCTCCCTTTCCTCGACGCACTTATCTGCTGCGACTTGATAGCCTTGACCTGATCCTGCGGCGGTAGTGCGGCCCCGGAAAATACCCGCCCTGGCATGCTTATGCACCTCAACCCTTGTTCGGGAATCGCGATGGCCTCGAGCTCGGCCGTTGAGCAGAGCGCCGATTGCTGGAATCGACAGAGCTGCCGCATCATTGCCATGAGCTCCGGCGACTTGGCCGTCACCTGATTCGTGCCCACTGCGCCTCGGACGACGTCGATCAGGCGCGTTGCGTCTCCGATGTTGTTGGACCGATACGTCGCTGCAAATTCTGCGCCCGCCTCGCCTGTCTCGCCCTCCTCGACGTGGGCGACCGTGGAATCGCCATCGCCGGATGAGGCCGCCCATTGCTTGGCGTCGCGCTTTGCGTCTTCGGCTGATCGTCGAAGCAGCTGCACGTTGTCGACGAGACATGATATTCTCGGGGCCAGCGCCTCTCGCGCCCGCTCCCAGATGCTATTGATCTCACCTGTTTCTTCGCACAGAAAGGACTCCCACGGCACAAATAGCGCAAGATGCTGCACGGCTGCCCTTTAAGGGGAGGGGAGGTTAGCCACTCTGATGATGCCTGCCGGCAGGGCGGTTGCTATACACACCTCCGGTGGCACGACTCCTCGTCGTCGTTGTGGCCGAAGTCCTTGCTCAGGTAGCCATCGAGGCAGACGGTAGCATGCTTGCCCGGCCGCCTGAGCACCTGGACCCAGCGTCTCCTGGCGCCCATCCATCCTCGAAGGGCACCTCCCCAGGCCGCACAGCTCTCATCCTTACTGGTGCGTTTTAGTCTAACGAGCGATATGTAGTCGTATAAGCATAGCCCTCGCAGGAGCTCTCCCGGTGCTGGTACGCCTCAACGTGGGAGATCCTCAGGCCTGCTTCTTCGACAACGACCGACTCATCCAGAGTATCATCTATGGCCGCCGCGCCACTTGCTCGTCGGAGATACGGCCACCGTCGAAAGACTTCCCAGTACAGCAGAGATGTGTTCAGGTACGCCCAGGCGCTGCTGTTGGTGAACTCGGCCGGATATCCAAGAAGATGAGCGACGACCTCGACCTGAGATAGCGGACGCTCCGTGAACACACGATTCGCCACCCTCATCAAGAACTGTCGCGTCCTGTTCCCTTGGCGGCGTCATCGCCAACAGCACCTCCACCGTCGTCCTGTCCTCCGTTGGCCGTGCCGTCACCCGTTGAGGCGGCCAGGAGATCGGCCGCGGCCGCCACACGCTTCCACACCGGGTCCTCCACCTTCGTCGCGTAGTTCGTGACATAATACATAAGGGCCATGGTCTTGCGCTGCGTCGCAATGAAGGAAATGTCGTGGTTGTGCCGGAGCCCAACAGCGATAGCCTTGTTCCATCGATTGACCATGCTGTGAGTCCTCCGGATCTGCAACACCCCGTCTGCCGTGATGGCGGTCTTGTCGACCAACCTCCATGGAGACTTAAACCGGCATGGATTCCCTTTCCGCGCTCCTTTGCCCAAGAATACTTGACACAGGTCGGGCTATGCGTGTGAACCTGTGTAGCGCCGGCACAGAAGTTGGCCTCCTCGTCAAATGCGGCCGAAAACTGCTCGGTGTTGTCCAGCAGGGAGGAAATATCGGACGTCACAGATCGCTCCGCTTGCACGGCGCAGAACCCTTCCTGATCCAGATCCTATCTTGCACGTCAGCCTGGCCCCGTTTGTCCATCGGACGAGCAATTCAGGTTCTCAGTGACACGTCTTAGCTATTCTTACCTCGGAGAAGACACTATCGACGTATCGTATGATTCGCTCGCGATACGCCGCCTGATCCTCCCCGTGGATGTCGGCAAGCATCGAGCTGAGATGCGCGTTTCCGTGCAACCAGAGCAAGCCGTGAACATGAAGCGCCCTCGTTCGTTGGTCTCCACAGCGCCATAGTACTTGCCGATGCGCCCGAATACCGACTCTTCTCCGACCTTCACGTAATGATCGAAGAACAGCTTCATCTCCCGGTGGAAGAATACGGCGGCGCTCATCGGATCGGACATGGCCAGCCTTGTCCGCTTGTACGCACTCCCAAGGCCTTCTAGGAACTCCTCGGCCGCGCCGGGATCGCGTGTCCGATATGCCGCCAGTCGCAGCTTCACCGGGTTCGTAATGTCGTTTGGGTTGATGGTGAACCAGATGGCCGGAACGCCGTAGCCAACGATGAGCGACTGGATTTTCCGCCGCATATTGAGCCGAACCTCTCTCGACATGGGTTGCCGGTGGCCGTACAGCGAGAGGCTCCTGAGAAGCTCCTTCACGCCCTCATCGGTCGTCTTGCCCGAGCTCTCCAACTCGACCCTCGCCGCCGCTAACCTTTGCGCGGTCATCGAGCGGGCAACGCGCTCGACCTTGCCGAAGTCCTTCCTCGCCACACTCAGCATGCTGACGCGGCGGTTCCTCGACCGCACCCCCATGTTGAAGACGAGAAATGCAAATATGTGGTGCAACGCAAACCGGCCACCATGGCGCCGGAGCACGATGTCGGCCCAAATCCGGAGGTTCAAGCTTCGGGAGGATACGATGTCTCCCGCTGCCGCCCCTGCCTCAGCAGCTCTACCGGTGCCTCGCAAGTTGGTAGGGCCTTCCCCGCCTCGGCTATGGCCTCTTCGGCCAGCCTTGGTCCCCCAACGCCAAATGGGAACAGGGTCGGGAACGTTCTGGCGAAGAAGGACGTCTCAAAGGAGTCGGCAAACTCATCCCCCCGCGAGACTCGAATGTATGGCTCACTGCCATCGTCGCCACGCCCTCGACCCCACCGAGGATCCGACCCACGTTCTCGGCCCGCGCGGCCGTCGTCGGCACCTGCGCCAACAGCGTCACAGGCAAACCGCAGCTTCTCGACATCCGCCACGTCTGGCGGTCCGTCCAGCCCAAACATGCCGGAAGACGTCACCTCGTTGATTGGTCGAACGTTCTGATCGGGGCTAGCACCAACTCCATCACGACCCGCGCCTTCTTCGTTGGGCCCGTGCCCTTCAGCCTCGCCTCCCGTTTCCTGCCTTTGGTTGAGCAGAGCGAAGAGTTCCTCGATCTCCACCGACCCCTCGTCGTCCATGGCGCGCTCCGTGGGCGGCACAACGTGCGCCGTCCGCGTTTTCTCCCATGCGGACGGCTCGTTCCGCTCCATGCGATCATACACCAAGGCCGGCACCCCGTCTATCGGGTCTCCCCAACTCTCCATCTCCGCCACGTCGATCTCGATCTCGGCGTAGTGGGGGTTGCTCCTCTTCAGCCAAACAAGAGCCCTCTCGACGACCCGCCGCCTCACCGACAAGAGACTCGACAGGTCGCTCGGTGCCGGCTTCTCCACGCCCTGCCACGAAACGTGGATCTCGTCCAGTGCTTGCAAAGGGGTGCGGGAGCACCTGGTCGCCAGCTCCTGCACGTTGTTGGGAAACACTGTGATGTGGCCCTTGACGTGCCTCGGATACCTCACGGCCTGCCTCTGCCCGCCCGGAATGCTATATCTCGTGACAAACCCATAGCAGGAGTTGAGCGAGACGAGCTTCTCTTCGACCAGCGTGAGTCCCTTGAGCTCGTCAGGGAACATGTGCTCACAGCCAAGGCGAGTGTGAAGATGGACCGCCGGCGACAGACTCCCGCGCGCCAGGCATCGGGCACACTCCGCACACACCGACACGGGCTCGCCTTCGGGAAAGCAGCTCCGGCATGAAAATGGTGAGCGGCCGCCCTCTGGCACGCAGCTTGACAGCCATTGATCCCATCTGATCTCCTCAGCTCTTTTCTCGTACGCTTGCGGTAGCACATCATGCAGGTCCGTATCGGCAACGTGCTCGCATCGTGGAACGCCTGATAAAAATCCGCACCGTCGACACCTTCCTGTCGTGCGGTATTGGCGTACACCACGTCTGATCGTTAGACAGCCTCTCCTTCATGGCGAAGTCTTCCTCCAAAAAACGCAGCACACTCGCCAGGTCTTCGGCCCGCAGCTCCCGACTCCTCTGCCTTCCGATTCCACTCCGAATCTGTTTTCTCGGGCGCTCGTCCGGACCAGGAAGACGTTTTCTCTTCTCCCGCCTCCGGGGCCGCCTCCGGGGCCGCCTCCGATCCATGATTTCTTCTCTCCGTGGCTGATTCGCTTCTTCGCAAGCCGTCGGATGCGGCAGCTTTGGCGACGACTGCCCGACTACGTGCGCATCCCTGACACGCCATCCGGCCCTTTGCACTGGACAGGCACCGGGCCGTGCTGGCGAACGTTTTCCACGCCGAACCTTGACCTCAGTCCTTGCCCTTTCCAGCACTCTCCTCGTTCTTGCTGCCGATCAAACTGCACGGGCTCCCAGCCGCCACCCGCGATGAGCCGCCCACCTCCCTTTGCTGCAGCCTCCGCCCGCTCAGCGAAGCGTCCGCTGGCTCTGCCGCGGCGTCGCCCACCCCCACAGGAGACGGCCCCGGATGCTGCGCCGTACCTGCTGCGTTGGAGACACCCCTGCGGCCTGGTACTCCTTTACCCGCCAACTCCGTCCCCGACGGCGCTTGGGCAAACCAGACGCAATCGCTGCTGCTAATTGCCCGTTTTCTCTTAAGTTGTCGAATACCGGTTCCCTAGGCTGGATGGATCGAAGCTTCGGTACCTCCTTCGAATGAACACTCGGGACATCGCCCGCCGCCGCCGTAACACGTTGCTCCTCATCTTCAGGATCTCCTCCTGAGGCAGAAAGTGCCGATGAGGAGCGGACGATCAGAGTCCGCTACCCCATATCTCCACGTTCCCTAGGCAACAGGGGCCTCGGAAGCTGACCCGGTGACTGATGTTGCGCGGAACTTCCGCTGCTAACCATATTATGGAACTTCCGTGCTCTGTTTGACCGCAAACCGCCTCGCGGCGGTCTTCTCGGCAACGACCTCGCAATTGCTTCTGCGTGCTGTCTCCATGCGGTGTCTTCAACCACAGGTTTCCTAGGCTGAATCGGCCGGAACGTTGATGCCGCATTCGCCCGTGATTCGTATCTTCGTAACCGTCCCAGGCTCTCCCCGTGCTCTGCGGCCCTCTCAGAAGCTGCCACCACATCTACACCGGCTCCTGTCGCACCATCTCCGAGCCCCGAACCCGACCCGCTCACGTTCTCACCTCTTCTCCATCCCCGACTGACAACGAACAGGCTTCAGGGTGAGCAACCGCCTCGCTTAACTTCACTGCAGGACTGTCCGCCATGCTGCTGCCTCCTCGACGTCGACTGCCGTAAATTGGCAACAGGCTATAAAGCTTTGGCTCCGGAGCACCTCCACTTGACAGTCTCGCTTGTTGACGACGCTACTTCTCCCGAATGGAAGCTCCTAGCCATCACTTCCTCATGGCCGTGGCGTTTCTTCCCTTATAGCTTCCCTATAAAATGCTTCCCTATGGTACCGAGGCGATGCAATACTACCCCTCTATATTCCCCCGTTACCATGCCTATCTATGTGCGTCCACCGTCCCGGCCTCGCCTGGTCTCCACGTGCGACCTGCTACCCCGGCTTTGCCAAAGCGACCCTTCCATCGCCGTGCTCTCTTTGCGCACTCCAGCGAATCCTGGCCACTGCCGACCTCCGGCACATGGAGATGGCCGCGACAACCGCCTGCCGCACACTTCAAACCATACTCTTCAGCCCTTCCAACACCATCCTACCAACCTTGCGCATCAGTTCACCATCAATACCCGCCAATCCGCCTCGTCGAGCAACAGCCACAAGGCTGCCGGCGATAACATGTCCATGACGTCCCTCATGCAGCCGGACTACCCTTCTAGATTTGCTCCCTCGCCAGCACCAATGTCGCATCAACGGCCTTAATGCTAAAGCGATAGCCAGGACCCCTGCCTGTCCTCTTGTAGTCGCTAGCCACCGGAGTCTCGACTTGCAAACCCTCTTGGAAAGTTCTCGTGACCAACTCGCATCCTCCTCCTCAGGTCGACCCATATATCCGACTTCACCGTGTCCCAATAGTAGACTCGACACGGTCGGCACCCGCCTCGCTCAGCCGCACGCAATGCCCATCCAACTACCGACGACCGTCAAAAAGGGAGTCCTGCAATACTACCATAACCTCTTTCTTTCCTTCACTCTCATTCGTTATTGCCCCCTTTGCTATCTACTCCATGCAACGATGACACCGAAGGGGACTACTGGACTTTCTCCGCAGTCTTACCCACACTAACCTTACCGTTCGCCGACCTCCAACTTCTCGCAACATAGCCATCACCCCTACTCAACTTCCAACCCCCGGCTCCCTACTTCACTCACGACCACAGAACCAGATGGTCGAGACTGCTCGAGAACCTCGCCAGCTCATTCCCGCATACCCCCGCTTCTGATCTATCACCTAGGTAGCATTCACTGACTCTCAAGTCTCCCCGACCCGAGCCACGAGCCCTCTTTCGAGCAGCAAGAAAACCTGCTTTATAGGATGCCTACCTCTACTCTGCCTAACCCCTCCTTTACACTTCCACGGTGACCACATCTGCCATGTTCTCACGATGTCGGCCTCCCAGCTCAACGTCGATACCTCGTCCTCCCCGCGGCAACCTCTTGACAGCCAGAAAAATGCTGGCGCCGACATGTCCATGATGGCCTTTGTCCAGCCCGGCTGCCCGTCTAGGTTCGCCTACCAGAATGAGCATCGTGTCAAAGGGCTCAACGCAGAAACCCTAGCGAGGGTCTTCCTTCCAACGCCCTCATGGCTGTCGACTCCAGAGTATGCAGCAATCCGGTCAGATCCTGACAATCCATCGACCTGCATCTTCTTGAGCCTTAATATTTCCATATACAACCAACAGATAATCCCCTCGGAATGGACCGAGCAGTGGTTCTTTATGGTCGGCCGTGTTCATCCCTTTGCCCTGACGTGGGAAATCGAGCGACGTGATAGCTTCGAGTCGGAGGATGACAACATTACAGAATACACCATCCCGGCTCTCATCGTCCGCGACCACAGCTACCAGCCGTAGGTGTATGCTCCAGACCTCCGTCACCACTACCTTCTCTGACGATGGCCACAGAGTCATCCCTCGCACCCTCGGCTCGGCGGATGCCTTCCCAGCGATACAACCCATTGTCTCCTTCACGGGACCTGTCATCGGTTCCGGCCGCGACCTTCTGCATGGAAACTCGGCTGCGGCCCTTGACGACACCCAGCTGAGCTGTTGCGGCTTTGTCCAGCTCTCGACCTTTATCTGTCCTGGGATTCCGGGCAAAACACCCTTCAAGGGCTTTCATCCCTTTCAACTTTTCGTCATCTTCCCCATTCACGCCAATCCTTGACCTCCTATGCAAGAAGATGACCGAGAGGCGCGATAGCCAGTTCCAGCCGAACGCTCTCCTCACCTGCACGGGCAAAATCGCCGGCTTACTCGATCACCAGATCATGACACATGCCCCGGCCTTCGAGCAAGACTATATCTTCATCGTCGTCCCCGATACATGGACTTTCCTTGACAGGGCCATGTCCAACCAGGCTTCTGCGACACAGCTACTGCCGACGACACCCAAGGGCTCAGTCGGCAACCCTCGGACTATAGCGATGCGTTGGCCAGGTTTACCTCTACCAAAAACGCAATGCCGCCCCAAGCGGCGCCTCCCCACGCCGCCTGCATCTAGGTCAGTCGATCCTTATGATGACATCAAAGCGGTCATTGCCCGATCCCGACCAAACCCCAACCAAGAGACCGCGACTTTCTCCAGAAATTTCCACCATAGTCGCCGCCTGTGATAGTCGAGGCCCCGCCAAATCCGACACTTCCTCCCTTCTGTCCCAAGAAGACCCGGGAGACTCAGAGACGGACACCGAGCCAGTCAATCACCCAGCCACATCCGCCTCTGGCCCTATCAGACCTCCGGCGTCAATCTCTTCCCGACCGCACCGCGCCCGACATCCGCCCAAGAATATTCTGTAAAGCAACGAACGAAACAACACAACATGACAAGGAACATGTTTCATCATCCTCAAACTCAAGTGCGAAAGGCCCTAATGGGATATTTCCTTCTCCTCTTGCTCTCCTTTTCACAAAGACAATCCAGTCAAAACTTCTCCAATATACTCCTTATTCTGTTTATATCCACCACTTATAGCACCTGTAAATCCTCAGAGCCTTCCACTCGCCCACACATGCATTACCCACCCACTCTCTTCACCCCTGCCGCCTCTCCACGCCCTTTGCGCCTTTGCAAAGCAAAATCTCCCTTGCAGCGGCCTAGGCTGCCTCTCTGACGCTCTGTCTCGATTTCACTCACGATAATGCTCTACGTCTCTCGCCGGATCTCCATCTCATATCTCATATCTCACTCTTCTTCCTGTCTTCCTCTCACTTCCCCTGTCTCCTATCTCCTGTCGCCAACTCTCTCCTCTCCCCGACTTTCTCCTGTCGCCATCGCCAACTTTCGTTCCGAAAGGCCTCTTTGCGCGAGCCGCGGCTGGCGAGCCTTCCCCTCGTGCGCAACCCCCGTTGGGTTGCCTCTCCTGTCGATTTCCCCCCCGCAAATGCCGCCCTCTGATTCGCTGGCGTTCTCGCTTTTGATTCGTCGGTTGTTCTTTTCTCGCTTTTCATTCGTCGATGTTCTCGCTTTTCATTCTGTCGGGAGGTCTGTACTGCAGTAACGCAATGGGTTGTATTCAAGATGTCTTGCTAGGAAGGGAGGAAAGGGAATGAGGGGGCACACTACGTGCCCTTTATACACGGATCCCCGAGGTCCATACACGTGACGCTAAGGGTCACGTGTGCGTGTGTGCGCACCTCCCTTACAATCCTACTATAGCTATATGCTACATTCCCACACTGGCAAATCTTCTTTTATCGCTGCAATCGCAGCAGTAGCAGCAGGTGCGGGAGCGTAGCAGCAACCGCAAGGGTGCGACCGCAAGGGTGCGAAAAGAGTGACGGTTCGAGCGGCAGCTAGCGGGGAGGGCGTTCGACTGATCCTTCTATCCTAATCGTAAGGCTATTCGTATCGACGAGGCGTTCGAGGGCGCGGTTAGGCGATGCCTTTGTCATAGCATCTGCTGGGTTGTCTGCGCCGTTAATCCAGCGGATTTCTGTGATCTCACGCCTTTCGTAGGATTGACGTAGGGCCATGATATCTATCATCAATCGCTTCTCCTTCGTTGTGCCTAGCTTAACGAGGCACTCGTAGAGGGAAAAAGAGTCGGTGCAAACGATTAGGGATAGGGGAAGATTGAGGCGGTCTGTGATCTTCCGTATCGTCGTTGCTAGTGATATCCCAATATCGAATCCGTTGACCATGCCGTAGATCTCTGATGCTAGCACGCTTCGGGTGACCCTCTTACACTTCGTTGAGCTCCAATGGAGGACATTGCCCTTGATCCCGAATTGGTCTTTGGTACGTGCGGTCTCGGTCTCATTGACTAGGGCAATGACGAAGCCTAGCTGTGACGATAGGTCCTTATTGTTCGCAAAGGAACCGTCGGTAAAGATGATAAGCTTGGCATTGGCGAGGTCAATAGGGATATACGTTAGGCCTCGCTGCTGGTGGTCTTTCTGCCATTGAAGCCGCTTGTTGAGGGTCGTGCAATCCTCTTCCGTAGGGGTTTGGACCTGGGCAGCAATAGAGATGTCGAATGAGGCCTCTGGTTGACAGATTGAAGCCACATACGCGCCACGGGCACGCTGTTCCACGTACTGTTGGGCTCGATCGTATGCCTTGATGTCGATGGGTTCGATCTTGGCTGCTTGACCCTTTGTTGAAGCAGTAGAGCGTTGTGGAAAGTGGTGTCTTGGAGGGTTATCTTTGCACCGTTGAAGTCAATGCTAGTACCGGGGTCATCGTTGTCTTCGGCTTTGCCCGAAATTGTGCCTTTACGAGTTCCGCTTCCTCTAGCGCGGAAAAACGTTGTGTGCCAAGCATAAGGGTATCGTCAGTCTGCATTCCCACAATCCCAAAGTTATCAGGTCCCTTATTCGTAATTAGGAAGCATAGGTCGTAGGTTGATGTGGACATGTCGAGGTTATCGACATGATGCCCGTGATAGGTTCGAAACCAATGGACTCCGGCCTCCGCAATTCCGTATAGGGCTTAATAACGCGAATGATTGTTCCTTCCGGGTATCTTCCTTCTAATTCGGCGGGAAGATGCGTGAGAATGGTGCGGAATAGTTCGGTCTGCGCCTGGGGATACGCTTGTGTGATGTCACGACGAGAGGTCATGCCGTGAGAAAGGAGGTCTGGGAGATAGCAGAAATAAGCCGTTGACTGACGCGTTGAATTGTCGGGGATTGCGTCAATAGGTGGTTTTCTTGGTCGTTGTGCCCTTGGACCACGAGCCTTGACTTCTCGTATGGTTTGGTTTCTTTGCCTTTAACCTCGCGGACCATGCGGGAGCGGAAGATATGATGGTTCCCGTGCTTTGCTTCATTGTAGCGTTCGAAGCTAAACACTCCTCGTACCAATAGATCATCGATCTCCGTGCTATCGGATTCCTCAAAGGGTGCCTGGCGTTGTGATAATGCCTTCGTCCCGTAGCTTGATGGCTAGTTGGTAGGCATCTTCTTCCTTCTTGACTAGGAACGTCGTCTTTGGCTTGTTCTTCGAACCAGGGGGGCGGCCTCGCTTGCGCGGCGCCGGGGGATTAGGAGCAGGAACAGGGGCAGGGGCAGGGGCAGAAACAGGAACAGAATCGCTCGCAGGATCAGAAACAGGAATGTCAGAATCATCCGCAGCAGCAGCAGCGGGGCAGGGATCGTCGTCTCGTCGCGGAAATAAGGCTGCACAAGGGTGGAACGGAAGGTCTGGGGTCCGTTGATAGTATCAATTGTGACATTGGAGCCATCAATTGCACTAATCTTAAAAGGGCCTTGCCAGCCGAGCTTTCTCTCCACACTCGGACCTCGCTTTGCAGTGGGAGCGATAGTATAACGCCTGTTGATGATGGTCCGTTCTTTGTGTGTAAGGCGCCCTGCACTTGCCGCTCTGCTGAGAGCTGACGAAGCATTTTCATCGCCTTCTGGGCTGCGGCAGCCCTTTCAGGGTCGTAGCAGGGGGCGAATCTAACGCCATTCGAGGGTAGGCGCCAAAGACTAGGAGCGTAGGGACAATGCCATTTGGCCCTGCTGTGTCGTTGATGGCTTTGATAGCCATTTGAAGGATCGATTCGGGGGATGTGAAGGTCCCGATTTCTGCGTGGAGGATCTCAAACGCACGGCGGAGAGGGGCATGATATCTTTCAACCTTTCCAACGGACCAATGTGCTTCCACAGGGACTTGCTTGCAGGTTATCCCCATAAGCTTTGCCTCGTTACGGAACTCTAGGGAGGCAAAATTGGTCCCTGCGTCGTGCTTGATAGTATCAGGGGGTCCGAGATATGTGTCTATCCAGAGGGCTCGGAGGGCTTCCCACGTATCCTTTGCTGACATCGATAGGAGGAACCTGGCTGCTTGGAACGCTGTTGCTGTATCTACCACGTGCAAGACGGGGCGTTGAGGGGTTCCAAGGTAGAGCACATCAGCGACGATTTCGTAGTTGAATTCCTGGTCATCCTTTAGGGTGAATTTGAAGCGTCTTGGAGCTTGAGAGTGCATTTGACAGTGATGACAGAATCTCGAGATGTTCTCTAGGATATCTATCGTCACATCGTTGTGGCCAGCTTGCCGTAGGAGGTTGTGAAGTCTTGGGACCGCTGGGTGCCCGAATCGACGATGAAGAGTGCGGATCTCGCTCTCCGTGAGGAATGCGATAGCGGCCTCGTTGGTCTTAGGTAGGAGGAACCAAGGATGTCCCCATTTGCGGATAACCGGGAGGGTTGTTCGTCCGACAATGGTGTCTGTAAGGTTGTTGAAATAGATGCCTAGGCGATCCATATCAGCGAGAGAGAGGAGGAAGGAGTAGGGTCTTGAGGATATGGAATGTGATCCTTCCGAGAGGTGTTTTAAGGGCGATAGAGCCGAGGATAGAATGGCTTCGCCGTTGCCGAATTTGATAGAAGCTTGGCCTGCTGTAGTCTTATCGAGCGTTATAGCAGGGTCTTCTCGTTGTAGAGCGATGCATTGGTCGTAGCCAGCTGTGGAAACCTTCGCGGCGCCTGTGTCAATTATGATGCCCTGGAATCGGAGTCTTGAGTAGCGCTCCTCTATCATGAATTGGGAAGCAGGTGTAGCGTTGTTTTGAGAGGTGCTATACACGTCTTCCCTGTGATCAGATGGTTGAAGGCTTGCTGGCAGAGCATTTGGCTTGTGTGCCACTGTTCTGGGTTGTTGTCATTATCTTCATTGTCGTCCTCGTCCCATGGGTCGTTAGCATCATCGTGGGCATCCATCTCGTGACCTTCAAAGTCAAGAACGTAGGCTGTAAGGTCCTGGGGAGGGGTAATCCCTATGAAGTGACAGTGGGCGACGTATTGGTCTCGGGATCTTTGACGTTCCTCGGCAGTGTGCTTTGTAGACCAACATCCTTCCTTATTGCAGACGAAGCACTTCTTATTCCACGGGTGGTTGTGGCCGGTTAAAGCGTTGACTATTGAAGCTTCCCCGTGGAGCGTTGTAGCTGCCTCGTTGAGCGTTGCCTCTATACCTTCTATACCCCTTCTGACCAAATCTTCCGCGATTGTTGTTGTATCTTCGATCGAGATAGTAGTGGTCATTGGGATCCATATGATCAGATGGTTCCTCGAGGTCTTGATGGTATTGAGGGCCTCCTTGAAGATAACGAGGCGCTATTCCGCGTGCAAGATGGGTCTCAACGGAAGAGCGAAGATCTGCAAAAAGGGGCTCGATTCCTTCGGCGGGCTTGAATAAAGCGTATTCAAGTTCAGGAACACCGCGGCATGCATTAATAAGCGTTGTACGCAGTGGAACGTTTCCTGCATACGCGTTGCCAAGAGCTCGTTGGCATAACTGTAGCTTATCAAGGAGTAGCTGAAGAACCTCGTGTAGGGATTTCGTAGCATTATCGGCACGGAGCTTGTTAAAGGAAATAGTCGTCCATTCAGTATAGTAGTGAACGTGGTTAACTTCCGTATCGAAATGTTGCTTGATGCTATCGTATGCCTTGCGGAACGTTGAGGTCCAGTTAATGTGGTCAATGTAGTACGTTTGGGCTCGGCCAGTAAGGATTCGAGGAAAAGAGCGTGGAATTGGTCCGGCTTGACCTGAATGTTATAACAGATACTCATAAAGATGCGTAGCTTATCATCGAGAAGGTCATAGGGTTCCCCGTATAGTTCTTCTCTTTGTCCCAGATCTTGGTGAATTTCTGTTGTGTGTTGGCATCGACGATGCCGTTCGGGATGTCGGCCGGGAAGCGTTGTGTACGCTTCGAGGGATGTGGGAGAAGAGGGTTCTGCTAGAACGATGCTCTGTTGCTGGAACTGATAGCTTGTAGGATGTATTGTTCGTTGGGAAGCGTAGCAGTCGTTGTGGGCGGTTCCGCAATTGTCGTAGCGGGAGGAGCAGGGAGCGTCGGAATAGGGGCTAACGGCATGGATGGCTCCGCCGTGTTGGAGGTGGGAGGGTTCTGCGTTAGTCGTCTCTCTTTTCTTGTATAGGCCTCCGTTCCTTTATCGAATTGGGTTACCATGAATTCGTTGTCGGGCCAGGCTGGTGGGTTATCGATCGTCTGTAGGAAGACGAGCTGTGGGATGATGTGGTCACCCTTTTCTCCTGTATAGATACCACGTCTCTTTAAAAGGTAACGTAGCTCCTTCGAAATTCCTTTGGCATCTTTCTCCACGTTGCCTCGGTCCACTGTTGGAAGTGATCCTGGAAGAATTCAAGGATATTAGTGCCATGAAGGTGTACGTTCTCCTCGCATTCTGACATAAATCGTGCGGTATATGTCATAACAGCTATTCTATCTTCCTCTTGGGGCGTGATCTCATCCTCCCATCGGGTCGGATCGATATCCTGATATTGGGTCTTTGGGATCGTGAGATTTTGGACCAATTCCTTACTTGGTCGAGGAAGGCGTCGTTCCTCGTAGAGGCGGGTTCGGGGTTGGGGTCGTGCTTGTCATCGTGAGGGTTGTCACGTAGTTGTCGAATCGTGAGGGTTGTCACGTAGTTGTCGAATCGGCGTTGTGGACGCACTTACACTTAATGTAACCGTTAAGTGAAGTTGGAAGGATCTATCAATGGCCTACCGGGAGCTAGTTGGTTGCCGGGTCCGGGTAATCGTAGAGTCCTTGATCTTAGCATAGAAACCTCCTCTAGGTCCAACCAGGGCAATATCGCTAGGAATATGGTAGTTGGGCTTTCGAAGGTTGCGTTCTATCTCTTCTTCCTTGCCAATCTGTGATCGACCAAATCGATCACTGATCAGTGTCGGGAGGTCTGTACTGCAGTAACGCAATGGGTTGTATTCAAGATGTCTTGCTAGGAAGGGAGGAAAGGGAATGAGGGGGCACACTACGTGCCCTTTATACACGGATCCCCGAGGTCCATACACGTGACGCTAAGGGTCACGTGTGCGTGTGTGCGCACCTCCCTTACAATCCTACTATAGCTATATGCTACATTCCCACACATTCGTTAATAAATAAAAATAAATAATGCCCTGCCCCCTTGCTGCCCCTTTTAGTTCCAGCTGCGCAGTTCGCTTCCAACGCCTCCGTAGACCATACGCCGCCGCAGACCACATAGAGGAAGGTGCCCAAGCCGGCCCGGCTTCTAACTCCGCCATAGACCACACGCCTCCACAGACCACCCCCTTCGCCCGTCCTCCTGGCCCTTAACCTACACTCCTTTTACGTCAGAAGTGTGGAAAATGCAGGGCGCCTGCGTTACCTGCGGAGCCAGTCGGCCGCCTCCTGTGTTGTCTGCCTGCTAAGCTCCTCTAGCCGGGCCTGCGCTGCCGTCATCTCCTCAGGCACCCGGTTCCCCACTAGGTCCCGCTCCCGCACCTCTGATACGAGCATGATGCCGTCGAGCGTCGGGCACCGCGACAGCTGCACGTATAGGCTATACGGGTCGCACGACGACGGCACCGCCCTCCCTCGACCGTCGTCATCCTCGCCCCCGCAGCTCCAGCGCCACGCGCTCTAGCGTCCCGCCCTGCACCTTATAGTCGGTGCAGGCGAAGGCCGCGGCGCACGGCAGGCCCCTCCGGCTGACGTCGTTGCGCTGCCATGGCCGCTTCCGCTGCGCTGTGATCTTGACGCTGATGGGCGTTAGCAGGATCGTCCCGGCAGGCATCCCGACGAAGTGGAAGTCCTGGTCGTCTCCGAGGCCAGCACGATGCCCGCCGGCGGCCCGAAGTGCATGATGAGCTCCGCCGAGACGCGGTGGCCGGGGAAGGCGCGGTCGGGGATGACGTCCACCGCCGTGTACCCGGCCCCGTTCACAAGCTTCAGCCCCTGGTGCGTGTTCTGGTTCACGACGACCGGCATGCCTGGCACGAAGAGGAAGACGGCCGGCACCGGGGTCGCGCTGTCGTCGCCCTGGCCTAGCATTAGCACCGCCTCCTCTTCCGTCGGCACGCCGTCCCTCCACTTATGCTCGGAGGAAGACGCGCGCCGCCGTCCGCCGCCTCTCCGGAACGCGAGCGCCGCCTCTAGGTTGAGGTTCCAGCGGTTCCGGTTGAGCGGCGTCACCACCGTCAGGCCCGTCTCCCACGGGATCCGCCTGCCCGGCCGGTAGCATCTCGAGTTGAGCAGCTCTAGGTCCGACCGGTCCTGCTCGCCCCGGCGGATCCGCCCGAGCAGCCGCCGCAGCTCCGGGTCGCCGGCGGCCCGCATCTGCTCGTCCAGCATGACGACCGTCGTGAAGCGCCGCCACAGCGCGTGCGCCTTGTCGTGCTGCCGCCGCTGCTCGGCCGCGAACGCCCCGTCCTCGTCCCACGCCACCGCCGCGCTCGGCAGCAGGATCGACCGTTCCTGCACCGGCCGGAACTGGTGGAAGTCGCCGCAGAGGATCACTACCGGGATGCCGCCGAAGTCCCGCGCCGACCCCCGCAGCCGGCAGAGCTGCTCGTTGGCGGCGTGCAGCGTCCGCGCCCCGAGCATGCTGACCTCGTCGATCACCAGCACCTCCTTCTCCTGCCAGTCCATCCGCGACCGGCCGTCGACGAAGCGCTCGCCCTGGCCCGCCAGCCGTACGCCGTCAATGTCCCTCGTCGCCCCTCCCGCCCGGCCGCCCTGGCCGACCGTAAGGCCGCAGGCCGAGTGCAGCGTGATGCCGTTGATCCGCGCTGCCGCCGTCCCCGACGTCGCCGTAACCAGTACCCGGCTCGATAGGTCCCTCCGGGCGAGCAGCTCGACGAGCGCCTCGATGACGCGCGACTTGCCGGTGCCGCCCTCGCCGCCGATGAATAGGCAGAGCTGGCCACCACCGTCGCCGCCTGCGTCGTCGCCCTGCCGGATTCGGTCGAGTTGCCGGCACACGATTAGGAGGGCGATGGCCTGCTTCTCGTTGAGCGTGAGCTGGCCCGCCAGCTCCTGCCGGCGGCGACGAACGAGCTCGACGGGCCGAGCCGCACGCGCATCCCCGCCGCCGTGCCTGCGTCTGCGTCGCCGTCGGCCGCCGTTACGTCGATGTCGTCCTCGCCGAAGCCCCCCATCACCCCGCGAAGGGCCGCGCCGCGGTCGGCCCCGACGCCCGCCGCCGCCCCGCCGCCCTGGATGCCCTGGATCGCCCGCTCCGCCCCGCGCCGCGCTCCTCTGCTGCGACTTGATGGCCCGCATCTCTTCTTGCCGCGGCAGTGCCGCCCCGACAGCGCCGAGCCCGGTAGGTTCACCCGCCTGCCTGCCCTCTCGTCCGCCACCACCGTCGCCGCGAGCTCGGCCGCCGACCCGAGCGCCGACTGCTGGAACCGGCAGAGCTGCTGCGTCATCGCTAGCAGCTCTGTTGACTGCGCCGTGACTTGTCCCGCGCTGGCGGCGTTCCGGACGACGTCGATGAGCCGAGCCGCGTCGCCCGCCCCGCCGGCGCGGTATGCCTCCTCGCCCCTTCGGCCGCCCCCTGCCTTCGTCGTCGGCCTGCGGCGCCGTCATACCGCCCTCCTCGGCCGTGGCGGCCCACTGCTTGGCGTCGCGCTTCGCGTCCTCCGCCGACCGCCGGAGGAGCTGCACGTTGTCTGCGAGCCGCGCGACCTCGGCGCCAGCGACTCCCGCGCCCGTGCCCAGATGTTGTTAATGTCGCCTGCCTCCTCGCCGAGGAAGGACTCCACGGCACGAATAGGGCCAGGTGCTGCACCGCCGCCCTAGATGCTGTTAGCCGATGCCCCTAGCTGCTCTGCCTTCCTCTTAGGCGCCCCCCGTCTTATAGTACGCACCTCCGGTGGCACGACTCGTCGTCTTCCTCGCTGAACTCCTTGCTGAGGTATCCGTCGACGCATACAGTCGCCCCGCAACCCGGCCGCCTAAGCGCCTGCACCCAGCCCTTCCCGACGCCCAGCTCTCCGCGAAGGGTACCTCACCCCAGCCCGCCATACCGTCGGCGCCGCTGCCGTTTTGCTTTAACCTTACAAGCGATGCGTAGTCATAAAGGCAGAGGCCCGCAGGAGCTCGCCCCGGTGCCGGTAGGCCTCGACGAGAGGGATCTCAGGCCAGCCTCCTCGACGACGACCGTCTCGTCCGGCGCGTCGCCCGTCGCCTCGGCGCCGCTCGCCCGTCGGAGGTGCCGCCACCGGCGGAAGACGGCCCAGTAGAGCTGGTTTGCGTTTATATACGCCCACGCTGAGCCGCTGCTAAACTCCGCCGGGTACCCTAGGAGGTGCGCGATCACCTCGACCTGCGACAGCGGCCGCTCCGTAAAGACTCGATTCGCCGCCTTAAGCAGGAACGTTCTCGTCTTATTCCCCGGGGTCCGCCGCCGTCGCTACCCTTCGGCCCCGCCCTCCCGGCCGGCGTCGCGGTCGGCGCCACTTCTGTTGCCCTCTCCCGTCGGCTCTAGCACAGGAAGGAACTCGGCCGCGGCGGCCACACGCTTCCACACCGGGTCCTCTACCTTCGTCGCATAGTTAGTAATATAGTAGATTAGGGCCATGGTCTTGCGCTGCGTCGCGATGAACGAGATGTCGTGGTTGTGTCGTAGCCCCACTGCCATCGCCCTGCCGCCGGGCGAGTATTTTACGCAGGTCGCGCTATGCGTATGGATCTGCGTCGCGCCCGCGCAGAAGTTGGCCTCCTCGTCGAAGGTGTCCGTGAAGCGCGCGACGTCGTCGAGCCGCGACGATATGTCCGCCGTGGCCGACCGCTCTGCCTGCATGGCACAGTAACCTTCTGCGTCTAGCTCCTGCGGCCTCGGTTCAGCTTAGGCCCCTCAGCCTGCCCCAGATAGGGGCATCGGGGTTTGTGTTAAGGCGGCCGCCTTACCTCAGAGAAGACGCTATCTACGTAGCGGACGATGCGCTCCCGGTACGCCGCCTGCTCCTCCGCGTCCGGGCCGGCGAGCGCGTCGCCAATGCCCGCGTTGCCCCTTAGCCAGAGGAGCCCGTGGATGTGGAGGGCGCCTCGCTCGTTGGTCTCTACCGCCCCGTAGTATGCGCCGACGTGGCCGAACACCGACTCCTCCCCGACGTTGACGTAGTGCTCGAAGAAGAGCGTCATCTCCCGGTGGAAGAAGACGGCCGAGCTCATCGGGTCCGATATGGCCAGCCGCGTCCGCTTATACGCGGTCCCTAGGTCACTTAGGAAGGCCTCGGCCTCGTCGGGGTCGCGGCCGCGGTGCGCCGCTAGCCGTAACTTTACTAGGTTCGTAATGTCGTTCGGGTTCAGCGTGAACCAGATAGCCGGCACCCGTACCTAACGATGAGGATAGTATCTTCTTCCGCATACTAAGGCGGCTCTCCTCGACATTGGCTGCCGGTAGCCGAACACGGAGAGGGACCGGAGGAGCTCTTTACCCCGTCGTCGCTAGTCTTACCTGTGGCCTCGAGCTCGGCCTGGCCGCCTCGAGCCTCTGCGCCGTTAACGACTTTAGTAGGCCCTCGACCCTTGCGAAGTTCTTCCTCGCTACGCCTAGCATGCTGGCCTGGCGGTTCTTAGACCGCACGCCCATGTTAAAGACAAGGAAGGCGAAGATAGGGTGCGTCGCGAACCGGCCGCCGTGACGCCGCAGCACGACGTCGGCCCATGCCTGGAGCTTCATGTTCCGCGTCGACATAAGGCCCTCTGCAACCCGCTCCGCCTGGGCGCCCTGGTTCCCGACGCTGGGCCCGCGCTCTCCCGCGGCGTCCTCGTCGGCGAGCCTCGGCCCGCCTAAGCCAAAGGGAACAGGGTCGGAAAGGCCTTTGCAAAGAAGGAGGCGTCCGCCGAGTCGGCGAAATCCTCGCCGCGTCGCACCTGTATGTACGGCTCGCCGTCGCCGCCGTCGCCCGCCGCCCTCTGGCCGCCGTCCCTACCCACGTCCTCGGGCTGGCGCGCGCTCCTCGGGCCCGACCGCGTCGCGGGCGAAGCGAATCTTCTCGGCGTCGGCCACATCTGGCGCCCCATCTAACGGGAACATGCCGGAAGACGTTACCTCATTGATTACGTCCCCGTCCTCTTCGGGCCTAGCGCCGTCCCTGTCGTCGTCCTCGCACGTGAGCCCGACGTCGCGGCTCCCCTCGGCGGGGTCCTGGCCCTGCCTTAGCATCGCGAGGACCTCCTCGATCTCGGCCGCGCCTCCGTCGTCCATGGCCCGCTCCGACGGCGGCACCACCTGCGCCGTCTGCGTCCTCTCCCGCGCCGACGGCTCGTTTCGCTCCAGCCGCTCGCACACCACCGGCGGCACCCCGTGCGGCGGCGCCCCCCAGCTGGCTATCTCCGCCGCGTCGATCTCGACCTCGCCGTAGAGCGGGTTGTTCTCCTTGAGCCAGGCCAGCGCCCTCTCGACCGCCGACCGCCTTACCGACAGCAGGCCTGATAGGTCCCGCGGCCCGGGCCTCTCAGCGCCCTGCCACGAGACGTGGATCTCGTCCATGACCCGGACCAGCGGGTGCGGGAGCACCTTGGCAGCCAGGCCCTGCACGTCGTTCGGGAACACCGTGATATGGCCCTTGACGTGCCTCGGGTACCTCACGCTCTGCCTCTGGCCGCCGGGGATGCTATACTTCGTCACGAAGCCGTAGCACGAGTTGAGCGAGATGAGCTTCTCCTCGAGCGGCGTGAGGTCCTTTAGCTCGTCGGGGTACGCGTGCTCGCAGCCGAGCCGCCCATGGAGGTGCATGGCCGGCGACGCCCCCTCACGCCCGGCCCATCGCGCGCACTCTGCGCAGACCGCCACCGGCCTGCCCTCCGGGAAGCAGGCTTGGCACCCGAACGGGGACCGCCCGCCCCCCGCAACACCGCTCCGCGACCACCCCTCCCACCCTCCCACGCCATCTCCTCAGCTCCCCTTGGCCCGCTTCCGGTAGCATAGCGTGCAGGTCGCGATCGGCAGCGTGCCAGCGTCGTGGAACGCCCGGTAGAACTTCCGCACCGTCCTCACCTGCCTCTCGCGCGGCACCGGCGCACACCACGTCTGCTCGTTGGCCAGCCTCTCGCCCGCCTCGAACTCCTCGTCGAGGTGCCGCAGCGCGCTGGCTAGGTCCTCGGCCTGCAGCTCCTTGGTCTCGGCACCTTTCACCGACCCGGGCGCGTTTCCGCTCGGCCTGCCCACTACTAAGATGGCGTTTCCTCTTCTGCTCTTCCTCGCCTGCCGTCTTATCGCCGATCTACCTGCGTCCGGTTAGCTATCACCGCTACACGCCTTTACCTCGCTCTACGACCGTACCTGCCGAGGCGCTATCTCTGCCGCCAACAAGCAGCCCGGCTGCGGCCGGAGTTGTGGCGGGGATCTCGGCCCTGCTGGCCGGCCGGGACTGGATGGCTCGCGGCGAGTGCTGGCTTCCGATCGAGACTACGGCCGAGCTAGTCCCGCTTGACGGCGGCGAAGGGCCGGCGGCCCTCCAAGTCGGTTGTGGCCGAATATCCCGCGGAACGTCCGAACTTCTCGTCGGCGGCGGCGAAGGCCCGGCGGCCTCCACCGTCGGCAGAGGCCGGATTTCCCTCGGTGCGCGCTGGCTTTTCCCTGAGGCCGAGACGGCGCTAGGCCCGCCTTGCGGCAGCCGGCGCCCTGCCGCCGTCGGTGTCGACAGAGCCTGGATATCCCGCGGCGCGTCCGAACTTCTCGTCGGCGGCGAAGGGCCGGCGGCCCTCCATGTCGGCTGTGGCCGAATGTCCCGCGGAACGTCCGAACTTCTCGTCGGCGGCGGCGAAGGACCGGCGGCCTCTACTGTCGGCAGAGGCCGGATTTCTCTTGGTGCGCGCTGGCTTTTCCTGAGGCCGAGACGGCGCTGGGCACGCCTTGCGGCAGCCAGTGCCCTGCCGCCCTCGGTGTCGGCGGCAGCCGTTGCCGCCGCGCTTGGTGTCGGCCGAGGCTGGATATCCCGCGGCATGACTCGGCCTGCGCTGATCCTCCATCTCCCTAGTCCTGGCGGTCTTCCCCGCCCTCGCCTCGGAGGCGCCTCCCTTGACGCCTCTTCTTGCTCTCTCCGAGGGGCGCCGCTAGCAAGTGCCGGCGCTGCTGTGGTCGGCTGGAACTCTGGTCCTGTGTACGGCGCTGCGCAGGCTTCTGGCGCCGGGCTTGCCCCGTCCCCCGCTCCGGACTGGTCCCTTCCGTTGGCTGGCTTCATTGCGACACCGGTCTACCAAAGCCCCACGGACGTCTTGTCTTCCTCTTTGCACCTGCCCTCTTTGGCCCTGCCTACTTATGGTGCCACTAGGCCTGGCGTAAATCCTCGTAAGTGTAATAACAGCGTATAAATCCTTGCCTCGATTATTCGCCCTGCACTTATCTTGCTGACTGGCACCCTCTTGCGCATATAGGATCCTCTACAAAAGTCTATATATCTTACTCGTAGCTCTCTACTATGTCTATATGCGTGCTGCTGCTCTTTGCATTATACCGGCGCCGCCTTTCTATTAAGCCCGCCCGCCATTGCCTGCTGCCATATGCGATAGGCTAGACGGCCTCGGCCGATCCTTATATGTACGTCGCCGCGACGGCTTCTTCTTGCCTATGCTTTGCATGCTACGCTTTTCCTTCTTGTCATCCAGCTCTTATCAGTCAAAGCTTCCGTATGCCCCTAGACACTTGCCCGCTGAAGTTTAAAACCATGTCTTACACGTGTTGCGAATAGGGCTGCCTGCTTCTCCTCGAATATAGCTTCGCGCGTCCTGCTTGTCTTAAAAACTCTCAACATCTTACTAGACCGCCTTTTAAAGTTCTCCCTTCTCTTATTGCACTCTCCTCTATACGCATCTTATAACCCTCTTTTACAAAGGCTCCTTATATAACCTACCACTAACGCCATGTTGCGTCTTTGTTTAGAATCCTTTGACTTCTCTTACACACCATCGCCACTGGCCCTTCTCTTTTACACTAAACTCGTAAGACGGTATATAGGTAGGGAGCACTCCTGCCTATCTTTCTCGCCGCTTTTAGCTTTGCCCCAGCAACGTTGCTCTTTTACTACACGGCCGAGCCATGTCTTCGTCTCCGTCGGCGGACAGCTCTGCCCCGCACCTCCGCAAGCCCCTTGGCTCTAGCAAGGGCGCGGGCAGCGATATGTCCATGATGTTCTTCGCCCAGCCCGACTGCCCCGCGAGGTTCGCCCACCACGACGAGCACCGCATTAGGGCCTCAACGCTGAGGCTATCGCCCGCGTCCTCCTGCCGGTGCCCTCGTGGCTGCTCGAGGCCGACTACGCACCCCTCCGGGCCGAGGGCGACGACCTGGGCCCCTCTCTCTTCTTTAGCCTAAACCTCTCTATCTACGGCCAGCCAATCGTCGACACGGACTGGTCCGAGCAATGGTTCCTTATGAGCGGCCGCGTTCACCCCTACGCCCTCGCCTGGGAGGTGGAGCGCCGCGACGGTCTTGAGGCCGGCCCAGACGATACCGTCCTCTACACAGTGCCCGCCCTTATCGTCCGCGACCAAGGCTACCAGCCGTGCGCCCCCCCTTCTTTTTTTTTGCCCCTTCACCGGCCGCCTCGCTGACTTCTCTCCCTAGCGTCCTCCCACGCTCCTTGGCCTCTGGCGGCCAGTTCCCGTCTACGCCTCCTGTTGTCTCCTTCCATGGCGTCATCGCCGGGCCTGGCCTTGACCTCCTGCGTGGAGACTTCCTGCCAGGTCTCGGGCCCGACCAGCTCCGCTGCTGCGGCTTCGTCCGGCTCACTACCTACATCACCCCTGGCCTGCCGGACCGGATTCCCTTTAAGGGCTACCACCCCTTCCAGGTCTTTGTTATCTTTCCCATCTATGCTAACCCTTGGGCCGTGCTATGCAAGAAAATTGCTGAAAGGCCTAACTCTTCCTTCCTGCCCGGCGTCCCCTTTACCTGCACTGGAAAGGTCGTCGGCCTTCTCGACCACCGTCTTATGCTCTGCCCCCCGGGCTCAGAGCGCGATTACGTCTTTATCGTCGTCCCGGACAGCTGGAACTTTGTCGACAGGCCCTCGGCGGCCGCCTCCGCCTCGGCTTCCCCTTGCTACGCCCTTAAACGTCAGACCCTATCCGCCTCCTCTACCTTTGATTCCGTCTGCGCCGCCTTGTACTCCGTTGCTGCGCCGGCCTCGGCTGCGTCGGCTCCCCTTCCTTGGCCTCGGCCCCGACCGCCCTCGACCCCGTCACACCACCGCCTAAGCGCTCCCACCCGGCCCTTGCCGATACGCCCATGAAGAGGGCGCGCTTGCTGCAGCAGCAGAATTCGCCGCCTTCCTCGTCTTCGGACACCGTCAGCTCCGCCGCCCCCTCCTCTCCCCGCCGGCCGCTTCTTCGTCTCGACCGAGCGGCGTCCCGCCCGTTCCGCTCCGGCAGCCAAGCCGGGTTCCCCTCTTGACTCTATTGTCGCGAGCACCTCCGACCCGCCCGCTCGACCTATCCGCTATCGCATGCAGAAATGAGCTGCCTACTATAAACCTATCGCTCTCTTACGCCTCTTGCCTTTACTAAAATAAACCGTTCTCCCTCTCGAGATGCTATTCCTAACGAAACTTATCGCTGCAAAATTACCATTACTCTACACATTACAACGTTTATCTCTTTTTTTGAAACAACAACTTTAGCTTGCGACCTATTTCTTACGATAGTGCCTGCCTCTATTTGTTCTCCGTGACCTTGTTTATGTCCTGCGCGTTATGCCTTGTCCCTTTTACTTTCCTTCCCTCCTCTCCCTAGCTCCCTAGCTTGCCTTTGGCTTGCATCCCTTCTTGTGCACCTTCCAGTCCTCCTTTTGGTGTTGCCTGCTGCAGTACGCCACCGTCAGGCATCGGCTGCACCTCCTCGCCCCCGCCATCTCTCCACAACCCCGGCAGACCTTCCTCTGTGCTCTGCGCATCCTGCCCTTGCATTTGCGTCGCGCCCTTGTTTCCGCCCGCCTGCCCCGCCTCTGCCATCTTGTCCTGCATTTCCTGCCTCGTCCTAATTTCGCATCCTTCTTTGCCGCAGAACGACGACACGACCACGAGCACAAACGGCCTCTCTGCGTGTAGGTACGATATCGGGCTCTGTAGAATCTCCTTTGCGAGTCCGCCGCAGCTCTCGCAGCGCACCCTGCTGCCTTCCGACACGCTGCCTCGTGCTCCCGTAGGATCGGCCTTATCCACTGTAGGAACAGTGCACTGGCTGCGTGGTTCGGCCTCGCCTGGCCTACCTGCGTCACGAGCGTCTTCGGGATGCTATGCTTGTACTTCAGCTCCGTGGCCCCGAATTCGCACCAGAACTCCACGGAAACGTTGCAAGTGGCCATGCTGTAGTTGTTTTCCTAACTGCTCGATCGGTAGCTAGGGTAGACGCTTCTGCTCTCCTATTCGTGCCTTGGTGCCTCTCTTATACTCCCTTCCTCTCTTACCCCGCAACCGTTATCATCGCTGTATTTGCCTTCTTGCTTTTTCTCCCTCTTCCCGCTGCGGGATGGTGCCCGAATGGCCGATTTATTTGCCTACCTTCTTGCATGCATTAGTTCCTGGCGCTACCGCCTGCTTGCGTTCTTTGCTCTCGCCCTCTGTCTTCGTCTTGTTTGTCTCAATCCTCAGTCTTCGTTCCTCAAGGCTTTTTGCGCAACCCATGAGGGGTTGCCTTACCTGTTAATTCGTCATAATTAAGTAAAAATTATAGAAAGGCATAGTACGTGCCTCTCTGCCAGTCGCCTCCCCTCCTCTTTTGCCCTCTCCCCTTGCTGCCCCTCTTCCCTTTCCCTTTCCCGTCCGTTTGGTTGTCTCTTGAAGGGCCCTCCTTATACTTATATGGATGCAAAACGCGGGCTGCCCACGTGGCCTGGTAGCCCTAACTATCGTTAAGCCGGTGGCGTCGCCGCAATAGCTGCTTGCTTTTGCCTACGGAACACGAGACCCGCCGAAAGCTCCCAGTGGAGTCAGAGTCTCCGCCCCAACAAGACAGAGAAACAAGCTATGATAGCCAAAGGTCGACTGATTCAAGCGATCCAAGTCCTGAAGGAGTCACCGGGACACGATCGTAGTTCAACCGCTGCCACCACGCCGGCGACCTTCCTCAGAAGGCAATAGCATGCAACCGGACAAGCAGCCGTCAGGTGACCAACCAATTCCTGAAGAACCACGCGGCAAAACGCGCACCCGCCGCAGTCAACAGGAGATTTACGGTGACCAGCCAACTCGCAAGAGTGACCGGACACCAAAGCCAAAACGGAAGCACGATGATTACGTCAACAGCGTTTTCACGACCCTGCTTCCAGCGGATCAACATCCAGAGGGAAACCTCGAAATATTTCATAGTGTCTTCCTTGCCGCAGTCTCTAAGACGGCACGAGATCATCGATTTCACCGCGATGACCTTGTACGACTCCTAAACGCTACCAGGATCTGAAAACCACCCGATGGGCCCAGACTTCAAAGAGGCCATAAGGAAGGAATTGCATGATCTCCTCCGACGAGGCACTTGGAGACTGGTCAAACGTGAAAAAGCACAGGGACCGCCTCTTCCACTGAAGTGGGTGTTCACCTATAAGTTTGATCAGGATGGCTATCTCCAAAGGTGCAAAGCTCGGATCTGCGTCCGTGGCGACCTGCAGGACGAGGACGACGGACGGGAGACATATGCAGCCACACTTGCAGCAAAAACCTTCAGAATCGTGATGGCAATCGCAGCCCGATTCGATCTTGACGTTAGACAATTCGACGTTAGTAACGCCTTCCTATACAGCGACATAAAGAAGGACCATCCGTCTACGTCCGGCTCCCGCAAGGCTTCGTAGAACTTGGTTTCTTGAAATCTGGAGAAGGCTCAACCATGATCGCGGAACTTGACAAGGCTTTGTATGGTCTTCGAGTCTCCACTGCTTTGGTACAATGAGATCTCCCAGGCGCTCAAGGAGGCAGGGATTGACCGTACGGATGAAGAACCTTGCGTATTCACCAACGGCAAAATCCTGGCTCTTGTCTATGTCGACGACATCTTGATTCTCAACCCACGGCAAGAGAAGAAGGCTGTAAACGACCTTGTACAACATCTCCAATCCAAATACGATTTGCGCGAGGAAGAGTTCAAGTGGTATCTTGGCATCAGAGCTGTAAGGGATCGACCAAACAGGAAGGTCTACCTCTGCCAAGACGAGTACATCGAGAAAATTGCGCGAAAGTTCAAGCTCAGCGACTTGAAACTCCGAGTACCATCAATCCCCATCGCGACGATCCCGCTCGTCAAGTACAACGGGCAGGCTACCAAGGAAGAGATAAAGGCGTATCAGGAACGAGTTGGATCCTTGATGTACATCGCGGTCATGACCAGACCCGATATAGCACGAGCAGCAGCCCAGCTCGCGAGGTTCCTGACAAACCCATCGCCTGAACACCTTGAAGCCGCAAACCAATGCATCCGTTACCTCTATTCAACGAGATTCTTGGCGATCGTGTACGATGGAGCGTACGAGGGAGAGGTACTTGTGATCGCAAGCGACGCGTCATTTGGAGATGATGTCGAGACCCGTCGTTCATCGCAGGGATATGTGATGATGTTGTTCAACGGACCGGTCATATGGAAAGCTGGGCTCCAGGACACAGTCACGACTTCGACCACCGAAGCAGAAATTCTCAGCCTAGAGAACAACCAAGGAGAGCTACGCCCTGGACCGACTATTACGGATATCTCTCTTGATCTCGGCCCCTGAAGATTTACTGCGACAACCTTCAGTCGATCCGACTGGTGGTTGAGGAGAACCAGAGAATCACGACCAAGTTGCGGCACGTTGACATACAGAACATGTGGCTAAAACAGGAATTCAAGAAGGGTAGGTTCCTAGTGGAATACTTGAAGACTGATCAGATGCCAGCAGACGGATTGACAAAAGCGCTATCGAGAGCGAAATTCGAGCACTTCCGATCGATGCTAAATCTGACAGATATCAAGAGGGAAGCAAATTTGGAAGTGGGATGTCACACGGAGTACATCAGCCTCCAACAGTCTGAAACCCTGACTCGCACAGTAGTCACCACCTCAACAGTCACAGAACCTTCTATCAGCTTCTAGTCACTCATTCGCATCGCCTATAAAGATGCAGCACATTATACACTCTAGATAGGAAAATCAAGAGTCTTCCAGTCCCTGATCTTTATGCTCACTTGCTCATCCTCCGTGCGATAGTTATGAGCCCGGTCTGCCATTGACTGGGTGTCTTATTCTCGTTCATTCCGCTGCACACGAATAGCTTCCACAATGAGCTCAGCTATTGATCTTGACGGCTCTTCGAAGGGCACCGTCCTTAACGGCCCTTCTGACTGGAAACAATGGATTTCTATCATCAAGAAATTCGCCTCCTCCCATGACCTTTGGGACGTACTCAACCCTGCGATCCAGGGCAAGCCGGTTCTTCAGAAGCCTGTTGAGCCAACCTTTCGCCTAATCAATGCGGATGCATCTGATCTGGCCGATCTTTCCTCGGAAGAATTCCGACGACTCGAATTCCTACACACCCAGTACCGCAGCAAGCTACAGGGGTACAGAGACCAAGTGAAGGCCCTCGCTAGCCTTCAACAACACATTGTCAAGACCATCGGCAACTACTACAGCACCATTGCCGAAGAACACGACGTTGCGAAGCAATTATCCCTGCTTCAAGCACGAGTCGCTCCTACGGACTGGGCACTCGAGAGGGAAGTTCTTCAGCGTTATCGTTCGACTCTCCAATCGCCTGACCGGACCAAGATCGAAGCTTGGATCACCCAATGGCAGAAAGTCCTCACTGAGGCAAGACAACTAGGACTTCCTGATGTACAGGACCTACGACCTACCCAAGACTTCCTACAAGCTGTTTCGTCCATCAACGCTCCATTTACGGACTACTGGATCAACAAGATGGAAGACGAAGCTGCCTTCGGAAAGCCCCATTGGCAACTAGACTTCCCAAACGGCATCAAGATCAGTGAGATCTTCGAACGAGCTCACCGCATCAAAACTGCTAACGTAAAGGGAGCCTTTGGAGCCTCCTTCCAAGGCAAGGGAGAAAGGGAGGGAAAAGATAAAAACAAGGGCTCATCAAGAGCTAAGCGAAACGAACAAGGCATCCCTGAATGCGTCTGTGGAAGATTTCATCGCTACTCCGACTGCTTCTACCTTAATGAGACACGGCGACCCAACGGATGGGCTCCTGATCAGAAGGTTCAGAAGAAAATTGACGAAGCCTTGAGTTCAAATTCGTGGTTGCGCACCAAGATCGAATCCATCCAGAAAGGCAACCAGCAAGAAAAACCACAACCATCAGAGGACACAAACACTTCTCTCGTTAAAGGAGGTGCTTTTGCCAGCGTTACCGCAACAGTTACGGAGCATCCATCAGTTCCTAGACCATCTACGAGTTTCTATACAGGAAAGGCTGTCTACCCTCTACGGGACTCCTTCATCCTCGACTCTGGATCTGACACGCACATCTGTAACAACAGATCACGCTTTCTTGACTATACCGCACTTGCAGAGCCAGAAGAGCTGTTTGCAGGCGATAGTCGACTTCAAATCATTGGCTACGGCATGGTCCGTATGAGACTTGAAAATGGACTCTTTCAACTCAACGACGTTGCCTTCGTGCCAAACTTCCACACCAACATCGCATCTCTTGACCGCTTTCTTGCAAAGGGATACAACTGGAATCCATCATCCGGTTGCGTTTCCAAGGATGATCAGGAAGTATTTCACACCATTCGCCGATACCGACAACCGGTTATCGAGTACAACCCCATTGAGGAAGAAACAAACTCTTCCAACTTCACTTCGTCGTCTCCACGACCGATTCAAACCGCTGACGCCACACTTTGGCATAAGCGTCTTGGGCACCTCAACGCTCAAGCTCTCGAACATCTTGTTGCAAACACAACAGGATCGAAAATTAAAGGCCCAATCACCATTGACTGCGAGGCCTGTTCCCTTGCAAAGGGAAAGAAGGTTGTTTCACGCCGACCTTCTCAAAACAAGTCACCACGACCCTTCTGGAGAATTTACATCGATATCTTCTCTATGAACACCTCATTTAACGGCAAAGGAGCCGTTCTTCTTGTCAAAGATGAATTCACAAGTATCATTTTCATCTACCTTCTAAATGACGTGAGCCAAGAATCCGTCATGACAGCTCTAAAGAACCATGAGGCTATGATTCAACGCCAATGGAACCTTCACATTTGCATTATTCACCGAGACAACGATCGTGCTCTTCAGACTGCCTATGAGTCCTGGATTGAGGAAAAGGGGATTCAAGATGAGCCTACAGCCCCTTATACTCCTGCTCAGAACGGCGCTGCAGAACGATCTGGGGGGGTAATAGCCGCCCAGGCAAGAACGATGAGGATTGACGCCAATCTTCCATCGGATCTTTGGCCTGAAACTTGGAAAGCAGCAGTGTTCTTGCATAACAGATCGCCCATGCAGCACCGCAACTTCCAGACACCCTTCCAGCTGCTTCATCAGTGGCTGCGTAAAAACAACAGAGATACAGGCTATCAGCAGCTCCAGCCTGACATCTCTTTTCTCAAAGCGTACGGCTGCCGAGCCTACCCTTTGACATACAAGGCCCTTCAGAACAAACAGAAAAAGGACCTCAAGACCGACCCTCACACGGAAATCGGTTATCTAGTGGGCTACGACTCCACTAACATTTTCAGGATTTGGATCCCTTCGTCATCCGAAGTCCGAAGGCTCAGAGATGTGACCTTTAACGAACACAAGTTCTACGAAGGAAAGGTAGAGCCACAGGAGCCTATCCCTCAACGCTTAGAAGTACAGCTTCCAGCACACATCGAAGATGAATCGGAATACGAGGAAATCCCTACTCGTATGGAAGAGCCTAATCCTCAACCGGACACCCCTTCTTCGACTACATCTGGTCAAGAAGACGCCAGCACCATCCAGGTTCAACAGGAACCCTCTGAACACGAAGATTCAGAGGATGAGCTTCACGACGCGGATAACCCGTACCCGACGCCTGATCCCGCTCAGAGCGATCAGCAACTTCGACGCTCATCACGTCCGCCCAAGCCACGGAACTTCGGCAGCTTTGCCAGTTCCCAAAACCACTTTCACAGCTCTTTCTTTCTCGGACGAGAAGAAAAGCTACATCGTCGCTCTTTGCCCCCAGAGCCGACGTCGTACAAGGAACTGAGTACACACCGCTTTGGCCCTCAATTCAAAGAAGCAGCTCACGCTGAATGGAAATCCCTCCAACAGAGAGGAACCTTCAAGGCTGTTCCGCGAGACCAAGCAACAGGCAGGCCGTTGCCCCTGACCTGGGTGTTCAAGTACAAATTTGACAAGCATGGCTTCCTTATCAAGTTTAAAGCCCGCTTGTGCGTTAGGGGAGACCTTCAGAAGCTGGGTGACAAGGACACCTATGCTGCCACACTTGCCGGAAGATCCTTCCGAGTTCTTATGGCTATTACAGCTAAATTCGACCTTGAGACCCGACAGCTCGACGCAGTTAACGCCTTTACCAATGCCCTCTTAGACGACGAGGAGGAGGTCTATGTGTTATTTCCTGACGGATACTATAGACAAGGCTGGGTTCTTCGCCTCATCCGAGCCCTCTATGGCCTTAGGCGTTCTCCCCTCCTTTGGCAGAAAGAGCTTACTGCAGCATTCAAGGAGCTCGGTCTTTTACAGTGTCCAGACGAGCCCTGCATCTTCCAGAACGACTGGCTCACAGTCTTCTTCTTCGTTGATGACATCGTCTTCCTCCATCGCAAGGGTAGTCAAGATGCAGCCGATCAGATGGTTGCAGCCCTCAAGAGGAAGTACGCCATGACAGATCAAGGAGAATTGCAGTGGTTTCTCGGTATTCGGGTTCTCCGAGACCGAAGTAACGGGAAGCTTTGGCTTTGCCAAGACTCCTACATTGAAAGGATGGTTCAACGATTCGGCCTTCGATGCCTCGACACCTTCAAAGGAGCCCCTTTCCCATGCAATGAAGTCCGGCCAAACACAGGACAGGCTTCTCAAGACCAGATTCAGCTCTATCAAAGCAAAGTTGGATCGCTGAACTATGCCGCGTGCATCACTCGTCCGGATATAGCCAAACCAGCATCTAAACTAGCTGAATTCCTTCACAACCCTTCCGAGCTTCATTCTAAGCTCGCGGACCATCTGATTGAGTACCTATACGCCACTAGGTATCTCGCCATTCAGTTTTCAGGCACCTCTAGCCTCGACAGAGACCATATTGCTCCAATCCAAGCTCAACATCACAGCGACTTTCAGAGCGCTTCAGACGCCGCTTTCGCTGATGATAAGGAAACACGCAAGTCATCACAGGGTTCAATCCTTACCCTCTTCGGCGGCCCTATCGCATGGAAAGCCGGGAAACAGGATACAGTTACGACCTCGTCAACAGAAGCAGAGCTTCTTGCCCTTACACACACAGCTAAGGAGACCATCGCCACGTTCCGTCTGTTCAAGCAGCTTTCTCTTAAGCTCGACGGAAAACCAACCGTCCAATGTGACAACACACAGACTATTCGTCTAGTTACACAGGATATACCTCGCCTTCGCACCGCCCTTCGTCACATCGACATCCATACTTGTTGGGCTAGGCAGGCATTCGAGGAAGGCCTCTATAGTCTCGTCTATACGCCAACTTCTGAAATGATCGCAGATGGCCTCACCAAGGTCCTTCCAGGCCAGAAATTTACTAACTTCGTTAAACAACTCGGCCTCGTTGATATCTCTACGCTGCTAGGAATGTAGTTTCTTTCTTTCAGTTTGCACTGCCAACCGCCAGCACAACCTGGGGGGGTATGTCACACGGAGTACATCAGCCTCCAACAGTCTGAAACCCTGACTCGCACAGTAGTCACCACCTCAACAGTCACAGAACCTTCTATCAGCTTCTAGTCACTCATTCGCATCGCCTATAAAGATGCAGCACATTATACACTCTAGATAGGAAAATCAAGAGTCTTCCAGTCCCTGATCTTTATGCTCACTTGCTCATCCTCCGTGCGATATGGGATGTCGATGACCTTCTAGGTCAGGCTGGTTGTGATAGCTTCTAGCAGCGTTGACTTGATCACTCAACGCTGGGGGGTGTGTCGCATATCAAGCCTGCCTAGGATGATTACTCATGAAGTGGCGATATTACTACGCAACGCCGCTGTTGCCTTCTAGGCAACAGCTAATGCGTAGGCAGGCAACAAGCCTTTCATTTGTGTATAAAGAGCTGCATAATTCCCTGCAGCTCGTTCACTCACTTCTTGTTCTTTAGATAATTCTCATCAATTGCCTGATGCCATCTCTGACCCGTGTGGAGCCAAATGTCTGACAAACAGTCATGAGTCTTGTCCCTCCGCTGAGTAAAGTCGGACGAGGCTCAAACCTGACCTTGTCCCAGTCGTCTATGCACTTGCAGATGATCCGCTCAACTGAAACACCCGCCGCGTTCTGCAATCGGAAGATCGGACATGACTACCGCCCCCTCAATATTCATGTTTATCATCCCAACTCACCCGTTAACATGCAGACTAGCCATCCTAACTCAAATCCCGCCTTTATCTTGACCCACTGTCGGCCGTTCTAGATTCGCAAGTCATGAACGCCGACTCGCGGCCGTGGTGAGTCAACCAGAACTCGCACTGTACGGACGGATCCTCGCCCGCCACTCTGTCATCCCCGATCGACCGGCCCATGCTAAACATGACGCTCTGGCCCTGGAGCTGATCGAGCTCCTCCCCACGAGTCCCACTTGGGCAACACATCATGTCGACTCGCACCAGCTTCCCCGATTACCTGAGCCGGCAAAAGTGCTCGACAGAGTAGTTAGCATTAAATGACTACTCGTGCCCGCCCCCACTTTAAAGTGGTAGTAAGTACTTGAAAAGCGGTGGATTGTTAAGCGGTCCCTATTACAGTACCAAGCCATCGGTTTACTTTAAACATACCACCGTTTTAAGTGACGCTAATATTTCATCTCCTCAACCCTCGCTGAGGCCTGACTAAGTGCAATGCATCTAGGCAGGACTAACTTCGGCCGCATTAGATTGAATGACGCTAGATTTTTTTCTGGGAGTTCTAGCAGGACCAGTTTGGTCAGATTTTATACAGGAACTTTCCCCGTCATTGTACCGGCTTTCGACCTATGAATTCCACGTCGTCCCCCGCAACATATCGCCTAGATCTTCAATGAACTCTGCGGCCGCTTGCTCATTGATTCGGCCCTTGCTATTCGTATCGTCACATTTCCTCAATACATTTATGTTTCTCGGTATATTAAAGACTCAAAACCACGTATAACCGGAGTTCAGAGCCCGATCGACTCAACACCCGATTCTCGACAGTCGGGAATAAGCCCATGACTGTCCCCTGAACGCCCAAGACAACATCAAAGCGTCATCCTACCATGAAGGGCCTCTGGCTGCCGACATTATGGGCTCTCCTTGTGCTGGTCCTGGGCTTTGGCCAAAGCCTGCCCTCGGCTGAGGTCATTCACAGCATGGGCAAACGTGGCGTGGCAGTAAGCAAACCGGCACCTGATCCCGAACAACCAACGACCGTCTGGCGTGGTGAAAAGTTTCGGACTCCTCAGGAGGTTGAAGCCGCTGGCGGCATGTTCTCTCGAGGCCTTGAAAAACAGCGAAGAGGTGAAACCCTTACGAAGGAAGAAATTGAGAGTGGCAGCAGCTTGAGCATGCCAAGGGCAACAGAATAGCAAACTCGCAATATGTGTCGACGGCTTCAGATCCGGCCCTGGGGTTGCGGTTCGGTCGCGGTGGGGATCAAAACGGCGAGTCAAACGGATACCTCTATCGCATACACGCCGATACAAAAGCCATCGACGTGGATGCGTCCCTTGGCGGTACAGCCCTACAAAGGCCAAACAGAGCATGCATTCATAGGGGCATCCCATTCGACCAAATCGAAGGCTGGTACGAATTGAAGGGGATCAAAGACACAGACGTACTCGAAACGATTAAGCGAGGAGAGTCTCCGGGGCGTGTAGAATTCATTAAGAGCCCCAAGTTTAACGAAGAAAAGTATCGCTATCAGAAAGGAAGCGGAGCACGGCCTCAGATCGCCGGGTTTCCTGAGACCTCTGACGCATGGAAGGAAAAGCCGTGGAACCAATACAAGGACCAGAAAGTGTTAGATAATCTGGGCAATTTCTATTGGAACAAGGTATGTGGAGGCACAAGCTGCAACAAAGACTTCCAGCCTCTCGTTTCTCAGCCGCTGCCCCAACCAGATGCAGGCAAAGATGGGTCGTCGGGTCCAAATGAGAATGGGGAACCGCTGTGCAAGCGCAGCAATGGATGCAGAAATGGTGCAGAACCGGCCAACAAGAACCAAGAGGCCAACAAGAACAACGGCGAAAAGACAACGGGACCCCCGGCCGACAACAAACCCCCAGCCAACAACAAACCGCAGCCGCAGCCCGATATAAACCAACAGGGGAATACCGGAAAGCCCGGTCCCGAGCCAGATTCCGAACCGGTCAAGAACCGTCCGCAAAAAGCTCTGAAGACTTTTGGTTTTATTCCTGGCTTTACGTTCGGCCTTCTTACGGCAATTGTTACTTGTGAAGCACATGAAAAAATGGTAAGTTTCTAACCGTGACTAATGACAAATTTAACATCGGCGGTATGCTAATCGGCCTTGAGCGGAACCAGCAAGAGCAGGTGCATCCAGTGGCGCCGCCGCAGGACCTTACCCTTTGGGAGAGAATCAAAAAAATCCCTGAAACTCTACTCTCGATCGGGCCGACTTTCATAAAGCTATTTAGCGAGGAAAACTGGGTGGCTTTTAAGAAGTCTGGTGCCGACTTGCTAAAAGAGCTAGGGGGAATTCCAGAGGCGGTGAAAAGCGCTATACACGACCTCACAAATGCGGAAAATCTCGAGGCTTTCGAGAAGTCTGCTCGAGACCTCGGAAAAGGGTTAAGCGAAGTTCCGGGGGCGGTGGTAAGCGGTGTACATGACGTCGCAAACCCGGAAAATCATGACGCTTTTGCGAGGTCTCTTGGCGACCTCGCAAAAGCGGTAGGTGAAATTCCGGCTTCTTTGGAAGGGGGTTTTGACGACCTCAAAAAAGCCCCAACCGACATCGCAGCAGCATTTCAGAAGCTGCCTGGACAGCTGGCGAAAGCTGCTGCAGATTTCATGACTGAGTACAATAAGTTTGTAAGTTACCCATGACCGACGAGTCTGACTGCCAGTGACACTGCTGATAAACCTGTCAAATCTAGTTACCAGTAAGTTCTCACCATTACTAAACGAGTCTAATTGCCGACGGCATGCTGATACGGCTGGCAACTCTAGCCTGGTTCCAACCAGAGAAAAATTGCCGACTCTATTTTCCTAAGTTTGCCGCCAGCCATTCCACTGACTCAGTTCGCGAAGCTTTCAGTAGCTGGGAAGAGTTGGGTCCAGTGTTATACGGCGAATTCGCCAAAAGTTACGGCAAGTGTGGATCCACGCTCGGAAATATGAACAGTTCATCCATATGATTCGGCGGGCCCACAAGCATGGACCCGTTATAGCGCCCGGCCTCGACGTCGATTTGGCCCGAAAACCGACGGGCTTCCACGCACTAGATAACGTCGTGTCGCATCGAGCGGACCCTGTTTGGAAGGAGGATACTTGGTTCCTGTGTATGCAGATATCGGGGTCCCTCCTGACAGCTATTTAAGCTGGGATAGGCCTGCGAGGCGGATCGGTCGTCGGCGTGTCTCCTGGTGACGAAGCTGAAATGGCCCATAGCTGAACAGCCGGGCGGCCCATGCCACGGGGGAGGCGGTGTGATCAATGGTCATGAATGGGGTTGTCTGATAAGGCGAGGGGGCACCAGGGTGAAGCAAGTAAGATGGACGAGAGGCAAGCGAGCAAGCAAGCAGGTCAAGGTATGCGTCAGTCGTCGCTTACTAGGAAACCAGGCTTTCTAATCATACGCCATACGCCATACGGACCTCTATGGTTTATGGCGTATGGTTTATTCCCGTATGGTCAACTAAATCATATATGACCATACGGAAAATGACGTCATAGGCCACTATGTTCGCGTCGGGTGCCGATGATGCTGTTGTGTGTGATGTCCTCGAACAGTTCAATCTCCTCTACTGGCAGCCCTGCCGTTATCCCGCTGCGAATCCAGCTCTTCAAGCACTCCCCTTTTCAATTGTCGATGCTCCAAGAAGCATGCGATCCCATGAGATTGTACGCCGCGCCCCAGAGAAAGTGCGCTCAGGGTCAGCAGACATGGCAGGTATGGAGAGAATGTCTATTGCCATCTTTGATAATCGAGGAAAGCGCTCCTTCTGCTCAGCACGGAGCCACCAGGCGAGGAGAGCCATCGATTGGGATGGGCGGCTGAGAGGTGTAGGAGTCGTATTCGTCGGCGTCCTCTTCTGTGCCCACAACATCAAGCTCCTGTGCCAGCCGGTCATACTCATCGAGCTCCAATTCGGGAACGATAGAGGGAGTAGTAAGAACGGCGGGTAGGTTCTTGTATTCGTCTTCCCATGCTTTCTTCACCCTGCGAAAATGTTCTTATGCCACGCCTTTGGCCAATTCTTTTGTACGTGGGCTTTGCCTCTGGATGGATGAAGAATAAGGGCTGCACCATATGCCGGGCTCTCATCGGACAGCTGATAGTACTTGTCGAAAACGTACCAGCTCGTTAGCACCGGGCCTAGCAGCTGTTGATTCGTCCTGTATTTGTTGAAGGCAATTGATATACGGGCCCAACCACTTTACTACACGGGCGCTCCTTACACGGGCGGCGGTTTTAATTGGGCCAAAATTCTGCCGCCTGGTCCTTGCACGTGGCAGGGTCTGTAGCCCCACCACCTGGCAGAAGGGGTGACATCCCAGCTGCCAGTTCTGTAGTGACAACTAACTCTCCCACAACCAACTTTCCGTCTGAGCAATCATTCGGTTAAGCACCAACCGGCATGACATTGCACGAAGACCCAACTGCTGCCAACAGCGGCGACGGCTGTAGTAGATCCCTTCCGGGCTTGCCTCCATGCAAGCGCCGTAGACTTGCATCACGGGCTCGGGCTCAGCCTCCTTTCAATCCTGAACCGTATTACGGCCTTAACGACGATGATGCGTTATACAATCTCTTCGCGACATGGCCAGAAAGCTGCTTCACTAGCCTGCCAAGACCACACGGCTCTCGTGGCGTCTACGAGCCCTGGTGGAAACTACGTCAGTCACAAATATTCTTGGATGATAGCTTCCGAGGAGGTGGGGCTCGGCGGTTGTTCACCACAGGAATTCCTGATGCAGACAAACTCGAGAGACAGCGTCTACGCTGCCTCTTGAGGGTGGAGGAAGTCGATGCCCGCAAGCAGGTTGTGGCCCGCTTCCAGCCTGCCTTGACCTTGGCCTGGGAGCTGGCGGAGACAGATTCCTTATTGGCTCGCGAGTTGGCCAAGTGTCGAGAAGCGTCCGGCCCACGGCAAGCTATTTGGGAACGTGGAGACGATTGCCACGGCCGTATTGCGTCGCCCACTCCACTAGTATCATCGTTGAGCCAAGATGGACAGGAGTACGAAGAGTGGAACGGCTTCTCCGACGCCGAGTGTGGGGATTATAGCGACGTTGAACCTATTCCCAATCCACAAATCCCCGGTACTGCAGCTCCATCGATCGAGGCCCTTCACGCCGAGGTGAACGCATTCGCAAAACGAACGGGTTTGGCGTTGTCAGGCGAAATGGAACTGGGAGTCGAGCCAGAAAGACGCGATACGTATTGGAGTGCGATCGGTACGGTCAGCCACGCCCGTCTGAGGGGACTGGGCTTCGCCAGAGGCGGTCACGCAAGTCCGGCTGCAAGTGGAAGGTGATCGCGGAAGGCTTGGCAGAGAACAGCTATATGTGGACGCTACGAGCATTTCCCGACCCTGAGCACGGCCAACATAACCACGAACGGAGTATTAGCCTCTCCGCGCACCCAGTTCACCGAAGACTTACCAACCCTGTCAAGGCAACAATCGAAACAACAAGCCGGCGAGTTGGCATCCGGGCACGTGATGTAGGGGGACTTGTTCGGGACAGCCACCAGGAACCGTCTATATGAGAAGGGACATATATAACGCCAGGGCGCTTCTGCGCCGCGAGAATCTTGGCGGAATGAGCCCCACAGCCGCGTTAATCAAGCTTTTCGACGAGAGGGGCATCCCCTATATCGCCAAGTGGTCAGAGACCGAACCTGACCGGGAGCCAATAGGCTCACGGTACCCGCGAATCTAATATTTCGCGGGCACCGCGAAAATGACTAATCACAGTCCGTTGTCTGCGTAAAGCCATGATGCGGGTAGTCTGTCGGCACTGTGCTCGTCGTATGTGTGAGTCTACTGTCTACTAGAACTAAAGAGCTGCTAATATCAGTAGAGCCAACTACGGCTCGACGAAAATACAATCATCTGCCTCAACATGTGCAGAATACAGCATTTCCTGCTCTCGGCTGTCCTTTCTACCTGTCGCCAAATGTCGGCCACGCCCTCCGTGTGTTGGCTAACGGATTGTCTCCCATCTCCTTCATGATCTGGGCTTCAACACGCTGATCTTCTGCATGGCTCCAGTCAAGGTATGCCATCATTTCTTCTTTCGTCCATGCTCTCAACCCCGTTGTAGTGGCGCAATGCCTGGACATTTGTTTGTAGTCCATACACCATTCATAGCTTTGCTTGTCATACCTAGCTGGAAGCCTCATTGCCTTGCGGTATTGTTGGTTTGTCTTGATGCTGCCGGCCGGCTGCGCTGCATACCATGCGCTTCTTGCAGCGGTATAACTTTTGTGTATAGCTTCTGGTGAATCATATTTCGGCGGCGGTGGGGCTGGCAAGTCAGGTGAGATAGGTGGTGGCGATACCAGCAGCTCAGTGGCATCGCGGGCGGACCCGGTACGGGCCCGGAATCTTGGTCACCGGGAAAGGTCGTGGCAACTGAACCTATTTCGGCGTGAAAGGACTGACCCGACTGGGCAGGAGGATGGTCTGGAGCTGTAGTGGGCAGAATTGTAAGGGTTCCTGCGACACTCCCCAAATCCGTCGCCAGGGACGCATCAGTTGGCGGCTCAGTTGCAAGCTCTGGCTCCTGTGCGTCCAAAGCGGCTTGCACGTACTGGGATGACGGTACGATCTCCGATGGTGACACCGATCGTGAATGCATCGACGACGTAGTCTCTTGAAGCAGCTCTCCAAAGCGCAGCGGGCAGGCTTTCGCGGTCATCCTATGACCAACCGTATGGCACCTGCTGCATGTGGGTGGCGCTTTACGAGCCTCCTCGATACTCTCAAATGCACTGGGTTCTCTCCGAGTGCTCTGCTTGGGAATAGCCGAACTTGCTAAGGTCGACTCGATTCGCTGGCGCGGCTCTAGCAGCGGCCGGGAGTTCCATCCCGCTGCAGGTGCCAGTGCGTATGGAAGTGCTCAAGTAAGAGTACTTGTCCTTGCTCTTGCAAAGATTTTAGAGTGTGAAGGCAAGGCAGCCCGTGGGACTTGGTGAAAGCCCCCGTGCAAGTTGGCGGTGGGGGAGGATCTCTCCTACCAAGCATCTTCCGCTGCTCCTCCACCTTTCTCAGCGCTTCATGGGAGACCCAACCGCGCACTGAAGCGTATAAGGGCCCAGAGAGCTCAATTGGGACCCGAATCTGCTGTCGGGCTTGATTCGATCTCAAGTCTGACAGTTGATTGAGTAACGCGTGCTTCATCGCCCTCCAAGCCTCGAAAAGATTCGCATCTGCTCGTCCAGCATGACGACCGTCGTGAACCTCTTCCACAGTGCGTGCGCTTTGTCGTGCTGGTGACGCTGCTCGGCCTTGAACGAGTTGTCTACGTCCCACGAGATGGCCGCGCTAGGCAGGACGATCGACCTCTCTTGGACCGGCCGGAACTGCTGAAAATCTCCGCAGAAGAGGACGATGGGGATCCCCCCGAAATCTTGCCGCGATCCGCGAAGCCGGCGAAGCCGCTCGTTCACGGCGTGCAGCGTCCGCGCCCCGAGCATGCTCACCTCGTCGATGACGAGCACATCCTTCTCCTGCCAATCCATTCGAGACTGGCCGTGGATGAACCGCTCCGCCTGTTTCGGCAGCCGCACCCGTCAAGGTCTTTGACCATGTTCGCGCCCCGCCCCTTGGTCTTTAGTGAACCCGCAGGCGGGTGGATCGTGATGCCGTTGATCCGCGCCGCCGCAGTCCCCGACGTCGCCGTGATCAGCAGACGATTCGAAAGGCTCTTTTACTGAACAGCTCGACGAGTGCCTCGATGATTCGCGACTTGCCGGTACCGCCCTCGCCACCGACGAACTGGCGCAGCTGGCAGGCATCGCCCCGTCGGTCTGCTGAATCAAATCGAGCTGGCGGCATATTATCAGAAAAGCGATGGACTGCCTCTTGTTCAGCGTCAGCCGTGTTGCCAACACCTTGCCCGCCGCGAGGAAGGAGGTTGATGGGCCAAACTGAACGTCCATTCCCGCCCCTGCGTCGATAGCGGTCTCGTCGGAGTCGGCCATCGTCATTTCGACCTCGTCCTCCCCGAAACCGGTCATCACCCTTCGCAACGCTGCGCGGCGATCGCTTTCCCAGGCGGCGGGCGTGCTTTGTATCCCTTGGATCATCCTCTCCCTCTCCTTCGAGGCACTTACCTGCTGCGACTTGATAGCCTTGACCTGATCCTGCGGCGGTAGTGCGGCCCCGGAAAATACCCGCCCTGGCATGCTTAACCGCCCCTCCCTCGTTCGATCAGCGCCGTGGCCTCGAGCTCGGCCGTCGAGCGCAGCGCCGATTGCTGAAACCGACAGAGCTGCTGTATCATTGCCATGAGCTCCGGCGACTTGGCCGTCACCTGATTCGCTCCCACTGCACCTCGGACGACGTCGATGAGCCGCGTTGCGTCTCCGATGCTGTTGGGCTGATATGTCGCTGCAGACTCCGCGCCCGCCTCGCCTGCTCCACCCTCCTCGACGTGTGCGACCGTCGGGTCGCCATCGCCGGACGAGGCTGCCCATTGCTTGGCGTCGCGTTTTGCGTCTTCGGCGGATCGTCGAAGCAGCTGCACGTTGTCGACGAGACATGATATTCTCGGGGCCATAGCGTCTCGAGCCCGCGCCCAGATGCTGTTGATCTCACCTGTTCCTTCGCCCAGGAAGGACTCCCACGGCACGAACAGCGCAAGATGCTGCACGGCTGCCCTTCAGGGGGTGGGTTAGCCTCTCCGATAATGCCCGCTGACAGAGCAGTTGCCATACACACCTCCGGTAGCACGACTCGTCATCGTAGGTGAAGTCCTTGCTCAGGTAGCCGTCGAGGCAGACGGTAGCGTGCTTGCCCGGCCGCCTGAGCACCTGAACCCAGCGTCGTCCCGGCGCCCATCCATCCTCGAAAGACATCTCCCCCCAAGCCGCCCAGCTCTCGTCGTTGCCGATGCGTTTCAGTCTGACGATCGATATGTAGTCATACAGGCATAGGCCTTTCAGCAGCTCTCCCCGGTGCTGGTACGCCTCGACGTGGGAGATTCTCAGGCCTTCTTCTTCGACGACGACCGACTCATCCAAGGTGTCATCCATAGCCGCAGCGCCACTGGCTTCTCGGAGATGCCGCCATCGCCGAAAGACTTCCCAGTACAGCAGAGAACAGTTCAGGTACGCCCACGCGCTGCTGTCGGTGAACTCGGCCGGATATCCGAGAAGGTGAGCGACGACCTCGACCTGTGATAGCGGACGCTCCGTGAACACGCGGTTCGCCACTCTCATCAGGAACTGTCGCGTCCTGTTCCCTTGACAGGGTCATCGGTGGCAGCGTCTCCGCCACCGTCCCGCCCTCCGTTGGCCGTGCCATCACCTGTTGAGGCGGCCAGGAGCTCGGCCGCGGCCGCCACACGCTTCCACACCGGGTCCTCCACCTTGGTCGCGTAGTTCGTGACATAATAGATGAGGGCCATTGTCTTGCGCTGCGTCGCAATGAAGGAAATATCATGGTTGTGCCGGAGCCCGACAGCAATAGCCTCGTTCCATCGATTGACCATGCTGTGTGTCCTCCGGATCTGCAGCACCCCGTCTGCCGTGAGGGCGGTCTTGTCGACTAACCTCCATGGCGCCTTGAACCGGCAGAGGTCCCCTTCCGCCCTCCTTTGCCCAAGGAATACTTCACACAGGTCGGGCTATGCGTGTGCACCTGCGTCGCGCCGGCACAGAAGTTGGCCTCCTCGATAAACGCGGCCGAGAACTGCGCGGCGTTGTCCAGCAGCGAACCAATACCGCCCGTCACAGATCGCTCCGCTTGCACGGCGCAAAAACTTTCCTGGTCCAGATCCTGCCTTGCACGTCAACCCGGCCCCACTTGGCCATCAGAAGAGTACTTCAGGCTCCGGTGGCACATCTTAGGTAGGCATTCTTACCTCTGAGAAGACGCTATCGATGTATCGGACGATTCGCTCGCGATACGCCGCCTGATCCTCCCCGTGGATGTCGGCAAGCATCGAGCTGAGATGCGCGTTCCCGTGCAGCCAGAGCAAGCCGTGAACATGAAGCGCCCCTCGTTCGTTCGTCTCCACGGCGCCATAGTACTTGCCGATGCGCCCGAATACCGACTCTTCACCGACCTTCACGTAATGATCGAAGAATAGCTTCATCTCGCGGTGGAAGAACACGGCCGAGCTCATGGGATCCGATATCGCCAGCCGTGCCCGCTTATACGCATCCCCAAGGCCTTCTAAGAACTCCTCGGCCGCGTCGGGATCGCGTGTGCGGTATGCCGCCAGTCGCAGCTTCACCGGGTTCGTAATGTCGTTCGGGTTGATGGTGAACCAGATGGCCGGCACGCCATATCCGACGATGAGCGACTGGATTTTCCGCCGCATATTGAGACGGACCTCTCGACATGGGCTGCCGGTGGCCGTAAAGCGAGAGGCTCCTGAGAAGCTCCTTCACGTCACCATCGGTCGTCTTACCCGAGCTCTCCAACTCGACCCTCGCCGCCGCTAGCCTTTCTGTGGTCATCGAACGCACGATGCGCTCTACCTTGCGGAAGTTCTTCCTCCCCACACTCAACATGCTGACCCGGCGGTTCCTCGACCGCACCCCCATGTTGAAGACGAGAAATGCGAAGATGTGGTGCAGTGCAAATCGACCACCATGGCGCCGGAGCACGATCTCGGCCCACGCCTGAAGGTTCAAGCTTCGAGACGATACGGGGTCTCCCGCGGCCGCCTCTGCCTCGACAGCCCTGCCTCGCAAGTTGGCCGTGACCTTCCCCGCGTCGACCATGGTCTCTTCAACCAGCCTTGGTCCCCCAACGCCAAATGGGAACAGGGTCGGGAACGTCCTGGCAAAGAAGGACGCCTCAAAGGAATCGGTAAACTCACCCCCCCGCGAAACCCGGATGTATGGCTCACAACCACCGTCGCCACGCCCCCGAACCCCCCCGGCTAGGGACCCGACCCACGCTCTCGGGCCCGCACGGCCGTCGTCGGCACCTTCACCAACAGCGTCACAGGCAAACTGCAGCTTCTCCACGTCCGCGACGTCTGGCGGTCCGTCGAGCGCGAACATGCCAGAAGACGTCACCTCGTTGATCGCTGGAACGTTCTGGTCGGGGCAGGCGTCACTTCCATCGCGAACCGCGCCTTCTCCGTTGGGCCCGTGACCTTCACCCTGGCCGCCGGCTTCTTGTCCTTGGTTGAGCAGGGCGAAGAGCTCCTCGATCTCCACCGGCCCTCCTCGTCCATGGCGCGTTCCGTGGGCGGCACAACGTGCGCCGTCCGCGCTTTCTCCCACCCAGACGGCTCGTTCCGCTCCATACGATCGCACACCGACGACGGTACCCGTGTATCGAGTCTCCCAGCTCTCCATCTCCGCCGCGTCGATCTCGATCTCGGCGTAGTGGGGTTGTTCCGCTTCAGCCAGACAAGGGCCCTCTCGACCACCCGCCGCCTCACCGACAAGAGACTCGACAGGTCGCTCGGTGCCGGCTTCTCCGCGCCCTGCCACGAGATGTGGATCTCGTCCAGTGCTTGCAAAGGGGGTGGGAGCACTTTGGTGGCCAGCTCCTGCACATTGTTCGGAAACACTGTGATGTGCCCCTGACATGCCTCGGATACTTCACGCTCTGCCTCTGCCCGCCCGGAATGCTATATCTCGTGACAAACCCGTAACATGAGTTCAGCGAGATGAGCTTCTCTTCGACCGGCGTCAGTCCCTTGAGCTCATCGGGAACATGTGCTCGCAGCCAAGGCGACTGTGAAGGTGGATCGCCGGCGACAGGCTCCTGCGCGCCAGGCATCGGCCACACTCGGCGCACACCGACACGGACTCGCCCTCGGGAAAGCAACCCCGGCATGAAAATGGTGAGTGGCCGCCCTTTGGTACGCAGCTTGACAGCCACTGATCCCACATAATCTCCCTTAACTCTCCGCCCGTACACTTGCCGTAGCACAGCATGCAGGTCCGTATCGGCAACGTGCTCGCATCATGAAACGCCTGATAGAAATCTCGCACCGTCGACACCTTCCTCTCGAGCGGTATTGGCGTGCACCACGTCTGATCGTTAGACAATCTCTCCTTCAAGGCAAAGTCTTCCTCCAAAAAGCGCAGCACACTCGCCAGGTCTTCGGCCTGCAGCTCCCGTCTCCTATGCCTTCCGATTCCACTTCGGACCTGTTTTATCGCGCGCCCATCCCGGCTAGGAAGACGGGCTCTCTTCTCCCGCCTCCGGGACTGCCTCTGTCCGCGCAGCGAGCCGTCCGCTGCCTCTGCTGCGCCATCGTCCACACCCACCTGTGCCCTTGGCCGCCGAACCGGTCCCCGACGGAGCTTGGGCAAACCCCATGCAATCGATGCTGCAAATTGCGCCGTTCGTCTTAGGTCTTGGAAAGTCGTATCCTTGGGCTGGATAGGTCGGACCGTCGGTCCCTTTTCGAACGAACACCCGGGACACCGCCGGTCGCCGCCTTATCTCCCTGCCCGTCACCTTCAGGACCCATCTCCTGGGGCAAAACGGCCGATGAAGGGGTGGACTGTTAGAGCCCACTGCCCCTGGTCTCCACGTTCTGTAGGCAACACGAACCTCGGAAGCGGACTCGGTGACTGACGTTGCGCGGAATTTCCGCTGCTGACCAAATTACAGGACTTCCGTGCTCTGCTTGACCGCAAACCGCCTCGCGGCGGTCTTCTCGGCAGTGACTTTGCGATCGCCTCTGCATGCTTTCTCCATGCGGTTTCTTCGACCGCAGACTGCTTAGGCTGAATCAGCCGGAACGTTAATGCTTCATTCGCCACTGATCTGTATCTCCCGAACCGCCCCAACCTTGTCTCCCGTGCTCCGTGCCCCTTCTCGGAGTTGCCCTGTATCATCTCCGCACCCCGAAACAGGCACTCCCCCGTTCCTACCCTCTTCTCCATCCTCGACTGACAACGAACAGGCTCCACGGTGAGCGGCCGCCTCGCCTAGCTTCCCTGCAGGACTGTCCGCCATGCTACTGCCTCCTCGACGTCGACTAGCGTGGATTGGCAACAAGCTAGAAAGTTTTGGCTCCGGAGCACTTCCACTTGGATAATCTCGCTTCTTGGCGTACACTATTTCTTTCCGAGTGGGAAGCTTCCTAACGATCACTACTCTCATGGCCGTGGCGTTTCTTCCTTATAATGCTTGCCTATGGTACCGAAGCGATGCAATACTACTACCCTTTGTAATCCCCATTTACCCTCCCTATGTGCGTCCACCGTCCCGGCCCTCGGCTGGTCTCCACGTGCGACCTGCTACCCCAGCTTTGCCAAGGCGGCCCTTCCATCGCCGTGCTCTCTTTTGCGCACTCCAGCGAATCCTGGCTACTGCCGACCTCCGGCACATGGGGTGGCCGCGCCAACCGCCCGCCGCACACTTCCAACCATACTCTCCGGCCCTTCCAACGCCGTCCCACCCACCTTGCGCATCAGTTGCTCCATCAATATCTGCCACTCCACCTCGTCGAGCAACAGCCAAAAGGCTGCCGGCGATAACATGTCCACGGTGTCCCTCGTGCAACCGGACTACCCGGCTAGGTTTGCTCCCTCGCCACCACCAACGTCGCATCAACGGCCTTCATGCTAAAGCGACAGCCAGGATCCCCCTGCCTGTCCTCTTGTAGTCGCTAGCCACCGGAGTTTCGACTTGCAAACCCTCCTGGAGAGTTCTCGTGACCAACTCGCATCCTCCTCCTCAGGTCGTCCCCTATATCCGACTTCACCGTGTCCCAATAGTGGACTCGACACGGTCGGCACCCGCCTCGCTCAGCCGCACGCAATGCCCATCCAACTACCGACGACCGTCAAAGGGACCCCTGCAATACTACCATAACCTCTTTCTTTCCTTCACTCTCATTCGTTATTGTCGCCTTTGCTATCTACTCCATGCAACGATGACACCGAAGGGTACTGCTGGACTTTCTTTCTCCGCAGACTTACCCACACTAACCTTACTGTTCGCCGACCTCCAACTTCTCGCGACATAGTCATCACCCCTACTCAACTTCCAACCCCCGGCTCCCTACTTCACTCACGACCATAGAACCAGATGGTCGAGACTGTTCAAGAACCTCGCCAGCTCATTCCGCATACCCCGCTTCTGATCTATCACCTAGGTAGCATTCTCTGACTCTTAAGTCTCCCCGACCCTAGCCGCGAGCCCTCTTTCGAGCAGCAAGAAAACCTGCTTTATAGGATGCCCACCTCCACTCTGCGTAACCCCTCATTTACACTTCCACGGTGACTACATCTGCCATGTTCTCACGATGTCGGCCTCCCAGCTCAACGTCGATACCTCGTCCTCCCGCGGCAACCTCTTGACAGCCAGAAAAATGCTGGCGCCGACATGTCCATGATGGCCTTTGTCCAGCCCGGCTGCCCGGCTAGGTTCGCCTACCAGAATGAGCATCGTGTCAAAGGGCTCAACGCAGAAACCCTAGCGAGGTCTTCCTTCCCACGCCCTCATGGCTGTCGACTCCGGAGTATGCAGCAATCCGGTCAGATACTGGCAATCCATCGACCTGCATCTTCTTCAGCCTTAATATTTCCATATACAACCAACAGATAATCTCCTCGGAATGGACCGAACAATGGTTCTTCATGGTCGGCCGTGTTCATCCCTTTGCCCTGACGTGGGAAATCGAGCGACGTGATGGCTTGAGTCGGACGATGATAACATCACAGAATACACCGTCCCCGCGCTTATAGTCCGCGATCACAGCTACCAACCGTGAGTCTATGCTCCAAATCTCTCTGTCGCCACTGCCCTCCCTGACGATATCCATAGAATTGTCACTCGCACCCTCAGCTCGGTGGATACTTTCCCAACGATACAACCCATTGTCTCCTTCACGGGACCTGTCATCGGCTCCGGCCGCGACCTCCTGCATGGAAACTCGGCTGCGGCCCTTGACGACACCCAGCTGAGCTGCTGCGGCTTTGTCCAGCTCTCCACCTTTATTTGTCCTGGGATTCCCGGCAAACCCCTTCAAGGGCTTTCACCCTTCAAGTTTTCGTCATCTTCCCCATTCACGCTAATCCTTGGACCTCCCTATGCAAGAAGATGACCGAGAGGCGCGACAGCCAGTTCCAGTCGAACACTCTCTTCACCTGTACGGGCAAAATCGCCGGCTTACTGGATCACCAGATCATGAAACATGCCCCGGCTTTCGACCAAGACTATATCTTCATCGTCGTCCCCGACACGTGGACTTTCCACGACAAGGCCATGTCCGACCAGGCTTCTGCAACACAACTACTGCCGACGACACCCAAGAGCGCGGTCGGCAATCCCTCGGACTATAGCGTTGCGTTGGCCAGGTTTACCTCTACGAAGAAACCCAAGGCCGCCCAAAGCCCCGCCTCCCCCACGCCGCATGCTTCTGGCCCAGTCGATCCCCTTATGCTGGCATCAAGTCGGTCATTGCCCGATCCCTACCAAACCCCAACCAAGAGACCGCGACTTTCTCCCGAAACTTCCACCATAATCACCGACTGTGACGGTCAAGACTCCCAAATCCGATACCTCCTCCTTTCTGTCCCCGGAAGACCCCGCAGAGTCAGAGACGGACACCGAACAGGTCAATCACCAAGACACATCCGCCTCTGGCTCTATCAGACCTCCCGCGTCGATATCTTCCCGACCACTGCGCGCCCGACGTCCGCCCAAGAATATTCTCTAAACTTTAAAGCATCAAACGAAACAATACAACATGACAACATGTCTCATCATCCTCAAAATCAACTGCCAAAGGCTCGAATAGCACATTCTCTTCTCTTCTTGTTCTCCTTTTCATGAAGACGATCAAGTCAAAACTTCCCCAATATACTCCTTATTCTGTTTATACCTACGACTTATACCGGTAGCACATGTAAATTTTCCGAGCCTTCCACTCGCCCAGACATGCATTACCCACTCACATCTCTTCAACCCTGCCGTCTCTCCACGCCCTTTGAGTTTGCGCTTTTTAAACAAAATCTCCCTCCAGCGGCCTAGCCTGCCTCCCCGACGCTCTGTCTCGGTTTCACTCACGATAATGCTCTACGTCTCTCGCCGTGTCTCGTATCTCGACCTCACTCTTCTTCCTGTCTCCAATCTACTATCGCCAACTCTCTCTCTCTCTTCTGTAGCCAACTCTTCTCCGGTTCTCTTGTCGCCAAATTTCGTTCCGAAAGGCTTCTTTGCGCGAGCCGCGGCTGGCGAGCCTTCCTCTCGTTGAAGTTCAATTTCGTGGTCGCAGTCTCGGTGTGGGGGGAGTTTATCCGCCTCTGATTGGTCGAATGCCTTCAAGAATTCATGGTAGTGTTGTGGTACTTTTGTTGCAGGATCGATCAAAGTCTTGGGTTCGAGGGCTTTGTGAATGTCTTCGAGTGATGCCCTGAAAGGTACATATCGGCTGCTATTTTCCGGGAAGCTCGGAGTTCCTGTGTTTGTTGGTCCTTGGGGTTAAGGGAGGTGATTCCGTCCTGTAGCTGGAGCTCTCGGTTCATCTTGTCCATGTCTGTGAGTGCAGAGTCGAATCGGACCCGTCGGCGTGTTTTAGGTTCTACGAAGGTGGAGGCTTCTGTGATGACCCCAAGTTCAGCCAGCCTTTTGTCGATCTCATACAGTGATAATGAGAATACGTCGACGTCGCGGTTTTTGGTCAGCATGTGGAATGCGGCTGCGCCGACTCTTCGGGGGGATTGATGGGCGTGGCAGTATAGTCGTGGTTGCAGAACTTGACAAAGAGGGAGCTCCAGAAACAGGAAGTTGGTATTGTCCTTTCTCCATGCAGTATTTGCGGCAGTGATCAGAGTTGAAAGTGACCACATTCGTGCTCCAATTGACGATTGGGTTGTGATCTGTTAGCCAGGGTTTTCCAAGTATGACATTATACTTCCCAAGCTTCGTTACGTAAAAAAAGCATCTTCTCCTTGTGTCCCTTGATGTCCATGTTGAGCTTCACCACATGAGTGATGTCGCCAGCCGAGGAGGGTCTTCCATCGACTACGTTCAGCCGGCGACGGTTTCGTAATTCATAAAGCGTGAGTTTGTTGGTGTGCGCGAAGGATTCGTCTATAAACCCCTTTCCGGTGGCACCTGAGTCAAGCATTGCTTCGGTTTTAATCGGAGTGGAATTGTCTTCGATTAGGTTACAAGGCAGTAGCAAATGAGCTTGGTTGGTGTCCAGAGAAGAGAGCAGTAGATCGCCCTTTTTCTTGCGTCTCCTGCGGCGACTTCCGTCGGAGACTACACTTTCCGTCCTCCATGGTGCGGTGTCGCAATTGAGGAACGATGTTTGCCGAGCTGCACCAATGGCAGAGTCCATGCGTTGTGCAATAGGCTCTGCGTGCCGCTCTCTCTGCTTCCGTTTGGGGTCTACGACCAGAGGCGACATCTTTGGCCCCCCAGGTGATGACGCTCAAATCCATTGAATCCCCGCCGTTAGAGGTCGTCGATTGTGGCGTGGTGGAGGGTTGTAAGGTTGCTTTGTGATTTGCTGAGTTGTCGGTGTTTTTCTTGAAGTAATTGGCATTGACTTGACGGCATTCGTTATCGCAGATACGGACAAGGTCCATAAATTGACTAAGTTCGGTAGGTGTATCTTTGCCCTTAGTGAGAGAAAGTCTCCAGATAACGTTGTCGTGGAGGGCACGTCGGAGGTGAGCAATGAGCGCCCCACTATCCCAGTCGGTGAGCTTGGCGACGGCATACCATTCGGGGAGGAATGTCGTAAGGGATCTATGGCCTTGTTTCATGTCAAAGATTTTGAGTTGGGCGGTAGCTTTAGCGTCAATATCCCCGAAGGCTGACTGAAGGGTGCTTTTATGGCATTGACATCGTCGAAGAGAACCACCCCATCTTTAATGTTGTAGCGGACTTGGTCATGTGCTTTGCCTTTAAGGCATGAGACGACATATCCCATACGTTGAGGTTCCGAGTTCCACCAATCTTTATTCATTTCGAGCTTCAACTCGAGGTGCTGGAGGAAATTCGGCAGAAGCGTGGGGTCCTCTCCGGTGAAGGCCTCAGGATCAGGGTGTTCTGGTGTGCGGTGTGAAGCTCCCTTGACTGAATGATCTTTAGGTATGCTTCATTTTCTGCCATAAGACGGGCGATCGTTGCGTCTCCATCACTTTTAGAAATGAGCGTGTTTTCTAGGCGGGTTTGGAGGTCCTCCATGTCCCTTATTGTCGTCGTGGTCGAGGCACGTAGTGAATCGATTACCGCTTGCATACTGTATGCGGCATTGCATACGAGGAAGACTTCTTTCATGAGACCGGCTGGGTTAGCAACAAAGGCATTTCGGAACGTTTCATTGGTATTGCTGGCGTTGAGGAGGGGGCAGGGGGGCACTCGATCGACGGGTGTGGGGGCAGCGGTAGCCATTGGGTTGTTGACGGTGTGGTGGTTGAGGTGAGAATTTGGTTGCAGGGTGTTTTGGTGAGGTTTGAAAGCGACAAGTGCGGTTTAGAACTATCGAAATCAATAGTCACGTCGCGGACGGTGATCTATTGAGGAGGGGTAGTTGGTAGACAATATGTGACGGTACAAGTGCACGAACAAGGTCGGGTGCGACTTGGGTAAGGTGATTGTCTACGAAGAGAGAAGGAGGTTCCTAAGGAAGACTCTGACTTTCGCTATTTACATGAATCAAAGTGAGACATTTCATAAAGTATGAAAGTCACATGATCGTTCCCTCACAGGTTGTGAGTGGCGACCACACGGGTGTCCTCAATGGGGACAGCCGGGGTGACAGATGGCGTTGGCTCTAGGAGTTCAGACGAACGGGCTTGCTGGTGTTGTTGGAGTTCCAGGGCAATAAAACGTTCTTCAAACTGGGTGTTTCTTCGGGAACTCTCTTCTCTCAGACTTCGTATCTCGGCAACCAGGGCGCTGAGGACGTCCGGCTGCATGTTGTTGTTATCTTCGGCCATCGCGACTTCGCTGAACGCTAATAGTTCGACGGGACTCAGTTTGGTGTCTTCAGTGTCTTCGGTGTCTTCAGTGTCTTCAATGTCTTCAGTGATCTTGATAGTATGTGAAAGGCCTCTAGTGAGTTGATACAACTAACTAGTCCCTATGCTGTTTACTATCAAGATAGAGAAGAAAGAAAGAAAGAAAGAGAATCTACTACATGAGAGCACAATAGTATTTTATAGCTTCGAGCCAATGGAAGGTTCTAGAAGCTAGGCGGCGCAGCCGCCGTTAAAGCGGCTTGCCCGTTACAGATCCCTTCAAACCATTCATGAATGGCCTGAATTGGCCCAAACCCAACTTGAATCGCGAAAATTGGAGCTTGAAGATTTTGAATCGAGATCCCAAAAATTCAATTCATTTGATTCATCCTTCATTCAAAATCTTCAAAAAATTCACCTTCGTATATCACCCCTATCCACGGTCGGCCCTGATGGTACCCGCAACGAACCCTTCGACTCCCAATGCTTTGTTGGCAAAAACTGGATATCCCGTTTTATTAAACGCAAGGGATATCATATTATGAAGCAAAAGGTACTCGATAACCAACGCAAGCTTGCCGAATCAGTCCCGCACGTTACCGAGTACTTCAAGAAGCTCCACGAGACGATTGCCTCGTACGGGATTAACCCGGCTGATATCTGGAATATGGACGAGACGGGCTTCCGTATTGGTATTGGCAGGGACCAAGTTGTCGTCACGAAATCAAGGCGATCGCAATACTTTGGTATTGAGGAAAACAGGGAGTCGGCAACAGCCGTTGAAGCGATTTCTGCCGATGGTCGATACATCCCTGCGTTTTTGATCCTATCCGGCAAGGTCCACCTCGAACAGTGGTACGACATCAAGGAGCTAGATGGCGATACCCTTATTGGTGTTACGGAAACGGGATTTACGAACGATCAGCTCAATCTAGCGTGGATTCAACATTTCGATAAGCATGCAAAGAGCAAAGGTGCTTGGAGGCTATTGCTCCTTGACGGCCACGGCTCCCACCATACCCTTGACCTTATCGAGTACGCTGAAGCCCATAATATTGTGCTCTTTGCATTGCCTCCGCATCTTACGCATCTCCTTCAACCGCTTGACGTCGTGGTATTTCAGCCGTATAAACATTACCACAGTCGGGCAGTCGATTTTGCTATTCGCAGTGGTGCGAGTAAAATCACCAAGCTGGAGTTCCTCGCTATGATCCAATCAATCCGCGTCAAAGCCTTCAAGGAGTCTACAATCCTCTCGGCATTCAAAAAAACAGGAATCCACCCATTCAATCCAAAGCCAATCCTCGAGAGACTCAAAGAGAGGTACGGGACCAGACGCCGCCGACAGAGCTACCTGCAGAGCCGTATTCATCCCCTTTGGTCCCCCCATACCGTACGGAAGTTTGAATCAGTTGGCCAACGTCTCCTTGAGTTTGACCCAATTGATGATATTGAGAAGGAGGTCTTCGTACATAACCTTCAACGCTACGTTAAAGGTGCAATCTCCCAAGGCCACGAGTTAAAGCAAACGATGGTCGATCTGTACAATACCAAGCTTGCCGAGCAGCAACGCCAAGGCCGGAAGAAATACAAGAACCGCCACCTTCAAAGCGGTGGAGTACTGACTGTAGACGAAGGGAGGGCTATTGCGAAGTCAAAGGAAGATATTCGCATTGCAAAAGCAGAAAAGTTGGTACTGGCGAAGCAAAAGAGGGAGAAAAGGGCGATTGAGCTCGAGGAGCGACGGGCAGCCCGGGCGGCTAAGAAAGCCGAAAAAGAAGCCCAACGATCAGCTTTATAAGCTACAAAGGTCAAAAATAGGTAGACTATTGCGGCCAGTATTCAATTATCGTATGCATCAATTTTTAACTTTTTTTGCCGTTTTATTATTAAATTAAGTTGGCGTTGAAGCCGTCAAGTGACACAGCCAGGTGGTTGACACAGACAGGTGGTGAGGACCCACTTTACGTGGGTCTGTGGGACGAGTAGCACCTCCCCTTGTACTCTTACTTTCTTGGCATTGACTTATTGCGAGCGTCTTTGACGAAACCCTCTGCCGACAAGCTGGGTAAAAGATGACCACGTCCCGTTGGCAAAGCTAGTTGCCGACCTTGGAGCTCTTGCTTCCGCCACTGGCGCTACCACCGCCAGAAGACTTGTAGGTAGAGCCGCCTTGGCCGTCGTTGTAGTAGGAGCTTCCGTTGGGGTTGGAGTAGTAGTATGAACCGTTGCTGTGTTGTCGACGTGTTAGTAGATCGCGGGATTGGGTTCAGAGGGTCAAGGCAAGGGAGACGTGCGAGTTGGAGTAGTGATAGGAGTTGCTGTTGGAAGCGCCGCTGCCGTAGTCACGAGAGCAGTAGTGGTTGCCCTGTTCCGCGTCAGTACGTCGATATCGTGCTCTGGGTGTTGCGGATATGGATGGGGGAGGAAAGGGGGCCCAACCTTGCTGTTGGTGCCAGAGCTCTTGTACTCGTAGGATGGCATGGCTGTGAGTTTCTAAGGATAGCTGCGTGGGATATTTCGAAGACGATTACACTTGACAGACAGGTTATAGCTGATTGAAGAGAGGGGAGACAAGGTGAGGGGGAAGGCGGACTCATATTACTCGTTGCCCGCCCCACTTAGATGGAACCAAGGCGAATCCCAATAAAGTGGGGCGGGCATTACCCGTGCCGCGCCGCGGCCAATACATGGGCGCATGTATTGGCCGCCGCCGTCCCTTCCAAGAAGTTACCCGCAGTGGCAGTACTTGGCACAGTTCGGCTACACACTGTAGTGAACTTGCTGCCTCGAGAGACCTGGATAACAAATGTGTCGCGGAGGCCACCCACAATAGGCCTAGGGCAGTATCTAGAGGAGGTTCTTTGGGAGACCGTGTCCACACGGTCACCTATTTCTGCGGGCACGGTGGACTCAAGTCCGACCTTTCTTCTATAGCCTCATATACATCTTTTCCTGAGACCCGCTAGTCAGTAGCGAGAAAATGTCAGCTCAACGATAGCCTCGCAGAAATTGGCGCCGTCGAGTACCGTAGGTCGAGTCGAAATTCTACCCCCGAGAACCGTAAGCCGAACCTATCGAGCCAAAATCCGCTTCCCAGCAAAGAAGCGCCAATACAACCCTCACCGCCATGCCCTTGACGAGACATACGCGGCCGGAACGAGACGATAACAAGACCTTCCGGGTCTTCCAGGCCAACGAGGCAAGATCCCGCCGACGCACGACTGCGCCCTCACACTCGACGACTCTGAGCAATACGGACGCAGTCCTTTTACAGGAGCGTTGGACAGAAGCAAAGAACTCCCATTGTGTCGTACCAGCCGCCAAAAGTGGAGGTGTAGGCCACCTCCGCTAGAGGCGACTGGTACCGTTGTATACGCAGATTCCGACAACACATTGCCTCACCAAAACCCCACCCGGCCTACGACACCTTCTCCTCGTTGACAGCCGGCCGGGATAGCAATAGTACCGAGCGGAGTCACGACATATGTCCCGCTGAAGTCTCAGACTGCAGCTGGCAGCTGCTCATGCCATTGCACGCCCAGAACGCTCTATATGCACAGAAGTTATAAACCCACCACATGCAGTAGTCCAGACACTACACAGACAGCCATATCTTTGCCGTGCCTCGACTCGGATAGAACACAACACACATAGCCGCCAAGTGCGTCGTGGCCAACCTATTTCCTCCCTTAACCTTGCTGACTCCGAGCAATTCGCCTGCTTGGTGATGGATGAGATCCACGGCGACCACGGGGGTAGTGTCGTCGAACTCTGTAGGGGTAATCGGCAGTGGTTTGCTCAGCTTGTCGTTATCGACGAACAAGGTGCGGAAGAAGGCTGTGTCCATTTGGAGCTGTCAGGTCTTAGCTTGTGTCCGATGGAAACAAGGTGGTGACTTGCATCTATCACTGTCCGATTAAGCGAGTACTTATTTAAAGCCAATGCTGCCTTAACGCGGTCTCCAATCTGCTTCTTGTCCATCGAGCAAGTGCCAACATTCTTGACGGCATTCTTGGATTTGGCTGTCGTACGAGCCTTCTTTGTCGGATTGTCCTGGTCGACCTCTACGGGTGAAGACGCATGCTGTTTATTGGTCACTGGCATGCGTCGATTGAGATTGCTTGTGATGATGTGACAGCGTACCTTTCGTGTTTCAACCATATCTTCCAACTTTTCAAGACGCAGAGTCGGAATACGGAAGGGAGAGAAGCGATCTGAAACATAAAGACAAAGGCGCGTTGGAGAAGGTGGAAGTAATGGTCTCATCAAAATCTCGCAGGTTTTGAAGCGCGCCACGCGCCACGCGTCACGGAAAATCTATTTACCGCCTAAGCAAGAACTTCCTTGTCGCCACGTGCCTAGATCTCACCACGTTTACGAAAAGGGACCTCATCAGTACCGCATTTACCACTCGACAGAAGCGTTACGTGAATTTGGCCGCCGGAGTCCGCTAACGTGCTCTCACGGCGACAGGTTGCCGTGACCCCTTCCTGGACCTGCATCCACTGTGCTTCAAAGCCATAAGGTAGCGACGTCGCAAGTTCACCACGACCTCGGAGCCTCCATTCAGCTCGAAGCCCTCCCGGTCTGGCCATGGTGACCAAGTCGCCTACCACCCGGAACTCGTCGCCGGCTTCCTTTTACGCGGCAAAGGACTCGGAGACGCAAGGGTCGGCAACATCCAGCAGTCCTGCCACTCCCTGTCCGTACAGTGAGGCGCGACAGCTGCCTCGCGAGCTCAAAGACCATTGCCAGATTTTTCTCGAAGAACAAATCCGTATAGGCACCCTTTTCCGTCTTTCTATTCGCGCGTTCTTTTATTCTCGGGGGAGACGGGACTGATTGAGGCTTTAGATACTTGTGCCATCAATTTGCTCAACAGCATGCTAGGCTCCGGCATTTCCCGGCAAGTTCCAACCAGCAAGACCGTGCCGGTGCCGCCCCCTAGCCATCTCGCACTTTTGGGCACGCTGGTTATTCATCCGTTGCATACGACTCGTGCAGACAAGCCGGATCACCTGATCGTGTCCTCCCTGGCGCTTAATTACTTGCGCAACGTCCTGACCATCGCTGGGCCCATCAACGCCGGATTCCGCGTCGCCTTCCAGTTCCACTCGACACCGAGATGGGCCCGCCAATCCGATCGTCCTGGCTCTGCCAGCGATAGCGACATGTCCGACGGCGGCTCGAACGGCGACCTGGATCAGTTGCGGGGTGCAATGGCAAATGAGGCGAGTGTTTGGAGCCGAGGCCAGGACTTGTGGTCCACGGTGGGCTGGGCTTTCAACACGGCGACAGTGCATCCTCACCGGTGGCGCTACTGGAAAGTGTGGCTCGGGTTCATGCTCGACGTCCTCGATGCCGACTGGGCCGAGAGGAAGACTTGATCAGGAGGCCCACGAAACCAGTGGCAAGCGCGGACACGAGTCCGTTGCGTGGCGCACGGAATCCATGATTTACATGTATATGAATCAGGACGGTCGTCAGACGGGACACAAGCGAATTATGAACGCGCTCTTTGCCGACGGGGGAAGCCAATCCTTATCTGCCTTCTTGGAGGTGTTCGAAAAGGAGCTAAGGGGGCCTAAGAAGGCGTCGAGAAAACGGAAATGGGAGCAAGCCCTCGACCTGAAAAGCGACAAGTTCGGCGACTACTTTGATGCTGATTCGATATCATCCAGTATTTCTGAGCCGCCAACGCCGGAAAAGCGCCGCGGCGCGAGCAGGGATGTCTCGTTTGGCTGTTCGAATCCCGGTCTAGTCGAATCAATACGTCTTCGACTGAGGTTCTTCAAGCTTCTCTCTGCTGCCACCTCGGTGCTTCGCTGGCGGTTGGACCTTAACCAGCTCCACGATGGCTTTGCGGCAGGCATCAAGCTGCTCCCTCTGCAGATGTTTGCTCTGTTTGTGTCACGACGAGAGAACCCACTGCTACCCGCATCATATGTCACCATTATCAAGAAGCTGTTCCATTTGCTGCTGCCTTCCCGGCACAAGGATCCTAGAAATGTGGATCCAGAAGGCCATGCCATGGGCAGCTTGAGCTTACCCATGCTGGAGCACTGCTACATTTCGTCGCCTGCCAATACGGTCGGGTTGGAGGACAACGCGAAGCTCTCTCTGGTGGTCGAGCAAGCGATGCAGCTGTTATGGGATTGCGAAATGATGAAGTGCACGGACAGCTTTGCCAAAGCAGCCTTGAGAGGCGTCGAGGCGCGAGAGGCAAAGGCGAAGAAGAGGGGAATGGGCAAGCGTCGCGCACATTCCGGCTCTATCGTGGCCCGGGATGTCTTGGCTGGCTCTGCCGAAAGAATCCGTATGTTGATACAGTTACTGGAGGCATCGGCTGACTCGGACAGTGAGAAGCAGCAAGCCTTGAACTCGACCACCGACTCAGTAGAAAATTGTATCGTAGTCAAATTGTAGCAAGTTCTACACAAAGCTATCTCACTTGGTCGGCGATCGCAATCGTAGCGCCGAAAGCGCGATTGACAGCCTGAACTATCTCGGTGTGAAAGGCCTCTAGTGAGTTGATACAACTAACTACCATGCTTACCCCCCCCCTTCTGCTCACCCCCCCCTTATGCTCCGCAAAAATGTTGCCGCTCCATACAAATTGGACCAACTTCACTTATACAGAATCTACTCAATTTTAAAGCTTTTGACGAACAGAAAAGGGTCGTCGGCACAAAGATCAAAGAGTCGTGGTCCTTCTCCGTCATCTTTAGTGTCGCGCTTTCGCTTAGCCGAGCTGGATGGCTTGTGCCGGCCAGTGAGACTGTTTAATAGGGCCATTCTCGATGCCGTGTATGGTGGGACTAGCTCAGCAGAGGTCCAGAAAGAAGAACTATTGAATCCGTTTGGTAGAGGTGGGCAAATTGTCGAATGGAAGAAAAAACAGGTTACGCGTCTTGGAGCACAGACCATCTCGGATACGGATACGGATTTTATTTCACCCGCAGAGAAGTCCCTTGGCAAGTACTCGACACTTCGGCACGGAATAGCAGGCTGCCCGAGTGGCTAGAGGGCGCGCAATTTCTTCCCACATCGTCAACCTCAACTTCATCTCATCCTACACTGCGTCTGCAGCCCGACGTGGCCATGCGCGATTGTGCTGATTGCGGCCGCAATCTCCCTCGTACTTCCTTTACGGCAAATCAATATTCCAAGGGTCCCGGCGTGTCGCGATGCGTGAGTTGCGTCCATGGCCATCACTCCGACGCCCAGTCCGCGAGGCAGCTCGATAGCGGCAGATACAACAAGTCCGGCAGAAGTTCCATTCCATATGATGAACTAGAGAATCCTTTTGCCGAAGGGGCTTTCCGCTGGGTAGCCCAGGCCCCAGGGGGAATACACGTCAGGTCCTCGTCAAGGCGAAGCGTGTGTTGTTAAGTGGTTTAAGACGGGCGCAGTCTTCTCTAACGACTACTTCACTCTCGACATCAAGGCTGTCGATAAGGCCCTAGAGATTGTCAATATGTTCAACCAATTAAGAATCGTCAACAAAGCCGTTAAGATCAACGTACCCCAGGTATGGCGATTTGAGGACGATGGCAGTTCCGACGAGTGGTCAGGTCAAAGACATCTTTGCGAGCCTTTTATCCAAGACTACCAAAAGTTCAACAGCAATAGCGGATGGAGCGACGACTCGGATGCATGGGCCGAGGTTATGCAAGCCCTTAGTCACTTTAGCTACCACCTCTCGGGCGGCAACTACGTTCTATGCGACCTCCAAGGCGGCATATACCAACACGAGGTCGTCCTCTCGGACCCCGTTATTCTGTCCCGGAACCGGGAGTACGGTGTAACTGATCTTGGCTCCGATGGTATCAGCTCCTTCTTCAGTCAGCATAACTGCAACCAATTCTGTCGCCCCAACTGGACTCAGCCTGCTAACCCAATTCAATACTTTCGTCCCGTCGCCGGTACTACTATGATTGGACGGTCGGTGCCTACACGCCATTCCCGACCTGCAAGAACGAGGTTCTATGGCTAGTGTCCAGGACTCCTACTACTGCTGTAGGGACAGGATGTCATGTATTTCATCAAAATACGCCCCTACCATCTGTGCTCGGTTCAGCCAGTAACCTTCCCTTATTCCGCATGCATGAGCCCAAACAGTGGAGGCATAGTCCATAGCAGGCGCAACCGCAGCCGTGAACTGTCTGGCCACCCTGGGCGACAACGCACGCAACAGCGTGTTGAGGACAACGAAAGGCCACGCCTTATGGCGGGCAAAACGTCCATCACGCCATCTCATCGCATGGCCAAGGTAGTCCTGGTACGTGATGCTCCGTAAGCGAGGCTCCACGAAGTCGGCCTTGCCGTCAGGGTAGAGGGTGGGGAACGCGAGCGTTAACAGCGGCTGGGAACGGTTGAACTCGTTGATAGGGGTCCTGCGAATGGAAGGCAATGGCATCTGGTGGTGAGCCTGCGCGCTACGCGGCATGTACTCCAGATCAGTCACACGTTCAGGGTCAAGGGTACCGTTGAGAGATCTGGACTGCAAAGCGTTCAATTCGGTATCGGTAGCCTGCAAATTCGATATCGCTGATGCGTCGGCATCGCTAGGATCCTCATCCACAGCCTCCTCAACAGGGCCTTGGGGGACCTCGCCGTCAGGTGTGTCAGCCACTTGGCTTGCAATGGAACCAGCTATGCTGCCATCAAGAGGAAGCCGTTGCAGGCGATCCTGGCTCACGACAATATCGCGATAGCCCGGGTGGTGGGACTGTAGGTAATGCAGCCTGGTCAATAGGCATGAACGGCGTACCCGGAAATCGCGAGCAAACTGTTGCTGGAAGCGAGGGTCGCCTTCCATATTAGGAGGCCGTAGTAGCACGATATCTAGCTCCTCCGGTAGCACTGGGAGCTCTTCAAATAGCCTACCAACGTTGCGAAGAAAGTGGACAACGTGGCCGCGATATTTGTATTGAGCGCCACGCACTTGTAGGACCTTGACATGTACGTGAACCCGAGCAATGAGCATCTCCTCGACCATCGTTAGATCAGGTAGATTGCCGGGGACTTCCCCGAAGTCAAGGTTATTCGCAGCGCTAAAGAAGTAGGGCTCGTTAGGGGCTTTCTTCCTGTCTCGACCAATGCAGCGACTGCAGATTTTTAAGCGATTTCGCTTCATATCAAACCAACGCCGGATGGACGGACAACCATATCGCTATTGAGTGGCTTGAGAGGGTCTATTTGCCCCAGACGCGACCAGCCGATGCCTCAGATGCTAGACTGATCATATTAGATGGACATGGAAGTCATGCAACGGTGCGTTTCTTTATCCACCTCTGTAGGAATTACTGTTAACCGGGACCAGGATGCATGGATGGCCACATGCTTTTTGAACAACGTTTATTGCTGTTACCTTCCTGCCCACTGCTCTCATGGCCTCCAGAGTCGCGCGTGGAAGCTGGGACGAGCTCAGCTCAAAATTCGCGGGGGGATGGCGGACTACCCATCTTTTCAGCCAGGTTATGTATGACTCAAGCGCTTTATACAGCGGCATAGAGAACTCTTCCACCGTCGAAGAGCAGCAGCGCGAGACATCAAACGGAAGGCTATGCAAGATCGCATCCACGTTGAGGCTTTTTTTCGCGGCTGGTCTCAAACGATCGAGAAAGACGAGATTCTCCTAAGAACACCTGGAATTTCGACGAGACAGGCTTCATGGTGGGATATCTACATAAAGGCACATTTATTTGGACCTTCCGCGAGATTGATACCCTATTTTATCTGACGCTCACGATACAGTGTCGGTCACAGCGATTGAGGCTATTTCTGCAGCTGGGAGTTGCATTCCTTCGTTTGTGATACTCCTGGAGTCCAAATTCCTGCCCGTTGGGTTACCAACAGCCTTGACGACGATACCATCATTTCAACCAGCCAAAGGGGTATATTAACGATGTCATCGCGATTGAATGGATCAAACACTTCGAGAAACACACGAGACCGGTTGATCCACTTCAGAAGCGGCTTCTACTATGGATAGCTGTGATAATCACTATACAGAAGAGATGGTTCACTTCTGCTTCGATCACAACATTAAGGTCTTCCCAATGCCTCCCCATCTTACACATCAGCTTCAACCTCTTGATGTCGGCGTTTTTAGGTCATACAAACACTGGCATCAACAAGTTCTACATCGTGAGATTGCTGACGGGGCATATGACTTTAACAAGTCCGATTTTCTATATCATCTCCAAGAGGTCCGCACTCGCACCTTCAAAAAGCACACAATTCTCTCATCTTGGCAAAAATGTGGCCTCTTCCCATTCAATCCCGGGATCGTGCTCTCCCAGCTTCAAGACACGCTCGTCGCTCACAGAAGAAGTGGCCATTAAGGACCTGCCGGGCTCGATCGAAAGCGAGCCTCAGGGCGGGCCTCAGGCAGCAAGACCATCAACACCATCGCCACACACGCCGCCCTCGATTCAACGATTCAACTGGAACAATGTTTCAACGCCGAGACTCAACCTCTCTACGATTCAGAGGTATCACGCCTACGTACAGCTTCGTCTAGCCACATCAGTTGACTCCCACATGCCGTTGACTCCCTCCGTCACATACGTCTATGAGAAGGCGCGGAAAGCCGACAAAACCCTCGCTCTCAACGGCATCACCGCAACGGCCGAGATGACGAAGATAAAAGAGAAACAAGCCAAGCGCTCCAGTCTCCAGCAACAGACAACTATTGTAGCGAGATACGGCCCATTAAGCGTCGGTGACGCTAGAATTCGAGTCGCCCGAGACGAATACAATGACAAGCGGCACAAGAAGAGGAGGCACAGAGAGTCAGGAATAAGGAGGTTCGCGACGAAGCTGGCTATATACGCCGCTGGCTTCGCAAGGTACGCTTCAACGTCAGGATTAGCATCACAGAGGCGAAGATTCGAGACATCAGAGGTCTCTGGGCCAAGGGCGACAAGCGCGCACACCTCAATTGCAATGAGTGGATGTGCGCAAGCTACAGGATTCTCCGCGAGCTACACAACCGCGGCGTAGGGCAAAGCAAGGCGATCATGTGGCCGGAGTACTATGATCGCGAGATTGTAAAGGAAGCAGCCGAATTAGTGGTGATGGAGGCAAATAAGCGTGCTATTTGCCGTCAGACGTTCTCCTTGGAAGCTGACGGCATCGAGATGCGATAAAGAGGAATCATAAGACGCGCTCGAGGCTGGGAAGGAAGAAGAAATCGAATAGAGCTCAATTCGATGCCAAAACACCAAAAACACCTCAAAGGCAGTATGGTGATGCAATTGCATTGCTGTGACTAGCTTGCAATAAAGCGAACATGTGTTGCACTTATCGCGGGAAGAGAGGTACTTTTAAGTTCTAGCAAAATGGCGGGGCTCTTATGTACTTCTTTTTTTCCAGGTCAACGAGCTTTTTCTAGGTCAACCGCCCCCCCGTGACTGCGGAGCTGTCACGGGGATTGGCCGACTTTGAGGCCCCCCTAGTACTCGAATCAAGTGTATGTGACATGGGGCGGATGAGTACCGTCCCCACCGGGAGGGACGGTATCGCCAAGGCTTTCGTCTCCTCGGACTGCAGAAGAATGCCGAGCGGTGGCCCGAAGTGGATGGTCACGTCATCCGCCAAGTGGTGGTATCCTGGGAGATTGGGATCGAGTATTACGTTCACGGCAGTAAAGTCTGCCCCATTAACCACTTTCAAGCCAGTGTAGATGTTCTTGTTCACAACCACAGGCATGCCCTGAGCGTAGAAGAAGACGGGGGACCTTGCAAGCGGAGTCGTCACCTTGTCCTATGGTTCGCGCTATGATGTTTGGAGAAAGCGTGCCGTTGCGCCAGGTGTGAGTCGAGACAAAGATACGGATATGCTGCTTGTTGAAGCGCGCCCAGCCCACGACAGCTTCCATGTTGAGGGCCCACCGGGTGCGGTTCAGTGGCGTTATAGCACGCAAACCATCGTGGAAGGTGATTTGGGAGCGTCCTACAATGTTGGTATTGAGCAAGCTCAGATCTTGCTGGGTCTGCCGCCCGTTACGGACTCGATCCAGGAGTGCGCGGACTTGGTCTTCGAGGAGCACAACAGTTTTGAACATATGCCACAATCTGCAGCCGCTGTGGGGGAGAGATGGTCGCTTGTCGCAGGGGGGTCTGTGTTCGGTCCGGCGGTCTGTTGATCAGGAGGCTTGTTTCCCGCACGGGGGCGAACTGGTAGAAGTCTCCCATCAGTAGAACGACAGGCATCCCACCAAACGGCTCGTCCGGACAGTCACGGAGTGCCTGGAGATGACGACTGACGTTGTGCAGAGTGGCCCCCCCCCCCAGCATACTGACCTCGTCAATCACGAGGACCAGCTTCTGTTTCAATATCCATTTCTTCGCCTCCGAGAAGGGGGGAGGCGGTTTGTTTGGATCGTGATGGGAATCTAACCCACACGCCGAGTGGATGGTCGTGCCGCCAATCTGAGCCGCCGAACTGCCAGATGTGCCGGTTATCTGCAGAAGATGTGGTTGGTTCCTCGCCGCGAACACGTCCTTTAGGGCATCGATGATCCTCGACTTTCCTGTGCCACCCGGCCCGCCGGTATATTGAAGATGCTGACCGGCTGAGTCCTGATTAGCGGTATACCTGTCCAGAAATGCGCAAACAAGTTGAAGGGCCACGGTCTGTAGATAGTTCAGTGTGAAGGTGGCTGCAGCGGTGTGTCCCATCTCCGCGAAGCTAGTCACCGGGCTGATGTCGACAAGCATTCGAGGCCCTTGTTGATTGAGGTCACTTCCCGGGTGCGCAATGGTGGGCTCCGTATCGCCGTAGCGAGCTAGGGTATCGTCGATGTCGGCGCCATCCGTGGAAAGCATGGTCCGCTGAGAACCACTCTCAATGTCGTCTAGCATCCGAAGATGCAATAGTTGTTGGGCCTTGGCCGCTGCTTGGACATCGTCTCGAGATATTGAAATTGGCACAAGGCGTCACCTTGATCATGGGGTATATTCTGGTACAAATCCACCTGACGGGTGAGCCGGAATCCAGAAAAGTGGAGCGGGCACGAGTAATATTAAGTCCGCCTTCCACTCGCTCTGTTTCCCTCTCTTCAATCAGCCATAACCTGTCTCTCAAGTGCAATCATCTTCGAAATATCCCACGCAATTATCCTTTCAAACTCATAGCCATGCCATCCTACGAGTACAAGAGCTCTGGCACCAACAGCAAGGTTGGGCCCCCTTTCCTCCCCATCCACATACGCCACACCTATAGCACGATATCGACGTACTGACGCGGAACAGGGCAACCACTACTGCTCTCGCGACTACGGCAGCGGTGCTTCCAACGGCAACTCCTATCACTACTCCAACTCGCACGTCTCCCCTTGCCTTGACCCCTCTCAACCAATTCCCAGTCATCTACTAACACGCCGACGACAACACAGCAACGGTTCATACTACTACTCCAACCCCAACGGAAGCTCTTACTACAACGACGGCCAAGGCGGCTCTACCTACAAGTCTTCTGGCGGTGGCAGCGGCAATGGCGGAAGCAAGGGCTCCAAGAGCGGCAAATAGCTTGGCCAATGGGACGTGGTCATCTTTTACCCGGCTTGTCGGCAGAGGGTTTCGTCAAAGATGCTCGCCATACACTGCTTGGCGTAGTCAAAGATACCCATGATAGGCATAAAGACAAGCCCCAGGATGAAAGATCTAGGCAGAGTTCCAGACATTTGCAGAGCTACGTGTCATCCTTCCTGCGCCAGTTTTGAGATGCCGTGGCCTTGATGTTCGACGACACCGCGTTCCCAGCATGACCCCCGGGATCCTTCTCTTCGTTATATGCGCGGCGACCGCCGTAGCTGGCATTCGATTAACATCCCATCAGCTTCTTGTGGTCGACTGCTCCAGGCAGTTCACGGATATCTGGGGGGCTGCCGTGGACTATGGCTAAGCTATCAAAGAAGAGACCGAGCCCCAGAGAGGCGCCGAACCAATTGATGCTCCACATTGTTAAGAGACACTCCGAAAGCTCCGACCAGCCTACTGTGACGATGATTGTGTCCTTCGAGGCGGCAATACAGAGATCGCGGCCCTTGGGCAGCAGCCCTTTAGCCCGACTGATCGATCGCCAAGATTGGGATTAGCACTCCCGCTACGCCTGCGACCGAAAACAGGCCTGCCGACGACGTGGCGGGAAAGACTACTACGATAACGACTGCAGGCACCCGGAGAGGTGCGCGAACTCTTCCGGACCCTTCACGGCAACTATAAACCAGGCGCTCACGCGACCAACTCGTGCGCGCGGCTCACCAAGATCGGTTGACACGAGAGAGGCGCTGTCTCCGAGAATTTCATGTCTCGTCGATAACGTGCAGCTGCTTCGACGATCAGTCGAAGACGCAAAACGGGACGCCAGGCAATGGGCATCCTCATCTGGAAATGGCCATCCGACTGTCGCACACGTGGAGGAGGATGGGGCGGACGAGGCGGGCGCAGAATCTACAGCGACGTATCAGTCTAATAGCATCGGAAACGCAGCGCGGCTGATCGACGTCCGAGGTGCATGAGACCCGAACCAGATAACGACCAAGCCGCCGGAGCTCATGGAGATGATGCAACAGCTCTATCAGTTCCAACAATCAGCGCTGTGCTCGACGGCCGAGCCGGAGGCCGCCGTGGTACCCGAACGAGGGCGAGATGGATAAGCATGTAGGGGTATTTTCCGGGCCGCACTGTCACAGCAGAATCAGGCCAGGGCCGCCAAGTCGCAGCAGATGAGTGCCTCGAAGGAGAGGGAGAGGATGATCCAGAGCATGCAAAGTAACCGTGGTCCGGGAAAGCGACCGCCGCGCTGCGTTGCGGAGGGTCATGGCCGGCTTCGGGGGAGGACAATGTCGAAATGGCGACGGCCGACTTCGACGAGACCGCAGGCGACGCAGAGGCGGGAATGCATGTCCAATTTGGACTATCAACCTCTTGCTCTGCGACGGGCGTCGATCGCTTTCTCAATCATATGCCGCCAGCTCGATTTGATGCGACAAAACGACGGAGGCGATGTCGGCCAGCTCTGCCAGTTCGTCGGCGGCGAGGGCGGGACTGGCAAGTCGCAAATCATCGAGGCACTCGTCGAGTTGTTCAGCAGGAGGAGCCTTTCGAATCGCCTGCTGATCACGGCGACGTCGGGGACTGCCGCAGCGCGGATCAATAGTAGCGCAATCCATTCCACCTGCAGGTTCTCCAAAGACCAAGGGGCGGCCACGAACACGGCCAGAGATCTCGACGAGGACTGCCAAGCAAGCGGATCGGTTCGTCCATGACCAATTTCGGATGGATTGGCAGGAGAAAGACGCGCTGGTCATACTATGCGCTATCTTCGTCAGAACCTGTTTCCATGTTATACCGGTACGCTGGTCTGTGAGAGGAGAATCGTTGCAACCCCGCGGTAGAGTGATGGTGAAATCAAAGTGGTTGGCGGAGGGCTGGCATGACCAGATTGCCAACTGTTATAGAGACGAGTTGCGGGGGAACGGGTTGGGCGAGGAATCTCGGGGTGTCACTCCTAGACTGCCTGGGGGGGGGGGCAGCAATGTTACTCGGCGCCAGCTCACTTTCTGGCCGCAGTGAAGACGATTTTGCGTATCATGAAGGGGTTGCAGCCCTTGCAGCTCAGTAATACCAAGCGGCCAGAAGCGAGGGTGCTCTCAGTCGCCCAAGACGAGGACTTGCTGCACTGTTGTGAGGCCAGAATCGGCCGCAGGTACGGTAACGGGACTCAGGCACCCATGATGGGCGGAAGGGTCTAGGAGCGACACCCCGCGTTTTCTGTACCCAACCTTCTCCCCCGAACTTCTCAGTTCATCACATGATTCACCTATCCCTACAATGAACGGCGGGTCTCGGCATCACAACTGCATCTCCTTTGTGTGCTCCGTTCCCAAGACGCACGCTCGGACATCTTCAAAGGTCAAGAGCCGATCAAATGTCGGTCTCGTCCCCCCATTTTTCTGATGTCGGTCGTAAAGATTCTCTACGCTCGCAGGCAGCGAAGGTTGTCGCTGAGGAAGCTGTCAGACAGTAGTGTCCCACACCTCGCACGTGCGCATTGTCACGGCCGTCTGTCCTCAGCGAGTCAGCGAGAGATGCCCAGAACCAGGTCTCAACAAGACGATGCGCGAAAGTTCTTGTCCCCATGGCGAATTCCACGAAGGAGGCGCGGCGGCGGACAAAGATTGTTCCCGGAATTGGGAGTCCAAAGGAAGCTTTTGTGGTGGATTGCGAGGTGGAGTCGGAGACGGAGACAGCTTCGGTGATTGAAGTCAACATATCTGGGCCTCCCCAGCGCACCACCCGACAGAGTCGCGTCATATGAAGACCAAGAACCAATTAGTATGTTCAATTCTCTTCCAAATGATGTAGCTGTCGCGAAGCACGTCTGAGATCTTGAGCTCGGGGTGACCATAAGGGGTATACAGCTAAGGGCCCCGACAGGCTAGACAGAGAGGCAGCCTGCAGAGAGTTCTGAGGCTGCAGAAGGCTATTAGGAGACCGCATTAGGCAGCCACATAGGCTGTAGAGAGACTGCATATACGGGGGAAGCTGAAAGAGCCCTCGGCGACTAAGGAAAGTCAGTATGCAAAGGTGGGGCTGGGGAAAGGAGCCCAGCCTCCTAGATATTGTACCTATACAACTGAAAAGGGGATATCAATAGGGAACCAAGGGATATAAATAGGGAGCCTAGAAGAAGGCATTGCAAGAGGGACAGACACGACGGAACACAACAAAAAAAAAACACCTATTATTAAAACAATCAATGCTCACTTGCATGCTCTCTTCGTCAGAGTAGCTTTCATACTTTATCTCTGTAATTCGCTGAAATGTAAGCAATTCAAAAATCGGGGGGGTTTTTTTTTGGGGGGGGTGAGCAGAAGGGGGGGTAAGCATGGTAATCCATGACACGGCACTTAGGGCATGTGTTTGAGGAGTGCATGCGACTTATATAGATTAGGTATAGTGCGCTCTGTTGCCTAGGCACGACGGCGGAATTTTTGTACTGGGTCCGTCATTTTAAGAACCTTTCGGTTGCTCAGGGCTTTGCCCCAGATCGGGTTTGGCGCCGTCCTCTTGTTGCTCCACGTGGCCCATATAAAAGCCGTGTCGTTCCCTCAGTCTTCTCTTTTCCCATCTTTCCTTTCATGCCGATCAGTCCCTTGGAAGAGAAACGGTAATTCCAGACATTTAACAATGTCATCGACCACCAGCATGCCCACGTCGAGCCAATGGTACGACCGTCACCGCAGATGCAAGGATGGCCGCTCGTGTCGAGAAGAAGGTCCGAACGAGTTGAGGTCTCTAGGTCTCTCTAGGTAATACAGCTTGAAACCAGGTAAGAAGGGAAGTCTGCAGACTGTTGTTTCTTCTTCCTAGACCACTGAGGGGTCCGGAGGATCTCCTATTCGAACGGGGACCCTTTGAGGAGTCCGGCATTGTTACGGCCAGGCACATACGAGCCTTGACGGCTATAAAGATGTATTGGCACTATGAACGAAGACTCAAAGCTAAGGAGCAAGAAAGGAAGACTAGACTACACGACCGAGCGGGCCCTTATATAGACACGAGGTCGCGCGTGGGCACGTGATGCTGCTTGGGCACGTGACACTGGTGAGGTTCTGCGCTGGCGGCTCTACGCTGGCGCCCAGGGTCGTGACAGGCATAACTATTACTGGCTCGGGGACCTCGAGAGACTGAACTATCGATTTCATAGCTAGAAGAGCTATTCGATCGGGGAGATGGAGCTGATGTTGCTGACGTAGATGACTTACGTGGCCTTCAGTAAGTGGCAAGAAGTGCCCTCTTTCCTGATAGAATGTATACTATACCATCTGATTATATGATACTCGACCTTCGAAAAGTCCCTTTATCCACTTCTATGCCCACTTTTGCTCTCTCCTTCGCGAGAGTTATGAGCCCGGGAGAAACAGAACTGTTTCTGTAACTTCCGGTGGCAAAGTTGCAACCTTGAGAAAGAACCCCTCTTCCCTGTCACGACCCTGCGCGCCAGCGTAGAGACACCAGCGCAGAACCTCACCAGTGTCGCGTGCCCAAGCAGCATCACGTGCCCACGTGCGACCTCGTGCTTACCTGAGCGCTGCTGAGGTAACCTCGTGCATATGCACATAAGGGCCAGCTCGGTCGTGTAGTCTAGTCCTTCTTTCTTGCTCCTTAGCTTTGAGTCTTCGTTCATAGTGCCAATACATCTTTATAGCCGTCAAGGCTCGTATGTGCCTGGCCGTAACACTACTCAAAGCTCAATAAGATCGCTTGCCAGCGATTAAGCAAATAGGCACCGAGCTTTCACGTCACACGCGCCTGACGTAAATCCAGCGCATCCGTTCTGACCGTTCCGACCAAGACTCCGACCACCGACCAAGTGATCCTCAAGGCTGAGATCACGTCCGTTCCGACCAAGACTACGCGTGTGTAGTCGTCCGACCAACCGTTCCGACCAAGGGATTCGTCCCGTCTGACCTCCGACCGTCCCTGCTCGTGCAGGCATCTGACCGTGATTCCGCGTGGTATCATTTCCGACCCTAGACTCTGACCTCGAGACTATGATATCCGAGGAAGCCCTGCCCTCTGATCAGCCTCGCCGTTCTGCCCGGCTTGCTGGCCAAGCCACTGAATCCGAAATAGCAGCCATGGCTGCCCCGAGCCCCCAAGACGCTCTCATCCGCGAGATGAGGGGACAGATTGCGGCCTTAACGGCCCGTCTAAATGAACGCTCTCCGTCTGTTGAATCAAATCGACAGCACCGGGAGCCCTCGACTGCTTTTGCCGGCCCAAATGGCCCGGCCTTCCGACCAACAGGCAAAGCTGCCTGGCCTGTTTTTGCCCCTTCCCAGAGGGCAAGAACCCCGAGTACAGCGACGCCGCCAAATCGCGCATCAAGGTCTCGCGACGTTCTCAGGAAGAAGGACGAGTTCCATTCCTTCATCCTGAGCATAAAGAACAAATTTGACGAAGACGTACGAACCTTCCGGACTGAGAACAGCCGGATGGTCTGTCTGTATAACCTGCTCGAGGAAAAGCCCGCCGAGCACTTGAAACCCGCTTCTCCTCTGACACTCGACCCTTCTCTGGAGTGGCAGAGATGATCCAAGCCCTTGAGTCCGCCTATGGCAATCCGAATGAGCTTTCCGAGGCTCTTGACCGCCTGCAACGCCTCCAGTTTACCGTGAATGGGAAGACCGACATTGTGGACTTTCTTGCGGAATTTGACTACTTAACTGCGACCGGTCGTGTGCCCGAGGACCAGATGAAGCATACCTTGTGGCAGCACATCCCGGCCAACCTAGATAACAGCCTCTTGACCAAGACCCGTGACGAGTCCGTGACCTACGAGGTTTTCTGTGGGTTCATTAAGGACGCTGTCCACTGCCAGAAGAGGAGTATGAGGCAGACACAGGACTCCCGCTCTTCCGACCGATCTCGCCGCGCGCCGACTAAGACTGCTCCGACTACCGCCAAGACTCCGAACAAGACCGGCTCGACCCTATCACCTCGCGTGATGCTGGCAGAGCCTTGACCGACGATGAGAAAAGGGCCCATTGGGATAATGGCACCTGCTTTATTTGTGGAAAAACAGGGCACCTCTCGCGAGTGTCCCGACCGCACCCATGCTGTCTCCCGTGTCGCCTTCGTCCCTGTCCCTGCCAACGACTCTGATCAAGATTCGGGAAACGAATAGGACCATCACAAGTCTCCTTGATGGTCCCTAAGGTGTCACAGATAGCGAGTAGGTCTAGCAAGTCATTCACTCAGCCAAGTCAAGTCCAAGTGGATGGTGTGAGCCTACCTGCCCGCTCCCTCTGTGATACCGGAGCCGAAACCCGTTTGCTGGTTAGCCCAACCTTCGCCCAGTCCGCCGCCCAAAGACTCGGAGCCCAGATTAAGGAGCTCCCGAGTCGGATTCCTCAAGACTTCCGTGGAAAGCCAGCCGGCTATATCCAGAAACAGCTGGTCGCCACTTTCGTCATCGATGGCCGTTCGTTCGCAAACGAGACATTTGATATAGCTGAGTGTGGCCATGATATCTTTATCGGTCTTTTCTGGATGCGGGAGAAGCGCCTCCTGCTTGACTGCGCCGCCCGACAGATCATCTGGCCAGATGATCTTCCTGCCCTCGCCAAGTTCTCCCCGACGATCCAGCTCTCTCGTCAAGCCCCGCTCTCGGGTCGGATCGACCCTAAGATCCAGGCCGACGCTGAGAGGCGGAACCGCCTGCTCGAGAAAGAGGAGAAACGCTACCGGATCCTCCACAAGAACTGGCGCCGCTCTGATCAAGCTCCTCCGGCCTCTGTCCCGACCCGTTACCGACTCCGTCTCCGTCGTTTCAGTCCAAGTCTCCGTCTGCCAAGAAGTCTGTCCGTTTTCAGCTCACGACCGCCCCTGCTACCGACTTCGTCTCCGTCGCCTCGGTCCAAGCCTCCGAAGATCAAGCCCTGATTAACGCTCTGGTCTGCCAAGTAGAGTCTCACGAGAGATTCGAACAGTGGAACGAACTCGAACCGTTGATGCCCCGGGATCCAGTCCAGCTCGAGCCAAGCTCCGGCCTTGACCAGACCGTCCCTAGTGCTCGAACCATTGCTAAAGTCTCCCCGGATCAGAAGACCTACCAGGGACAAAGCATTCCGTTCCCTCAGGGAGAAGACCCTGAGCATGTTGCTTGTGTCCGTAGTCGTCTACCGCCCCAGCTCACCCATCTAGAGGATTCTTCTCGAAGAAAGAGGCCCACCCTACCTTCGAGCCGACCCGGTCACGATGTAGTCCTAGAGCTTGAGAAGCCTCTTTCGCCGACAGGACCCCATCGTACCGCACGCCCGTTAAGTATCTGCCTCTAGAGAAAGAGACTGTCGATCACCTCCGGAGATAGACTTCATCGAGCCCGATCCGAGTCCGCACGCCGCATCCGTCCTCTTCGCTCCGAAACCGAACACGACCGCCCGCCGCTTCTGCATCGACTACCGTTGGATGAACGATCATCTTAAAAGTCGCATCACGCCCGCTCCGTCCCTCGAAGGTACTGCTTTCGGTTGCCGTGAAGCTCAACGCTTTACGAAGATCGATGTGATCCAGGCCTTCCACCGTCTCCGCATGGACCCTGACTCCGAGTATTTGACCGCCTTTCGCACCCGTTTCGGAACTTTCCGCTGGAAAGTCCTCCCGTTCGGTCTGAAGGTAGGTCCCGCCTGGTTCCAGCAGTTTATCAACGCGCAGCTTCACGATCTCCTCGACCGGTGCGCCAGCGCCTACGCAGATGACGTCCTGATCTACTCGGATAAAGAAGAAGACCACTGGAAAGACTGTCAAGAAGTGATCTGGCGACTCCATCAGGCCAACCTCCAGGGAGACATCAAGAAGTCTAGATTTAACGTGACCAAGGTTGACTACCTCGGCGTTCTGCTTGAAGCCGGTGTGGGCCTTAGTGTCGACCCTCGGAAAGTTCGATCGATACAAGACTGGAAGTTTGAAGACCTCCGAGACCGCACCGCGATCCGATCATTCGTTGGCCTATGCAACTTCATCCGTGTTTTCTGCTACCACGCCTCCGGAGTGGCAGAACCCTTGAACCGGTTGCTTAAGAAGGATGTTGCCTTTGTGATGGGCCCGGAGCAACGCGAAGCATTTGATCAACTCAAGCGCCTGGCTATCGAAGCCCCGGTCCTCGCCTTCTTTAGACCAGAACTGCCGACCCGACTGGAGACCGATGCCTCCCGGAATGCCACAGCTGGTGTTCTATGGCAGGAACAGCCTGATCAGACCTGGAAGCCCGTTGGATTCTTCTCTAAGACCATGACCCCGGCCGAGCGAGCCTACCCAATCCAAGATCGAGAGCTCCTCGCCGTCGTACAGAGTCTAGAGCACTTCTACCCAGAGCTCTTAGGCCAGAAGTTCGATGTGATCACCGATCACGAAGCCTTAGTCCATTTCTCTACGAAGCGCCTGCTCTCGGTACGACAGATCAGATGGTCCGACTTTCTCGCCCAGTTCGACATCCGTTTCCTCTACCGCCCCGGTCGACTGAACGTAGTCGCCGATGCCCTCTCCAGGAAGACAGCGGAGCTCCCTACCGTAAAGGCCCGGGAAGCCGAGGAACGCACGGTGACCCTGATCCCTCCGGAAAGGCTAGGCTTCGCGACCGACTCTCTAGACCCTACGGCCGCCGGCAACCTGCCCCTCAGAACTTTAGTCCCGAACCTAAGCCTACTAGACCATTAGTTCTGAGGGCCACGAGTGCCCTACAGCCCCCAGAAGACCGAGGATACAGCAGACGCCCGATCAAGACCGCCCAGAACTAGACCCGAACTCGGTCCCGAAGGGAGCCGAACTCGTTTCGTTGATCCGCCAAGAGAACCTCCTCCAAGACCTCGGCACCCATGGAACACACCTGATCGTACCAGCCCAGACCTCAGACAAGCAGACGTTTCTTCAGACCGCGCTCATTCGCGAAGCCCACGAGCCCCAGATCTTCGCTCACGCCGGACAGAACAAGGTGATCAAGCTGCTCCAACGAGACTTCTACTGGCCAAGGATGAAGGAGGATATCCGTCGTTATATTCGGAACTGCCACGACTGCCGCCGCAACAAAACCCCTCGAGACAAGACCCCTGGACTGCTCCATCCACTGCCCGTGCCGACTTCTGTTTGGGAGCACGTCGAATGTGACGGGAAGGATATGCCGAAAGACCGTTACGGATATGACTATGTTTGGACCTTCGTCTGCAAGCTAAGCCGGATTATCGCCACGCTCCCAGGAAAGAAAAACGATACAGCAGAAGTCTTAGCTAGCCGCTACTTCCGCTACCTCTATCGTTTCTTCGGTATGCCCCTCGTATGGATTTCTGACAACGCTGGACAGTTTATTTCTGCCTTCCTCGCAGAGATTAACCGGCTCACGGGAACGAAGCATCGTCATGGAAGCTCCCTACACCCTCAGACCCAAGGGGGTGTAGAAGTCACAAATCAATACCTGGATCAAAAGCTACGATTCTACGTGACGAAGCATCAAGACAACTGGAGTTCCCTGCTGCCCGCCCTCGACTTCGCCCATAACTCGTCTTGGCACTCTTCCATCGACATGGCACCGTTAAAAGTAGCCCTAGGCCGAGATATCCGGAACCCCCTGTCACTGCCCCCGACTGACAAGACCGCTGCCACCGGACCCGCCGCCAGAGCTAGGAACTTGTGCAGACCGCCCAGGAAACCCAGGAAGACGCCAGGAATGCTGCCACCGCCGCTCAAGAACGTCAGAAGGAACAGGCTAATAGGAAACGACGACCAACCGACTTTGCCATCGGTGACCGAGTTTTCTCAGCAGGAAAGGCTTCGCCACGAACGCTCCGACTACTCGGCTAGATAACCAATGGTCAGGTCCGTTCGTAATCCTGGAAGAACGCGGTCATAGCTACGTACTGCAGCTGCCCGAGTCGTACAAAATGAAGAACCTATTCCACGCCGACCGTCTTCGAAAAGCAGCCGATAACCCCTTGCCCCAGCAGATCCAGTCACCTCCGCCACCCGAGGAGATCAACGGTGAACCCGAGTGGGAGGTTGATCAAGTCCAGCAGTCTCGAGTAACCGGTAGGAGTCGACGACTGGAATACCAGGTCTTATGGAAGGGATGTGACCCTGATGAGACCTGGTACCCGGCTAAATTTCCGTAACGCACCAATGGCATTGAAGATTTTCCACGATGAACATCCGGACGCAGCAGGCCCACCCGTCAACCTGCAATACTGGATCGAATGTGCTGCAGCGAAGGAGGGCTGCGAGGAACGAGACGATGACGACACAGCAGAGAAAGCCGTGAAACCAAGAACCCGCCGCCACGACTGACTACCTTGATACGCATATCAAGGCCTTAGACGGGGGGTAGTGTCACGACCCTGGGCGCCAGCGTAGAGCCGCCAGCGCAGAACCTCACCAGTGTCACGTGCCCAAGCAGCATCACGTGCCCACGCGCGACCTCGTGTCTATATAAGGGCCCGCTCGGTCGTGTAGTCTAGTCTTCCTTTCTTGCTCCTTAGCTTTGAGTCTTCGTTCATAGTGCCAATACATCTTTATAGCCGTCAAGGCTCGTATGTGCCTGGCCGTAACAACTATCACGTTCATGGGCAACCTGTCGCCTGCAGCCAGGTGGATTTTGTGAGCAGTCAGCACTGAGCATCTGTTAATGAATGGGTCTGGCGGGGCTTGGCCTATGGGGTCATGGACCCATAAAGCTAGTCCTAATCAAATGCGCAAGGCGATCCGGGATTGTACTGCCAGTTTATTTGGGACTAGCGTGGCAAACCAGAGCCTGCCAGTATTTGTTGGAACATCGACGACCCCAAAGCCTTTCCCTTCTTCATTGCATCTCCGCTTTCACCATCCGCTACCATGGCACTTCCAAACCGTAACCGGCACTGTACCACCGTTGCCCAACTCGTTGAATTCCTGCGTGGCTTTCCACAAGACGACACCGTTGACGTCCTGTTGAGCAGAAAGGAAGTGAAGAAGTTCCTTCAACCATTGTTTCGAACATCGGGGCCGGCCTCCGCTAAATCGAGGTCAAATGGCTTTGTGGCAAATTTAAAACGAATCCAGCAAATCAAAGAGTTTAACATCCCCGAGAGCATCTCTTCCAGGTTCCAAATTTGGAAGGAAAGCCCTTCCAGTTTTTGGGAGCAAGCATACAGGGAAGTGTCAACCCGGTCGGATCAGTTCAATGAGACGTCGCATCGCGAAAATGTCATACACGATTTCCTCACAAGAGCATTTGAACAAGACACATGGCTCGAGTTTGGAATCCTTCATCACAGATTTGTATGTGTCACAATATACGAGACGTTCACTCGATTCTTCCCTGGAGAACGTGTACTTGACCAGAACGTTGAGAAGTTTCTTGAAGCTGCGTGTGTCGACACATCATGCACCCCGAAATGTGCCAAAATCATCCGCGGCGGACGATATCGCAAGAAATTCGGTGAAAAGCTTCAAGACCTCGCGAAGCAGGATCCTGAGGGTATTGACTATGGACCGTTATTCGTCCTGGACCTTCCCGATCCAATGTGAGAACCCTGTTGCTCATTTGGAAATGCAACTGACGAGATACTAGCTGGGATGGTAAAATCCCATTTGATGGAAGGGCGCTTGATGAGGCGTTAAGCTTGCTGCACCAGGCGGGCATCTCCGACTGGACGGAAAAGAGCGGCAGCAGGTCATTGGCAGGCACTTTACTCAAGCATCAGGACGATCTTCTCTGGAACTCCAGCCACGGCGCTGGTGTCGCCAACGTGGCGAGACAACAAGGCAAAATACACCGCAACAGACTGCCCACCAGGGGGAACAAACGGCAAATATCGCGAGAGGACGCCTTACATAGGCACAAACGACCAAGGCTGGAAATCGCGACTACTGGCTCTCTTATACGCCCAGAACACGTTCAAGAGACGTCCACGAGAGCGACTAGTCGCGAGGACGCCGGGCCCAGCAGAACATTGCAAACCTTTGCCCATACCGGACTCTGTGACGAATCCGCTCATACAGAAGCGGAAGACGTGGTTCCTGCGATCTCAGGTACGTTGTTGAGTGCCGATCGAGCCCTCAATACCGACATTCCTCTATGGTTCTCGGGCACCGCTGAGGGAGACCCACACGGCATGGGCATCAACTCTGCCGATCTTGATTCGCTGTGGTCCGGCGGTACGAGTATACCTTTGGATTCCGCTGAGCTGGACTCCATCTGGCCCGGGAATTTTGAATATGGTACCCTTAATCTGCAGTTCGATCCTGCTAGACCCCCGACTAGTGCTGCCGAGCACGCCGGTCTGCAAATAGATGGAGGTGGGGGGAATACCTTTACAGGTAGCATGTTCACCCTTTGACGCCACAACCCCGGCAATTTCTTCTGGATAAACGAGCAGATGACAAATTCACTTCTGTTCCAAGTTGTTTCCTCTTCTCATTACTTCACCAACCATAGCAAGTACAAAGTGCTCCCTTCAGTGACATGCACCCTGACTCTATCGGGAAGCCTCGGAATATGCAACTTCTTGTTGCCAAACTCGAGAGGATGTTCGTTATTCACATCTTGAACACTACACCCGCTGCTTGGATAGATGGAAACAAGCTCTCCCGGCTCTCCCAGGGTCCACCCATCATTTGACGTTCTAAATATAAGAATCTTCGCGTACTACGGACGTCAGACTTTGCGTGCAATCCGTGCATAAGCCCAGGTTCAAGGGACTAACGGACCTTTGGTGCTAGCGGTCCAGTAATACCGCGTAGTTCCAGGCGCAGTTTCTCATCTGAACACTGCTCTAATGTTTCATGGTTCGGGCCATGTTTGCTTGGCCTCCATGGCGCGTCGGGATGCGCCACCAACCAGTGGTGCAATGCCTGCACAACTTCTCGTTCCGTGCGGTCCAAGTCTCGGGCGCAAATTTGATCGCCCAGCAGCATGCCACTCATGGCGGAAATTTTGTGAACAGTTTATGCTCAAAACACCTGTCCGTTGGTTTCAAGGATATCGCTGCCCTCTTTCATGCCCATGAACCGATGTGTAGGTATTTAATTGGATTCCGCTCCTGGGATTTTTCGTCTCTTCCCCTCACGACTTGGGCGGGGAAAAATTGCGGCCCGATCTGAATTATGGTCATCAATTGTATGCACATTCCATAGGTCACGTGATCAAAGTCACGTGAATGTCTGAGGCCACCTGATTACCTCAGCAGCGCTCAGGCCATTTGCAAGAGGAGACTAACTTAACTAGTTAACGTAATCCACCCCCTTCCCGGTCAGACCCCCTACTCGGTCAAAAATTCCCCACCGACTAGACCCGCACCTTACGCGAGACAAACGGAGCACAATACCACGACATATTTACTCCAAGAGACAAGTAACTCGATTAGGACTATCTATTACACGTACGGGCAGTGTGTTCAAAAGACCTGCACTTACTACACCGTGGTGGTGCACGCTGTCTTGGGACACTCAGCTCTTCTATAAGTCGTTGGTCCCGCTCCCTTCTTCCCGCCGTCGCTTGGCCCGCTCATCTTCCTTTGCTCTCTGTTTCTTGACCCGCTCCTCTTCCTTTTCTCGCCGTAGCTTGAACCATTCCTCGTTCTCTTGTCGCCGTCGCTCGGCCCGCTCTTCTCCTTCTTGTCGTCGCTTGGCCCGCTCCTCGTCCTTCTCTCGCCGGCGCTTAGTCCTCTCCTCTTCTTCCACTCTCCGTCGCTTAACCCGCTCTTCTTCTTCTTCTCTCCGTTGCTTTATCCTAACCGTGCCCTCTGCAACCGATAGAGTACCGCCGTCGCCAATGTATTCACGGCGCTGTTCTTTCTCTGCTTTCGCCGCTGGTTTTCTGACCGAAGTTGCCGGTTTTCGTCGGCAAGGAGGGCGGCGCTGTGCATGGCCATTTGACATCCTTTGATAAGCTGGTTGATAGCTTGTGAAACTGGCGAGTCTGTATTTTGTGGCCGGCGTTGAAGAAGCCTTTCGGCGTGAGTGGTAAGCTGGTTGACGTTATGCGGAGTCTTGGCTGCTTCCAGGCTCTTGTTGGGACTTGGAGTATTCTTGTCGCCGTGATCGTTACCGACTTTGTCAACCTGAACTTGTAACCGCGATAATACTCTGTTTGGGTCAAACGGAAAAAGGCCTGTTGCCATAAATCCGCTTCGGATATTCGACGGCGAAAGTGCTTGTCGGCGAGCGTCTAAGTACATGGGAAGGAAGTCCTGCTTGTCGATATGATGGATCCCAGCGAGCATTTTCTCTTGAACCTTTCGGCCGTATATGGTTTTCAACGGCGAAAAGCACCCGACATCAAGAGGCTGCAAGAGATGTGAGGAATGTGCAGGCATTTGGAGTACTACGATGGAATTGGCCGTACAGTACTTGTCAAATTCCGGCGTGACGTGACTGCCGTGCCCGTCGAGAATAAGAAGTCGATGCGTACCAACCGTACGGCGCCGTGTATTCGGATCAAAGACTTCCTTTAACCAATTCAAAGCAAGGTCGTCGGAAGTCCAGCCATTCTCACTAACGGCGATATGCCAGTCATCGGGCACTCCTGATTCGTACCAGCTTGCTTGGTGTAACTTGCCCTGGAAGATAACCTTCGCCGGTAAAGCCCAACCTTGGCAGTTGATAGACTCGATCACAGTAACCCATTCTCGATTTCCAGGCTGCGTGAGTACTGCCCGACCTCGCCGGTCAGACCGGGTAAGGACTCTCGCCGTTGCAGCGACTCCATTTGAAACCCCGTCTCATCAAAGTTATAGACATCCTCGTCAAGAATCCCCCATTTCTGTTTCGTCGCCGCGACTCGATCGTACCATCCTTGGATCTTTTGGGGGTCTTCGCATTTGGCTCGTTGGTAGTCGTATCGGCGAGAGTACTTTGCCTTGATTTCGCCGTGGCGGCCAACAAACTTCCGCACCCAGTTTTCCCCGACAGGATCTTTGCCTCGCTCGGAAAGCAATAAGTTGGCCATCCGACGAGTGTAAGCCACTGTCGGCGGCATCCCTCGCTCGTCCATCGACAAGATCCATTGTACCAGGGCAGTCTCTTCCGTCGCCGTCAACTTCAGGTTGTTCATCTGAGCGTCGCGTCGGCGAATGACACCGCGCAGTCGATCAGATACTGTCGATTGAGGGACGTCGTATGCGGCCGCAGCCTTGCGGGTACTTTTGAATTGGCCCTGCTGATAGGCCCTGACGGCGAGCAGGACCCGTTCTTCGCGTGGAACCGATTGGTCTCCCGTTGCCGTCATAGTGCTCGGTTTGTCTTGCCATAAGTGTGGGTCGCCGCGTGGAGACTTTTTCTGACCGAGTAGGGGGTCTGACCGGGAAGGGGGTGGATTACGTTAAGTTAGTCCGCTCCGGTGGCGAAGTCACGACCAGGATGGCCTGAGCACTGCTGAGGTAATCTTGCGTGACTTCGTGTACGTGCGGATACCGTGCATGATAATTACCCGTTGGCTGCGCGGGGCGCGGGGCGCCCGGCGCAGCCAACGGGTAAGCCATAAAAGGATGAGGAGACGTGGTGCGTACTAGCAGCCACAGGAACGGTTCGGAGTTTTAGATTTTCCGGCCGACCGGCGTCAACATACGCAAGGCCCGCTTCGCGCCTATTGCATTGCATTGCATTCCCAGACACGGTCCCCAAACAATGACTACCAGCTCCCTTCACGTCTCCGCAAACGATTTGGAGACACGGGCACGGGCTTCTTCGACGAGATGAACAAAGAAGAACCAAAGCCCGTTGAGGGAAGTCCTATCCGGACTGAACTTGCTGCCTTTCGCGCCTCGTTCAATTCGGTTTGCAAAGATAGAGATATCTCCTGCAGCCCAGATACCCTGAGTCAGCTTAGCAATACAGGTAAGGCGGACTGCCCACGTCAGCGGACCCTTTTGACTGTTGCAGACCTTCGGCGGCTTTCTCTCAATCTCTTGGTTGCGCTGCAGAATCTCCCAGCCGCCAGACTGGTACCTTCCAGGACGGGACGTGGGACTCTCGAAAGCGACCTCCTGAGACTCCTTTCTGCTGTCACATCGGACAATTTCGACTTTGCGCGTATCAAAGAATTGCTCAAGAAAGCCCTTACCGATAAGCCTCAAGATACACTGATCTGGGATCTTGTGTCTGGTGCTGCCGTCGAATCCACCCCGCCTCCCCGACCAATACCCTCGACGATCCATCAAACGCCGTTGAGTCAGAACACGAGCGGCCTCGTGAACTCGTCGGAATTCCGCCATAGTGTGGACCCGATCCTGAAGTTGGAGCTCGAACATCTCTATGCTGGACTTCCCCATTTCCACAAAGCCTTCTTTGGAGATGTGCCAGACCTCAACATGGTCTCCGAGGACGTCTTCCGGAAGTGCTCCGAAGGCGACACTCCACTCTTCAGGGAGGGGTGGAGTGGATGGCCGGCAGCCGCAAAAGAGAGCGACGTGCTGACTTGGTTTGGCGACTTAATCCCGAAGCTGGAGGCATTCGCAGGCGACCGCATTTCGACTCCGGCGACTCGGCGAAAGCTGCTGGCGCAGCCGAGAACACCATTGGTTGGCTCCACAGGCAAGCGTAGCATGGATGTCGGCTTTGTCAATAGTGACATCACATACAATCCGGACTCTGAGGAATCGAGATATCGTTGGTCGCACATCCTCGTTGCTGGCGAACTGAAAAGTAATCCGAAGGCCGACACCGCATCAGTTGCGTGGATTGATCTCGCAAGGTATGCAAGAGAGGTATTCGCTGCTCAAGACACCCGCCGCTTCGTCTTGGGTTTTACTCTCTGCGGATCTCGTATGAGGGTATGGGAGTTCGACCGGCTCGGGGGGATCGCCTCCGAACAATTTGACATCAACAAGGAGGAAGGCGGGGTACAGTTTGTGGCCACAACCCTGGGGTTTCTGCGCATGAACGAGGAAATGCTCGGGTTTGACCCTACCGTTATGACATCCGGCGACCAGCAATATATCGAGATCGAGCGAAACGACAAAACAGAGCGTCTCCTCATTGATAAGGTCATGAAACGAGCACGTTGCATTGCTGGTCGGGCGACAATATGTTGGAGAGCACATAGCAAGGAGGATCCGCAGACGCCGCTTGTTATCAAGGACTCGTGGCAATACACAGATCGGGACGAAGAAGGGCAACTCCTCCGAGAGGCGACTGACAAAGGTGTGGCTAACGTCGCCCGATATTACCACCATCTCACTGTTTGCGTACGCGGTGCCGATGACGACATTCAGCAAAACATTCGAAAGAGACTGGATGTCACCAAAGCTACAAAGTATCGATCAGAACGTGCGATGCTGCCATCAGGCTCGAGCGCATCTAGTGTGTCACGCAAAGGGCGAAGTAGCGGCGCCGGCGTGAAACGACCATCCAGCGAGATGGACGCCGCTCTGCCGCCGTGCAAACGATCTGGTTCAACATCTCCGGTGAAGGCAAGCATCGAAGCCCTGCCAAACCGTATACATCGGCGGGTCATTCTTCGCGACTATGGAAAGCCGATATATAATGCAAGCTCACCCGTGGCGCTGCTTGCTACGCTAGAGGGTTGCATAGAGGGTCACCAATCCTTGTACAAAGCGGGCTTTCTCCACAGAGACATCTCCATCAACAACCTCATGATCAATGAGGACGATGAAAACCCCTCCCAGCGAGCTTTCCTGATCGACCTTGACCTCGCCATTAAAGCCCAACGAGAAGGTGCCTCGGGAGCAAAAGGGAAGACGGGTACAAGGGCATTCATGGCCATCGGGGCACTGCTAGGCAACGAGCAGCACTCCTTCATGCACGACCTTGAGTCATTCTTCTGGGTGCTGTTCTGGATATGCATCCACTACAACGGCCCGGACGACGGCAAGACAGTTCCCCGATTTGAGAAATGGAATTATGTGGATACGGAAGAGTTAGCAGAGTTGAAAAAGGGCCAAGTTTCCCACGAGCGAGACTTCATTAATACTTCAAGAGAATACTTCACCACATACTACCAGCCTTTGGTACCTTGGGTCAACATATTGCGAAAGGCGGTATTCCCTAACGGCGGGAGATGGGAGAAGGAAGACGATCAGTTATATCTACGAATGAAGGAGATTATTCGGGAAGCTCAGAAGGATGCAAAACTGGCAAGCGTGTAGCGCGGTGTCGGTACTCGAATGGGGAGATGATTGGGGTTAGTATTACCCGACTGGCATAATGCTACGAAGGCAAGGCCAACGACAGGTGGTCGAGATAAAGAATGATGGAGATTAGACGGCGTCGAAACAGATCGGGCATTCGAAAGTCTCGATTGACTTACAGGCGCGGAAGCAGTAGATGTCCACGTGGCCAAGAGACATGCCATGGGCAGCTTGAGCATGCCCATGCTGGAGCACTGCTACATTTCGTCGCCTGCCAATACGGTCGGGTTGGAGGACAAGGCGAAGCTGTCTCTGGTGGTCGAGCACGCGATGCAGCTGTTTTGGAATTGCGAAATGGTGAAGTATACGGACAGTTTTGCCAAAGCAGCCTTGAGAGACGCCGAGGCGCAAGAGGCAAAGGCGAAGAAGAGAGAAATGGGCAAGCGTCGCGCAGATGCCGGCGCTGTCTTGGCCCGAGATGTCCTGGCTGGCTCTGCCGAAAGAATCCGTATATTGATAAGGTTACTGGAGGCATCGGCTGATACAGTACGGGCAGTAAGAATCAGAAGACCTTGAACTCGACCACCGACTCAGTAGAGAAGTGTATCGTAGTCAAATTGTAGGAACTTCCACAAAAAAAGGTGGCTCACTTGGCCGGCGATCACCACCGTAGCGCCCAAAGCGCGATTGTCAGCCTGAACTTGTCGCGAAGTGCGAGGTAGCAAAAGCTGTATCTTTTTCTTGTGTTCTGTTCGCTCTCCTTTAGAGAAGAGCGGAAGGCTACGTCTTATATAGAGGGACTAGTTATATGTATGTATGTGTATTTCACCCGGAGGATTTCTCCTATAGGGCCTAGACGTAAAAGCTACTGACATTTCAATACATTAATGCGTAACACCTTAAGCCCCACGAGGACTAGTTATATGCACAACAGTAGTAGTAGTAGTAGTAGTAGTAGTAGTATTGATTACCGTCTGGGACATCCCTATAAGGGCAAAAGACGTGCTAGGCTAGAGAAGACTAGATACATAGAATATCCCGAGTACCTGGACTAAGGACCGTGTGTAGCACCTAACCACTCCATCTAGCAATTCTGAGGCTCTGAGGCCGGTCGGAAATTCGGGGCCCTTCCCCCGTCAGCGGGTTCCAGGCACGGCAGTGAAGCCGTAATAGTAGTCAGTCTTTGGCCGAGGCCGGGTGACTGAAAAGCCCACGAAGTCATGGGCCGGCCGCAAGCCCCTCGAGGAGGGCCTACGGGGCAGAAAGAAAAGAAAGAAAAGGAAGCAGAGAGTGTAGCAATGTTAGTCGGGGATTCGCCCCGATGGCGATTGTCTTCTCCGCAGGAGCGTTCGATCCGGGCCACTTCGTGGTTATGACAGTCGGCGAAGTCCCCGTGCCTGCTCCTCGTAGCAAGCAGGTGGTGGAGGTGTTGTCGATTGGTGTGCAGCTCGGGGACACCCGGTGAGGCCTTGAGCTCTAGGCTCTTGTAGCTCCTCAGGGCCCCGCGGCCCACCAGTCCAGAGGAAGTCGTGGCCGCTGGGCGGCAGAAAGGGCCGCAAGGCGGCAAAGTTCGGAGCCGCGAGACGGCAGAAGGAGGCAGAGCCGCAAGGCGGCAGAAGGCGAGGCCAGCCAGTAAAGGCGGCAGAGGGTGCGAGGCAGCGCGAGGCGTGCCAGGAAGGGCGAGAAGAAGTCGGGCCGCGAGGCGGCAGAAGAGGTCGGGGCCGCGAGGCGGCAGAAGTCGAGGCCAGCCAGTAAAGGCGGCAGAAGAAGGCGATGCCGCGAGGCGGCAGAAGGCGAGGCAGCGCGAGGCATGCCGTTATTCGAGACCAGCTTCCCAGAGGAGACGAACTCTCCAAAGTCTGCCTTTTGGTGCTTGCTAGAGCCCCGTTAGGGCTAGAGAGGCAGAAGCATGGTCGGGTGACCTGAAAATAATTATCCACTAACAGGCTGCTAACAGCCCGCAGAAGAGAAGAATTTTTACAGGGGAGAGTTGTTATATGCACAACAGTAGTAGTAGTAGTAGTAGTATTGATTACCGTCTGGGACATCCCTATAAGGGCAAAAGACGTGCTAGGCTAGGTATAGTACAAGATGGGGATGCTCGTCGGAGACCCGTCGCGCGTTCCTTACTTCTACTCCCTATCTAGCAATTCTTGGACTCTGTGGCCGCTCGGATTCTCAGGTCCCTTCCCCCGTCAGCGGGTTCCGGGCACGGCGGCGAAGCCGTAATATTAGTCAGTCTTCGGTCAGAGCCGGGTGACTGAGAAAGCCCACGCAGTCAGCTGGGCCGTAGGCCCACAGGAGCCTACGGGCAGAAAACATAGAAAAGAGAGTTGTACATATTAGGTTGGAGGGTTGCCTCGAGCTAGTGGCGGTGGCAGATCCGATCAAAGAATTCTGCCTCCGTTACTAGCCCGAGGAACCGGTCAAATCCCTTCCTAGTGCCTGGTTGATAGCCTTGCCCGCCGTGGGGCTAGCCTTAGGCGGTGTCGAGTACCTACCTTCCGGCAGTAGAAGGGTGTGTCGGTGATTTTCTCCTCCCGCAAGAGCATTCGATCCGGGCCTCTTCGTGGTTAAACCTCTCGTGGTAGTCGGCGAAGTCCCCGTGCCCGCTCCTCGCAGCGAGCAGGTGATGGAGGTGCTGTCGTTTGGTGTGCAGCTCGGGGCACCGAGCGAGGCCTTGAGCTCTAGGCTCTTGTAGCTGCTCGGGGCCCCGCGGCCCACCAGTCCTGGAAGTCGCGCCTGGCCGCAGCCTTGGCCTGTCTCTTGATGTTCGCGTAGGTCGGCGATCTGTCCGGACCCTCGGCCCGGCAGCCCTCCTTTGCTAGCTGGTCGGCCCGCTCGTTGCCGGCGATCCCCGTATGGCCGGGGCACCAACGCGTGCTGACATCTCCGTGTCGAGCCGCGGCCTCAGCGAACTTCTCCGCAGCCGCTTGCGACGAGATCGATGGGCTGCCTCGTATGGCTCTTATAGCCGCAGTGTTATCAAGGCAGACGACTATCGGCCACTGCTGGTCCGGGGTTCTGGGGGACCACCATTTAGCTGGTGCGAGTTTTTCGAGGGCCAATAAAGTGGGGCGTGGCACGGGTACCTTTTTTGCATGTTTTAGTTCCTAGCGCTACCGCCTGCTTGCGTTCTTTCTCTCACCCTGTCTTTGTCTTGTTTGTCTCTCCAATCTTCGGCCTTCGTTCCTCAAGGCTCTTTGCGCAACCCATGAAGGGTTGCCTTACCTGTAAACGGGGGGGAAACAGGGCAAGGCATGAGAGGGGCAAGAGAAGGCGGCAGCGACCAATGATGAGGGAGGGACGGAAGGGTCGGCGACCAATCACACGGGATCTTTTATTCCGAAAGAGGAAATAAATCAGCCAATCAGAGGCGGAGGATGTGGGGGTGAAGCAGTCTGGGGCCTTTTTTCCCCGCGCGCTAATGAAGTCCTTTCGTTCCTCACCTTTTTTCCCCGCGCGCTAATGAAGTCCTTTCGTTCCTCAAGGCAAGGCCTTTCGTTCCTCAAAGGCAAACAGGTAAGGCAACCCCTCATGGGTTGCGCAAAAAGCCTTGAGGAACGAAGACTGAGGATTGAGACAAACAAGACGAAGACAGAGGGCGAGAGCAAAGAACGCAAGCAGGCGGTAGCGCCAGGAACTAATGCATGCAAGAAGGTAGGCAAATAAATCGGCCATTCGGGCACCATCCCGCAGCGGGAAGAGGGAGAAAAGCAAGAAGGCAAATACAGCGATGATAACGGTTGCGGGGTAAGAGAGGAAGGGAGTATAAGAGGCACCAAGGCACGAATAGGAGAGCAGAAGCGTCTACCCTAGCTACCGATCGAGCAGTTAGGAAAACAACTACAGCATGGCCACTTGCAACGTTTCCGTGGAGTTCTGGTGCGAATTCGGGGCCACGGAGCTGAAGTACAAGCATAGCATCCCGAAGACGCTCGTGACGCAGGTAGGCCAGGCGAGGCCGAACCACGCAGCCAGTGCACTGTTCCTACAGTGGATAAGGCCGATCCTACGGGAGCACGAGGCAGCGTGTCGGAAGGCAGCAGGGGTGCGCTGCGAGAGCTGCGGCGGACTCGCAAAGGAGATTCTACAGAGCCCGATATCGTACCTACACGCAGAGAGGCCGTTTGTGCTCGTGGTCGTGTCGTCGTTCTGCGGCAAAGAAGGATGCGAAATTAGGACGAGGCAGGAAATGCAGGACACGATGGCAGAGGCGGGGCAGGCGGGCGGAAACAAGGGCGCGACGCAAATGCAAGGGCAGGATGCGCAGAGCACAGAGGAAGGTCTGCCGGGTTTGTGGAGAGATGGCGGGGGCGAGGTGCAGCCGATGCCTGACGGTGGCGTACTGCAGCAGGCAACACCAAAAGGAGGACTGGAAGGTGCACAAGAAGGGATGCAAGCCAAAGGCAAGCTAGGGCTAGGAGAGGAGGAAGGAAAGTAAAAGGGACAAGGCATAACGCGCAGGACATAAACAAGGTCACGGAGAACAAATAGAGGCAGGCACTATCGTAAGAAATAGGTCGCAAGCTAAAGTTGTTGTTTCAAAAAGAGATAAACGTTGTAATGTGTAGAGTAATGGTAATTTTGCAGCGATAAGTTTCGTTAGGAATAGCGTCTCGAGAGGAGAACGGTTTATTTTGGTAAAGGCAAGAGGCGTAAGAGAGCGATAGGTTTATAGTAGGCAGCTCATTTCTGCATGCGATAGCGGATAGGTCGAGCGGGCGGGTCGGAGGTGCTCGCGACAATAGAGTCAAGAGGGAACCCGGCTTGGCTGCCGGAGCGGGAACGGGCGGGACGCCGCTCGGTCGAGACGAAGAAGCGGCCGGCGGGGAGAGGAGGAGGGCGGCGGAGCTGACGGTGTCCGAAGACGAGGAAGGCGGCGAATTCTGCTGCTGCAGCAAGCGCGCCCTCTTCATGGGCGTATCGGCAAGGGCCGGGTGGGAGCGCTTAGGCGGTGGTGTGACGGGGTCGAGGGCGGTCGGGGCCGAGGCCAAGGAAGGGGAGCCGACGCAGCCGAGGCCGGCGCAGCAACGGAGTACAAGGCGGCGCGGACGGAATCAAAGGTAGAGGAGGCGGATAGGGTCTGACGTTTAAGGGGCGTAGCAAGGGGGGAAGCCGAGGCGGAGGCGGCCGCCGAGGGCCTGTCGACAAAGTTCCAGCTGTCCGGGACGACGATAAAGACGTAATCGCGCTCTGAGCCCGGGGGGCAGAGCATAAGACGGTGGTCGAGAAGGCCGACGACCTTTCCAGTGCAGGTAAAGGGGACGCCGGGCAGGAAGGAAGAGTTAGGCCTTTCAGCAATTTTCTTGCATAGCACGGCCCAAGGGTTAGCATAGATGGGAAAGATAACAAAGACCTGGAAGGGGTGGTAGCCCTTAAAGGGAATCCGGTCCGGCAGGCCAGGGGTGATGTAGGTAGTGAGCCGGACGAAGCCGCAGCAGCGGAGCTGGTCGGGCCGAGACCTGGCAGGAAGTCTCCACGCAGGAGGTCAAGGCCAGGCCCGGCGATGACGCCATGGAAGGAGACAACAGGAGGCGTAGACGGGAACTGGCCGCCAGAGGCCAAGGAGCGTGGGAGGACGCTAGGGAGAGAAGTCAGCGAGGCGGCCGGTGAAGGGGCAAAAAAAAAAAAAAAGAAGGGGGGGCGCACGGCTGGTAGCCTTGGTCGCGGACGATAAGGGCGGGCACTGTGTAGAGGACGGTATCGTCTGGGCCGGCCTCAAGACCGTCGCGGCGCTCCACCTCCCAGGCGAGGGCGTAGGGGTGAACGCGGCCGCTCATAGGAACCATTGCTCGGACCAGTCCGTGTCGACGATTGGCTGGCCGTAGATAGAGAGGTTTAGGCTAAAGAAGAGAGAGGGGCCCAGGTCGTCGCCCTCGGCCCGGAGGGGTGCGTAGTCGGCCTCGAGCAGCCACGAGGGCACCGGCAGGAGGACGCGGGCGATAGCCTCAGCGTTGAGGCCCCTAATGCGGTGCTCGTCGTGGTGGGCGAACCTCGCGGGGCAGTCGGGCTGGGCGAAGAACATCATGGACATATCGCTGCCCGCGCCCTTGCTAGAGCCAAGGGGCTTGCGGAGGTGCGGGGCAGAGCTGTCCGCCGACGGAGACGAAGACATGGCTCGGCCGTGTAGTAAAGAGCAACGTTGCTGGGGCAAAGCTAAAAGCGGCGAGAAAGATAGGCAGGAGTGCTCCCTACCTATATACCGTCTTACGAGTTTAGTGTAAAGAGAAGGGCCAGTGGCGATGGTGTGTAAGAGAAGTCAAAGGATTCTAAACAAAGACGCAACATGGCGTTAGTGGTAGGTTATATAAGGAGCCTTTGTAAAGAGGGTTATAAGATGCGTATAGAGGAGAGTGCAATAAGAGAAGGAGAACTTTAAAAGGCGGTCTAGTAAGATGTTGAGAGTTTTAAGACAAGCAGGACGCGCGAAGCTATATTCGAGGAGAAGCAGGCAGCCCTATTCGCAACACGTGTAAGACATGGTTTTAAACTTCAGCGGGCAAGTGTCTAGGGGCATACGGAAGCTTTGACTGATAAGAGCTGGATGACAAGAAGGAAAAGCGTAGCATGCAAAGCATAGGCAAGAAGAAGCCGTCGCGGCGACGTACATATAAGGATCGGCCGAGGCCGTCTAGCCTATCGCATATGGCAGCAGGCAATGGCGGGCGGGCTTAATAGAAAGGCGGCGCCGGTATAATGCAAAGAGCAGCAGCACGCATATAGACATAGTAGAGAGCTACGAGTAAGATATATAGACTTTTGTAGAGGATCCTATATGCGCAAGAGGGGTGCCAGTCAGCAAGATAAGTGCAGGGCGAATAATCGAGGCAAGGATTTATACGCTGTTATTACACTTACGAGGATTTACGCCAGGGGCCTAGTGGCACCATAAGTAGGCAGGGCCAAAGAGGGCAGGTGCAAAGAGGAAGACAAGACGTCCATGGGGCTTTGGTAGACCGGTGTCGCAATGAAGCCAGCCAACGGAAGGGACCAGTCCGGAGCGGGGGACGGGGCAAGCCCGGCGCCAGAAGCCTGCGCAGCGCCGTACACAGGACCAGAGTTCCAGCCGACCACAGCAGCGCCGGCACTTGCTAGCGGCGCCTCGGAGAGAGCAAGAAGAGGCGTCAAGGGAGGCGCCTCCGAGGCGAGGCGGGAAGACCGCCAGGACTAGGAGATGGAGGATCAGCGCAGGCCGAGTCATGCCGCGGGATATCCAGCCTCGGCCGACACCAAGCGCGGCGGCAACGGCTGCCGCCGACACCGAGGGCGGCAGGGCACTGGCTGCCGCAAGGCGTGCCCAGCGCCGTCTCGGCCTCAGGAAAAGCCAGCGCGCACCAAGAGAAATCCGGCCTCTGCCGACAGTAGAGCCGCCGGTCCTTCGCCGCCGCCGACGAGAAGTTCGGACGTTCCGCGGGACATTCGGCCACAGCCGACATGGAGGGCCGCCGGCCCTTCGCCGCCGACGAGAAGTTCGGACGCGCCGCGGGATATCCAGGCTCTGTCGACACCGACGGCGGCAGGGCGCCGGCTGCCGCAAGGCGGGCCTAGCGCCGTCTCGGCCTCAGGAAAAGCCAGCGCGCACCGAGGAAATCCGGCCTCTGCCGACGGTGGAGGCCGCCGGGCCTCGCCGCCGCCGACGAGAAGTTCGGACGTTCCGCGGGATATTCGGCCACAACCGACTTGGAGGGCCGCCGGCCCTTCGCCGCCGTCAAGCGGGACTAGCTCGGCCGTAGTCTCGATCGGAAGCCAGCACTCGCCGCGAGCCATCCAGTCCCGGCCGGCCAGCAGGGCCGAGATCCCCGCCACAACTCCGGCCGCAGCCGGGCTGCTTGTTGGCGGCAGAGATAGCGCCTCGGCAGGTACGGTCGTAGAGCGAGGTAAAGGCGTGTAGCGGTGATAGCTAACCGGACGCAGGTAGATCGGCGATAAGACGGCAGGCGAGGGAAGAGCAGAAGAGGAAACGCCATCTTAGTAGTGGGCAGGCCGAGCGGAAACGCGCCCGGGTCGGTGAAAGGGTGCCGAGACCAAGGGAGCTGCAGGCCGAGGACCTAGCCAGCGCGCTGCGGCACCTCGACGAGGAGTTCGAGGCGGGCGAGAGGCTGGCCAACGAGCAGACGTGGTGTGCGCCGGTGCCGCGCGAGAGGCAGGTGAGGACGGTGCGGAAGTTCTACCGGGCGTTCCACGACGCTGGCACGCTGCCGATCGCGACCTGCACGCTATGCTACCGGAAGCGGGCCAAGGGGCTGAGGAGATGGCGTGGGAGGGTGGGAGGGTGGTCGCGGGCGGTGTTGGGGGGGCGGTCCCCGTTCGGGTGCCAAGCCTGCTTCCCGGAGGGCAGGCCGGTGGCGGTCTGCGCAGAGTGCGCGCGATGGGCCGGGCGTGAGGGGGCGTCGCCGGCCATGCACCTCCATGGGCGGCTCGGCTGCGAGCACGCGTACCCCGACGAGCTAAAGGACCTCACGCCGCTCGAGGAGAAGCTCATCTCGCTCAACTCGTGCTACGGCTTCGTGACGAAGTATAGCATCCCCGGCGGCCAGAGGCAGAGCGTGAGGTACCCGAGGCACGTCAAGGGCCATATCACGGTGTTCCCGAACGACGTGCAGGGCCTGGCTGCCAAGGTGCTCCCGCACCCGCTGGTCCGGGTCATGGACGAGATCCACGTCTCGTGGCAGGGCGCTGAGAGGCCCGGGCCGCGGGACCTATCAGGCCTGCTGTCGGTAAGGCGGTCGGCGGTCGAGAGGGCGCTGGCCTGGCTCAGGAGAACAACCCGCTCTACGGCGAGGTCGAGATCGACGCGGCGGAGATAGCCAGCTGGGGGCGCCGCCGCACGGTGCCGCCGGTGGTGTGCGAGCGGCTGGAGCGAAACGAGCCGTCGGCGCGGGAGGACGCAGACGGCGCAGGTGGTGCCGCCGTCGGAGCGGGCCATGGACGACGGAGGCGCGGCCGAGATCGAGGAAATCCTCGCGATGCTAAGGCAGGGCCAGGACCCCGCCGAGGGGAGCCGCGACGTCGGGCTCACGTGCGAGGACGACGACAGGGACGGCGCTAGGCCCGAAGAGGACGGGGACGTAATCAATGAGGTAACGTCTTCCGGCATGTTCCCGTTAGATGGGGCGCCAGATGAGTAATCAAACATACACTCCAGATTTTCAAACATACACTCCCGACCTAAGCCCCATTTGGAAGAAGACCCCGCCACCAAAATTTGGCGCGCGCTTTCCCAACGCCGCTGCCGCGGCTGCCTGCCTAGATATATTGTCGCATATCACGCCCGTGTCAGTTCCTGAAACCTTATGCTCGATCACTGCCACTGCTGCGCCGCGGCTTCGCCGCAATGATCGGGTATATATTGTTGCACGAATGTGTGCATCCAATTCTTTTCCTTTCCTTTGTTCTTTAGATAATTCTCATCAATTGACTGATGCCACAAAGATCAACCGCTGTCACGTGCGAGGTGTGGGACACTATTGTCTGACATATATGGATTCTATCTGCAATTATTACCAACGCCGGAAGATGCATCCCTTAGAGTCATTCAATTGAAGCTATCAATAAGCCCGGCCCGATCGATCTTCCGATATATATACAATATGCATATAATGGCGGAAGGTCTTTGCCTACCTCTGTGACTGTGACTGTGACTGTGAGGAAGGATCCGTCCGACGCGGCGGAGGGCGAGGCACGTAAGGAACGAATTTGTGACCGGCCTGCCTGCTAGTTTTGTATGGTGCCGTGTCCCTCTGATCCCCTAGCTGCTGGAAATGCTCCGTAGCCGTCTCGTGAGACTGTGCCGGCGGCTGTGCCCACATGAAGCCGTCGTGATGTGCCTGTGACGAGGAGGCGGTTCTTGCCACTGTGACGGCGCCGGCGCCTGTACGTATACAGGCACAATTGGTGTAGGCGGTGGCATCACATAGTATCCCTGTGACGGCGGCGCCGGCTGTGGAAGTGAGGGCATCGTCGTTTGGTATCCCTGTGACACCAGCGGCACCTGTGGAAGTGAGGGCACCTGTGATAACAGCACCGGCGTTGCTGCTGCTTGTGACTTGATGAAATCACCGATCTGCTGGGCAAGATCGTCAACCCGGCTGCTCACGGAAGCAAGTGTATTCGACCTCTTGTTCATGATAGTGGTGCCTGTGCCCTTCCTCTTCTTCTTTTGCGTCTCTGGTGGCCGTGATACGAGCTCTGGGTTGGCTCTATGCTCCTCTTGCTCCCAAGCACTAAGGATCCGGCCCGTAGATGCCTCTAGTGGAGGATACCTCGCGTCTACTGTTTCCACGCCGGCGAGGCTGGACAACGTCAGGATCGGCTTCGTGGTCTGCATCGATATATTGCTGTTGTTCAGGCTGCTAGTAAATTAGTATAGTACTTATGGCTGGAGCAAGATACTTACAGTCACGCCGTAAACCCGCCAGTGGTTATCAATAAGATGCAATGGTATAAGGGCGGCCGCGTCAGCCTGGATCAAATCGCGGATTGTATGCCGGCAGGGCAGCCCCCATTGCATCGTGAAAGCACCCGTACAAATCGTAGGCATGCCTCGATTATCGGCAAGCTCAGCCCGGCTAGCCTAACTTGCCTGAAGATCTGTTTCATCGGCTGCCAGCCAATTTTTCGGTGCAGTGACTTCATAATCGTCTGCTTGGCCCATTCAACTCTAGCTCTTGCAAACTCGGATTGAAGCTTCTCGCGATGCTTCTTTTGCCGATGGGTAACGAGCCCTCTGATGTGCTCTTGTAGCTGATGGAGGTCAATGAAGCGGTTGCGTAATCGTGACTTCAACTCGTGATGTGTGCTCTCACACGGGAAGTTACCGTAATGTTATAATTTCGGTACTGTTGGATAGCGTAGGTGGAAAACTGGGCACGCCATGGCCAGTAGGTTGTACGGAGGTAATTAACGAGAGCTATAAGAGGAGCTATTTAGTAAAAGGTTAGAGTAGGAGGGTAGTTAGGGCTAGGGTTACCTGGCTGATCCGAAAACTCTATACAGAGTAGATCCCACTGATCTCTGCACTCCTCAGCCGTGCGAGCCCTAAAGACTGAAACCCAGGCATCACGGATACCGTCAGCTGTGTGCTCAAAAGTCCGCCTTGGAGCCGGGGTAGTATTGGGTTTCCATCGTCATCTTCACGATCATCTTGTTGCTCAACGCACTGATCTGCCAGTTGTGAGGCATGTTGAATCTGGTAATCAGTGGCACGGTCGATAGGTCGGTCCTCGTCAATGGCATTATCTGCCTGTATAGGGTCGTCGAGAGCGGCTGCTGCAGCGAGGCGAGTCTCCTGTTCTGGCCTATCTCCGCCAATCTCGGTGCCATCGAGGATCCTTCCACTTCTTCTTGATGTGAAGGATCACGTTCTTCATCATATGCCAAACGCACACTTGTTGTTGCGTTGATGGGAAGATAGAGTCAAGGGCGTTCTTCAGGGCGGTATCAAAGTCGGTAATCACAACGCCCGGGTCCGGAATATCAGCCTGCCGACCAGCCTCACGCAACTGTGAGGATCCATTGGAACGCGCCTTCGTCTTCCTTGGCAGTGAGGCCAAAGCCTACACTGAAGCTCTTGTGTAGCCCTGTTGTGCCAATGATCTGTAGAAGCGGCATGTTAAAGCGGTTGACCTTATACGTATTATCCATGATAAGGAGCTCGGGGTTACGCTTCCAGTCAGCAATACAGTCATCGTATGTCCAGAAAAACCTCCAAACCTTCCCATTAGGGCCACGGTCAACTGCATAGTAGCTGATTTCCCCTTTGCTTTAGCATCTTTGAGTACATCGAGGAAGGCTTGTGTAGATGTAGAGGCGCCGTAACGGAAGGCACGAAGTTGCAGCTGGATGAAGTGTATATCAGAATCGGTAATAAGGAGCTCAGGATATTCCTGTCGGATAGCATCCACGATATCCCTGCTCTTGTTATTGACGTTCTTGCTAAGCCCCTCGACGAGGCTATGAAGACGCTCGATGCCGAATTTGCGTTGGCTTCGTTGACGGACGATGGGGTTAGCAATTGGCTCAAATAGAGGTTCGTGGTTATGAGCCGTGCTTGATGGTGACTTTGAATGCATTGCAACGTCGGTAGAAGCGGATGTAACAGCGAAAGTCACATCCCGACTTCTTGGATGACGTCTTGTATATACCCTCTGCCTCGTCCCAGGGCCTATACTGACCACTGTATTCACAGCGGATATTGGCTTCCTTGCGCCTAGGCTTGCCGGTATTCTTGCTATTTGCAACGACTACGACGTAGCCAAGGAGCTCTTGCGTAGCTTTGAGTGTTTCAAGCGCCTCATCATACGTATCGAAAGACATCTCCGTGATAGCCTCGGTGCTACTGTTGGTATTGCTTTCGGTCGAATTCATCAGGACGATTGACTAGACGTGACTATTGCGGTAGGCGGCGGCGGCGTTGCTGTTGTGTTGAGTCAAGTGGTGATAGCTTCAATTGTTGATGATTGCGAAAATGCAGATGGCGGCCAAAAAGGCAGGTGGCTGGGCGGGTGGGCGGCGGCGATGGTCACGGCAAGCCAGGGCGTTGGGAAAGCGCGCGCCAAATTTTGGTGGCGGGGTCTTCTTCCAAATGGGGCTTAGGTCGGGAGTGTATGTTTGAAAATCAGGAGTGTATGTTTGATTACTCGCGCCAGATGTGGCCGACGCCGAGAAGATTCGCTTCGCCCGCGACGCGGTCGGGCCCGAGGGAGCGCGCGCCAGCCCGAGGACGTGGGTAGGGACGGCGGCCAGAGGGGCGGCGGGCGACGGCGGCGACGGCGAGCCGTACATACAGGTGCGACGCGGCGAGGATTTCGCCGACTCGGCGGACGCCTCCTTCTTTGCAAAGGCCTTTCCGACCCTGTTCCCCTTTGGCTTAGGCGGGCCGAGGCTCGCCGACGAGGACGCCGCGGGAGAGAGCGCGGGCCCTAGCGTCGGGAACCAGGGCGCCCAGGCGGAGCGGGTTGCAGAGGGCCTTATGTCGACGCGGAACATGAAGCTCCAGGCATGGGCCGACGTCGTGCTGCGGCGTCACGGCGGCCGGTTCGCGACGCACCTATCTTCGCCTTCCTTGTCTTTAACATGGGCGTGCGGTCTAAGAACCGCCAGGCCAGCATGCTAGGCGTAGCGAGGAAGAACTTCGCAAGGGTCGAGGGCCTACTAAAGTCGTTAACGGCGCAGAGGCTCGAGGCGGCCAGGGCCGAGCTCGAGGCCACAGGTAAGACTAGCGACGACGGGGTAAAAGAGCTCCTCCGGTCCCTCTCCGTGTTCGGCTACCGGCAGCCAATGTCGAGGGAGAGCCGCCTTAGTATGCGGAAGAAGATACTATCCCTCATCGTTAGGTACGGGGTGCCGGCTATCTGGTTCACGCTGAACCCGAACGACATTACGAACCTAGTAAAGTTACGGCTAGCGGCGCACCGCGGCCGCGACCCCGACGAGGCCGAGGCCTTCCTAAGTGACCTAGGGACCGCGTATAAGCGGACGCGGCTGGCCATATCGGACCCGATGAGCTCGGCCGTCTTCTTCCACCGGGAGATGACGCTCTTCTTCGAGCACTACGTCAACGTCGGGGAGGAGTCGGTGTTCGGCCACGTCGGCGCATACTACGGGGCGGTAGAGACCAACGAGCGAGGCGCCCTCCACATCCACGGGCTCCTCTGGCTAAGGGCAACGCGGGCATTGGCGACGCGCTCGCCGGCCCGGACGCGGAGGAGCAGGCGGCGTACCGGGAGCGCATCGTCCGCTACGTAGATAGCGTCTTCTCTGAGGTAAGGCGGCCGCCTTAACACAAACCCCGATGCCCCTATCTGGGGCAGGCTGAGGGCCTAAGCTGAACCGAGGCCGCAGGAGCTAGACGCAGAAGGTTACTGTGCCATGCAGGCAGAGCGGTCGGCCACGGCGGACATATCGTCGCGGCTCGACGACGTCGCGCGCTTCACGGACACCTTCGACGAGGAGGCCAACTTCTGCGCGGGCGCGACGCAGATCCATACGCATAGCGCGACCTGCGTAAAATACTCGCTCGGCGTGGGGCGCGGAAGGGGACCTCTGCCGGTTTAAGGCGCCGTGGAGGTTGGTGGAGAGGACGGCGCTGACGGCGGACGGGGTGCTCGAGATCCGGCGGACGCATAGCATGGTGAACCGGTGGAACAGGGCGATGGCAGTGGGGCTACGACACAACCACGACATCTCGTTCATCGCGACGCAGCGCAAGACCATGGCCCTAATCTACTATATTACTAACTATACGACGAAGGTAGAGGACCCGGTGTGGAAGCGTGTGGCCGCCGCGGCCGAGTTCCTTCCTGTGCTAGAGCCGACGGGAGAGGGCAACAGAAGTGGCGCCGACCGCGACGCCGGCCGGGAGGGCGGGGCCGAAGGGGTAGCGACGGCGGCGGACCCCGTAGGGGGGAATAAGACGAGAACGTTCCTGCTTAAGGCGGCGAATCGAGTCTTTACGGAGCGGCCGCTGTCGCAGGTCGAGGTGATCGCGCACCTCCTAGGGTACCCGGCGGGTTTAGCAGCGGCTCAGCGTGGGCGTATATAAACGCAAACCAGCTCTACTGGGCCGTCTTCCGCCGGTGGCGGCACCTCCGACGGGCGAGCGGCGCCGAGGCGACGGGCGACGCGCCGGACGAGACGGTCGTCGTCGAGGAGGCTGGCCTGAGGATCCCTCTCGTCGAGGCCTACCGGCACCGGGGCGAGCTCCTGCGGGCCTCTGCCTTTATGACTACGCATCGCTTGTAAGGTTAAAGCAAAACGGCAGCGGCGAGCGGTATGGCGGGCTGGGGTGAGGTACCCTTCGCGGAGAGCTGGGCGTCGGGGAAGGGCTGGGTGCAGGCGCTTAGGCGGCCGGGTTGCGGGGCGACTGTATGCGTCGACGGATACCTCAGCAAGGAGTTCAGCGAGGAAGACGACGAGTCGTGCCACCGGAGGTGCGTACTATAAGACGGGGGGCGCCTAAGAGGAAGGCAGAGCAGCTAGGGGCATCGGCTAACAGCATCTAGGGCGGCGGTGCAGCACCTGGCCCTATTCGTGCCGTGGGAGTCCTTCCTCGGCGAGGAGGCAGGCGACATTAACAACATCTGGGCACGGGCGCGGAGTCGCTGGCGCCGAGGTCGCGCGGCTCGCAGACAACGTGCAGCTCCTCCGGCGGTCGGCGGAGGACGCGAAGCGCGACGCCAAGCAGTGGGCCGCCACGGCCGAGGAGGGCGGTATGACGGCGCCGCAGGCCGACGACGAAGGCAGGGGCGGCCGAAGGGGCGAGGAGGCATACCGCGCCGGCGGGGCGGGCGACGCGGCTCGGCTCATCGACGTCGTCCGGAACGCCGCCAGCGCGGGACAAGTCACGGCGCAGTCAACAGAGCTGCTAGCGATGACGCAGCAGCTCTGCCGGTTCCAGCAGTCGGCGCTCGGGTCGGCGGCCGAGCTCGCGGCGACGGTGGTGGCGGACGAGAGGGCAGGCAGGCGGGTGAACCTACCGGGCTCGGCGCTGTCGGGGCGGCACTGCCGCGGCAAGAAGAGGTGCGGGCCATCAAGTCGCAGCAGAGGAGCGCGGCGCGGGGCGGGCGGGCGATCCAGGGCATCCAGGGCGGCGGGGCGGCGGCGGGCGTCGGGGCCGACCGCGGCGCGGCCCTTCGCGGGGTGATGGGGGGCTTCGGCGAGGACGACATCGACGTAACGGCGGCCGACGGCGACGCAGACGCAGGCACGGCGGCGGGGATGCGCGTGCGGCTCGGCCCGTCGAGCTCGTTCGTCGCCGCCGGCGAGAGCTGGCGGGCCAGCTCACGCTCAACGAAAGCAGGCCATCGCCCTCCTAATCGTGTGCCGGCAACTCGACCGAATCCGGCAGGGCGACGACGCAGGCGGCGACGGTGGTGGCCAGCTCTGCCTATTCATCGGCGGCGAGGGCGGCACCGGCAAGTCGCGCGTCATCGAGGCGCTCGTCGAGCTGCTCGCCCGGAGGGACCTATCGAGCCGGCTGCTGGTTACGGCGACGTCGGGGACGGCGGCAGCGCGGATCAACGGCATCACGCTGCACTCGGCCTGCGGCCTTACGGTCGGCCAGGGCGGCCGGGCGGGAGGGCGACGAGGACATTGACGGCGTACGGCTGGCGGGCCAGGGCGAGCGCTTCGTCGACGGCCGGTCGCGGATGGACTGGCAGGAGAAGGAGGTGCTGGTGATCGACGAGGTCAGCATGCTCGGGGCGCGGACGCTGCACGCCGCCAACGAGCAGCTCTGCCGGCTGCGGGGGTCGGCGCGGGACTTCGGCGGCATCCCGGTAGTGATCCTCTGCGGCGACTTCCACCAGTTCCGGCCGGTGCAGGAACGGTCGATCCTGCTGCCGAGCGCGGCGGTGGCGTGGGACGAGGACGGGGCGTTCGCGGCCGAGCAGCGGCGGCAGCACGACAAGGCGCACGCGCTGTGGCGGCGCTTCACGACGGTCGTCATGCTAGACGAGCAGACGGGAGAGGCAACCCAACAGGGTTGCGCAAAGAGCCTTGAGGAACGAAAAAAACGTCTAGACAAGGGGCAGACAGATGTACAGAGGCAGAAAGGTAACGACGACCAAGGGGCAGCCAGGCTGGACGAAAAACACTTCCCATTTAAGGAGTTATAGCAGCGTACGCTATTCCATTTCCGTAGCTTTCTTAGATAGGTGGCGGTTTCGAAGCGGACGGGCCGGCGAGCCCAAGCCATGGGCGACAATGGAATCGAGGAAGAGTCCGTAAGTCAGGACCCGGCTTAGGGTTGTCCGGCTCATGAGCGGCGGAGGCAGCCGAAACAGAGAACGAGTGGGTAGCAGAGGAGGCGGGCTTAGGGAAGACGAGATCACCGGGGCCTTATGCAGCAGACACGGTCGCTTCGTCGGCGTATCGGCAGGCTCAGGGCAATATCGTTTCCCGGGCGGCGTAAGGTGGCCGGTCGAGGCGAAGCCGAAGCCAAGGGTGGAGGACTGAGCGGGAGGGTGCCAGGGTGATCAAAGACAAAGAGGCAGCGCGCACGTCCCGGAAGGCCGCGGAAGCGGAGGAAGCTTGTTGCCTCTGTGGCGTAGAGAAAGCGGTGCCATCGTGGTGACGGCGGCGGCGGCCTTGTCGAGAAAGTCCAGGAATCCGGGACGACGATAAAGACGTTGTCCCGGTCCGAGCCCGGGGGGTAGAGCATGACATCATGACGGAGCAGGCCAGCGACCTTGCCTGTGCAGGTAAAGGGGACGTTAGGCTGAAATTGAGAGTCCTGCCTCTCGGCCATCTTCCTACACAAGATGGCCCAGGGGTTAGCGCGAACAGGGAAGATAACGAAGACCTGGAACGGGTGGAAGCCCTTGAAGGGGACCTTATTAGGCATCCCAGGAGCGACATAGGTAGAAAGGCGGACAAATCCGCAACAGTTAAGTTGGGCGGCGCCTAGACCGGGCAGTAGGTCCCGCCGCAGCGAGGAGTGGCCGGTGCCGACGATAAGGCCGGTAAAGGAAACAATAGGCGGGATGCAGGGAGTCGCCCATGGAGGCAAAGAGCCTAGGAGAACACTTCAAGCCCATCTTAGCCATATACCGTTTCGTCGGCACTCGCGAAGGGTCAGGGCACGGCTTACGGCTGGTAGCCCTGATCGCGGACGACAAGGGCGGGCATCGTAGAGAAAGGTGCGGCCCGTGTCAGACTCGAGGCCGTCGCGTTGCTCAACCTCCCATGCGAGCGCGTAGGGGTGGACGCGGGCATGCATGAAAAACCACTCTTCGGTCCAGTCGGAGGATCAATAGGCTGGCCGTAGATGGAGAGGTTGAGGCTAAAAAGACGGATGTCGGGAATCATCGGCATCCGATCGGAGGGCGCATATTCCGTCGCGAGCAGCCAGGCGGGAGGAGGCAGGAAGACGCGGGCCATGGCCTCGGCGTTAAGACCCCTGATGCGGTGGTCGTCCTGGTGGGAAAATCTAGCAGGACAGTCCGGCTGGACAAAAGACATCATAGACATCTCACCGCCAGCGCCCTTTGGCTATCGAGCGGCTTTCGAAGGTGCGGTGCGGGCATATCGGTACGAAGTAGAGAGGAAGACATAGTGCATCTGCGCAGGTCGATAGCCACTTGCACGCACTAAAGGACGGGTTCTCAGCGTCAAGAAAGGAGTAGGGAAGAAGTCGAGCGTAGACGCACTTATAGTAGATCAATAGTGGTATGGATTCGCCGGGAAGAGCGAGGAGCCTTGCCGCTGTAAGTAAGCAGACGTCAAAGAGATGCGTCGTGGTGTTGCGGAGCTGGGTACTGATCGGGCAGCAAGGGCGACGCGGATTAAAGTGTCCGGCAGGGCTACCGGCATAGGATGGCGAAAACTAGGGCTGTCGGCAGATAGGCCTGTCGATAGGTACAAAGGAAGCCCGGCAGGTCCGAGAGAGGAGGTCTAATGCAGAAAGGGGATATTAACAAGGAAGGATATAACCGTTAGCAAGAAGAATGCCAACGCGGCGGAACGCCATTGCCAGGAAGCGAGACAATCTCGGGGTATATCCCGGTCGAAGGCTTCTAATCTATCGTTCGTTTGCGGAGCCTTGCCGATAAGACAGCACCAGCATGGGGAGAATCGTAGCCGCGAGGTAAGATCGGTGGCAGGAGAGTGCGAAACGGGGACAGCAGCAGCGGCCGCTGCTGCGACGAGGATATCGCGGCGGCGAGACCGATCGCAATGGACGAAGGGCCGAAGCGGGCGTCGGGCCACAAAAGTCAAGAAACGCGGCACCCAGGTTCCGGCCTATTGAGGCCAAGCCGGCCGCGGCGGCCGACGATGCCTCACGAAGAGAGCAGGCAGAGGCACTCAAAGAGCGTTGCCCAAGGGAAGTCGGCGAGGCGGCTGGCCGCGGAAAGGACGACTAACGTCGATAGTTCCTCCTCGAAGGAGGGCTCGTGGAGGGCGTCAGAGGGCACGTCTGGAAGGCGAAGCCGTGGTGCGCGGACAGGGCCAATGGGCTCCGAGGACACCCAAGCCGCCCAGGAGGACAGGATCGGCCGGCAAGCCCTGTCGGGAACTCGCCTAGAGTCGTCAGGAGCTTCTGGTTCGGCCAATCCGACCTCAAGAGATGGATGATGGCGCAGGAGATACGCAGTCATCCGGACGGTGGCCACCGCCGCCATCACGCCAGAAAGGACAGGGTCGGCCGGCAAACAGTGTCGGGATTTCGTCTACAGCCGTCAGGAGCGCCTCATTCGGCCAATCCAACCTAGAGCAATAGAAGATAGAGCGGGAGATATACAGTCATCCGGATGCCAGGCGGGACAGGATTGGCCGGCAACCGCTGTCACGATGTCGTCTGGAGTCGTCAGGCCCCTCGTTCAGCCAACCCAACCCAGAGATGCAAGGCAGGGCAGGAGATACGCAGTCATCCGGATGGTTGCCACCACGGCCATCACGCCAGGCGGCGGCGGGAGAACAAGATCGGCCGTGGCGAGACGAGGCAGCGGAAAGATCCTCGCAGGCCGTAGAACAGAGAAGAGGAACCGCCAGCGTGACCGAGACCAGACCCCGACGAAACGTACTCGAGGAAGCCATCCGAGGCAGAGGAGGAGTGAGCTGCAGGCAGAGGATTTGGCCAGTGTCTTGCTTTACCTCGAAGGGAATTCGTCGCGAAGGAAAGGCTGTCTAAGGAGCAAACCTGGTGCACACCAATACCGCATGAGAGGAAGGTATCGACGGTGCGAAAGTTTTATCGGGCGTTCCACGATGTGAGCACCTTGCCGATAATGACCTGCAGGCTGTGTTACCGCAAGCGTACAAGGAAGGAGTTGAGGAGATTCCGTGGGATCAGTGGCTATCAAGTCCCGTTCCTCGGGGTGAGCGCTCACCATTTGCGTGCCGAAGCTGCTTTCCCGGGGTGAGCCGTCTCGGTTTGTGTGGAGTGTGCCCGATGCTTGGGGCGCGGGAGCCTGTCGTCGGCGGTCCACCTTCACAGTCGCCTCGGATGCGAGCACATGTTCCCCGACGAGCTGAAGGGGCTGACGCCGGTCGAAGAGAAGCTCATCTCGTTGAACTCGTGTTACGGCTTTGTGACGAGGTATAACATTCCGGGCGGGCAGACGCAGGCAGTGAGGTATCCGAGACATGTCAAGGGCCACATCACGGTGTTTCCAAACAACGTGCAGGAGCTGGCGAGAAGGTGCTCCGCACCCGCTCTGGCAAACAATGGACGAGATCCACGTCTCGTGGCAGGGCGCGGAGAAGCCAGCACCGTGCGACTTATCGGGTCTCTTGTCGGTGAGGCGTCAAGTCGTCGAGAGCGCTTATCTGGTTGAAGAAGAATAACCCCATTACGCCGATATTGAGATTGATAGGGCGGAAATGGATAGCTGGGAACACCATCACACGGTGTGCCGCGGGTGGTCTACGACCGCATGGAGCGGAACGAGCCGTCTGCGTGGGAGAAGACGCGAACGGCGCAGGTCGTGCCGCCCGCAGAGCGGGCCATGGACGACGATAGTCCGGCGGAGATCGAAGGAGTCCTCGCCCAGCTCCTCCAAGGACAAGACGTATTGGACAGGGAGTCGAGAATCCGAGGGAGTGGAGCGGACGGGACTGACGATGCTGAGCCCGATGACAGAGCCAAAACGATCAACGAGATCACCTCTTCCGGCATGTTTGCATTGGACGGACCGCCGGAAGTGTCGGACGCAGAAAGCTCCGCTTTGCGTGCAATGCCGTGGGTGGCGATGGGGCCGAGAACGACCGCAAGGGCCGAGGGCATGGATAAGGTCGGCGGAGGCGGGTCAAGAAGGCACGGATGTCCGCGAGCCATACATCCACGTTTGTCGCGGAGACGAATTCGCCGACTCGCTCGACGCCTCGTTCTTCGCCAAGACCTTTCCCACCCTACTGCCGTTCGGATTTGGAGGACCACGGCTCGCGGAGGAAGTCATCTTAGGACCCGAGGGCCGGTCAATTGGCGGGTACGGCTGCTGGAGAAGAGACGGCGGCGCGAGATCTTCTGTCGTCTCGGAACATAAGCCTTCGGACCTGGGCCGGCATTGTGCTGCGGCGCCATGGTGGCCGATTCGCGACGCATACCATCTTCTCGTTTCTCGTTTTCAATATGGATGTGCGGTCGAAGAATCGTCGGGTCAGCATGCTCAGCGCGACGCGGAAGAACTTCGCCGAGGTGGAGCGCATCGTACGGTCGCTGACAGCGGATAGGTTAGCGGCCGCCAGGGCGGAGCTGGAGACGTCGGGCAAGACTACCGACGATGGCGTCAAGGAGCTTCTAAGATGCCTTTCGCTGTACGGCTATCGGCAGCCCATGTCGAGGGAGCTCCGTCTGAGCATGCGGCGCAAGATCCAGTCACTCATCTTATGTCGTGGCGTGCCTGCAATCTGGTTCACGCTCAACCCGAACGACATCACGAACCCGGTGAAGCTGAGACTGGCGGCATACCGCACACGTGATCCCGCAGCGGCCGAGGCATTCCTGCAAGGCCTCGACAAGGCGTTCAAACGTGCGCGGCTGGCCATCTCGGACCCGTTAAGCTCGGCCGAATTCTTCCACCGAGAAATGACGTTGTTCTTCGAACATTACGTGAGAGTGGGCGAGGAGTCGGTGTTCGGGCGCATCAGCCACTATTACGGTGCCGTCGAGACCAACGAGCGTGGAGCGCTCCATGTTCACGGACTGCTCTGGCTGCAGGGCAACGTGCATCTAAGCTCGATGCTTGCCGATATCGACGGCGAGGATCAAGCGGCATACCGAGAACGCATCGTCAGATACGTCGACAGTGTCTTTTCCGAGGTATGAGCGGGGCCGGCGTGTTGACCTGCGTCCTCCGTCTGTCAAAGCCGAGAAAGCTGACGAACAAGACAGGATCTGGACCAGGAAGGCTTCTGCGCAATGCAGGCCGAGCGATCGGTGACGTCAGATATATCGCAATTTCTGGGCGACGAACGGCAATTTTCAGCCTCGTTCGACGAGGAAGCGAACTTCTGTGCCGGCGCGACGCAGATCCATACCCACAGCCCGACCTGCGTCAAGTACTCGCTGGGCAAAGGGGGGCGCAAGGGCGATTTATGTCGTTTCAAGGCGCCGTGGGGACTGGTCGACGAGACGGCCTTCACGGGAGACGGCGTGCTGCGGATTCGGAGGTCGCACAGCATGGTGAATCGGTGGAACAAGGCCATTGCCGTGGGGCTTCGCCACAACCATGACATATCTTTCATCGCCACACAGCGTAAGACGATGGCCCTCATCTTTTACGTCACAAACTATGCGACCAAGGTGGAGGACCCTGTATGGAAGCGCGTCGCCGCCGCCGCGGATCTCTTGCCTCCCAGGGCAGGTGACGGAATGGCCGACGGCGCGGAGGTTCGTGGAGACAGTGGTGCCGGTGACGATGGCAGGCAGAATAAGACACGGCAGTTCCTGATGAAGGTGGCGAATCGCGTGTTTACGGAGAGCCGTTATCGCAGGTCGAGGTCGTCGCGGACCTCCTGGGATGCGCGACTGAACTGACGAATGGCAGTGCTTGGGCGTTCCTGAACGTATCGTTGCTCTACTGGCAAGTCTTCCGACAATGGCCGCACCTTCGACGAGAAGCGGCGCAGCCGTTGCAGATGGCTCTGTGGACGAGTCAATACTCGTCGAAGAAGCAGGCCAGAGGATTTGCCGTGTCGAGGCATACCGTCATCGGGAGACGTCCTTCGAGGGCTGTGTCTCTACGACTACGTTTCGCTGGTCAGGCTGAAGCGCAACGAAAGGGACGAGGGGCCCGCCGGCTGGGGGGAGGTCCCGTTCGAGAGCGGCTGGGCTCCGGGAGGCCGTTGGGCGCAGGTGCTCAGGCGACCGGGCAAGCAGGCCACGGTCTGCCTCGACGGGTATTTGAGCAAGGATTTCGACGAAGACGACGAAGGGTCGTGCTACCGAAGGTGCGTTTGTCGTCGACGGGCCGGAGGCGCCGGGTCGAAGGCTAATTTCCATGGCGAAGAGCGGCTGTGCAGCATCTTGCGCTGTTCGTGCCGTGGGAGTCTTTCTTAGACGAAGAAAGGGCGACATCAACTGCATATGGGGCGGCAACGAGCAGCCCTGGCCCCGAGGATATCATGTTTCGTCGATAACGTGCAGTTGCTGCGACGGTCGGCCGAAGATGCAAAGCGGGACGCACGGCAGTGGGCGGCCTCGTCCGGTGACGGCGACCCGGCAGTACGTCCGGACGAGGACGGCACCGGGAGGTGGGTGTCGAGCCGGATCGGGATACCAGGCCGACAGTGCGGGAAGCACGAATCGCCTAATCGACGTTGTCAGAAGCTCGATCGGGCCGAACCAAATCACGGCCGGCTCGCCGGAGCTCACGGCGATGATGCAGGAGCTCAGCCGATTTCAGCAATCGGCGCTGTCCTCTTCTTCCGAGGTCCAGGCCACAATACTACCCGAACGGGGCCCAAGACGAATCAACATCCCGGGCGGGCATTCTCCGAGCCACCATACCGCCGCAAAGTGAGGTTAGGGCCATAAAGTCGCAGCAAATCCGCGCATCCAGGGAGAGGAGAAGATGATACAGGGCATACAAAGCCTGTCCACGGCACCGGTGACTGGTCGCCGCGCGGCGGTGCGGGGCGTGCTCACGGGTTTCGGGGATGACGACGTCCAGATGACGGCAGCGGAGCTCGAGGAAGGAGTAGCGGGGCCAGCGCGGGAATGGAGATCCGGTTCGGTGCCTCAACCTCCTTCCTCGAGGCGGGCAAGGCCCTGGCAGCGCGGCTCACGCTAAACAAGAAGCAGGCGATCGCCTTCCTAATTATATGCCGCCAGCTTGACCTGAAACGGCGCGGGAGAAAAGCAACGTACGCCAGCTGTGCCAGTTCGTCGGTGGAGAGGGCGGAACGGGCAAGTCACGAGTCATCGAGGCGCTCGTCGAGCTCTTCGCGTCAAGGATCAATCGAATCGTCTGATGATAACGGCGACGTCGGGGACGGCAGCAGCGCGGATCAACGGCATTACGATCCACTCCGCCTGCGGGTTCTCGAAAGATCTCGCGGCAGCCGCAAACGCGGCCAAGGATCTCGACGGGGTGCGACTGCCGAAACAGGCGGAGCGGTTCGTCGACGGGCAATCCCGGATGGACTGGCAGGAGAAGGACGTGCTCGTCATCGACGAGGTGAGCATGCTCGGGGCGCGGACGCTACACGCGGTGAACGAGCAGCTCTGCCGGCTGCGCGGGTCGCACCAGGATTTTGGAGGTATTCCGATCGTCCTCTTCTGCGGAGACTTCCACCAATTCCGCCCCGTCCAAGAACGCTCGATCCTCCTCCCAGCACCGCCGTCTCGTGGGACGTAGACAGCTCCTTCAAGGCCGAGACACGGCACCAGCACGACAAGGCGCACGCGTTGTGGAAGAGATTCACGACCACGGTCATGCTGGACGAGCAGGTGCGCGCCGCGGAGATCCGGAATTGCAGAGGCTGCTAAGGCGGATTCGACTGGGCGTGCAGGACCGCTCGGATCTGGACCTCCTCAACTCAAGATGCTACCGGGAAGGCAGGCCGATCCGTGGGAGACGTGCATCACCGTGGTGACGCCGCTGAACAGGAACCGGTGGAACCTCAACATGGAGGCCAGCTTGGCGTTCCGGGCCCAGCAGCGGTCAGTGATGCGCATCTTCATCTCGGATCATACGTGGAAGGAGGCCCTGCCGACGGAGGAAGAGGCCATCATGATGCTGAACCAGGGCGACGACAGCGCGATCCCGGTGCCGGCCGTCTTCATGTTCGTGCCGGGGATGCCGGTCGTCGTGAACCATAACACCCATCAGGGGCTAAAGCTGGTGAACGGCGCCGGCTACACGGCGCTGGAGGTCGTCCTCGACAAGTCGTACCCGGGGCATCGTATCACGGCAGACACGACGGTCCATTTCGGGCCGCCGGCGGGGATAATGCTGGAGTCGGAGACGACGAACGACGTTCACTTCGTCGGGATGCCGCCAGGCACGGTCCTGTTGACGCCCATGACGGTCAAAATACAGTGCCAGCGAAAGAGGCCGTGGCAGCAGAACGACGTCAGCCGAAAGGGCCTGCCCTGTACGGCAGCCTTCGCGTGCACAGACTATAAAGTGCAGGGCAGGACGCTCGAGCGTGTAGCTCTGGAGCTGCGGGAACGCGGACGTCAAACATCGACGGACGCGCCGTGTCCTCGCAGTGCGACCCGTACAGCCTGTACGTGCAGCTGTCTCGCTGCCCGACGCTGGACGGCATTATGCTGGTCTCGAAATTGCGGGAGAGGGACCTGGTGGGCAACAAGGTGCCAGACGAGATGACAGACGCAGAAGCGAGGCTGGGCCAGCTGAGCGACAAGACTGTCCGCGAGGCCTCGGGATGGCTAGACGTTGATTCCCTGGACTCTAAAGGCACGGGCCTGGACGTGTAGCTATCGCGATGCCGGGCGCAGGGCGCTGGACGGCACCATGCTCGTGTCAGGGGTGCGGGAGGGGTTTGGTCGGAAAAGGCCAAAACCGGTTTCACGAGGAGCTGAGTCCTAGTCGCGAGGTTAGGTCGCTGGCAGGACCGGAGAGGGCGAACTGCGCCGGAAGGCGAAACAAAAGGGCTAGGACGAAAAGGGTAAGTAATCATTAAGCGACCAAGGGAAGCCGGGATTTAAAAGCTCTCCAATCAGCAGCCAAGATGGGTTCTCCAATCAGAAGCCAAGGGTTTCGAGGGTAAAGTAGGTTTGGGGGTTTTTGGGGTTTTTTTCGCGTCCAGAAGAGCCTTTTCGTTCCTCAAGGCATTAAGCGACCAAAGGGAAGCCGGGATTTAAAAGCTCTCCAATCAGCAGCCAAGATGGGTTCTCCAATCAGAAGCCAAGGGTTTCGAGGGTAAAGTAGGTTTGGGGGTTTTTGGGGTTTTTTTCGCGTCCAGAAGAGCCTTTTCGTTCCTCAAGGCAAAAGGGGCTAGGACGAAAAGGGTAAGTAATCACAGGAGAAGGCTCTAAAATAAGGCGTCGAGAATTCGGCCTTGAGTGGCCTACTTGCTGTTCTAGTGTTCTTCGCATCATATGCGTCAGTTAATCATAAAAAAAAACTACAGAGTATCTAAACATCTAGAACACAAATTATGGCGATGTCTACGGTCCGAGTCGAGTTCATATGCCAATTTGGCGCCAGGCAACTCATCCACAACCATAGCATTCCTCGGAGCCTTGTGACGGAGGCAAACAGGGCCGGCGGAGATGCTGAATACAACGAGCGATTTACACAGTCCATGATGCCTCTTATGAAGGAGCACGAATCAGCATGTCGCAGTGCGTCGGGTGCTTTCTGCGAATGCTGCGGGCGGTTTGCGACAGACATCTTACAGAGTCCGATATCGATGCTGCACGCAGACGAGGCTCGCATTGTGGTTTGGGTCACATCGTTATGTGGAAGAGGGCAGTGCGAGGTAGAAATGAGACAGGAAATGCAACTAGTAATGGAAATGCGGCAGGAGGAGGAAAGGCGAGATAAGTTTCTAGGACGCAATAGGTGCATGGAGGTCAGGCTGTGCAAAATATGCGGGACGACCGTGGGAGTGAAGCGGTGCAGTAGATGTCACGCAGTGGCATACTGCGGCACGGAGCATCAAAAGGCGGACTGGAAGGTTCACAAGAAGGCGTGCGTGCCCGAGAGGCTCAACAGACACGGAAAGTGTGGAAGGAAACGATGACTAGAAGCGAGGTCGTAGAGGGTGGTGGAATATAGCAGTTCGGTTTTTATATGTGCTGAGAAGTAAGAGCACATAGTAAGACAAAGGGTAAATTGGGTTGTTCTCTGCATAAAGAATATATTAGCAGACTTTTATTTCACATAACTAGATAAGATATATAGCTATTCCGTTTCTGCTGTTTTCTACTTAGGTGACGGTTTCGAAGCGGCCTAGTCGGCGAGTCTGATGTGCAGGCGACAATTGAATTAAGGGAAGATGCCGAGGCATTCTCCGAGGCAGGAGTCTGACCGGCTGTTTCCGGATCGCTAATATGGGAAGCCGCTAAGAGGAGCAGGATCGGGTAGCAGAGCCCCAGTATCGGTAGAAGACGAAGGTTTCGGGGTCGTCAGGCGCGGTCTCTTCGTCGGCGTGCCGGCAGGGTCAGGACAGGGACGCTTCTGCGAGGGTGTAGCTAGGTCGGCCAAAGTAGAAGTTGAAGCAGAAGTTATTAAAGCCGAAGGTGGAGGACTTGGCGGGAGGGTACCAGGTGTTGCCACGGAGTAAGAGGCAGCGAGTATATCCCGGAAAGCGGCCGAAGCGGAGGACGGTTTTCCTTTAGTGGTGTCGAGATAGCCGAGGACGAGGCAGCCGCAGTGCTGGTGGCCTTATCGAGAAAAGTCCAAGAATCCGGGACGACGATAAAGACATAGTCTCGGTCGGAGCCTGGGGGATGAATCATGACGCGGTGACTGAGCAGGCCAGCAACTTTGCCTGTGCAGGTAAAGGGGATGCTGGGCTGAAAGTAAGAGTCCTTCCTCTCGGCCATCTTCTTACATAGTATAGCCCAGGGGTTAGCGTGAATGGGGAAGATAACGAAGACCTCGAATTGGTGGAAGCCTCTGAAAGGGATCTTGTCGGGAATGCCAGGAGCTAGATACGTAGAGAGCTGGACGAAGCCGCAGCAATTTAGCTGGGCGGCGTCTAGGTCTGGCAGAAGGTCTTGTCGTAGCAGGGAGTGACCCGGGCCAAGGATGAAGCCGGTGAAGGAAACGATAGGCGGGATGCAAGGGAAGTTATCCATAGAGGCGAAGAGTCTAGGGAGGATGCTAAGAGGACAAATCAGCCGGACCTCTCGCCCGAGAGCCGAGAGCGGTACGCGCTAGGGTAAATGGCACGCCTTACGGCTGGTAACCCTGGTCGCGGACGACGAGGGCGGGCATGGTGTAGATAAGGGTGTCGCCAGTTTCAGACTCTAGGCCGTCGCGCTGCTTAACCTCCCAGGCAAGGGCGTAGGGGTGGACGCGGCCGTTCATAAAAAACCATTCCTCAGACCATTCGGAGGCGATAACAGGCTGGTTGTAAATAGAGATTGAGACTGAAGAAGATGGATGTCGGCGAGTCGTCGGTATCCAATCGGAGCGGCGCATATTCCGCGGTGAGCAACCATGAAGGAGGTGGCAAAAAGATGCGGGCAATGGTCTCGGCGTTGAGACCTCTAACGCGATGCTCGTCCTGATGGGGAAATCTCGAGGGCAGTCGGGCTGGACGAAGAACATCATAGACATATCACCACCCGCGCCTTTCTGGCTATCGAGCGGCTTTCGAAGGTGTGGTGGAGGTAGCGGTGACGAGGAAGACATCGTGCATATCTATGTTGGCTAATAAGTGGTTTGTGCGCCTAGAAAATGATCGGTATAAGTCGTTAAGAAGGAAGTAAGAGGTGGAGAATAAAGCGGCCTTTTTATAAATCCAAGGTATTATAGAACCAGTGGGAGAGCGAGAAGCTTTGCCATGGCAAGTTTGAATTTTGATAAGGATGCGTGGTGCATAATAGCTCTTGACCCGACGAGTAAGCCAACGAGTAAGCCACACGAAGAGGCGGTGTGGAGAAGGTTGCCTGTTAGAATGGAACGGAAATTTAGGGAAGACTGTCTTGGGAGCTATCGTGCCGGGTGAGCTGAATCAGATGGCAGGGCTATTCCTTTTTCCGTTGCAGCATAGGTAGCGAAGAAAAGAAAGTCTAATTTGATGTTCCTTGAAACGCATACCTGCAACGACAGATTCGGAAGATGCGGAGGAGAGCAGAGTAGTAGAAGGCGGCCTTAGATGGAGTTGCGGTGTGTATTCCTATGCATGGGCTGGTCGAGGCCGTCCGGAAAGGATGGACGGACGGTGGTAGGGTGGTGAAGGGGGGAGAAAGGGGGGGGGCTCTCGCGGATAAGCATTGCCGCGTCGGCTCAGTGCTAAAAAGATCACAGGGTTTAGTTATAGGAAGGGATTGGTAGGAAAAACGCCAACACGGCGGACCATTATTGTTAGGAGGCGAGATAATATTGAAGAAAGATCCGGGGGCAAACTTTTATGGTCCATCATCCGTGTGCAGAGCCGCGGCGTTAAGATAGCATCGACATGGGAGAGAGTTCTCGCTGCGAGGTTCGGTCGGTAGAGGGAGAAGGTGAAATGGTGATGGGAGCAGCGGCCGTTGCTGCGACGAGAAATGTCGCTGCGGCGAGATTGAGCGCAATGGATGATTCGCTAAAGCGGGTGTCGGGATATAAGAGACAGGCAAACGTGGCATCCAGGTTTCGGCCCATCATGGCCAAGCAGGGGCTGGTCGAGGAGGTCTCGCGAGGAGAACAAGCGGAAGCGCTTAAAGAGCGTTGCCCAAGAGAAGCCGGCGAGGCGGTCGGCGGCCAAAGGAAAATCAGTATTGAACGATGGCATTTCGAAGGCGGCCCCATCACGACTTTCAGCACCGATAAACGTGGGTGATGATAAGCTAGTGAGCATGGAGACGGACGTTGCCATGCAAGGGTTGGGTGCGAAGCCGTGTGGAGGGAGTCTTGTGCCGTCCGTCGGCGGTGTGTTGCAGCGCGAGGGTAACGACCCGATCACCTACCGGCACCTCTTGCCCAAGGAGGGGAGGGCTGGGGATGATGAGAGGAGGGCAGCGACCACGGTAGGTCTGGAAGCACCATGTCCTCCGGAAGCCTTAGTCGGGCGAGAAGACGGCCTAGACAGTGGGAGATGGTCCGGCGTGGCCGTAAGTGGCTCTGAGACGGTTAGGCGACCCAGCGGTAGCGAACTGACGAGGCCGAAAGGTCTCGTCGAGCGGACAGGTGGTGTGGGGGGAAAACGCCGGGTTGGAAGACCGATAACGGTGATGAGATTTCGGCTGGAAGGCGGGAGCCAGCATTCGCCAAGGCCCATCCGATCCAAAGAGATGGAGAATACGGCCGGACCTGCGCCTGCTCTTATGAGATTTCGATTGGAAGGCGGGAGCCAGCATTCGCCAAGGCCCATCCGACCCAAAGAGATGGAGAATACGGCCGGACCTGCGCCTGCTCTTATGAGATTTCGATTGGAAGGCGGGAGCCAGCATTCGCCAAGGCCCATCCGACCCAAAGAGATGGAGAGTGCGCCGGGAGCTGCGCCTGCCCCCCCTGAGGAGGCCGGATTATCACACGCCGGGATCGCGGAGGGCGTGCAGATCGGCACGTCTGGAAAGCGGAACGATAGGGCGCGGACGAGGCAGAAGGGGAGCGAGGATACTCTAGCAGCCCGGGAAGGAAAGGTCGGCCGGCAACGGTCGACAGTGTCCGGCCTATCGAGGCGAAGCAGGCGCTGGCGGCCGAGGAGATCTCACGAAGAGAACAAGGGGATGCATTGAAAGAGCGTTGCCTAGGGAAGTCGGCCAGGTGGTGGGCTGCGGGAAAAGGCGATGCACGTGAATGGCGCCGCCTTGAAGGGAGGGCGAGCGCGACGCTCGACACCGATAAATGTGCGTGAGAGGCGTACGGACGAAGGACCGAAGCGGGTGTTGGGCGACGAAAGTCAAGCGGACCCGGCACCTAGGTTCCGGCCTATCCAGGCGAAGCAGGCGCCGGCGTCCGAGGAGGGTTCACGAAGAGAGCGGGTAGAAGCAGTCGAAAGAGCGACGCCTCTAGGAAGCCGGCGAGGCAGTCGGCCGCGGGATAATAGGACGCGCGTCCATGGTGCTTCTTCAAAGGGAGGGCAAGCGCGATGTTTAACAAGATTTCGGCTAGAGAATGTAAGCCAGCACTCGCCGCAACCCACCGTCGCCCGGCCAATTCAAGCGAAAGCGATAGGAGACAGAGCAGGAGATCTGCAGTCATCCGGGCGGTTATTACCACGGCCGTCACGCCTGGCAGGGCAGGATCGGCCGGCAGGGGCGGTCGGGATTTCGTCCACGGCCGTCAGGAAGCCCTCGTTCAGCCAGTCGAGCCTAAAGAGCCGGGAGATGGAGCCGGAGATACACAATCACCCGGACGGTTGCTACCACGACCACCACGCGGGGCAGCGGTGGGAGAGGAGGATCGGCCGAGGCGAGTCGAGGCGGTAGCGAGATCTTCGGAGTCCGTGGAGCAGAGAAAGAGGATCGGCGAGCCCGACCGAGACGAGCTGCCAGGAAACGTATTCGAGGCGGCCGTCGGAGGCAGAGGAGAAGTGAGCTACAGGCGGAAGATCTAGCCAGCGTCCTACGTTACCTGGAAGACGAATTTGCCGCCAAGGAGAGGCTGTCCAAGGAGCAGACTTGGTGCACACCAGTGCCGCATGAGAGGAAGGTATCGACGGTGCGAAGTTTTTATCGGGCGTTCCACGATGCGGCCACCTTGCCGATACGGGCATGTATGCTGTGCTACCGCAAGCGTTCGAGGACGGAGCTTAAGGAGATGCCGTGGGATCGGTGGCTGTCGAGCCCCGTCCCTAAGGGTGAGGGCTCGCCGTTCGCGTGTCGGAGTTGCTTCCGTGAGGGCGAGTCTATCGTGGTCTGCGCGGAGTGTCATCGAGGGCTGGCGCGTGGGGTGCTGTCGCCGGCGGCCCAACTTCATTGTCGCCTCGGTTGTGAGCATATGCTCCTGATGAGCTCAAGGCTCACGCCAGTGGAGGAGAAGCTGATTGCGCTAAACTCGTGTTACGGGTTCGTCACGAGGTATAGCGTCCCGGGCGGCCAGAAGCAGACGCTGAGGTACCCCAAGCACGTCAAGGGCCACATCACGGTGTTTCCGAACAATGTACAAGAATTGGTGACGAAAGTGCTGCCGCACCCTCTCCTGCAGGTGATGGACGAGATCCACATCTCGTGGCAGGGGGCGGTAAAGCCGACACCGAGCGACCTATCGAGTCTCTTGTCTGTGAGGCGGCGCGTTGTCGAGAGGGCTCTTGTTTGGCTGAAGAGAAAAACCCACACTATGCCGAGATCGAGATCGACGCGGCTGAGATGGAGAGCTGGGGAGAGTCGGCCCACGGGGTGCCGCCGTCGGTGTACGGGCGCCTGGAGCGGAACGAGCCGTCGGCATGGGAGAAGACGCGGACGGCGCATATCGTGCCGCCCACGGAGCGGGCCATGGACGACGAGGGCGCGGTAGAGATCGAAGAAGTCCTGTCTCTGCTCAACCAAGGGGGAGGAAGCGCGACGATTCTCGAGGACGACGAGCCAGAGTCAATCGAGGTAGACGAGGCGCGTGGTCAGAGCGGCGACGAGGCTAATCACGATGCGGAGACGATCAACGAGGTAACCTCGTCGGGAATGTTTGCGTTAGACGGGCCGCCCGACGTCGCCGACGTGGATAAATTGCGCTTCGCATGTGATGCCGTCCGCGAAGGGGCGGGCGACGACGGCGGCGCGGGTCCGAGGACGTGGGTGGAAACCTCGGCAAGGGGGCAGCCAGGGCACGCCGATGGTTCCGAACCGTATATAGGCGTTCGCCGCGGCGATGACTTCGCCGACTCGTTCGAAGCCTCCTTTTTCGCGAAGACCTTTCCCACGCTGTTGCCATTTGGCGTCGGAGGGCCGCGACCGGTCGAAGAAGCAGCCGTACAACTAGGCAGAGGCACCGCCGACATACGCGAGCGGGAGGCCGCGACGCGAGAGCTCGTGTCGTCTCGGAACATGAGCCTTCGGACCTGGGCCGACACGGTGTTACGACGCCACGGTGGCCGGTTCGCGACGCACCACATCTTCGCCTTCCTCGTCTTTAATATAGGCGTGCGGTCGAGGAACCGCCGCGTCAGCATGCTAAGCGTGACGAGGAAGAACTTCCGCAAGGTGGAGCGCATCGTACGGTCGCTAACCGCGGACGGATTGGCGGCGGCCAGGGCCGAGCTAGAGAGCACAGGCAAGACGACCGATGATGCGGTGAAGGAGCTGCTCAGGAGCCTTTCGCTGTATGGGTATCGTCAGCCCATGTCGAGGGAGGTCCGTCTCGGGATGCGGCATAGGATCCTGGCGCTCATCGTCCGTTACGGCGTGCCCGCCATCTGGTTCACGATCAACCCAAACGACATCACGAATCCGGTAAAGCTCCGACTAGCAGCGTACCGCGCGCGCGACCCCGAAGCGGCCGAGGAGTTCCTACGAAGCCTCGATAAGGCGTTCAAACGTGTGCGGCTGTCCGTGTCCGACCCGATGAGCTCGGCCGTCTTCTTCCACCGCGAGATGACGCTGTTCTTCGAGCATTACGTCAATGCCGGGGGGGAGTCGGTCTTCGGCCGCGTCAGCCAGTATTATGGCGCCGTGAAACGAACGAGCGAGGCTCCTCCACGTGCACGGGCTGCTCTGGCTCGAGGAAACGCCCACCTCAGCTCGATGCTTGCCGACTCAGACGGCGGGGAACAAGCGGCATACCGCGAGCGAATCGTCCGCTACGTCGATAGTGTCTTCAGCGAGGTAAGGAACGGCGGGGCGTCGTACGAAATAGTCGTGGGAGAAGAGGACGCGGGCTGACGCGGGGAAACTAGGACCTGGACCAGGAAGGGTTCTGCGCCGTCGAGGCAGAGCGTTCGGTGACGTCCGATATCTCGTCCCTGCTGAACAGGGCCGATCAGTTCTCGGCCTCGTTCGAGGAGGAAGCCAACTTCTGCGCCGGCGCGACCCAGATCCATACCCACAGCCCGACATGCGTCAAGTACTCCCTCGGCAGCAAGGGGCGGAAGGGCGCCGACCTCTGTCGCTTTAAGGCACCGTGGGAGCGGGTCGAGGAGACGACCCTGTCAGCGGACGGCGTGCTGCGGATCCGCAGAACACATCCCATGGTGAACCGGTGGAACAAGGCCATCGCCGTCGGGCTCCGTCACAACCACGACATTTCCTTTATAGCGACGCAGCGGAAGACCATGGCGCTCGTCTACTACGTGACCAATTACGCGACTAAGGTGGAGGACCCGACGTGGAAGCGCGTCGCCGCCGCCGCCGAACTGCTGCCCGTCGTGTCGGCCGGTAGTCAGCCGGGTGCCGGGGATGACGTAAGTAGCGGCGTCGTCGGCGACGGCGATGGAAGGAAAACAAGACGCGGCAGTTTCTCGCGAGAGTGGCGAATCGGGTGTTCACGGAGCGGGCGCTGTCGCAAGTCGAGGTCGTCGCCCATCTGCTGGGACACCCGAGCGAGTTCTCGGGAAGCAGCGCCTGGGCGTACCTGAACGTGTCGGTGCTATACTGGCACGTCTCGAGGCTCTGGCGACACCTTCGGCAGCAGAGCGGCACCGCGGCGGTCGAAGACGTGTCCGTCGCGGACGAGTCGGTCGTCGTCGAACAAGCAGGCGAGAGGATCAGTTTCGCCGAGGCCTATCATCATCGCGGACATGTCCTACGAGGCTTGTGCCTATACGACTATGTTTCGCTCGTCAGGCTCCAACGCGTCGGCAAGGCCGGCTGCTCCGGCGGCTGGGGAGGTGCCGTTCGAGAGCGGCTGGGTGGCCGGTAAAGACTGGGTCCAGGTGCTAAGGCGGCCGGGAAAGTACGCCGTCGTCTGCCTCGACGGCTACCTAAGCAAGGATTTCGAGCAGGACGACGAGGAATCGGCTCATCGCAGGTAAGTGCGGGCGGGCAAAGTGGCCGAGTGAAGAGAGGGGGGGTTGCGACGCCGCGGGGGGCTGGCTGACTTACACTTATTGTGCCGTCGCAGGGCTGCCGTCCAGCATCTTGCGCTATTTGTGCCGTGGCCTTTCTCGGCGAAGAAGAAGGGGACATCAATGAGATATGGAGGCGGGCGCGAGCTGCTTCCGCCGAGAATCTCGTGCCTCGTCGACAACGTTCAACTGCTCCGGCGGTCCGCCGAGGACGCGAGGCGAGACGCCAAGCAGTGGGCGGCCTCGGGCGGCGCCGGGGATTGCGCCGGCGCTCTCGGCGAGGCGGGGAGGGGAGGAGGGGGCGACACCCGGGGACGACGACGCGGCCTCGGCGTACCAGGCCGACAACGTCGGAAAGGCAACGCGACTAATCGACGTCGTCCGAAGCGCGGCCGGGCGAACCAGATCACGGCGGGATCGCGCGAGCTCTCGGGTATGATACAGCAGCTGTGCCGCTTCCAGCAGTCAGCGCTGGCCTCGACCGCCGAGCTCGAGGCCTCCATCGTCAGGGAACGGGGCGGGAGGCGCATCGACTTGCCGGGGCGGGTCTTTTCCGGGGCCGCGGTGCCGCCGCAGGACCAGGTCAAGGCCATCAAGTCGCAGCAGACGAGCGCCTCGAGGGAGAGGGTGAAGATGATACAGGGTATACAAAGCATGGCCACGGCCCACGGCACCGATCGTGGCGCGGCGGAGCGGAGTGTGCTGACCGGCTTCGGCGAGGAAGGCGTGCAGATAACGGCGGCGGAAGCCGAGGAGACGGCGGGTAACGCCGAGGCCGGCATGGAAGTCCGCCTCGGCCCGTCGACCTCGTTCCTCGAGGCCGGAAAAGGCTTGACGAGACGCTTGACGCTAAACAGGAAACAGGCCATCGCCTTGTCCATAATATGCCGCCACCTTGACTTGATGCGGCGAGGAGACGGAGGGGGCGACGTCAGCCAGCTCTGTCAGTTCGTCGGCGGCGAGGGCGGTACCGGCAAGTCGCGCGTCATCGAAGCACTCGTCGGCCTCTTTGCCGCTAAGGGCATCTCGAGCCGGCTGCTGATCACGGCGACGTCGGGGACCGCGGCGGCCCGGGTCAACGGTATCACCATCCACTCCGCCTGCGGCTTCACCAAGGACCAAGGGCCGGGCGCGAACACGGCGAGGGAGGTCGACGGCGTACGGCTGCCGAGGCAGGCGGAGCGGTTCGTCGACGGCGAGTCCCGCATGGACTGGCAGGACAAGGAGGTGCTCGTCATCGACGAGGTAAGCATGCTCGGCGCGCGCACGCTGCACGCCGTCAACGAGCGGCTCTGCCAGCTGCGGGGTCGCAGCGGGACTTCGGCGGATCCCCATCGTCCTCTTCTGCGGGGACTTCCACCAGTTCCGCCCGGTCCAGGAAAGGTCGATCCTACTGCCGAGCTCGGCCGTCTCGTGGGACGAGGACTACTCGTTCAGGGCCGAGCAGCGCCACCAGCACGACAAGGCGCACGCGCTGTGGAAGCGGTTCACCACTGTCGTCATGCTGGACGAGCAGATGCGCGCCGCCGGCGACCCGGAGCTGCAGAGGCTGCTAAAGCGGATCCGACTGGGCGTGCAGGATCACACCGACCTAGACCTCCTTAACTCAAGATGCTACCGGGAAGGCAGGCGAATCCCGTGGGAGACAGGCATCACCGTGGTCACGCCGCTAAATAGGAACCGGTGGAATCTCAACATGGAGGCGAGCTTAGCATTCCAGATGCAACGACGTTTGACGATACGCATCTTCATCTCCGAGCATAAGTGGAAGGAGGGGCTGCCGACCGAGGAAGAGGCCATCATGATGCTAAACCAGGGCGACGACAGCGCGACCCCAGTGCCGGGCGTCTTTATGTTTGTGGCCGGGATGCCGGTCGTCGTGAACCACAACACCCACCAGGGGCTGAAGCTGGTGAACGGCGCCAGCTACACGGCGGCCGAGGTCATCGTCGACAAGGTGCACCCGGCGCATCGCATCTCGGCCGATATGGCGATCCACTTCGGCCGCCGGCGGCGATCATACTAGGTCGGAGACGACTAAGGACTTCCACTTCGTCGGGATGCCGCCCGGCACGATCCTGCTGACGCCTATGAGCGTCAGGATCCAGTGTCACCGGAAGCGACCGTGGCAGCAGAAGGAGGTCACCCGCAAGGGCCTGCCGTGCGCCGCGGCCTTCGCGTGCACCGATTATAAGGTGCAGGGCGGGACGCTCGAGCGTGTCGCGCTCGAGCTGCGAGGACGAGGACGACAAACGTCGGTGGACGTGCCGTCCCCTCGCAGTGCGACCCTTACAGCCTATACGTGCAGCTATCGCGGTGTCCGACGCTAGACGGCATCATGCTCATATCGGAGGTGCGAGAGAGACTTCGGGAAACCGGGTCCCCGGGAGATGACGGCCGCACAAGCGAGGCTCGAGGAACTGAGTGACAGAACCGTCGGAGGCGCTGCGCTGGCTCGGCGACGACTTCGAATACGCGTAGGAATAGTGAACCCTTCGACAGGCACAAATATGAATGAAATGACATCGGACGTTAGACGCGGAAACGGTGCAATTGTCTGGCTAATCGGAAAGCGCAATTTGAGCGGGAGCGGGAACAGTGGGAACAGCTGACGTAAATAAAAAAGAGTGACTAAGACGAGAAAAAAAAGGGGGGGGGAGAGGCGACGACTTTCATATATGGCCAACAGGAAAGCGGGATGAAAAAGGACACAAAGAGGGGGAAAACAGGGGCAAACTTGTAGGCCAACCGAAAAGCAATCGTTCAAGACGAAAGAGGCAATTTTTCTAGCCAACGGGAAGCCGAGAAAGCTAGCGAATCAGAGGCGCGGATTCGGGGGGCAAAAAAGCGCGGCATAGAAATCCTTTCGTTCCTCAAGGCATACTCCTGTTTACCCCCTTGCCAATGCCAATGCCAATGCCAACCTTTTTCCTTTCGTCCGCCGGTTTTCTTATTGTGTCTAAAACTTGCGTCTTTTGTCTTTGCCCTTTTCGTTCATGCCTTTCTAGCGGGTTCTTCCTTCAAGTCTAAAAGTCGCCCCTCGTTGATCGCTGCTGCCCAGTGCCCTTGTCTTCTTGCCCGCCGGCGCTCCTCCGTCTTCTCCCCTCGTCACCTCACCCTGACAACTCTCCTTGACTCTTCAGCGTCGCCATCCGACCGACGCAAAGCTTCCTCGACAGTCCTCTCGCTTAGCACCTCCAGCCTGGCCTGCGCGGCGGTCATCTCTTCGGGGACTCGGTTGCCCACCAAGTCTCTCCCGCACCTTGGACACGAGCGTGATGCCGTCTAGCGTTCGACAGCGCGATAGCTGCACATATAAGCTGTACGGGTCGCATTGCGAGGGCACGGCCCTTCCATCGACTTTCGTCGTCCGTGTCCCCGCAGCTCCAGGGCCACGCGCTCTGCGTTCTGCCCTGCACCTTGTAGTCCGTGCAGGCGAAGGCTGCTGCGCACGGCAATCCCTTCCGGCTGACGTCGTTCTGCTGCCACGGCCGCTTTCGTTGGCAGTGTATCCTGACGCTCATCGGCGTTAACAAGATCGTGCCCGGCGGCATCCCGACGAAGTGGAGGTCCTTTGTCGTCGCCGATTCCAGTAATATCCCCGCCGGCGGCCCGAAGTGGATCGTCATGTCGGACGAGATTCGATGCCCTGGGGACGCCTTGTCGACAATGACCTCCACCGCCGAGTAGCCGGCGCCGTTCACCAGCTTCAGCCCCTGATGGGTGTTGTGGTTCACGACGACCGGCATCCCGGCCACGAACATGAAGACGGCCGGCACGGGGATCGCGCTATCGTCGCCTTGATTGAGTACCATGATCGCTTCTTCCTCGGTCGGCAGGCCCTCCTTCCACTTGTGCTCGGAGATGAAGATGCGCATCGTCGACCGCTGCTGGACCCGGAACGCCAAGCTTGCCTCCATGTTTAGGTTCCACCGATTCCTGTTCAGCGGCGTCACCACGGTGATGCCAGTCTCCCAAGGGATCCGCCTGCCCTCGCGGTAGCACCTGAGTTGAGGAGGTCCAGATCCGTGCGGTCCTGCACACCCTGCCGGATCCGCTTCAGCAGCCCCTGCAATTCCGGATCACCGGCGGCGCGCATTTGCTCGTTCAACATGACGACCGTCGTGAATCTCTTCCACAGCGCGTGCGCTTTGTCGTGCTGGTGCCGCTGCTCGGCCTTGAACGAGTTGTCTACGTCCCACGAGATGGCCGCGCTCGGCAGGACGATCGACCTCTCTTGGACCGGCCGGAACTGCTGAAAGTCTCCGCAGAAGAGGACGATGGGGATCCCCCCGAAATCTTTCTGCGATCCGCGAAGCCGACAGAGTCGCTCGTTTATGGCGTGCAGCGTCCGCGCTCCGAGCATGCTCACCTCGTCGATGACAAGCACGTCCTTCTCCTGCCAGTCCATCCGAGACTGGCCGTGGATGAACCGCTCCGCCCGTTTTGCCAGCCGCACCCCGTCAAGGTCCTTGGCTGTGTTCGCGCCGCCCGCCCTTGGTCTTTAGTGAACCCGCAGGCGGGTGGATCGTGATGCCGTTGATCTGCGCCGCGGCAGTCCTGACGTCGCCGTGATCAGCAGACGATTCGAAAGGCTCTTCCCACTGAACAGCTCGACGAGTGCCCCAATGATCCGCGACTTGCCGGTGCCCCCTCGCCGCCGACGAACTGGCAGAGCTGGCCGGCATCGCCCTATTCGTTTGTCGCATCAAATCGAGCTGGCGGCATATTATTAGGAAAGCGATCGACTGCCTCTTGTTCAGCGTTAGCCGTGTTGACAACTCCTTGCCCGCCGCGAAGAAGGAGGTCGATGGGCCAAGCTGGACGCGCATTCCCGCTTCTGCGTCGCTAGCCGTCTCGTCGGAGTCGGCTGTCGTCATTTCGACGTCGTCCTCCCGAAGCCGGTCATCACCCTCCGCAACGCAGCTCGGCGATCGCTTTCCCGGACTGCGACTGTGGTTTGTACGCCTTGGATCATTCTCTCCCTTTCCTCGACGCACTTATCTGCTGCGACTTGATAGCCTTGACCTGATCCTGCGGCGGTAGTGCGGCCCGGAAAATACCCGCCCTGGCATGCTTATGCACCTCAACCCTTGTTCGGGAATCGCGATGGCCTCGAGCTCGGCCGTTGAGCAGAGCGCCGATTGCTGGAATCGACAGAGCTGCCGCATCATTGCCATGAGCTCCGGCGACTTGGCCGTCACCTGATTCGTGCCCACTGCGCCTCGGACGACGTCGATCAGGCGCGTTGCGTCTCCGATGTTGTTGGACCGATACGTCGCTGCAAATTCTGCGCCCGCCTCGCCTGTCTCGCCCTCCTCGACGTGGGCGACCGTGGAATCGCCATCGCCGGATGAGGCCGCCCATTGCTTGGCGTCGCGCTTTGCGTCTTCGGCTGATCGTCGAAGCAGCTGCACGTTGTCGACGAGACATGATATTCTCGGGGCCAGCGTCTCGCGCCCGCTCCCAGATGCTATTGATCTCACCTGTTTCTTCGCACAGAAAGGACTCCCACGGCACAAATAGCGCAAGATGCTGCACGGCTGCCCTTTAAGGGGGAGGGGGGGGAGGTTAGCCACTCTGATGATGCCTGCCGGCAGGGCGGTTGCTATACACACCTCCGGTGGCACGACTCCTCGTCGTCGTTGTGGCCGAAGTCCTTGCTCAGGTAGCCATCGAGGCAGACGGTAGCATGCTTGCCCGGCCGCCTGAGCACCTGGACCCAGCGTCTCCCTGGCGCCCATCCATCCTCGAAGGGCACCTCCCCCCAGGCCGCACAGCTCTCATCCTTACTGGTGCGTTTTAGTCTAACGACCGATATGTAGTCGTATAAGCATAGCCCTCGCAGGAGCTCTCCCCGGTGCTGGTACGCCTCAACGTGGGAGATCCTCAGGCCTGCTTCTTCGACAACGACCGACTCATCCAGAGTATCATCTATGGCCGCCGCGCCACTTGCTCGTCGGAGATACGGCCACCGTCGAAAGACTTCCCAGTACAGCAGAGATGTGTTCAGGTACGCCCAGGCGCTGCTGTTGGTGAACTCGGCCGGATATCCAAGAAGATGAGCGACGACCTCGACCTGAGATAGCGGACGCTCCGTGAACACACGATTCGCCACCCTCATCAAGAACTGTCGCGTCCTGTTCCCTTGGCGGCGTCATCGCCAACAGCACCTCCACCGTCGTCCTGTCCTCCGTTGGCCGTGCCGTCACCCGTTGAGGCGGCCAGGAGATCGGCCGCGGCCGCCACACGCTTCCACACCGGGTCCTCCACCTTCGTCGCGTAGTTCGTGACATAATACATAAGGGCCATGGTCTTGCGCTGCGTCGCAATGAAGGAAATGTCGTGGTTGTGCCGGAGCCCAACAGCGATAGCCTTGTTCCATCGATTGACCATGCTGTGAGTCCTCCGGATCTGCAACACCCCGTCTGCCGTGATGGCGGTCTTGTCGACCAACCTCCATGGAGACTTAAACCGGCATGGATTCCTTTCCGCGCTCCTTTGCCCAAGGAATACTTGACACAGGTCGGGCTATGCGTGTGAACCTGTGTAGCGCCGGCACAGAAGTTGGCCTCCTCGTCAAATGCGGCCGAAAACTGCTCGGTGTTGTCCAGCAGGAGGAAATATCGGACGTCACAGATCGCTCCGCTTGCACGGCGCAGAACCCTTCCTGATCCAGATCCTATCTTGCACGTCAGCCTGGCCCCGTTTGTCCATCGGACGAGCAATTCAGGTTCTCAGTGACACGTCTTAGCTATTCTTACCTCGGAGAAGACACTATCGACGTATCGTATGATTCGCTCGCGATACGCCGCCTGATCCTCCCCGTGGATGTCGGCAAGCATCGAGCTGAGATGCGCGTTTCCGTGCAACCAGAGCAAGCCGTGAACATGAAGCGCCCTCGTTCGTTGGTCTCCACAGCGCCATAGTACTTGCCGATGCGCCCGAATACCGACTCTTCTCCGACCTTCACGTAATGATCGAAGAACAGCTTCATCTCCCGGTGGAAGAATACGGCGGCGCTCATCGGATCGGACATGGCCAGCCTTGTCCGCTTGTACGCACTCCCAAGGCCTTCTAGGAACTCCTCGGCCGCGCCGGGATCGCGTGTCCGATATGCCGCCAGTCGCAGCTTCACCGGGTTCGTAATGTCGTTTGGGTTGATGGTGAACCAGATGGCCGGAACGCCGTAGCCAACGATGAGCGACTGGATTTTCCGCCGCATATTGAGCCGAACCTCTCTCGACATGGGTTGCCGGTGGCCGTACAGCGAGAGGCTCCTGAGAAGCTCCTTCACGCCCTCATCGGTCGTCTTGCCCGAGCTCTCCAACTCGACCCTCGCCGCCGCTAACCTTTGCGCGGTCATCGAGCGGGCAACGCGCTCGACCTTGCCGAAGTCCTTCCTCGCCACACTCAGCATGCTGACGCGGCGGTTCCTCGACCGCACCCCCATGTTGAAGACGAGAAATGCAAATATGTGGTGCAACGCAAACCGGCCACCATGGCGCCGGAGCACGATGTCGGCCCAAATCCGGAGGTTCAAGCTTCGGGAGGATACGATGTCTCCCGCTGCCGCCCCTGCCTCAGCAGCTCTACCGGTGCCTCGCAAGTTGGTAGGGCCTTCCCGCCTCGGCTATGGCCTCTTCGGCCAGCCTTGGTCCCCAACGCCAAATGGGAACAGGGTCGGGAACGTTCTGGCGAAGAAGGCCGTCTCAAAGGTGTCGGCAAACTCATCCCCGCGAGACTCGAATGTATGGCTCACTGCCATCGTCGCCACGCCCTCGACCCCACCGAGGATCCGACCCACGTTCTCGGCCCGCGCGGCCGTCGTCGGCACCTGCGCCAACAGCGTCACAGGCAAACCGCAGCTTCTCGACATCCGCCACGTCTGGCGGTCCGTCCAGCCCAAACATGCCGGAAGACGTCACCTCGTTGATTGGTCGAACGTTCTGATCGGGGCTAGCACCAACTCCATCACGACCCGCGCCTTCTTCGTTGGGCCCGTGCCCTTCAGCCTCGCCTCCCGTTTCCTGCCTTTGGTTGAGCAGAGCGAAGAGTTCCTCGATCTCCACCGACCCCTCGTCGTCCATGGCGCGCTCCGTGGGCGGCACAACGTGCGCCGTCCGCGTTTTCTCCCATGCGGACGGCTCGTTCCGCTCCATGCGATCATACACCAAGGCCGGCACCCCGTCTATCGGGTCTCCCCAACTCTCCATCTCCGCCACGTCGATCTCGATCTCGGCGTAGTGGGGGTTGCTCCTCTTCAGCCAAACAAGAGCCCTCTCGACGACCCGCCGCCTCACCGACAAGAGACTCGACAGGTCGCTCGGTGCCGGCTTCTCCACGCCCTGCCACGAAACGTGGATCTCGTCCAGTGCTTGCAAAGGGGTGCGGGAGCACCTGGTCGCCAGCTCCTGCACGTTGTTGGGAAACACTGTGATGTGGCCCTTGACGTGCCTCGGATACCTCACGGCCTGCCTCTGCCCGCCCGGAATGCTATATCTCGTGACAAACCCATAGCAGGAGTTGAGCGAGACGAGCTTCTCTTCGACCAGCGTGAGTCCCTTGAGCTCGTCAGGGAACATGTGCTCACAGCCAAGGCGAGTGTGAAGATGGACCGCCGGCGACAGACTCCCGCGCGCCAGGCATCGGGCACACCCGCACACACCGACACGGGCTCGCCTTCGGAAAGCAGCTCCGGCATGAAAATGGTGAGCGGCCGCCCTCTGGCACGCAGCTTGACAGCCATTGATCCCATCTGATCTCCCTCAGCTCTTTTCTCGTACGCTTGCGGTAGCACATCATGCAGGTCCGTATCGGCAACGTGCTCGCATCGTGGAACGCCTGATAAAAATCCCGCACCGTCGACACCTTCCTGTCGTGCGGTATTGGCGTACACCACGTCTGATCGTTAGACAGCCTCTCCTTCATGGCGAAGTCTTCCTCCAAAAAACGCAGCACACTCGCCAGGTCTTCGGCCCGCAGCTCCCGACTCCTCTGCCTTCCGATTCCACTCCGAATCTGTTTTCTCGGGCGCTCGTCCGGACCAGGAAGACGTTTTCTCTTCTGCCTCCGGGGCCGCCTCCGGGGCCGCCTCCGATCCATGATTTCTTCTCTCCGTGGCTGATTCGCTTCTTCGCAAGCCGTCGGATGCGGCAGCTTTGGCGACGACTGCCCGACTACGTGCGCATCCCCGACACGCCATCCGGCCCTTTGCACTGGACAGGCACCGGGCCGTGCTGGCGAACGTTTTCCACGCCGAACCTTGACCTCAGTCCTTGCCCTTTCCAGCACTCTCCTCGTTCTTGCTGCCGATCAAACTGCACGGGCTCCCAGCCGCCACCCGCGATGAGCCGCCCACCTCCCTTTGCTGCAGCCTCCGCCCGCTCAGCGAAGCGTCCGCTGGCTCTGCCGCGGCGTCGCCCACCCCACAGGAGACGGCCCCGGATGCTGCGCCGTACCTGCTGCGTTGGAGACACCCCTGCGGCCTGGTACTCCTTTACCCGCCAACTCCGTCCCCGACGGCGCTTGGGCAAACCAGACGCAATCGCTGCTGCTAATTGCCCGTTTTCTCTGTTGTCGAATACCGGTTCCCTAGGCTGGATGGATCGAAGCTTCGGTACCTCCTTCGAATGAACACTCGGGACATCGCCCGCCGCCGCCGTAACACGTTGCTCCTCATCTTCAGGATCTCCTCCTGAGGCAGAAAGTGCCGATGAGGAGCGGACGATCAGAGTCCGCTACCCCATATCTCCACGTTCCCTAGGCAACAGGGGCCTCGGAAGCTGACCCGGTGACTGATGTTGCGCGGAACTTCCGCTGCTAACCATATTATGGAACTTCCGTGCTCTGTTTGACCGCAAACCGCCTCGCGGCGGTCTTCTCGGCAACGACCTCGCAATTGCTTCTGCGTGCTGTCTCCATGCGGTGTCTTCAACCACAGGTTTCTAGGCTGAATCGGCCGGAACGTTGATGCCGCATTCGCCCGTGATTCGTATCTTCGTAACCGTCCCAGGCTCTCCCCCCGTGCTCTGCGGCCCCTCTCAGAAGCTGCCACCACATCTACACCGGCTCCTGTCGCACCATCTCCGAGCCCCGAACCCGACCCGCTCACGTTCTCACCTCTTCTCCATCCCCGACTGACAACGAACAGGCTTCAGGGTGAGCAACCGCCTCGCTTAACTTCACTGCAGGACTGTCCGCCATGCTGCTGCCTCCTCGACGTCGACTGCCGTAAATTGGCAACAGGCTATAAAGCTTTGGCTCCGGAGCACCTCCACTTGGACAGTCTCGCTTGTTGACGACGCTACTTCTCCCGAATGGGAAGCTCCTAGCCATCACTTCCTCATGGCCGTGGCGTTTCTTCCCTTATAGCTTCCCTATAAAATGCTTCCCTATGGTACCGAGGCGATGCAATACTACCCCTCTATATTCCCCCGTTACCATGCCTATCTATGTGCGTCCACCGTCCCGGCCTCGCCTGGTCTCCACGTGCGACCTGCTACCCCGGCTTTGCCAAAGCGACCCTTCCATCGCCGTGCTCTCTTTGCGCACTCCAGCGAATCCCTGGCCACTGCCGACCTCCGGCACATGGAGATGGCCGCGACAACCGCCTGCCGCACACTTCAAACCATACTCTTCAGCCCTTCCAACACCATCCTACCAACCTTGCGCATCAGTTCACCATCAATACCCGCCAATCCGCCTCGTCGAGCAACAGCCACAAGGCTGCCGGCGATAACATGTCCATGACGTCCCTCATGCAGCCGGACTACCCTTCTAGATTTGCTCCCTCGCCAGCACCAATGTCGCATCAACGGCCTTAATGCTAAAGCGATAGCCAGGACCCCTGCCTGTCCTCTTGTAGTCGCTAGCCACCGGAGTCTCGACTTGCAAACCCTCTTGAAAGTTCTCGTGACCAACTCGCATCCTCCTCCTCAGGTCGACCCATATATCCGACTTCACCGTGTCCCAATAGTAGACTCGACACGGTCGGCACCCGCCTCGCTCAGCCGCACGCAATGCCCATCCAACTACCGACGACCGTCAAAAGGGAGTCCTGCAATACTACCATAACCTCTTTCTTTCCTTCACTCTCATTCGTTATTGCCCCCTTTGCTATCTACTCCATGCAACGATGACACCGAAGGGGACTACTGGACTTTCTTTCTCCGCAGTCTTACCCACACTAACCTTACCGTTCGCCGACCTCCAACTTCTCGCAACATAGCCATCACCCCTACTCAACTTCCAACCCCCGGCTCCCTACTTCACTCACGACCACAGAACCAGATGGTCGAGACTGCTCGAGAACCTCGCCAGCTCATTCCCGCATACCCCCGCTTCTGATCTATCACCTAGGTAGCATTCACTGACTCTCAAGTCTCCCCGACCCGAGCCACGAGCCCTCTTTCGAGCAGCAAGAAAACCTGCTTTATAGGATGCCTACCTCTACTCTGCCTAACCCCTCCTTTACACTTCCACGGTGACCACATCTGCCATGTTCTCACGATGTCGGCCTCCCAGCTCAACGTCGATACCTCGTCCTCCCCGCGGCAACCTCTTGACAGCCAGAAAATGCTGGCGCCGACATGTCCATGATGGCCTTTGTCCAGCCCGGCTGCCCGTCTAGGTTCGCCTACCAGAATGAGCATCGTGTCAAAGGGCTCAACGCAGAAACCCTAGCGAGGGTCTTCCTTCCAACGCCCTCATGGCTGTCGACTCCAGAGTATGCAGCAATCCGGTCAGATCCTGACAATCCATCGACCTGCATCTTCTTGAGCCTTAATATTTCCATATACAACCAACAGATAATCCCCTCGGAATGGACCGAGCAGTGGTTCTTTATGGTCGGCCGTGTTCATCCCTTTGCCCTGACGTGGGAAATCGAGCGACGTGATAGCTTCGAGTCGGAGGATGACAACATTACAGAATACACCATCCCGGCTCTCATCGTCCGCGACCACAGCTACCAGCCGTAGGTGTATGCTCCAGACCTCCGTCACCACTACCATCTCTGACGATGGCCACAGAGTCATCCCTCGCACCCTCGGCTCGGCGGATGCCTTCCCAGCGATACAACCCATTGTCTCCTTCACGGGACCTGTCATCGGTTCCGGCCGCGACCTTCTGCATGGAAACTCGGCTGCGGCCCTTGACGACACCCAGCTGAGCTGTTGCGGCTTTGTCCAGCTCTCGACCTTTATCTGTCCTGGGATTCCGGGCAAAACACCCTTCAAGGGCTTTCATCCCTTTCAACTTTTCGTCATCTTCCCATTCACGCCAATCCTTGGACCTCCTATGCAAGAAGATGACCGAGAGGCGCGATAGCCAGTTCCAGCCGAACGCTCTCCTCACCTGCACGGGCAAAATCGCCGGCTTACTCGATCACCAGATCATGACACATGCCCCGGCCTTCGAGCAAGACTATATCTTCATCGTCGTCCCCGATACATGGACTTTCCTTGACAGGGCCATGTCCAACCAGGCTTCTGCGACACAGCTACTGCCGACGACACCCAAGGGCTCAGTCGGCAACCCTCGGACTATAGCGATGCGTTGGCCAGGTTTACCTCTACCAAAAACGCAATGCCGCCCCAAGCGGCGCCTCCCCACGCCGCCTGCATCTAGGTCAGTCGATCCTTATGATGACATCAAAGCGGTCATTGCCCGATCCCGACCAAACCCCAACCAAGAGACCGCGACTTTCTCCAGAAATTTCCACCATAGTCGCCGCCTGTGATAGTCGAGGCCCCGCCAAATCCGACACTTCCTCCCTTCTGTCCCACGAAGACCCGGAGACTCAGAGACGGACACCGAGCCAGTCAATCACCCAGCCACATCCGCCTCTGGCCCTATCAGACCTCCGGCGTCAATCTCTTCCCGACCGCACCGCGCCCGACATCCGCCCAAGAATATTCTGTAAAGCAACGAACGAAACAACACAACATGACAAGGAACATGTTTCATCATCCTCAAACTCAAGTGCCAAAGGCCTAATGGGATATTTCCTTCTCCTCTTGCTCTCCTTTTCACAAAGACAATCCAGTCAAAACTTCTCCAATATACTCCTTATTCTGTTTATATCCACCACTTATAGCACCTGTAAATCCTCAGAGCCTTCCACTCGCCCACACATGCATTACCCACCCACAACTCTCTTCACCCTGCCGCCTCTCCACCCTCCTTGCCTCCCTCCTCGTTGGTCGCTGCCCTTCCCCCGGCTTCTGTTGCCTTTTCGCGTGCCTTATCCCGCCACTAGGCGCCTCCCACCCTGTCTGCCGCCTGCCGACTCTTCCCGCCTGCCGAACTCTTCATCGCGTCACCTAGCCCGGCCGCCTTGACTCTTCAGCATCACCGTCCAGCCAGCGCAACGCCTCCTCAACGGTCCTCTCGCTCAGTACCTCGAGCCTGGCCTGTGCGGCAGTCATCTCCTCGGGGACCCGGTTGCCCACCAAGTCTCTGTCCCGCACCTTGGACACGAGCATGATGCCGTCTAGAGTTCGGCAGCGCGATAGCTGCACGTACAGGCCGTACGGGTCGCACTGCGAGGGCACCACCGTTCCATCCATCTTCGTCGTCCGTGTCCCTCGCAGCTCGAGGGCCACGCGCTCCAGCGTTTTGCCCTGCACCTTGTAGTCCGTGCACGCGAACGCTGCTGCGCACGGCAAACCCTTTCGGCTGACGTCGTTGCGTTGCCACGGCCTTTTTCGCTGGCACTGTATCTTAACGGTCATGGGTGTCAACAAGATCGTGCCCGGCGGCATCCCGACGAAGTGGAGATATCTCGTCGTCTCCGATTCGAGAATGATCCCCGCCGGCGGCCCGAAGTGGATCGTCATATCGGCCGAGATCCGATGCCCCGGGTACGCCTTGTCGACAATGACCTCCACCGCCGAGTAGCTCGCGCCGTTCACTGGCTTCAGCCCCTGGTGGGTGTTGTGGTTCACGACGATGGGCATCCCGGCCACGAACATGAAGACGGCCGGCACCGGGATCGCGCTATCGTCGCCCTGGTTGAGTATCATGATCGCCTCTTCCTCCGTCGGCAGCTCCTCCTTCCACTTGTGCTCGGAGATGAAAATGCGCATCGTCGACCGCTGCTGGACCCGGAACGCCAGGCTCGCCTCCATGTTCAGGTTCCACCGATTCCTATTGAGCGGCGTCACCACGGTGATGCCCGTCTCCCAAGGGATCCGCCTTCCTCCCGGTAGCACCTTGAGTTGAGGAGGTTTAGATCCGTCCGATCCTGCACGCCTAGACGGATCCGCTTCAGCAGCCTCTGCAGCTCCGGGTCGCCGGCGGCGCGCATCTGCTCGTCCAGCATGACGACCGTCGTGAACCTCTTCCACAGTGCGTGCGCTTTGTCGTGCTGGTGACGCTGCTCGGCCTTGAACGAGTTGTCTACGTCCCACGAGATGGCCGCGCTAGGCAGGACGATCGACCTCTCTTGACCGGCCGGAACTGCTGAAAATCTCCGCAGAAGAGGACGATGGGGATCCCCCCGAAATCTTGCCGCGATCCGCGAAGCCGGCGAAGCCGCTCGTTCACGGCGTGCAGCGTCCGCGCCCCGAGCATGCTCACCTCGTCGATGACGAGCACATCCTTCTCCTGCCAATCCATTCGAGACTGGCCGTGGATGAACCGCTCCGCCTGTTTCGGCAGCCGCACCCCGTCAAGGTCTTTGACCATGTTCGCGCCCCGCCCCTTGGTCTTTAGTGAACCCGCAGGCGGAGTGGATCGTGATGCCGTTGATCCGCGCCGCCGCAGTCCCCGACGTCGCCGTGATCAGCAGACGATTCGAAAGGCTCTTTTACTGAACAGCTCGACGAGTGCCTCGATGATTCGCGACTTGCCGGTACCGCCCTCGCCACCGACGAACTGGCGCAGCTGGCAGGCATCGCCCCGTCGGCCTGCTGCATCAAATCGAGCTGGCGGCATATCATCAGAAAAGCGATGGACTGCCTCTTGTTCATCGTCAGCCGTGTTGCCAACACCTTGCCCGCCGCGAGGAAGGAGGTTGATGGGCCAAACTGAACGTCCATTCCCGCCCCTGCGTCGATAGCGGTCTCGTCGGAGTCGGCCATCGTCATTTCGACCTCGTCCTCCCGAAACCGGTCATCACCCTTCGCAACGCTGCGCGGCGATCGCTTTCCCAGGCGGCGGGCGTGCTTTGTATCCCTTGGATCATCCTCCCTCTCCTTCGAGGCACTTACCTGCTGCGACTTGATAGCCTTGACCTGATCCTGCGGCGGTAGTGCGGCCCCGGAAAATACCCGCCCTGGCATGCTTAACCGCCTCTCCTCGTTCGATCAGCGCCGTGGCCTCGAGCTCGGCCGTCGAGCGCAGCGCCGATTGCTGAAACCGACAGAGCTGCTGTATCATTGCCATGAGCTCCGGCGACTTGGCCGTCACCTGATTCGCTCCCACTGCACCTCGGACGACGTCGATGAGCCGCGTTGCGTCTCCGATGCTGTTGGGCTGATATGCCGCTGCAGACTCCGCGCCCGCCTCGCCTGCTCCACCCTCCTCGACGTGTGCGACCGTCGGGTCGCCATCGCCGGACGAGGCTGCCCATTGCTTGGCGTCGCGTTTTGCGTCTTCGGCGGATCGTCGAAGCAGCTGCACGTTGTCGACGAGACATGATATTCTCGGGGCCATAGCGTCTCGAGCCCGCGCCCAGATGCTGTTGATCTCACCTGTTCCTTCGCCCAGGAAGGACTTCCACGGCACGAACAGCGCAAGATGCTGCACGGCTGCCCTTCTGCCCTTCAGGGGGTGGGTTAGCCTCTCCGATAATGCCCGCTGACAGAGCAGTTGCCATACACACCTCCGGTAGCACGACTCGTCATCGTAGGTGAAGTCCTTGCTCAGGTAGCCGTCGAGGCAGACGGTAGCGTGCTTGCCCGGCCGCCTGAGCACCTGAACCCAGCGTCGTCCCGGCGCCCATCCATCCTCGAAAGACATCTCCCCAAGCCGCCCAGCTCTCGTCGTTGCCGATGCGTTTCAGTCTGACGATCGATATGTAGTCATACAGGCATAGGCCTTTCAGCAGCTCTCCCGGTGCTGGTACGCCTCGACGTGGGAGATTCTCAGGCCTTCTTCTTCGACGACGACCGACTCATCCAAGGTGTCATCCATAGCCGCAGCGCCACTGGCTTCTCGGAGATGCCGCCATCGCCGAAAGACTTCCCAGTACAGCAGAGAACAGTTCAGGTACGCCCACGCGCTGCTGTCGGTGAACTCGGCCGGATATCCGAGAAGGTGAGCGACGACCTCGACCTGTGATAGCGGACGCTCCGTGAACACGCGGTTCGCCACTCTCATCAGGAACTGTCGCGTCCTGTTCCCTTGACAGGGTCATCGGTGGCAGCGTCTCCGCCACCGTCCCGCCCTCCGTTGGCCGTGCCATCACCTGTTGAGGCGGCCAGGAGCTCGGCCGCGGCCGCCACACGCTTCCACACCGGGTCCTCCACCTTGGTCGCGTAGTTCGTGACATAATAGATGAGGGCCATTGTCTTGCGCTGCGTCGCAATGAAGGAAATATCATGGTTGTGCCGGAGCCCGACAGCAATAGCCTCGTTCCATCGATTGACCATGCTGTGTGTCCTCCGGATCTGCAGCACCCCGTCTGCCGTGAGGGCGGTCTTGTCGACTAACCTCCATGGCGCCTTGAACCGGCAGAGGTCCCCTTTCCGCCCTCCTTTGCCCAAGGAATACTTCACACAGGTCGGGCTATGCGTGTGCACCTGCGTCGCGCCGGCACAGAAGTTGGCCTCCTCGATAAACGCGGCCGAGAACTGCGCGGCGTTGTCCAGCAGCGAACCAATACCGCCCGTCACAGATCGCTCCGCTTGCACGGCGCAAAAACTTTCCTGGTCCAGATCCTGCCTTGCACGTCAACCCGGCCCCACTTGGCCATCAGAAGAGTACTTCAGGCTCCCGGTGGCACATCTTAGGTAGGCATTCTTACCTCTGAGAAGACGCTATCGATGTATCGGACGATTCGCTCGCGATACGCCGCCTGATCCTCCCCGTGGATGTCGGCAAGCATCGAGCTGAGATGCGCGTTCCCGTGCAGCCAGAGCAAGCCGTGAACATGAAGCGCCCTCGTTCGTTCGTCTCCACGGCGCCATAGTACTTGCCGATGCGCCCGAATACCGACTCTTCACCGACCTTCACGTAATGATCGAAGAATAGCTTCATCTCGCGGTGGAAGAACACGGCCGAGCTCATGGGATCCGATATCGCCAGCCGTGCCCGCTTATACGCATCCCCAAGGCCTTCTAAGAACTCCTCGGCCGCGTCGGGATCGCGTGTGCGGTATGCCGCCAGTCGCAGCTTCACCGGGTTCGTAATGTCGTTCGGGTTGATGGTGAACCAGATGGCCGGCACGCCATATCCGACGATGAGCGACTGGATTTTCCGCCGCATATTGAGACGGACCTCTCTCGACATGGGCTGCCGGTGGCCGTAAAGCGAGAGGCTCCTGAGAAGCTCCTTCACGTCACCATCGGTCGTCTTACCCGAGCTCTCCAACTCGACCCTCGCCGCCGCTAGCCTTTCTGTGGTCATCGAACGCACGATGCGCTCTACCTTGCGGAAGTTCTTCCTCCCACACTCAACATGCTGACCCGGCGGTTCCTCGACCGCACCCCATGTTGAAGACGAGAAATGCGAAGATGTGGTGCAGTGCAAATCGACCACCATGGCGCCGGAGCACGATCTCGGCCCACGCCTGAAGGTTCAAGCTTCGAGACGATACGGGGTCTCCGCGGCCGCCTCTGCCTCGACAGCCCTGCCTCGCAAGTTGGCCGTGACCTTCCCCGCGTCGACCATGGTCTCTTCAACCAGCCTTGGTCCCCCAACGCCAAATGGGAACAGGGTCGGGAACGTCCTGGCAAAGAAGGACGCCTCAAAGGAATCGGTAAACTCACCCCCCCGCGAAACCCGGATGTATGGCTCACAACCACCGTCGCCACGCCCCCGAACCCCCCCGGCTAGGGACCCGACCCACGCTCTCGGGCCCGCACGGCCGTCGTCGGCACCTTCACCAACAGCGTCACAGGCAAACTGCAGCTTCTCCACGTCCGCGACGTCTGGCGGTCCGTCGAGCGCGAACATGCCAGAAGACGTCACCTCGTTGATCGCTGGAACGTTCTGGTCGGGGCAGGCGTCACTTCCATCGCGAACCGCGCCTTCTCCGTTGGGCCCGTGACCTTCACCCTGGCCGCCGGCTTCTTGTCCTTGGTTGAGCAGGGCGAAGAGCTCCTCGATCTCCACCGGCCCTCCTCGTCCATGGCGCGTTCCGTGGGCGGCACAACGTGCGCCGTCCGCGCTTTCTCCCACCCAGACGGCTCGTTCCGCTCCATACGATCGCACACCGACGACGGTACCCGTGTATCGAGTCTCCCCAGCTCTCCATCTCCGCCGCGTCGATCTCGATCTCGGCGTAGTGGGGTTGTTCCGCTTCAGCCAGACAAGGGCCCTCTCGACCACCCGCCGCCTCACCGACAAGAGACTCGACAGGTCGCTCGGTGCCGGCTTCTCCGCGCCCTGCCACGAGATGTGGATCTCGTCCAGTGCTTGCAAAAGGGGTGCGGGAGCACTTTGTGGCCAGCTCCTGCACATTGTTCGGAAACACTGTGATGTGGCCCTGACATGCCTCGGATACTTCACGCTCTGCCTCTGCCCGCCCGGAATGCTATATCTCGTGACAAACCCGTAACATGAGTTCAGCGAGATGAGCTTCTCTTCGACCGGCGTCAGTCCCTTGAGCTCATCGGGGAACATGTGCTCGCAGCCAAGGCGACTGTGAAGGTGGATCGCCGGCGACAGGCTCCTGCGCGCCAGGCATCGGCCACACTCGGCGCACACCGACACGGACTCGCCCTCGGAAAGCAACCCGGCATGAAAATGGTGAGTGGCCGCCCTTTGGTACGCAGCTTGACAGCCACTGATCCCACATAATCTCCTTAACTCTCCGCCCGTACACTTGCCGTAGCACAGCATGCAGGTCCGTATCGGCAACGTGCTCGCATCATGAAACGCCTGATAGAAATCTCGCACCGTCGACACCTTCCTCTCGAGCGGTATTGGCGTGCACCACGTCTGATCGTTAGACAATCTCTCCTTCAAGGCAAAGTCTTCCTCCAAAAAGCGCAGCACACTCGCCAGGTCTTCGGCCTGCAGCTCCCGTCTCCTATGCCTTCCGATTCCACTTCGGACCTGTTTTATCGCGCGCCCATCCCGGCTAGGAAGACGGGCTCTCTTCTCCCGCCTCCGGGACTGCCTCTGTCCGCGCAGCGAGCCGTCCGCTGCCTCTGCTGCGCCATCGTCCACACCCACCTGTGCCCTTGGCCGCCGAACCGGTCCCCGACGGAGCTTGGGCAAACCCCGTGCAATCGATGCTGCAAATTGCGCCGTTCGTCTTAGGTCTTGGAAAGTCGTATCCTTGGGCTGGATAGGTCGGACCGTCGGTCCCTTTCGAACGAACACCCGGGACACCGCCGGTCGCCGCCTTATCTCCCTGCCCGTCACCTTCAGGACCCTCTCCTGGGGCAAAACGGCCGATGAAGGGGTGGACTGTTAGAGCCCACTGCCCCCTGGTCTCCACGTTCTGTAGGCAACACGAACCTCGGAAGCGGACTCGGTGACTGACGTTGCGCGGAATTTCCGCTGCTGACCAAATTACGGGACTTCCGTGCTCTGCTTGACCGCAAACCGCCTCGCGGCGGTCTTCTCGGCAGTGACTTTGCGATCGCCTCTGCATGCTTTCTCCATGCGGTTTCTTCGACCGCAGACTGCTTAGGCTGAATCAGCCGGAACGTTAATGCTTCATTCGCCACTGATCTGTATCTCCCGAACCGCCCCAACCTTGTCTCCCGTGCTCCGTGCCCTTCTCGGAGTTGCCCTGTATCATCTCCGCACCCCGAAACAGGCACTCCCCCGTTCCTACCCTCTTCTCCATCCTCGACTGACAACGAACAGGCTCCACGGTGAGCGGCCGCCTCGCCTAGCTTCCCTGCAGGACTGTCCGCCATGCTACTGCCTCCTCGACGTCGACTAGCGTGGATTGGCAACAAGCTAGAAAGTTTTGGCTCCGGAGCACTTCCACTTGGATAATCTCGCTTCTTGGCGTACACTATTTCTTTCCGAGTGGGAAGCTTCCTAACGATCACTACTCTCATGGCCGTGGCGTTTCTTCCTTATAATGCTTGCCTATGGTACCGAAGCGATGCAATACTACTACCCTTTGTAATCCCCATTTACCCTCCCTATGTGCGTCCACCGTCCCGGCCCTCGGCTGGTCTCCACGTGCGACCTGCTACCCCAGCTTTGCCAAAGGCGGCCCTTCCATCGCCGTGCTCTCTTTGCGCACTCCAGCGAATCCTGGCTACTGCCGACCTCCGGCACATGGGGTGGCCGCGCCAACCGCCCGCCGCACACTTCCAACCATACTCTCCGGCCCTTCCAACGCCGTCCCACCCACCTTGCGCATCAGTTGCTCCATCAATATCTGCCACTCCACCTCGTCGAGCAACAGCCAAAAGGCTGCCGGCGATAACATGTCCACGGTGTCCTCGTGCAACCGGACTACCCGGCTAGGTTTGCTCCTCGCCACCACCAACGTCGCATCAACGGCCTTCATGCTAAAGCGACAGCCAGGATCCCCCTGCCTGTCCTCTTGTAGTCGCTAGCCACCGGAGTTTCGACTTGCAAACCCTCCTGGAGAGTTCTCGTGACCAACTCGCATCCTCCTCCTCAGGTCGTCCCCTATATCCGACTTCACCGTGTCCCAATAGTGGACTCGACACGGTCGGCACCCGCCTCGCTCAGCCGCACGCAATGCCCATCCAACTACCGACGACCGTCAAAAAGGGACCCCTGCAATACTACCATAACCTCTTTCTTTCCTTCACTCTCATTCGTTATTGTCGCCTTTGCTATCTACTCCATGCAACGATGACACCGAAGGGTACTGCTGGACTTTCTTTCTCCGCAGACTTACCCACACTAACCTTACTGTTCGCCGACCTCCAACTTCTCGCGACATAGTCATCACCCCTACTCAACTTCCAACCCCCGGCTCCCTACTTCACTCACGACCATAGAACCAGATGGTCGAGACTGTTCAAGAACCTCGCCAGCTCATTCCCGCATACCCCCGCTTCTGATCTATCACCTAGGTAGCATTCTCTGACTCTTAAGTCTCCCGACCCTAGCCGCGAGCCCTCTTTCGAGCAGCAAGAAAACCTGCTTTATAGGATGCCCACCTCCACTCTGCGTAACCCCTCATTTACACTTCCACGGTGACTACATCTGCCATGTTCTCACGATGTCGGCCTCCCAGCTCAACGTCGATACCTCGTCCTCCCCGCGGCAACCTCTTGACAGCCAGAAAATGCTGGCGCCGACATGTCCATGATGGCCTTTGTCCAGCCCGGCTGCCCGGCTAGGTTCGCCTACCAGAATGAGCATCGTGTCAAAGGGCTCAACGCAGAAACCCTAGCGAGGGTCTTCCTTCCCACGCCCTCATGGCTGTCGACTCCGGAGTATGCAGCAATCCGGTCAGATACTGGCAATCCATCGACCTGCATCTTCTTCAGCCTTAATATTTCCATATACAACCAACAGATAATCTCCTCGGAATGGACCGAACAATGGTTCTTCATGGTCGGCCGTGTTCATCCCTTTGCCCTGACGTGGGAAATCGAGCGACGTGATGGCTTGAGTCGGACGATGATAACATCACAGAATACACCGTCCCCGCGCTTATAGTCCGCGATCACAGCTACCAACCGTGAGTCTATGCTCCAAATCTCTCTGTCGCCACTGCCCTCCTGACGATATCCATAGAATTGTCACTCGCACCTCAGCTCGGTGGATACTTTCCCAACGATACAACCCATTGTCTCCTTCACGGGACCTGTCATCGGCTCCGGCCGCGACCTCCTGCATGGAAACTCGGCTGCGGCCCTTGACGACACCCAGCTGAGCTGCTGCGGCTTTGTCCAGCTCTCCACCTTTATTTGTCCTGGGATTCCCGGCAAACCCCTTCAAGGGCTTTCACCCTTCCAAGTTTTCGTCATCTTCCCCATTCACGCTAATCCTTGACCTCCCTATGCAAGAAGATGACCGAGAGGCGCGACAGCCAGTTCCAGTCGAACACTCTCTTCACCTGTACGGGCAAAATCGCCGGCTTACTGGATCACCAGATCATGAAACATGCCCCGGCTTTCGACCAAGACTATATCTTCATCGTCGTCCCCGACACGTGGACTTTCCACGACAAGGCCATGTCCGACCAGGCTTCTGCAACACAACTACTGCCGACGACACCCAAGAGCGCGGTCGGCAATCCTCGGACTATAGCGTTGCGTTGGCCAGGTTTACCTCTACGAAGAAACCCAAGGCCGCCCAAAGCCCCGCCTCCCCACGCCGCATGCTTCTGGCCCAGTCGATCCTTATGCTGGCATCAAGTCGGTCATTGCCCGATCCCTACCAAACCCCAACCAAGAGACCGCGACTTTCTCCCGAAACTTCCACCATAATCACCGACTGTGAAGGTCAAGACTCCCAAATCCGATACCTCCTCCTTTCTGTCCCCGGAAGACCCGCAGAGTCAGAGACGGACACCGAACAGGTCAATCACCAAGACACATCCGCCTCTGGCTCTATCAGACCTCCCGCGTCGATATCTTCCCGACCACTGCGCGCCCGACGTCCGCCCAAGAATATTCTCTAAACTTTAAAGCATCAAACGAAACAATACAACATGACAACATGTCTCATCATCCTCAAAATCAACTGCCAAAGGCTCGAATAGCACATTCTCTTCTCTTCTTGTTCTCCTTTTCATGAAGACGATCAAGTCAAAACTTCCCCAATATACTCCTTATTCTGTTTATACCTACGACTTATACCGGTAGCACATGTAAATTTTCCGAGCCTTCCACTCGCCCAGACATGCATTACCCACTCACATCTCTCTTCAACCCTGCCGTCTCTCCACGCCCTTTGAGTTTGCGTCTTTTTAAACAAAATCTCCCTCCAGCGGCCTAGCCTGCCTCCCCGACGCTCTGTCTCGGTTTCACTCACGATAATGCTCTACGTCTCTCGCCGTGTCTCGTATCTCGACCTCACTCTTCTTCCTGTCTCCAATCTACTATCGCCAACTCTCTCTCTCTCTTCTGTAGCCAACTCTTCTCCGGTTCTCTTGTCGCCAAATTTCGTTCCGAAAGGCTTCTTTGCGCGAGCCGCGGCTGGCGAGCCTTCCTCTCGTACTCAGTCAGAAAGCAAGGCATAAAACCTCCTCTGATTGGCTAATTGGCCTGGCCCGTGCTCAACTCGTGCGCGGATTGGTCGACTGATAACGTCACCAAAGGAAGGCCCGCAAAACTACCCTGAGCGTTGACTAGGAAACTAGCTTGCTTGGCAAAGTCTTCAGGAGTTTTCAGTTCTTCCTTTCTTCCATGCGGTCAATTTGTTGCGTTGCTATGCACGATTTTGACTGAATAGCCCCCGTGCCCCATACTCCTTACACTAAACTACATGGCGGCTGCTCCTTTCTGTCGAACCTGTCAAACCACATCAGTTTGTTAACGGTATCTAGGCTCACACATGACCTCCGGCTGCCGGCCTACCTCTCAAGATTCCCTGGCTACCCTGTCTCCGGAAGCAGTGCAGTTTCCTCCTGATCATTCAGACCTGATCTAATTACCTGAAAGACAGCCTCCCCATCGAGATCTATCACGGTATTACACGTAGGACGTCGCAGAGCCTCCCTGCCCGAGCGAAATCGAGCAGTCTAGGTGTTTATGGTGTGGATACATATACAGCCAGATGGAGGACGATATACCCCAGGCGGTTCGGAACTGCCATACCTGCAAGCAATACCTGCCCGAAGTCGAATTTCGAAGCGTCAAGGACCCTACGAAGTTTACAAGAGACTGTGCTAGCTGTAAGGCACGCCGAAAGGAACGGGTAACCGAATCTCGAGCCGCCGTTGCCGCAATGCGGAATATCGCCTTGAGGCTATCGCCACGCAGAACCAGGAAGAGGACGGATTCGCTAGCTAACCTGACGCCTCCAAAGCGGACTGCGCCAACGCCTGCGTCTGTGAACGGCCCACAACCTCATGTCATGCCTGCTTTATTCCGTGGCCAGGCGCCTGCACTGGGACTGCCTATACCTCCGCTGGGGCCATCTACCCTAAGTGCTGTTGGGGGACCTTCCCCTATCCCTCCTACCCATGTCCTGCCAACAGTAGTTCTGGGCACGCCGATTCAAGACACTGCTTCTACGGCACCTGTTGTGCAAGGCACCCCTGTACCACAGGAATCGCTTCCTACCACTCCTTCATTATTGCCACAGTGTCATCGCCGCGGCCGTTATACTCGTCAAGGCACACAGCCTCAAGCGCGACAGTTTGGTCAGAGTATTGATCCGCCTTTTACAGGTGACCTTAACTTGCCTGCCCTTAGTGAGGAAGATCAAGCTCTTGTGAGGGAGTTCTATACTGCGCTGAATGACGACAAGATGCATAGTTGCATTCGTTGCCAGGAGCGTTGGTTCGATATGAAGCGAAATAGCTTGAAAATCTGCAGCCGCTGCATTGGTCGAGACAGGAAGAAAACCCCTCACGAGCCCTACTTCTTTAGCGCTGCGAACAACCTTGACTTCGGGAAGTCCCCGGCAATCTACCTGATCTAACAATGGTCGAGGAGATGCTCATTGCTAGGGTTCACGTACACGTGAAGGTCCTGCAGGTACGTGGCGCTCAATATAAATATCGCGGTCACGTTGTCCACTTCCTTCGCAATGTTGGCAGGCTATTTGAAGAGCTCCCAGTCCTACCTGAAGAGCTAGATATCGTCCTCCTGCGGCCTACTAATATGGAGGGCGACCCTCGCTTCCGGCAACAGTTTGCTCGCGATTTCCGGGTACGCCGCCCATGCCTGTTGGCCTGGCTGCATTACCTACAACGCCACCACCCGGGCTATCGCGATATCGCCGTGAGTCAGGATCGCCTGCACCGGCTTCCTCTTGATGGCAACATAGTTGCTTCCATTGCCAGCCAAGTGGCTGACATGCCTGACGGCGAGGTCCCCCAAGGGCCCGTTGAGGAGGCTGTGGAAGAGGATCCTAGCGACGCCGACGCATCAGCGATCCCGAATTTGCAAGTTTCCGATACCGAATTGAACGCTCTGCAGTCCCGATTTCTTGATGGTGCCCCTAACCCTGAGCGCATGACTGATCTGGAGTATATGCCGCGTAGCGCGCAAACTCTCCACCGGATGCCGCTGCCTTCCATTCGCAGGACCCCTATCGACGAATTCAACCGTTCCCAGCCGCTGCTAACGCTCGCGTTCCCTACCCTCTACCCTGACGGCAAGGCCGACTTCGTGGAGCCTCGCCTACGGAGCATCACGTACCAGGACTACCTTGGCCATGCGATGAGATGGCATGACGGACGTTTTGCCCGCCATAAGACGTGGCCTTTCGTCGCCCTCAACACGCTGTTACGTGCGCAGGTCCGAAAGCGAAGTGACTACTTCGTCAAGCAACGCGACAGCCGCCGTCAACCCCTTACACGCGCTGACCTAGAGGAAGCGATGGCTGAGCCTGACGAGCCAGAGGCTCAGGACCTGATCCAGTCGATCACGCGCCAAGCCGCGGTAATCAGGGGCACCCGGCCGTATTGGTATAAGCAAAGAAAGGAATTGGAAGCATATGCCTACAATCTGGGCAGACCTGGCCTTTTCGTTACTGCAAGTGCGGCCGATTACCACTGGGAGTCCCTATATCGTCACATGCCTCGATTCCAAGAGTGGAAAGCAGCTCCTGAGGCGGCGCGCATGGTCCTGTCCCGGCAACTACTGCGAGACAACGCCCACATCGCCGCTTACCACTTCCATAAGCGTTATACGCTGTTTAGGACTACTGTCCTGAAGCAGAAGTTCAACCTAACGGACTTTTGGGGCCGTTACGAGTGGCAGGGCAGGGTTCCAGTCACCACCACGGCCTATATTGGCTAAGTGGCCACCCAGACTTAGATCCTGACAACGATCAGTCCGGAGCAATTCGCCCGCATCTGGGGATATCACGTATCTGCTGTCAACCCAGAGCCTCAGCGAATACAGGCGCCTGGGGAAGGGAATCTGATCGGCAATCTATTGGAGCAGCCCTTACGGTTCAGTTCCTATCAATGGTGGTCAACCGCGTGCAACGCCACCGCTGCAACAACTACTGTATGCAGCTCAATAAGCATACCAAGCAGGTGGAGTGCCGCTTTGGATTTCCCCACGGACAGCGCCTGCTAGCCTCCTTGACAAGGTTCCTCATTCTAAGCACTGGAACTTCAGGGGCGAGGAACGATGGCCAGATTAACCACTACAACCGCTTGCTTACCGTTGCGTGGCTAGCCAATACAGATGTTTCGCCCTGCACGAGCCTCCAGCAGGTAATCGATTACGCGGCCAAATACTGCTCCAAGTCGGAAAAGAAGAGCGAGTCTTTTGCCCAGATTGGGAAGGCTTTGATGTCCCGGGTCAAGGACCACAACCCCCTGATTTCCTTCACGTCAAAGCTCCTTAATCAGCTGGTTGCTGAGCGGGATTACTCGAAGCAGGAGGTCAGCCACTTGCTCCTCGGCCTGCCGTTACAGGAAGGCTCACGAACCTGCCTGTACGTTGACTGTCGTAATCCTGACAGGCATTCCCGCTCCTCCGTATTGATGGCGATGAGGTTGACGAGGCCCCCAACGTTTTCGAAAAGTACTGTCAACGCCCGGAAGCCCTAGCGGACCTAAACTACGTCTCCTTCCTGAAGTGCTGGAATTTCCGCCCTAGGGACCCTTCCAAGTGGAAGCAATGGCAGCCAGGCAACGTTAACGGTAGGCCTCGTGTGCTGGTTTACTTTCCTCGCTATCAGGCTGCTCCAGAAGGCCAACAGTGGCTAGATTACTGCCGTGCAAAGCTAACATTAAACCACCCACATCGGCGGGGTGATGATCTCCTCACATTTGATGGCCAGCTTTTGGTTCTCACGCTGAGGCCTTCTCCTATTGTTGGCAGCACCACAGTCATGGTGATGACCATTACGGTCGGCCAAAAGAGGCTCGATTACAGCCTCAAGATGATCAATACGAGGCTCTGCCTGTGGAGGAAGAATTTGATGACGAAGACTGGATTCGCCTCGCCGCCCTTTACCTGACAACCCCTTACCCAGGAGGATCTTGACCTACTTGGCCGCCGCGATATCGACGTCAATTACGACTGGACACGGCATGTGGGTACTTATCCGGAACTTCGAGACGGCTACTGGAAAGACCTTATCGCTAGCCACCCCATGGCCAACGATGTCGAGGTCCTTGGCCTCACTGGCGTAATACGCTGAACCCACAACAACGGCTCGTGTACGACACATTCATGGGTCACTTCCAGGCGCAAATCCTACTCAAATCCTTCTCCACGTTGATGGCGGTGGTGGCACAGGCAAGTCATTCCTTATCAAGGTGCTTTCTTCCCATCTTCAAGCAGCCGCCCTACCGAATTCTAGCCCTATTTGCCGCGTGGCGCCAACAGGCGTTGCGAGTAACCAGATACAAGGCAGCACCATTCATTCGTTGCTACGCCTCCCAGTAGGTGGTACTTTTACCGACCTTCCCCCAGCCGACGCAGCCGCCCTTCAGTCCCGCCTACGGCACGTCAAATACCTCGTTATCGATGAAAAGAGCATGCTAGGGCTTGAGCAGCTCGCGCGGATCGATTCCCGTCTGCGGCAGGCCTTTCCACAGCGTAGCCTCGAGTTCTTCGGTGGTGTGAGCGTCTTGCTTGTGGGCGATTTCTTCCAGTTACCACCAGTCCGACAGAAGCCCCTGTATTCGACTAGCACCAGCCTGTCTTCGTTGGAAAGGAGAGGGCAGGTGGCCTACCGGCTATTTGACCGCACCGTCTTCCTGACCACGGTACAGCGCCAGGTTGGTGATGACCAGGCCCAGTTCCGTCAGGCGTTACAGGAACTGCGTGAAGTCAAGTTATCTATACCATCCTGGAACCTCCTTAGCAATCGGGTACAGGCCAGGTTGACGCAGAGCGAGGTTGACGGCTTCAGGACCGCTTTGCGAGTGTATTCTACAAAGGCCCGGGTCAACCAATACAACCACGAGCATATGGTGCACCTCAACGCCCCGGCAATACAGGTCGAGGCAAAGAATCAAGGCAACGGCGCGGGACAGGCATCAAGCGACAGTGCTGGCAACCTATCTAACAAGTTCCCTGTTGCTAAGGGCACCAGGGTGATGCTCACGACTAATCTGTGGCAGCCAGCTGGCCTAGTTAACGGTGCTCAGGGTACTGTATACGATATCGCCTGGAACGCAGGCGCCGACCCGTTGGAAGACCCCCCAGCCGTTATTATGGTGGACTTTGATAGCTACGACGGACCGCCGTATCTAACAACTAACGAGGGCAGGAAAATCTCACCCATCCTCCCAGTCAGGCGAGACTTCCTTGTGGGCAACGAGACCTGCGCTCGCACGCAGTTTCCTGATGGTGGCGTTTGCTATCACTGTTCACAAATGCCAGAGCCTAACGAAGGATCAAATAGTTACTGATCTCGCTACACGCGACTTCCAGGCCGGCATTAGCTATGTTGCTGTCTCACGGGTTACGTCGCTGCAAGGCTTACTCCTTGAGGTGCCTTTCGATCGTCAGAGCCTCTATAACCACACGCCGACGGAAGGTTTACACGCCTGCGTTTCCTACGTACCGCGTTCACGACTAACTATAAGGCAGGGATGAAGATGCGCCTCGCTGACCAACAACGGCGTCAGGGTCAACAGCTGACCGACCCACCATATCCACCACGCTACCTTGACTAAACGGCATGTTCCTCTAAGCTGCGGGGAAAGGGGAGGTTCGATATATAGTATATAGTTATAGTTAGGTTGGGCCTGTTGGGAAGCAGCAGAGACTCCTAACTATCAGTCAATTCCCTCAGTGCAGGTTTGAAGCGGTTTGAACAGCTGGTGTGCCCGCGGCAGGCGAATGGGGGGTTCTAGGGGGTCTCCCCCTAGGAAAGTGAATTGCAGGTTACGATATTTACCCTTCGGGCTGGATATTCAGCCGTTAAGCCCCTTGCCTTGGCAACTTAACGGGTGTTCGAAGTATTTTACTAAGATCCCTCGATATGCTTCTCGACAAGTGCAGTAGGTTCCTAGAGTTGCCAGCCGTATCAGCACGCCGCCGGCAATCAGACGCCTCGTCAATCACGGGTAGGAACTCACACCAAAAACTTTTGCAAGAGGTGAACCAGAATTATAAAGTGGCTAAGAGTTGCCAGCCGTATCAGCATGCCGCCGGCAATCCGACTCCTCGTCAGTCACGGGTAGGAACTTACACCTGTATTTTGAGGTCCATCAGGGTTTATAATACCCTTCTCAATAAGCCAATTTTTCCAAGATTCAGGAAGAAGACGACGAGCAGGACCGCGTTTAAGACCAAGATTTTCAAGACCTTCTGGAATAGCACCACCAATAGCAAGAGCAGAACCTCCTAATCTGGTGGCTCCGGACGTCTTGGGCTGCTTTGCTGCGGGCTTGTTGGGCTTTTCTTTTGGCGGCTTTTGATTCTTGTTGGCCTCTTGGTTCTTCTTCGGTTCCTCTTCGCCCTTCTCAAGTGGGCCACACGCGTCTCTGCTCCATAACTTTGCTTCCTTTCCGCCACACTTGAAAATTGAAGGGAAAGGGCTGGATTTATTTGGGTTAAGGTTGATTTTTTTTGGCGTAGAGAACGCTCCATAATGCTCCGTATTATAGCCATCATTTCGAATCCATTCCTGTTGCCCATTCTTATCAATTTTCCAGGCACCAGTTATAGCTTCGCCAGGAGTTCCACCAATTGATGAGAACTCCTGGTTGCGTATCTCCGCTGCGCCCCGGTATTTATCCAAGGGAATGTATCCATCGGGTATGCCTCTTGCGGAAACAACGTAAATATAACCCGTGGGCTGCGGGTTCATTGACCCGCCCAAGGCATAGTATTTGGCTGTCGTGGGGCTTGTCGTGAATGGTACAAATCCCGAATTACCGTAGCCACCACTTAGGTGGCTTCTAATATCCATGTTGTCGCCCCGTGGCTGGAGACCTTCTCGAAACACCGTGGTAGTGGGTCGAGTGTCGCCACGCAGGAGTCTTCCTTCAAGAGGGGATTGTTTCGCACGGTCTGCCGCGGGCTTTATTTCAAGTTCTTCGCGGCGCTCGAGATTCTTATAAGGCGTGACTGACTCAATCGTCTTAAGGAGACCGGCCAATAGTCGCTGGGCCTGCTTTGGTGCTGCCGTTGCCATCGCTCGCGAGACCACTCTCCTGGGGTTCGCTGGGAGCTAGTGGCGATAATGGCAAGGTTGGTCGTTGGTTCATCCTAAGCGGCCTATTCTCCCTAGAGGGTTCAACAATAGTTCCCCTAGCCAAAATGGGAAGCTCCTTGATAGGTTCCTTTGCTGTGACTTGACGCATCTCTACTGGCGCCGGAACAGCAAAGCCCACAAACAGGGCTAGGACCTGGTAAGATTTCATGGCTGCTTTGATTGTGACTGCGATTTATAGAGGTGTGCTTTGACGTTATGAATAGCAAGCGGCCGAATCAATGAGCAAGCGGCCGCAGAGTTCATTGAAGATCTAGGCGATATGTTGCGGGGGACGACGTGGAATTCATAGGTCGAAAGCCGGTACAATAATGGGGAAAGTTCCTGTATAAAATCTGACCGAACAGGTCCTGCTAGAACTCCCAGAAAAGAATCTAGCGTCATTCAATCTAATGCGGCCGAAGTTCGTCCTGCGTAGATGCACTGCACTTAGTCAGGCCTCAGCGAGGGTTGAGGAGATGAAAGATTAGCGTCACTTGAAACGGTAGTATGTTTAAAGTAAACCGATGGCTTGGTACTGTAATAGGGACCGCTTAACAATCCACCGCTTTTAAAGTACTTACTACCACTTTAAAGTGGGGGCGGGCACGAGTAGTCATTCAATGCTAACTACTCTGTCGAACACTTTTGCCGGCTCAGGTAATCGGGAAGCTGGTGCGAGTCGACATGATGTGTTGCCCAAGTGGGACTCGTGGGGAGCTCGATCAGCTCCAGGGCCAGAACGTCATGTTTAGCATGGGCCGGTCGCTCAATCGGGATGACATGAGGCGGGCGAGGATCCGTCCGTACAGTGCGAGTTCTGGTTGACTCACCACGGCCGCGAGTCGGCGTTCATGACTTGCGAATCTGGGACGGCCGACAGTGAGTCAAGATAAAGGCGGATTTGAGTTGGGATGGCCAGTCTGCACGTTGACTGAGTTGGGATGACAAACATGAACATTGAGGGGCGGTAGTCATGTCCGATCTTCCGATTGCAGAAACCATACGCGGCGGGTGTTTCAGTCGAGTGGATCATCTGCAAGTAACGACTGGGACAAGGTCAGGTTTGAGCCTCGTCCGACTTTACTCAGCGGAGGGAGAAGACTCATAACTGTTTACTATCCTTGGAATAGTGCATAAGTAGGTGGGTTTCGGAACTACGGGGTTTACCAGTTGGTTGAAGCCAGGCGGTTCGCTTAGTCAGCCAACTGCACTAAGTTGCCGAGGATAGCTAGGAACCGTTCCCTTACTCGTGCCCGCCCCCACTTTCAGGGGATTCGCTTTGGCTCACCCACCGAACCGAAAGTGGGGGCGGGCACGAGTTTATTTTTTTGGTTAAACAACCCTAGTACTCGCCACGACGGCAAAGGAAGGGTCCCCAGTCAACCAGTCCAACACCTAATGGACTGCTCAGTCAAGACGGCAACGGCATAGCCATGACGGTTCTAGGTATAGCATTAGCATGAAGATGGGCAACCATGATTCTGCGGACGGGGAAATCCCAAACTCTAATCAACTGATGCCGAGGCAGTGCACAACCCCTACTCCGAGCGAATACATCGACGAGATGATGCACATACTGGTCAGCTTTTCTAAGCCCGTTTCATTTGCTTGGGTCTTGTGGCAAGGCTCAACCTCTGTGGCAACAAGATATAAAACACCATCGATTGCGCAGTCTTGAAGTAAACTACCTATTCTCCAGCACCAATCCATCAATCAATCACAATACACTCATCCACCTACTAGAACACTGTTCACTTTCCCATCACCACTTCCACCTCACATCAGCAAAATGGTCCGCATCAGTGCTGCAGTCCTGGCTTGTACGTTGCTCTCCCTTCGTCTCTTGATGCTGCAGTCCCACTAACCATGCACTAGTTGCCGCCACCGCCATGACGGCCACCGTCCCCTTCCACAGCGCCGCCGCCGTTAACACACACAACATCCACGCCCGGGCCTTGAAGAACGGCCTGTTGTTTGAGAAGCGGCAGAACCCGCAGCAGAACAGCACCGTCGGCGCCAACCCCAACGCCGCCGACGGTACCGGCAACCCCGACGACCAGAGTACCGGTAACCCCAAGGCCGACAAGATCTTGGCCCAGTTCAAGGCCAGCTTGACCGATGACCAAAAGGCAGCGGGCGACAAGGTTGAAGAGGCGGTCAAGGCGGCCGACGCCTCGCTAAAGGACGACCAGAGGAAGATGCTAGCCGAGGTTGACAAGATCTTTTCTCAGAGCGAGGGTGGCCAGGGTGCCGACGGTGTCGATGGTGCCGACCCTGCCAAGCCTGCCGACCCTGCCCAGACTTCCCAGCCTGTCTAGGGTGACCAGGTTGGCCGGGGCAACAACTAAGTTGCGAAGGTGGTAAAATACCTGGGTTGCCGTCGAATACGCCGTCACAGGAGTACCCGTAGGCGAGGGTACGTACCGATGCCCTGCCTAGCCTACGCTCGTTCCTCGCGTAGTAGGCGTCAAAATGGAGGGACAGGGTCGAATCGAGGGGACAGCCCTAAGCAGTGCAAATGCTAGGAAGAGCCGAAATCTCGATATTCTGATGTCGCTCTAAGCTACTGTAAATAAAACAGGCGATTGATTGAAGCTATAACATTGCAAAAAAATGCGTAGAATAGCGATCCCTATGGTGTTGTGCTCATAAGGTGTTAGAGGTGTGCGACGTGTGCAATGTGTGCGATGTATGCCTACAGCGCCCTTTCCGCCTTCCCTCCTGGTAAGGGTTAATTCCCTACCTATTTTGTATAGTATTATTATTCGGGAAGCGTGTCTCCCCAAAATGGGTGCGGTCGGGCAAAAAGCGGCAATGAGGGCGGCGGCGGCGTTGGCGATGATCGCATCGGGTCGGGCGCGGGCGAGATCGAGGGCGTTGGCGAGGGCGCGGAGGCGCGCGGCGGCGATGAGGGCATCGAGGGCGTTGGTGATCTGTTATTGTTATCGTTGTGGAAAGGGTCTTCAACAGGGTCCCTTCTTTGCGTGATGATCTCAACAGACGGCGATCGCGAAGCATCAGAGCCTGGCGGCTCAAAGTCAAATAGGCGTGTGGCTTCTCCGTGGCTTCCTCGTACGCTTAAGCGTTGCCTTCGTGATGGCCGTGATGGCGTTGGGTCTATCACGAAGCGAGGCTTTGGTGCCAGCAGGCGCTTGAAGGTGTCAAGTGCGGTCTCGTGGCTTAGGAACAGTGATCGGAATGGTCTGGTCTGTCTTGGTCTTGGTCTGGTCTAGACCGCCAAGACTTGGTCTGGTTTGATGATTTCTCGAGACCATGGTCGGACCGGTCGGACCGGTCAGACCAATAACTGCTATTAATATATCAAGCTGAGAGTAAGAAGATGATTTGAAACGACGTTTTTCTTTTTCTTCCCAGCTTCTTTACAGGAAAAGGGGTAATCAATTGGCAGTCTCTCCTGTGGGCGGTAGTAAGGTAAAACTGACGATAGCTGCCTGGCATTGTGTGCAACAGCAAATTTATATGTTTTTACTCCGCAGACGTAAGGTCGGTTGACCAGTCGGCGGTGATGTCGGCGTCTTTTACAGCGTCTCCTGTCGCTACCCCCTCACCAACTCCTACATCGCCCGCCTCGACGCCATCAAGCAACTCTACCCCGTATACTTTCTCTGCTCAATATCCCAAAGCTCCGGACGAGTTTGTGCAGGATCGCGTCACATACGTGAAGCGCGAAACAGTCGCAAACAAAGGATGCCGTCTTGGTTCCTCACACATCTGGAAGTACGGTCTGCAGTACATTCGATGTAGTGACAAGAAGGAAGTATACTACTGCCATGAATGTGTAGCCGGAAAATACAAGCAGGAGTTGTTTGTCATCAACGGGACCTCTCGAGCCAGAAATCATCTTGAGCAGAAGCATCAGATTGATTGCCAGACTGGGGTGAGGAGAAAAGGTTCTGCACAGAAGTCGGTGCTTGATCAACAAAAGGATGCGGCGGCTTCCAGTGCCTTCTTCTGGAAGGAATCCATGGAGAAGTTCAAAGAACTTTTGATCCGTTGGATTGTATGCTGCCATATCGCTTTCTTTCAATTGGAGAATCGGCATTTTCGTGAACTTCTCTTCTTCCTGAGCCCTGCGCTGATGAACCACCTACCAAAGGCAGCGCGGACCATTCGGAGCTGGATAATAACTGCATTTGAATCGAAGAAGCAACAGCTCATGGAGGAACTCCATCAAGCGCGCAGCAGAGTCTCTATATCTTTCGATCTCTGGACTTCGCCAAACCCTTACGCTATCCTGGGCGTCGTCGCCATGTGGATTGACGCTACTGGTAAGCGAAGGTCTACGGTTCTAGGCATGCGACGTGTCTACGGCGAACATACTGGCGAAAATGTCGGATCGATCGTTGTTGAGATACTTCAAGAATACAACATCGGCGGAGATTTGTGTTGCGATTGAACTTACTTCTATTCAATTCTGTCTGACAGCTCTCAACATACATATATACATAGTGGCACGTCCGTGCCACTATCCAGTGACTCACCACTTATCGCACGGGGTGTAGAGCAGCAGCAAGCATGAAGATCGGGAAGTGGAAGAACTCTTGATTTAGCTATCTAGAGGGGAAAAGGAGCAACATCTTTATAGATGACATAAAGGAGTGGCTGGGAGATGCTAGAAGCATCTGATCATATAGTGTAGGTGCCTATAACGTGTGCATAATGTTGATGGTTGGTGTGGCTGTTTGGCATAGTGTAGATGGTAGGGGTTAGCCTGTTGGAGGCTGATATCCTGTGTGTGACAGGTCCCGTTGAGTTGAACCACCTGCTTTCAGATGGGAGTGATTGAGTTGAATTGAAGACGTTGAACCACGTATAGCCCATGGGGTCTCCAATGGCCCTGACCGGCAGCATGCTAGGCATCATCCCCCACACTGCATATAATGCTATTCGCATTCTTGCCTGACACGTCAATCAATGTATCCATGGCGTCAATTTTCGCTTTCGAACGGTATCGTGCAAGAGATGGGTATTCGTCACTGCGAAAATATGTCGGGGGCGACAGTGCTCGAGCTGGCGAAAGGAGACGTTGGCATCGACCACCTACTCGAGAAGAAGTCTCTGAGAATGGTCCTTATCGAAGCGCTGGATGAGGGCGTTCGCGATACCTAGCTTGCTCTTTAGGGTCTGAAACGTCGAGATTCAACATCACCACGAATCACGATACTTCTTTGACGGGGCCTTGTCCTGGTCCCGTGCCCAAGAGCGGGCGGCTCCCTCCTCCCAGACATATCGGCAAGTCTGTGCTCTTTGAATAGATGGTTATCGATATTCTGGGTGCCAACGGCGGAGAAGTCTGATGTCTTTTGCTTCGGCTTCTTGAGGCAGGGTTTGCAGACCCGTTTTCTATTCCATCCGTTTGAGTGCGGAGGGACCGCAGGGGGGTCACGGGCCCCACAATACGTAGCTACATGTCCGATACAACTTCAGGGGCTTGCAGCATCAGCAAAAGCTTCAACAGTCAATTTTCCTAGCAACGCATTCAAATTAAGCTCTATGGCTTCGCAACAAGATCCACAAGCTTCGCAGGTAGCTATTCCAGCTGTGAATAGCTTCGAACATACCCTTTATGTGTGGCTTGACCACTGTCAGCGCGAGCAGCCTATCGACAGCACAGCCCGCCCTACATTCGACCCCGAGCCCGAACGGGGCCCCGAATTTACCCCTTTTCACGTTCCCGAGCGCGAGCCACAGCCCCGACAGCTGCCACCAACGCCGTTGTTACTTTTCCAGCAATTCCTAGCCGAATCCCTAGTCGAGAGCTGGGTCGGGTACACAAATAACGGTCCAAGGCCGGGCCCAGAGGGTCCAAAGCAGCAGCATTCGCGAGAGAATAGCTGGACCGAGACATCTCTTGGAGTGGTCTTTCTACTGGAAGACAAAATGAGTCTTGGCTGAGTATACGGCCGAATATGCCTCGGCTGAGGGGAGCCAATAGGCTCACGGTACCCGCGAATCTAATATTTCGCGGGCACCGTGACAATGACTAAGCAGATGTCGCAGGGGAACGCGAGCCCGGTGACCGCGCGTGTTATTGACGGTCGACAACGCGCCTCAGCAAAAGCACCCGTCCGCTTAAACATGCTGTAGCGACCGTTAAAATGGGTCCGCCTTCTCTCGGGCCGACTGCACCGTTTGCCGAAGACTGTCTTCCACCGGAACTTGACTACGACTCTCGCGATGACCTCCTCATTTCGATCAACGCTTGGGCTGCGACGCGGGGCTATGCCTTCACAACGGGAAAGTCCACCAGAGCCAAGGGTGGCAGACAGACAGTGACCTTCGCGTGCGACCGGTCTTGTCGACCCCCAAATCCGTCGATAGAACGTCAGCGAAAGACAACAACCCGAGGGACGGGCTGTGAGTTTTCGATTTTGGCCAAAGAATCAGCCGACAGGCAATCTTGGGCTGTGCGACACCGCCCAGACAAACGATTTTCCCTGCATAATCACGCGCCCAGTCGCCACCCTTCTGCTCATCCTGCTCATCGTAGGTTGACGGAGAAAGATATTGAAAAGTTATCGCGCCTTTCTAATGCCGGCATTGTCCCAAAGATATTCGGACCTATATACGACAGAACTGCGATTCTCTTGCCACACAACAAGACATTTACAATGGAATTGCAGCTACCAAGAGAGATGTATGCGAAGGGCAAAGTTCAATTCACGCTTTGGCCAGTCAGCTCGACCAGGAGGGGTTTTGAGTCGGATCCACCCGGCCAAGACGGCCGAGTGACCGCAGTCCTGTTCGCTCATCCAGAGTCCTTGACGTATCTCCAGGCATACCCAGATGTCTTGTTGCTAGATTGCACGTACAAGACGAACAAACACGGCATGCCGCTCCTCGACATGATAGGAGTAGATGCTTGTCAGCGATCATTTTGCATAGCATTTGCATTCCTTGGTGGGGAGACCGAAGCTGACTTCGTGTGGGCGTTGGATCGCCTGAGGTCACTGTACGAACACCATAGCGCCCGCTTACCCTCTGTCGTCCTAACAGACCGCTGCATCGCCTGTATGAACGCCGTTGCCATTTCCTTTCCCACTTCTTGCTCACTACTCTGTCTGTGGCATGCCAACAAGGCCGTCCTCCGCTATTGCCGGCCAGCCTTCGTCCGCCAGGACCAACCGGAGTCCACAAACGCAGAGACAATTGATACGTCAGAGAGCAACGGCTGGTCTGAGTTCTACCAATTCTGGCACTCGATCATGGCTGCACCAAACGAAGAAGCATTCAAGGACCGAGCTACGCAATTCGAGAAGAAGTACCTACCCAACCACCTCAAACAAGTTGGATACATCAAAACTTTCTGGCTTGAAGGGTATAAGGAAAAGCTTGTTAAGGCTTGGGTTGATCAACATGCTCATTTTGGAAATACAGTCACGTCGCGCGTGGAGGGCATACATGCATTGTTGAAGGCCCATCTCAAAAAGTCCACGCTAAATCTTTTCGAGGCTTGGAGGGCGATGAAGCACGCGTTACTCAATCAACTGTCAGACTTGAGATCGAATCAAGCCCGACAGCAGATTCGGGTCCCAATTGAGCTCTCTGGGCCCTTATACGCTTCAGTGCGCGGTTGGGTCTCCCATGAAGCGCTGAGAAAGGTGGAGGAGCAGCGGAAGATGCTTGGTAGGAGAGATCCTCCCCCACCGCCAACTTGCACGGGGGCTTTCACCAAGTCCCACGGGCTGCCTTGCCTTCACACTCTAAAATCTTTGCAAGAGCAAGGACAAGTACTCTTACTTGAGCACTTCCATACGCACTGGCACCTGCAGCGGGATGGAACTCCCGGCCGCTGCTAGAGCCGCGCCAGCGAATCGAGTCGACCTTAGCAAGTTCGGCTATTCCCAAGCAGAGCACTCGGAGAGAACCCAGTGCATTTGAGAGTATCGAGGAGGCTCGTAAAGCGCCACCCACATGCAGCAGGTGCCATACGGTTGGTCATAGGATGACCGCGAAAGCCTGCCCGCTGCGCTTTGGAGAGCTGCTTCAAGAGACTACGTCGTCGATGCATTCACGATCGGTGTCACCATCGGAGATCGTACCGTCATCCCAGTACGTGCAAGCCGCTTTGGACGCACAGGAGCCAGAGCTTGCAACTGAGCCGCCAACTGATGCGTCCCTGGCGACGGATTTGGGAGTGTCGCAGGAACCCTTACAATTCTGCCCACTACAGCTCCAGACCATCCTCCTGCCCAGTCGGGTCAGTCCTTTCACGCCGAAATAGGTTCAGTTGCCACGACCTTCCCGGTGACCAAGATTCCGGGCCCGTACCGGGTCCGCCCCGCGATGCCACTGAGCTGCTGGTATCGCCACCACCTATCTCACCTGACTTGCCAGCCCCACCGCCGCCGAAATATGATTCACCAGAAGCTATACACAAAGTTATACCGCTGCAAGAAGCGCATGGTATGCAGCGCAGCCGGCCGGCAGCATCAAGACAAACCAACAATACCGCAAGGCAATGAGGCTTCCAGCTAGGTATGACAAGCAAAGCTATGAATGGTGTATGGACTACAAACAAATGTCCAGGCATTGCGCCACTACAACGGGGTTGAGAGCATGGACGAAAGAAGAAATGATGGCATACCTTGACTGGAGCCATGCAGAAGATCAGCGTGTTGAAGCCCAGATCATGAAGGAGATGGGAGACAATCCGTTAGCCAACACACGGAGGGCGTGGCCGACATTTGGCGACAGGTAGAAAAGGACAGCCGAGAGCAGGAAACGCTGTATTCTGCACATGTTGAGGCAGATGATTGTATTTTCGTCGAGCCGTAGTTGGCTCTACTGATATTAGCAGCTCTTTAGTTCTAGTAGACAGTAGACTCACACATACGACGAGCACAGTGCCGACAGACTACCCGCATCATGGCTTTACGCAGACAACGGACTGTGATTAGTCATTTTCGCGGTGCCCGCGAAATATTAGATTCGCGGGTACCGTGAGCCTATTGGCTCCCTCGGCTGAGGGAATGGTGAATAAGCCTTGCAAAAGAAAGGTTGATGAGGCTTGTAGATATTGATGTGTGTAACGGGCAAGCCGCTTTAACGGCGGCTGCGCCGCCTAGCTTCTAGAACCTTCCATTGGCTCGAAGCTATAAAATGCTATTGTGCTCTCATGTAGTAGATTCTCTTTCTTTCTTTCTTTCTTCTCTATCTTGATAGTAAACAGCATAGGGACTAGTTAGTTGTATCAACTCACTAGAGGCCTTTCACATACTATCAAGATCACTGAAGACATTGAAGACACTGAAGACACCGAAGACACTGAAGACACCGAAGACACCGAAGACACTGAAGACACCAAACTGAGTCCCGTCGAACTATTAGCGTTCAGCGAAGTCGCGATGGCCGAAGATAACAACAACATGCAGCCGGACGTCCTCAGCGCCCTGGTTGCCGAGATACGAAGTCTGAGAGAAGAGAGTTCCCGAAGAAACACCCAGTTTGAAGAACGTTTTATTGCCCTGGAACTCCAACAACACCAGCAAGCCCGTTCGTCTGAACTCCTAGAGCCAACGCCATCTGTCACCCCGGCTGTCCCCATTGAGGACACCCGTGTGGTCGCCACTCACAACCCTCACCCAACCAAGCGCCCCAAATTACGAGACATACCGAAATTCGGCGGCGACAAGGCCCAGTGGCGAAGCTGGAAACTAGAAACCGAAGGAAAGCTACGAGTCGACAAAGAAGCCCTTGAGATGCAGAAGGCCACTTTATGTACATCTTCATGAGCCTAGAAGGCAAGGCTAAAGACAACGTGACCACATTTGTGGAGATGCAAACCGAGAAGAAAACGTTCAATGTTGCTGAACTACTCAACCGCCTCGAATTGCTGTACGGGGAGAGGGATCGCAAGCAGAGAGCTACACGCAACCTGCATTCGATTAAGCAAGGAGAGAATGAACCGTTCACGTCCTTTACCCCGCTTTGAGAGGAGATCGCCAACGCCAACGCCGAGTATTGGCCAGATGACAGCAAGATTTCCTACCTCCAGGAGGCACTAAACGATAAAATGAAAGCAGCCCTCATAGGCTCTGACCCCTCTGCCATCAGCAGCTATGTTGGGCTGGCGAGGAGGTGCGATTCGCTGAGCAGCCAGATGGAATTGTTGGGTCAGTGGAAAAGGCCTCGAGGCAACCAGGCTTTCTAATCATACGCGTATGGTTTAATTAAACCATATATTGCCCATATATTGTCAATAAACCTATACCATACTGAATCAGCCGTATGACCATATATGGCCATACGCGGTGTAAAGTTCCCCCGAGGCTGAAATGCTTGGCGAGTGGATGGGTGCAACTAACGTTTGGTGAGGTTTTACCAAGTTGCAGAACCTTTGATGATTCAAATTGCATGGACGTGTTCTCCTCGCGCAGTGGGACATTAGTGAAGATAGCGCGAATACGTAGATCGTGTCCTCGAACCTTGCCAGATAAAAACAGTGGATTCCTCATGAATGCGGCGAAAAGAGTGTAGGGTAACCAACGTTGCTTAGATTGTCACGGTATGTCACCCAAAAACATAATTCGGAAGCTAGGAATAGGTTGCGTGTAGAACTGAAAATGCAATAGCAGACCCAAATTACATTAGGGATATTTGAGTTGATTCTCATATGCCGTTCAATTCGTGCATTCCGCGGTGAGTTCGCTCCTTGGGTTGTTTGCCTGAGAAAATATCTCCATCGTAGATGGATAACGTCGTAACTGCCACGGGTGTCATGAGCAATGACGTCATTTCTCGTATGGGCAATATATGGTTTATTTCACCATATGAGAATAAACCATACACCATAAACCATACGGGTCCGTATGGCGTATGGCGTATGGTTAGAAAGCCTGGAGGCAACACAAAGAGTTCGGACAACTATGACAACCACCAGAATCATGGAGGCCAGGCTGCCCAGAAACAGTCTGGCCAGAAAACCGAAGTTAGACGAGAGGATATGATGGAATGGGAACCAACTCTACAAGCATCCGCGAAAGTGAACGCTGCGCGCACCCGCAGTGATAAGAACACATATGGTTACTAATCCAAGCGACCAGAAGACCAAGCGCTGTTGGGCAAGCGTGCCAAGTGGGTCGACCAGGCCGAGATGGACGCCCGTTACCGTGAAGGGCGTTGCCTCCGTTGTGGAAGAGACAACTGCAGAATCGAGCGCTGTCCATTGGCTGCGCCTATCCGACCCGCAAACACGACCCGACGCACTCAGGTCAATGCCGTGACCCCGTCACGACCAGCGGTCACTAAAGCCGAGGTCGCCGAAGACGATACTTCTTCTCATAGCGATGAAGATTCAGACTAGGGACACGCGGCGGCTGTGAGAGAATGGGATGTGAGCGGAAAAGCAAAAATGGACGGAGAACCGTTCATAGCAGACGTCAGGGTGAACGGCACAGACTTCGTGCCATCTCTTGTCGACTATGGCTGCCTCTGCTACGGCGCGGTTAGCAAGCGCACATTTCACTCTCTCCAGTTGCCACGTATACGCGTTCAGCCGCGTATCTTGGAGAACGCAGCGGAGACGGCAAGGAGGTCAAAATCGACAAGATCACGTATGTGTCGATCGACCTCGATGGACATCAGCAGCATCGTGTTTTCATGTACGTCATCGACGATCTGAACTGGGATATGATCCTGGGTAAACGATGGATGGAAGACCAGGATGTTCACATCCATGCGAAGGAAGGATATCTCGAGATCGGGTCCAATGGAGTTCAAGTACGAGACCGACGACGTTACCAGCCTCCCAGCTAGATGTCTCTAATGTCATGGCCGCAACCTTTTAGCAGAAGCACGCCGTGACAAACGCAAAGGCGGCATTGGAGTTCACTCGGTCACGATGGCGGATATTGACAAGGCCCTAAGACCGAAACCGAAGACTGACGTAATGGAGAAGCTGCCACCACAGTACCACAAGTGGTCTCGAGCTTTCTCTCAGCAACTGGCCGACCAGCTGCCCCCTCATCGGCCAGGTGTGGACCTGAAGATCGAAGTGCTGAAAGACGAGCATGGCCGAGAGAAGCCCTACCCTGGGGACCGCTTTACAGCATGTCCCGCGAGGAGCTATTGGTACTACGGAAGACTCTCACAGAACTACTCGACAAGGGATTTATTAGAGTCAGCAGCTCGCCAGCCGCGGCACCAGTCCTTATGGTGAAGAAGCCCGGCGGAGGCATCCGCTTCTGCGTGGATTACAGAGGTTTGAACCATATAACGAAGAGGGACCGCTATCCCTTGCCCTTACTGAGCGAGACCTTGCGAACGATAGCCAAGGCAAGGTGGTTCACCAAGGTAGATGTTATAGCAGCGTTCCATAAGATCAGGGTCGCCCCGGCGACGAGGAAAGACAACTTTCAGAACGCGCTATGGATCCTTCGAATGGCTGGTAGTTCCATTCGGCCTGACAGGCGCACCAGCAGCCTTTCAGCGGTACATTAACAGCGCGCTCCAGGATTACCTAGACGATTTTGTGTCAGCATATATCGACGATGTCCTGATCTTCTCCTCTGGAAGCCTGCAAGACTACCGCGACAAGGTCGGCAAGGTCCTCCAACGACTGATGGACGCCGGGCTGCAACTGGATATCAACAAGAGTGAATTCGAAGTCAAGGCTGTGAAATACCTTGGGTTTATCATCGAGGCGGAGTGTGGGATCCGAGTCGACCCTGAGAAGGTTGAGGCTGTGAAGGAATGGGCAACCCGACGAATGTTAAGTCCGTGAGGAGTTTTATTGGATTCGCGAACTTCTACAGGATGTTTATGCCAGAGTTCTCGGTGATAGCGGAGCCGCTAACGCGGCTAACGAAGAAGGACGTGCCATTCCGTTGGGATGAATTGTGCGAAGAAGCCTTCGAGAAGCTCAAGGACCTGTTGATCACGGCCCCGATCCTTGCACACTTCCATCCAGAAAGGGAGACTATCGTGGAAGCAGACGCTTCAGGATTCGCGTCGGGAGGCGTGCTCTTGCAGAGAGATGATAAGGATGGACTGGTACGACCTGTCGCATACTTCTCGAAGAAACATTCGGCAGCCGAAGCGAACTACGCTATCCATGACAAGGAGCTACTCGCCATTCTCAGATGTTTGGAGCAGTGGGAACCAGAGCTACGGGCAGTAGAGCACTTCAAGATCCTAACGGACCACAAGAACCTGAGGTACTTCTACTCGGAAAGGAGGTTGACAGAGAGACAAGTGCGGTGGTCGGAGTTCCTGTCCAGGTTCCAATTCGAGCTCGAATGGAGGCCGGGCCGCAAGGGCGGATTGCCTGACGAACTCTCTCGACGGGACCAGGATATGCCGGCCAACTACTCCGATGAACGACTAAAGGGACGCATTATGAGGCTATTCCAAAATGATCACCTTAGAAGGGTCCCAATATCGACATTGTCTACCAACAACGAGGTGCCCAGGAAATCAACTTCGGAAAAGAGATCAGGATATTTGAAGATGAGGAGTTACAGCAGCTGTGGCACGCCGCACGGCAAGAAGACAAGCTTTATCAAGAACTCACGAAGCTGGTAGCAGATGGAGCGAAGAGTTTGCCAACAGAGTTACAGAAGGTTGTCAGCATTTCAGAATGCTCATTAGACAATAGAGGCCTGCTGTGCTTTAGAGAACGCGTCTGGATACCCGGTTCGGAGCCGCTACGTACAAAGATCATCCAGGAAACTCACGACTCTCATATCACCGGACATCCTGGAAGGGACCTCACGTACTCGACTCTGTCGAGACGCTTCTTCTGGCCGGGTGCCGCTAGCGATGTACGTCGGTTTGTGCGCAACTGCGAGGTTTGCGGACGAAACACCATCTGGAGGATACAAAGAAAGGACTCCTAAAGCCGCTCCTATTCCGCAACGCATATGGAGCGAAATTACCATTGACTTTATTACTGACCTCCCACCGTCGGGGAAAGATGGCGCGACGAACTGCATGGTGGTCACGGACCGACTCACCAAAGGCGTCGAACTCGAAGGATTGAACGATATTTCCACAGAAGCGGTTGCAAGAAGACTCTTCGAACGACACTACCCTGTCCATGGCATCCCAACGGCTATCACCAGTGATCAGGGTCCCCAGTTTGTCAGTGGTATGTGGAAAAGTTTCTGTCAGATGCTAGGGATCGAGCAGCGGTTGTCGACGGCGTACCATCCACAAACCGACGGTGCAACAGAACGAATGAACCAAGAGGTAGAGAGGATTCTTCGGATATGGACGAATTATCTGCAGGAGAACTGGTTAGACTTGCTTCCAATCGCGATGGCGACTATTAACGAGAGGAAGCAACCTCCACCGGACTGAGTCCGTTCTTCTTCATGCACGGCTACCACAACGAGCCAATCCAGTTAGTTGAGCATCGAAGAACGGAAGACACGACGCAGGGGGAAGCGACAGCGGAGGATTTTATTCAGAGACTACAGGACGCCACGGAGTTTGCGCAAGCAGCGATAGCTATGGCCCAGGAAATACAGCAAGCGCAAGCCAACAAGCACAGGACAGCCGCACCGAGATACGAGCCTGGGGATTGGGTATACCTCAACTTGAGAAATGTCAAAACATCGCGACCCTGCAAGAAGCTCGATTGGCTACATGCCAAATATCAAGTGCTCGCGGAAGTTAACCCACATGCCTACAGGTTGGATGTGCCTGGGCGCATCCATCCAGTCTTTCACGTCGACCTACTCCGGCCAGTCCCCGGAGACCCATTGCCTTCGCAGAAACTCGATCAAGAGAGTGCCCCACCGGTGCTGGTGGACGGCGAAAGATGTACCTTGTTGAAAGAATTCTGGATGAAAGAATGGAAGGTACGCATAAGAAGGTGCTCGTAAAATGGCATGATTACTCGCAGCCTACGTGGGAACCCCTTACCACTATTCGACACACCGATGCATGGAAGCAATGGAAGAAGCATAAAAGGAGTGTCACCTTCTCAAGTCATCTTGCCACAGATTGCCACGATCCCCCGGAAGAGGAAACGTTGGAAGGGAGGGAGGTAATGTAACGGGCAAGCCGCTTTAACGGCGGCTGCGCCGCCTAGCTTCTAGAACCTTCCATTGGCTCGAAGCTATAAAATGCTATTGTGCTCTCATGTAGTAGATTCTCTTTCTTTCTTTCTTTCTTCTCTATCTTGATAGTAAACAGCATAGGGACTAGTTAGTTGTATCAACTCACTAGAGGCCTTTCACAATGTGCCAGTGTAACAGTGCAACACAGCATTTCTCTCAACCCGACTCAGAGCGCCATTGTTGCCCTAGTCAAGCAGCTACCAGAACAGACATACCACGTCTTCTTCGATAACCTTTTTTCCTCGCCGAACCTTCTCAACGCTCTTCGTCAGCTAGGGATTGGGGCCACAGGCACAGCCCGAGTGAACTGTGGCTTCTATCAGCCCTTCGTGGAAGCAAAGAAAGCTGACACGAAGGGTGACTGTTGGCCTTGGGGCACGCTGAAGACTGCGCCTACCCCTGACGGTCAGGTAAGAGCATCAGAAGACAGGCTCCCTAGTAATTCCCCTACTAATTTGTCTTCTTCTTTGCAACTCGGCTAAGCTACCTAGCCAACACAACCGGCCTGCTAGGGCCTACGCAACTAGGGGGAAGGAAACAAAGATCTGCGATAGATACAGCCCTCCTCCTTACACACTATATCCAAAAAGAGCAAGCAGCAAAGAGGAAGGCTATTACCAGCACTCTCTTTCTAGATATAAAGGGGGCCTTCGACCATGTGTCGAAGGAACAACTAATAAGACCGTCAACGGCAATCTCATCAATCCATCAATCAACGGGAGCATGAATTGAATTGACAAGCTTATTCAGCAGACACTCGATTGAGTTGATTGAGTTGACGGTTGCTCAACTATATTGAGCAACCGTTGCTGGGATTGAGTGGTTTGCCACCCTGGGTCTGCCGGTTTTTTGTATTCAATCTTGTTTGATTTGTGTGTGTGTTTTAAGTTTGCCAGTTTTGAATTGTTTTTAAGTCCTCTATTTTACTTCATCCTCCGACACCGAAGCTTCTCTGCGCGACTACTCCGAAAAAAGAGGGGGGTAGCTGCTCGCAACCAATACAGACGCACTCTATGGCCCTGCCCTACCCATTACGGTGCAGCCAGACCAACGGAACCCCGGCCCAGCGCTGGCACGCAAAGCAGCCCAATTTGGATCCTGGTATGAGCTGGGGCACAGGTTGCAATCGATCTCGTTGCCCATAGCCGGATCGTACATACAGCGGCCTGGTGGGTTCTGTCACGACCCTGGGCGCCAGCGTAGAGCCGCCAGCGCAGAACCTCACCAGTGTCACGTGCCCAAGCAGCATCACGTGCCCACGCGCGACCTCGTGTCTATATAAGGGCCCGCTCGGTCGTGTAGTCTAGTCTTCCTTTCTTGCTCCTTAGCTTTGAGTCTTTGTTCATAGTGCCAATACATCTTTATAGCCGTCAAGGCTCGTATGTGCCTGGCCGTAACACTACTCAAAGCTCAATAAGATCGCTTGCCAGCGATTAAGCAAATAGGCACCGAGCTTTCACGTCACACGCGCCTGACGTAAATCCAGCGCATCCGTTCTGACCGTTCCGACCAAGACTCCGACCACCGACCAAGTGATCCTCAAGGCTGAGATCACGTCCGTTCCGACCAAGACTACGCGTGTGTGTAGTCGTCCGACCAACCGTTCCGACCAAGGGATTCGTCCCGTCTGACCTCCGACCGTCCCTGCTCGTGCAGGCATCTGACCGTGATTCCGCGTGGTATCATTTCCGACCCTAGACTCTGACCTCGAGACTATGATATCTGAGGAAGCCCTGCCATCGGATCAGCCTCGCCGTTCCACCCGGCTTGCTGGCCAAGCCACTGAATCCGAAATAGTAGCCATGGCTGCCCCGAACCCCCAAGACGCTCTCATCCGCGAGATGAGAGAACAGATTGCGGCCTTAACGGCCCGTCTAAATGAACGCTCTCCGTCTGTTGAATCAAATCGACAGCACCGGGAGCCCTCGACTGCTTTGCCGGCCCAAATGGCCCGGCCTTCCGACCAACAGGCAAAGCTGCCTGGCCTATTTTTGCCCCCTTCCCAGAGGGCAAGAACCCGAGTACAGCGACGCCGCCAAATCGCGCATCAAGGTCTCGCGACGTTCTCAGGAAGAAGGACGAGTTCCATTCCTTCATCCTGAGCATAAAGAACAAATTTGACGAAGACGTGCGAACCTTCCGGACTGAGAACAGCCGGATGGTCTGTCTGTATAACCTGCTCGAGGAAAAGCCCGCCGAGCACTTGAAACCCGCTTCTCCTCTGACACTCGACCCTTCTCTGGAGTGGCAGAGATGATCCAAGCCCTTGAGTCCGCCTATGGCAATCCGAATGAGCTTTCCGAGGCTCTTGACCGCCTGCAACGCCTCCAGTTTACCGTGAATGGGAAGACCGACATTGTGGACTTTCTTGCGGAATTTGACTACTTAACTGCGACCGGTCGTGTGCCCGAGGACCAGATGAAGCATACCCTGTGGCAGCACATCCCGGCCAACCTAGATAACAGCCTCTTGACCAAGACCCGCGACGAGTCCGTGACCTACGAGGTTTTCTGTGGGTTCATTAAAGACGCTGTCCACTGCCAGAAGAGGAGTATGAGGCAGACACAGGACTCCCGCTCTTCCGACCGATCTCGCCGCGCGCCGACTAAGACTGCTCCGACTACCGCCAAGACTCCGAACAAGACCGGCTCGACCCTATCACCTCGCGTGATGCTGGCAGAGCCTTGACCGACGATGAGAAAAGGGTCCATTGGGATAATGGCACCTGCTTTATTTGTGGAAAAACAGGGCACCTCTCTCGCGAGTGTCCCGACCGCACCCATGCTGTCTCCCGTGTCGCCTCCGTCCCTGTCCCTGCCAACGACTCTGATCAAGATTCGGAAACGAATAGGACCATCACAAGACTCCTTGATGGTCCCTAAGGTGTCACAGACAGCGAGTAGGTCTAGCAAGTCATTCACTCTGCCAAGTCAAGTCCAAGTGGATGGTGTGAGCCTACCTGCCCGCTCCTCTGTGATACCGGGCCGAAACCCGTTTGCTGGTTAGCCCAACCTTCGCCCAGTCCGCCGCCCAAAGACTCGGAGCCCAGATTAAGGAGCTCCCGAGTCGGATTCTCCAAGACTTCCGTGGAAAGCCAGCCGGCTATATCCAGAAACAGCTGGTCGCCACTTTCGTCATCGATGGCCGTTCGTTCGCAAACGAGACATTTGATATAGCTGAGTGTGGCCATGATATCTTTATCGGTCTTTTCTGGATGCGGGAGAAGCGCCTCCTGCTTGACTGCGCCGCCCGACAGATCATCTGGCCAGATGATCTTCCTGCCTCGCCAAGTTCTCCCCGACGATCCAGCTCTCTCGTCAAGCCCCGCTCTCGGGTCGGATCGACCCTAAGATCCAGGCCGACGCTGAGAGGCGGAACCGCCTGCTCGAGAAAGAGGAGAAACGCTACCGGATCCTCCACAAGAACTGGGGCCGCTCTGATCAAACTCCTCCGGCCTCTGTCCCGACCCGTTACCGACTCCGTCTCCGTCGTTTCAGTCCAAGTCTCCGTCTGCCAAGAAGTCTGTCCGTTTTCAGCTCACGACCGCCCCTGCTACCGACTTCGTCTCCGTCGCCTCGATCCAAGCCTCCGAAGATCAAGCCCTGATTAACGCCCTGGTCTGCCAAGTAGAGTCTCACGAGAGATTCGAACAGTGGAACGAACTCGAACCGTTGATGCCCCGGGATCCAGTCCAGCTCGAGCCAAGCTCCGGCCTTGACCAGACCGTCCCTAGTGCTCGAACCGTTGCTAAAGTCTCCCCGGATCAAAAGACCTACCAGGGACAAAGCATTCCGTTCCCTCAGGGAGAAGACCCTGAGCATGTTGCTTGTGTCCGTAGTCGTCTACCGCCCCAGCTCACCCATCTAGAGGATTCTTCTCGAAGAAAGAGGCCCACACCCTACCTTCGAGCCGACCCGGTCACGATGTAGTCCTAGAGCTTGAGAAGCCTCTTTCGCCGACAGGACCCCATCGTACCGCACGCCCGTTAAGTATCTGCCTCTAGAGAAAGAGACTGTCGATCACCTCCGGGAGATAGACTTCATCGAGCCCGATCCGAGTCCGCACGCCGCTTCTGTCCTCTTCGCTCCGAAACCGAACACGACCGCCCGCCGCTTCTGCATCGACTACCGTTGGATGAACGATCATCTTAAAAGTCGCATCACGCCCGCTCCGTCCCTCGAAGGTACTGCTTTCGGTTGCCGTGAAGCTCAACGCTTCACGAAGATCGATGTGATCCAGGCCTTCCACCGTCTCCGCATGGACCCTGACTCCGAGTATTTGACCGCCTTTCGCACCCGTTTCGGAACTTTCCGCTGGAAAGTCCTCCCGTTCGGTCTGAAGGTAGGTCCCGCCTGGTTCCAGCAGTTTATCAACGCGCAGCTTCACGATCTCCTCGACCGGTGCGCCAGCGCCTACGCAGATGACGTCCTGATCTACTCGGATAAAGAAGAAGACCACTGGAAAGACTGTCAAGAAGTGATCTGGCGACTCCATCAGGCAAACCTCCAGGAGACATCAAGAAGTCTAGATTTAACGTGACCAAGGTTGACTACCTCGGCGTTCTGCTTGAAGCCGGTGTGGGCCTTAGTGTCGACCCTCGGAAAGTTCGATCGATACAAGACTGGAAGTTTGAGGACCTCCGAGACCGCACCGCGATCCGATCATTCGTTGGCCTATGCAACTTCATCCGTGTTTTCTGCTACCACGCCTCTGGAGTGGCAGAACCCTTGAACCGGTTGCTTAAGAAGGATGTTGCCTTTGTGATGGGCCCGGAGCAACGCGAAGCATTTGATCAACTCAAGCGCCTGGCTATCGAAGCCCCGGTCCTCGCCTTCTTTAGACCAGAACTGCCGACCCGACTGGAGACCGATGCCTCCCGGAATGCCACAGCTGGTGTTCTATGGCAGGAACAGCCTGATCAGACCTGGAAGCCCGTTGGATTCTTCTCTAAGACCATGACCCCGGCCGAGCGAGCCTACCCAATCCAAGATCGAGAGCTCCTCGCCGTCGTACAGAGTCTAGAGCACTTCTACCCAGAGCTCTTAGGCCAGAAGTTCGATGTGATCACCGATCACGAAGCCTTAGTCCATTTCTCTACGAAGCGCCTGCTCTCGGTACGACAGATCAGATGGTCCGACTTTCTCGCCCAGTTCGACATCCGTTTCCTCTACCGCCCCGGTCGACTGAACGTAGTCGCCGATGCCCTCTCCAGGAAGACAGCGGAGCTCCCTACCGTAAAGGCCCGGGAAGCCGAGGAACGCACGGTGACCCTGATCCTCCGGAAAGGCTAGGCTTCGCGACCGACTCTCTAGACCCTACGGCCGCCGGCAACCTGCCCTCAGAACTTTAGTCCCGAACCTAAGCCTACTAGACCATTAGTTCTGAGGGCCACGAGTGCCCTACAGACCCCAGAAGACCGAGGATACAGCAGACGCCCGATCAAGACCGCCCAGAACTAGACCCGAACTCGGTCCCGAAGGGAGCCGAACTCGTTTCGTTGATCCGCCAAGAGAACCTCCTCCAAGACCTCGGTACCCATGGAACACACCTGGTCGTACCAGCCCAGACCTCAGACAAGCAGACGTTTCTTCAGACCGCGCTCATTCGCGAAGCCCACGAACCCCAGATCTTCGCTCACGCCGGACAGAACAAGGTGATCAAGCTGCTCCAACGAGACTTCTACTGGCCAAGGATGAAGGAGGATATCCGTCGTTATATTCGGAACTGCCACGACTGCCGCCGCAACAAAACCCCTCGAGACAAGACCCCTGGACTGCTCCATCCACTGCCCGTACCGACCTCTGTTTGGGAGCACGTCGAATGTGACGGGAAGGATATGCCGAAAGACCGTTACGGATATGACTATGTTTGGACCTTCGTCTGCAAGCTAAGCCGGATTATCGCCACGCTCCCAGGAAAGAAAACGATACGGCAGAAGTCTTAGCTAGCCGCTACTTCCGCTACCTCTATCGTTTCTTCGGTATGCCCTCGTATGGATTTCTGACAACGCTGGACAGTTTATTTCTGCCTTCCTCGCAGAGATTAACCGGCTCACGGGAACGAAGCATCGTCATGGAAGCTCCCTACACCCTCAGACCCAAGGTGTAGAAGTCACAAATCAATACCTAGATCAAAAGCTACGATTCTACGTGACGAAGCATCAAGATAACTGGAGTTCCCTGCTGCCCGCCCTCGACTTCGCCCATAACTCGTCTTGGCACTCTTCCATCGACATGGCACCGTTAAAAGTAGCCCTAGGCCGAGATATCCGGAACCCCCTGTCACTGCCCCCGACTGACAAGACCGCTGCCACCGGACCCGCCGCCAGAGCTAGGGAACTTGTGCAGACCGCCCAGGAAACCCAGGAAGACGCCAGGAATGCTGCCACCGCCGCTCAAGAACGTCAGAAGGAACAGGCTAATAGGAAACGACGACCAACCGACTTTGCCATCGGTGACCGAGTTTTTCTCAGCAGGAAAGGCTTCGCCACGAACGCTCCGACTACTCGGCTAGATAACCAATGGTCAGGTCCGTTCGTAATCCTGGAAGAACGCGGTCATAGCTACGTACTGCAGCTGCCCGAGTCGTACAAAATGAAGAACCTATTCCACGCCGACCGTCTTCGAAAAGCAGCCGATAACCCCTTGCCCCAGCAGATCCAGTCACCTCCGCCACCCGAGGAGATCAACGGAGAACCCGAGTGGGAGGTTGATCAAGTCCAGCAGTCTCGAGTAACCGGTAGGAGTCGACGACTGGAATACCAGGTCTTATGGAAGGGATGTGACCCTGATGAGACCTGGTACCCGGCTAGGAATTTCCGTAACGCACCAATGGCATTGAAGATTTTCCACGATGAACATCCGGACGCAGCAGGCCCACCCGTCAACCTGCAATACTGGATCGAATGTGCTGCAGCGGAGGAGGGCTGCGAGGAACGAGACGATGACGACACAGCAGAGAAAGCCGTGAAACCAAGAACCCGCCGCCACGACTGACTACCTTGATACGCATATCAAGGCCTTAGACGGGGGGCAGTGTCACGACCCTGGGCGCCAGCGTAGAGCCGCCAGCGCAGAACCTCACCAGTGTCACGTGCCCAAGCAGCATCACGTGCCCACGCGCGACCTCGTGTCTATATAAGGCCCGCTCGGTCGTGTAGTCTAGTCTTCCTTTCTTGCTCCTTAGCTTTGAGTCTTTGTTCATAGTGCCAATACATCTTTATAGCCGTCAAGGCTCGTATGTGCCTGGCCGTAACAGGTTCCCACCCGTGAAACCGGCTGGTAGGATCCCTTCGCGACCGATTCGTATCTGACCGCACCCGTTCCTTTCACAGTGTAAGGACAACCATGCTGCTGATTCCGAGCCCCAACAACCGTAAGCCGTATTCAAAGCCCGTGCACAGGTACCCCAGACGAACACGACCGCGACTGGCGCGAGCATGGTCAAGGTAAGTTACGGCTATATATGCTGATGAACACAAGACGGTTTAAGAGGGGGGCGCTAGACCGTGAGTGGCGTTCAGTGGTAGAATAGTATCGCGGAATGACTGAATATTTTAAAAAGAAACACAAGTAATGATTCTAAAAGCTGGACGATAAGAGGGGAGCAGACTCCTCCTTATATAAACAATTTCGGAATAACCAAGTGACATATACAGTTGTACCTCGTACCATATTGAACCGCATTGTTTAGTCATCCCGTTCCGAAGATAGGGAGCCAATAGAGGCGCGGGGGTCCGCGCCTTTAAAGTCGGCGCGGACGTCCGCGCCTGTTTTGTAAGCCCAGCCGGAAGATAGTCGGGCCCGCCTCCGGCCCCGACCTGTCCTCTCCTTTCTCTCGCCCTCCGTACTGTGGCAAGCATATCACGACCATATCCACGGAGGGTCAGCGCGCCGCCATTGCGGCCCAATTTATCCGCCGCCCCTTACGCAGAGTAGGCCAATATGGAGCTTACTGAATTCCCTGACGATTGCCTTCCTCCTGAGGGTCAATTCGACTCGCGAGAGTCCCTTCTTGTCTCAATTAATGCGTGGGCAGCTCCAAGAGGCTATGCCTTCACCACAGGCAAGTCCACGAGAGACCCGCGGTCCGGAAGACGCACAGTCACATTTGCCTGTGATCGTGGAGGTAGACCAGGGGCTCATACAAGCAAGGACCAGAAGCCAGCTGAACGGCAACGGTCTACAAGCTCCCGTATCACTGGATGCCAGTTTTCCATCAATGCGAAAGAGAGCCTTGATAAGTCGTACTGGTATATCAGGCATCGCCCAGGCGAGGAGAAGTCGGTCCACAACCATGAGCCCAGTCTGCACATTACAGCACATCCAGCTCATCGTGCCTCTCCTCAACTGACCAGTCAGCTATTGGGAACCTCGCAAGCGCCGGCATAGCACCAAAGGATATCCGGACATATATGCGCCAGAGCTCTCAGACTGCTCAAGGAGCGACACAGCAAGACATATATAACTGTATCGCACAGCGCAGACGAGAGCTTCTTGCTGGGCAGAGCACAATGCATGCCCTTGCCAATGAGCTTGACAACGAGGGGTTCCAAACCCGCATACAGCTTGACCATGACGGCCGAGTCACAGCGGTCTTATTCGCACACCCGGCGTCACTAGAATACCTCAACGCATACCCAGAATTACTACTTCTAGACTGCACATACAAGACGAACAAATATAAGATGCCACTGCTCGATATGATCGGCGTTGATGCCTGCCAACGGTCATTCTGTATTGCCTTTGCCTTTCTCAGTGGTGAAGATGAAGATGACTACATCTGGGCACTGGACCAACTCCAATCGATATACGAGTTATATGACATTCGCCAGCCATCCGTTATCCTTACAGATCGTTGCCTTGCCTGCATGAACGCAATTTCCCGGTGCTTTCCTGCGTCAAGGTCTCTGCTCTGCATCTGGCATGCGAACAAGGCGGTGCTTAGCTATTGCAAACCAGCATTCGACCGTGAGGATGAGAACTCTAACAGTGATGAGAAATGGGTTGAGTTCTTTGGGTATTGGCACTCAATCGTGAGCTCGAGAGATGAGGAGACATTCGATCAACAAGTTGAAGAGCTGGAGAAGCGCTTTGTACCACGATACGTCAAGGAGGTTAGCTACATACGGAAACCTGGTTGGACCCGTATAAGGAAAAGCTCGTCAAGGCCTGGGTTGATCAATATGCTCATTTCGGCAATGTGGCTACTTCCCGGGTGGAAGGCATCCACGCATTATTGAAGAGCCACCTTAAGAAGTCAACACTAGACCTCTTCGAAGCAACGAGGGCAATCAAGCAAGCTCTTCTCAACCAACTGGCCGAGCTACAAGCCAACCAAGCCAGGCAGCATATACGGATGCCAATTGAGCTCTCTGGAACCGTATATAGCACGGTACGTGGCTGGGTATCACACGAAGCCTTGCGACAGGTTGCAAAGCAACACAAGCGCCTCAACGAGAAAGACATCCCTGCTTGCACAGGCAGCTTCACCAAGTCTCACGGTCTCCCTTGTGCGCACACATTACAGCCGCTCATAGAGGAAGATCTGCCACCCGGCCACAACATTTTCATACGCATTGGCGCCTTCGACGGGATACCAAAGAGATTGGTCAGGTCCTCATAGAGCCTCGTCGGCGATTGGACCAACTTGTCGCCACATCGAGGATAACACAGTCATCCACACAGCGCGAGCCAAGTGCATTTGAAGCCATAGAGCCAGTTCTACGGCCAAAGGCGCCACCTACATGCAGCAAATGCCACCAGAAAGGGCACATCATGACATCTCGCAATTGTCCTTTACGCTATAGCGACATACTGCAGCGGGCAGAGGCACGGGCGGCAGAGACTGCAGAGACGGCAGCAATTGCAGCGACTGCACAGACTGCACAGACTGCACAAGCAGTAGCAATTTCAGAGACTGCACAGACTGCAGCAGTCATGGAGACAATCACGGTTGCAGTCACTACAGTCTCTACGGTGTCTACAATTGCTGCAGTCTCGACAGGAATTGCAGAAGCTACAGAGACTACGGAGAATCTACGATATGATGACCCACGAGCCATCTATCAGAGGTATGTCAGGGCAAGAGACTCTTGGTATAGAGCACAGCCTCGCGGCAATCTCAAGACCAACCAGGCATACCGAAAGGCAATGGGCTTGCCATTGCGCTACAGCAAGACTGAATATGACTGGTGCCTCGACTGGAAGCAAATGTCAAGGAGCTGCGGCTCGAGGAAATGGACCAAGGAAGAGATGATGGCATACCTTGATTGGGATAAGGCAGAAGAAGA